CCCCTTTCTTTTAACCGCTTGTGGGGCCGAGAAGGTGGGGTCCGTGGAGGCGGAACATTTGAATCTTTTGGGCTTCTGTCTTTTTCCTCTTGTCTTGCTCCGCACGGATATGTTATTCGCCTTTTCTCCAGATCTCTCCGCATTTCTAGTTGTGGCGCGCCAAGCCATCGAGATGCGCTATTGCTAGCACCAGCTGGATTTTGGGCCCTTTGTTTCGAGGATTTATTTGCGAGCTGGCCGTGACAGCCCTCTCGACAGGAGAGCCTCGGCCGCGATTCAACGGCGGACCAACGAATCCCAGTTCCCCTGGGCTCGTACAGGTATGTCAGACACAGGGCATACTGTATTCGTCTTGGTGTTGCAACCATGTGCCCAGCCAGGCACCCTAGTAAGCTGCTCAACAGCCACTCGTGGGGGAATGTTGACGGCAGCACTCCTTCGCTCAAGTGCCTAATTGAGGCATGCCGTCAAGCGGGCTGCTTCCGAGTGGAGCCTCCGTGAACCGCTGGGATTCATGGAAATTCATTCATCAATCTCTCCGTGCTTAACGACTCTCATCTGTGCAGAAGCACTATTTCTCGCGTGGCGGCAGGTTACATGTGCATGCGTACCTCACCTGGCCTCGCCTCGCCTCGCCTTGCCTCGCCGCACGCCTTGGTGGCTTACGCTACAAACTATTATGGTTTGTGGGATGAGGCTGTCGGTACAAAGTAGTACATGTAAGTTTATTTCTTTATTTCTACGTCTATTTGCTATGTTCACTTTAGGCAAAAATCCCTTAGCCTTGATGGATTGTGACCTCGTCCCCTCTCCTAGCCACTAAAAAAGTGGGAGCAAGGCTGTGGGAAAGAGATGATCGCAAACACATGCGGCAAGCTCGGGCCTGCACTGTTACATCCCGCCATCTGCTGCCATCTCCAAAACTAGCCAGTTGGGGATCGTGGGAGGACTCTTCCATCCATCTAGATAGCTCTCTTTGGGGACGCCAGTGCCTGCTGGTTTGGCATAGACTGCAGAAATGTACCACACCTCTTGACCCTGCGGGATCTTGTGCTGCAAGGTCGGTATTGTTGTCCGACTGTCCATGAGGTTTGTGTTGGGATCAGCATTCACAAGATTGGCTTGTCGTTGGCCTTGTGGTTCCAGAGCTTTGATGCCAACAGCTCCCCTGTCTGCGGCCACTGCAAAGGCACCATTGAGCCCCGTGTCCCAGCCAGCCGGAGTGTTGGTGTCATAGTTTCCAATGATCTTGGGGCTAGTCCCCTCGCACTTTGATTCGTCGTAAAGGTCCAAGTATCTTCCGTTCTCAGAATTGGCATTGCGAATGGCAAAGGCGCCATCTGCGGTCATAACCTCTCGACCAGCTTGGATGCGATGTACCCGTAGATGCCAGTTCGGCGTGCTTTCAACAGGGGGCACCAACAACGTCTTGATCTTGACGTCGGCAAAAGGCTTCCAGACTGAAACGAGGATGGGCTGGCCGTCTCGCTCTTCGATGGCGGCGTACTCAGACAGTCTTCTCGTCTTCCAATATTCGCCGCCATCATCCGAGAGTCCTAGCTGCGATGCCAAGGCATATTGCTCTAAGGAGAAAAGCCCGGACGGTACGGAGTATCCAAAGGCGCTACTATATGCAAACCCTCCATATTTGGCGTGGGTGGCCTTCATTGGGTAGCCACAAGCTTGACCCGAAGAGAGGAGCATGCAATGTCCGCCAAGGTAACTTTAACAGCGATTAATATCGCAGGGTCAGCCAACCGTTTGTGGCCCTCCCATTGGTGGGTAAATGAGGCTGCTCTCACCTGGTAATGTGACCTGGATGTCGTATAGCCTTGACTTTTGGAATCAGGGAGCTGATTGGCTCCTCTTCAGATGTCCAGAATGGGTGCTGCTCTGGAACTGCCAGGCAGATGAAGGCCAAACATGACCAGTACTGATGAGCGTTTCGTGCAGTTAGTACGAGGCTTCTCTAGAAGATGCCGAGATAGGGGGTTGCATCAATGCTACTTACAGGACTTCCAGGGCTATTGTAATTCTCGGTAATCTACATATGGTTCACGTGAAATAAGGGTCAGCAATCTAGCATCGGAAGCAATATGGAACCTGCATGAGTAGCCATCATGATCATCACACGTACATACATGCTCGGGTACGAAAACCCGAGAGACAGCGTCCCACTCGACGTCCAGATGTCACCCTGCGTTTGCCACCACCTGAGATTGCGGAGGACAATTCCCTTGACCATGCCCCACGTTAGGGGAGCCGGCAAGTCGACGTCTGCGTATGCCAGGGCGCCCCAGAATGAGACCATGGCGAAGCGGTAGACTAGACTACGGCCAAACGGGATAGCTCGGCCGAGGGTGTCGTGATAGTGGACGAGGTCGAGGGCGGCAATCTGAGCGCGGTGCTTGAACTCTTTTGCACGGGAGGGGTCGGATGTGGCGGCGAGCTTGGCGTAGAGGAGCTGGAGAAAGTGGATGGCGAAGCTGGAGGAATAATAGTCCATTTCTGCGGATCAAGAGGCGTGAGTATTGTGGGAGAGGACAGAGGAAAAAGCAAAGTGGGAGAGGAGTAGACTAACGATGGATGCCCTCAGGACCGTCGTTGGACCAGCCGTCTCCTCGATAGAAGGTATCGAGGTGCTTGATGTCGCTCTCGAGTCGTTCCTCTGAGTATTTCGCTCCGTTTTGCTTGAGGCCTAAGTTGGCGAAGACGCGGAACCAGAGCCAATTGGTGTTGGGCATGCTGTAGGACTGATCAGTAAGTGAAGGCATTTACAGTACGCTTTTTCTTGCAAGAACTAATCAGACTTTTTCTCGTTGATAGAGTTTCCAAGCCAGTTCTCGACATTGACTCGCTCCTTTGCCGAAAGACCAGCCCATATCTCTGGTGCGACGGCCAGCGCGAATCCTATACAAGATGATATCATCAGCTTCCGTCGTTTTAAACCACCGAGCTCCAATATCAACAGTCGCATGAATTACCAAATGGGCACATTTCCACCATCCGCTGATCATTATCACGAGGATATCCCCAATACTCGGGGCTCTCTGGGTCGGTTCCGGCCTTGATCCCCTGAATCCACCAGTCTGTGCCGCGATACTGGCCGCCTCCGGCCAAAAGGCACGCCAGACCCCAGATAGGACGGAAGAATCCTTCTACTTCGGACGCGGTCTGGTCGAATCTGACGGCCGTGGCTCCAGGGCACTTGACGCGGGCCTTTTGGGGAGAGAAGAAAGGCTCAAGGGGATCAAGGACCGTCCGAAGAAGCTCTTGAACTGAGGCGCGATCTGTAATGGGCACCTGGGAGAAAGGGTGCTTGTCATCGTAGCCAAGCGTGAGGGGAGCCATTTTGAGAAGTGGTGAGCGAGCTGCTGATTGATGGGATCGCTCTATGCTGCTGTATGTTGATTTAACAGTCTGGACGCTGCGTACATGGAGGTTTGGCAAGCTTTATTTTATTTCACGCTACAAAGGTAAGCATCATGAGCTCTCCGGCAAGCAAAGGCACTAAAGCTAATTGCTTGGCCAAAGGGTGTGGAAGAGCCATGCAAGCTCTTTTTTTTTCGGATTCGATTGAGCCGAGCTGGGTGATATCAGACTGCGGCATCGCGGATGAGGGGCAAGATGGGGTTTGTGTGGAGAATGGACAAGAGGAAGAGGAGAAGCCAAGCGAGAGCTACTTTGTATGGCACGAGTGGCTTTTTCTAATTCATTGCGTCTTATGATTGAATGAAATAGTGGGATAATTTAAGCGGGTATGTGATGTTTGCTTCTTCCTCTTTTTTTTTCTTTTGAGAATATTTACGCGTATTGGGTAAGTTGAAAAGCAATGTAGGACGCCTGTAAATGCGCAGTCCGGTACATGGCATTCTGAGAGAGGGTCTAGACTACAAGGCAGAGTGTCTTGAACCCTGCATGGTGGTCGATCATTATTGATGGGGGTCTGGAATTTGCCGGCTAAATTCAAAGGATAATGTCTGCAATGTATAGATGGATTTTTCAGGGCCGCATATGCGGTTTGTCCTGTATCAATGTTGGGGTAGGGGGAATATGACTGATAGGACCTGGTCCGAAGATGGGATTTCATGCAGAGATGGGATGAGTGGGTAATTGGATGAGTAGGTAACCTTGTTAAGAGCTCGAAAACTTTTGACTTTGGAGCTATTTGCGATGATAGGGCTCAGCACTGAGAAGAACTATTCATGACGATAGACTATTGCTACTCTACTAGTATTTATTGAGTTGTGAACTTGAGAATGTGGGAGCCGGGTGAATTAAGTAAATATGCGGTAATTCACCTACCTTACTAATTTAGCACATTGCTTAGTACTAGGTGGGCGGAGAAATAAGAGCGTTGGTAGGCGTAGAATAACTTCAAGAGGTGGCGATTAGAGATACAAATCGGAAGTTAATACAACGAGTCAGGAGAGGCAGATATGGACTGTATGTCTATTATAAATAACGCCTCTTTATTAGAGAATTAAACCTCGATTCAGCCTCCAAGACCAATGCTTTCGTTTCTGGCCTGTCTCATATAAAGATAGGACGTTTAAATAAAATGCTCACATGTAATGCGCTACCCTAGAGCTATATGTCCTTGTTATGGGCTAACAGGGTATCCAGTTCGGATGTCTTCCAGAGTGATTTAACATTTATAAAATCCGCTGCGTCTTGTTAAATCATTGAAGCAGGACCGAGTCACTTTGGATTATATGAAACATGTACCATTTAGCGCTATGGCGACATCCTTAACCTCTACCGCTCATCTCAACATCACCTGAGCGACGCTCCATTTGGCAGCATCAAAACCTCATTTCAGCCCGCACCACAAGATGTCGGCAGCAGATTCAGCGTCGGTTGACGCAAACTCAAAGCCAGAGCCTACGAAGACGGAAATCGCGTCTTCTTCGACACTCTCGTCGCTTGGATCTGAGATTGAGTCGCCATTCACACCGGTGCGACCGCGGCGCAACGTCACTGCTCCCAAGCGCTTCGCATCACCATCCAAGGACGACTCCAAACCGATACCACAGCGGCCAAAGAAGAGAAATCCAGTGAAAAAGCGAGCTAAGGTCCCAAAGAAGCCCAAATGGGATGCTGAGAGTCTCCTAAAGGACCCGAAATCGCCTCTGGCCACGGCGAATCTGAGAGTACGTCCAGTCTCCTCTTTGCCCAGCTGCAGCTTCCCACAGTTGCCGCGTTTTTATGCTGTTGAAACGCTGCAAAGTAACATGGCGTCTAACCAAACAAGCAGAGTATTTTATGTAACCCCATGGCATGGACGGCCCTAGACCCAGAAGACAAGGCGGAAATCCTCGCTCTCTTCCCTGATAAGAGCCACATTCTTGACTCGGGCACGGAAGACGCGCGGCCCAACTTTGCGTCACTGATGAACGACGACAGTTTTCGCTACGACTGCGCTGCTTATACAGAAAACATTGCGGAGGGTCGTCATGATCCGGAATGGCTTGCGTCGGCGTGGAGTGCGCACGAGAGGAGGAAGGCGGGAGACTTTGACAAGTATCTGGTTGATAAGCTGGAGGAGGAATGGGGCGTTGAGATTCCAGAGGGGATGAGGATTCGGAGGGAACTACCTCTGCCTGGGGCTGAGAAGAAGGAAAATGTTGATACGAATGGGAATACGGTGCGAGAGAAGGTTATGTCCAGGAATAGAAAGCTGGACGATAGGATGGAGATTGATGAGCTTGCGCTCTAAGATTTGGAGGTGTTCGTGGGGAGGATGGCTGAGCGTTTGAGATACCAAAGCAACACAGAATGCATAAATATTAAGCAATTATCAAATCTTTGACCAAGTAAGCCCGGCGTTAGTATTGTGAAATCTTATAACTCAGCGATGGTTATAGACATGTCTGTGTTTTATTGTCAAGGAATCTTATAGCTCAATGATGACTATCGACACGCAGATTTTTTACCTGAACTTTTCCAATCTCACCAAATATCACGTACCCACGCTTTCGGACATGTTGAAATTCGACAGCCATATGTCCCAGTTGATGCAAATCCATACCAACGTACATGCACAAATATACACAAGCATATAGAGCATGTCATAAAACGCCCATCATTCATCCAACCCATAACGGCGGCCCAAGGCGCAAACCGCGCTCAAGAAGCCTTTGCGAAATCAACAAGAAACTGGGCCAGCTTCTGGGCTCCCTCCAACGCTATAGAATTATAGTTGGAAGCTCGAATTCCGCCAACACTACGATGTCCTTTGAGACCAGTGAGGCCTAGAGCAGTGGACTGCTTCAAGAAGTCCTTTTCAGCAGCGTCGATGTCGCCGCCCTTGGTCACCCTGAAGCAGATGTTCATTCTGGAGCGCACCGACTTATGGGGCACGATGCGGTATACATCAGGGTGGGAATCCAGAGCATTGTAAATGAGCTCGGCTTTCTGCTTGGAGAGAGTTTCTTGGCCGCTGACTTTGTCCGGGTAGGTGGCCAGAGCCTTCTTCAGGACTTGGCCGGCGATGTAGACACTTGAAGGGGAGTAAGAGTTAGTATGCAGAAATAACTTGAGTTAGCGGAAGAAATAACTTACTCGAAAATGCTGAGCGTGTTGTACAAGCTGTTATTCTGAGCAATGGTGTCGTATTGCAAGATGATAGGGGGAATAGGGAGTCCAAGGTGTCTCATCGAGGGTGCCGAGGGCTGCGAAGTGATGGGAGCAATGAGGTTTTTCTTGATGATGACAACGGTGATGCCGGCAGATCCAAGGTTCTTCTGAGCACCAAAGAAGATGAGAGAGTAGTTTTTGACGTCAATCTTTCGTGAAAGGATGTTTGAGCTCATATCGGCCACGACAATGGGGCCCTTGCCGTCAGGACCGGGGGTCAGGACCTTGGGGAACTCCTGAAATTCCACGCCGTCGACAGTTTCATTCGCGCAAAAATAAACCAAGGCAGCATCTTTGGACAGTTTCCAGGTGCTCTCGTCAGGGATAATGCCGAACTTGCCGTTGTTGGTGAGTCTGGCATCAACGGCGACGTTGACCTTGTCCTGTCCAAACAGTCTTGCCGACTCGGCAGCCGCCTTGGCAGACCAGCTGCCGGTGATGATGTAATCCAGCTTGAGATCGTTGTTAACTGCATCATTCAGGAGCTGCATCTGTGATGGCAAGCCGTCGTCCTCATGTCTGGGCTGTGCAAAGATCTCCTCGCGCTTGTTGGCGACCCAGGAGCCAACCAGGTTGTAGGCCGTGGCTGAGAACTCGCCCGTGCCGCCTCCCTGCATGAAGAGGATCTCATAGTCATCGGGGATGTCGAGAAACGAGGCTAGATCGGCCTTGGCCTCATTGATGATGGTGTTGGCAATCTCGGAGCGATGAGAATGTTCAGCCAGCCCAAGTCCGGTGCCCTGGAAATCAACAAGCGCTTCGGCAGCCTTCTTCAATACGTCCGTAGGAAGCAGCGCAGGGCCAGCGCCAAAATATGTAATGTCCTCTCTGGCAGGCATTTTTGTTGTTGGATTGATTTGTGATGAGCAGAAGTGGGCGAGTGAGTGAGTGAGTGAGTGAGTGAGTAGCTCAGGTGTAGGCCTTTGGCGATATTTTCCTCGGTCGTCTGGTTCTTATAAGCCAACAAAAATTGCGGCTGGGAGTGAGTCACGAGCAATGCAAGGGCGAAAAAACAAGCACAATGGCACCGAATACGATGCGAGTTTGAGACAAATTGGACGGGATCCGAGTTGAAGTGAGTCAAGTGTAATTTCCAAAATGCGTCGGAGCCTGGGGATTTGATAGATCTTACATCGATGCTGCCCGACTCCGCACTGGCCGCTCTCGGAGAAAAAGTACTGTTGCGTTTTTGCTGACGCTTTATGCTTTTAGCAATAAGCTGGCGTCACAGTAATTAATTCTATCTGCTGCCTTATTAGTACTACGGTATGATGCCACCAATGTCTCAAGTGCTCATGAATTGGGCTCCTTTTCTCAATCAATTGGACCAAGACTCGCTCTTGGTACTTGAATTGCTAGTAATAACCGGACGTCACTTATGTATTCCAGCTACCACATTCGACTACATACTGCCATGACAGCTCCATTTGAGATCTAGGAACCAAATTGATGGTTTTCGATTTCTTCCAAGTGGAGCGGACTAACAAACCGCAATGCCGCGTTCTCAACCGCTGCTGACTAAGTCATCGAGCGAAGCTTTGCCGGCTGTGGCTGAAGAGTGCCTGCATTCGCAGTGGCGCCCAGTCTCCAGCCACAGCAAGGCGACGAAGCTTAGGTTGCCTGGATGCGTTTCCCTCATCAGCCATATTGCAGCACCAAACGGCATCTTTCCTTCGTCGCCGCGCCGTTACAAGCAAAACTCGCCTCTTTTTTCCTCCTCGTCATTCCCCAACCGCAGTGAATCACCATGTTCAGGAACAACTACGACAACGATTCCGTCACCTTGTATGTGCCCTGCCCGACTGGCTGGAGCCCCTCCAGCTGCTGTCGCCTCGTAGCTCCAAGCTCGCCATAGCTGACTTGACAACGCTTCTAGTTCGCCGCAAGGCCGCATCTTCCAGATAGAATATGCGGGCGAGGCCGTGAAGCAGGGATCAGTGGTGGTCGGAATTGCCAGCAAAACACACGTCGGCCTGTTTGCCGTCAAGGCAAGTTTCCATCTACCCCTCAGCATAGCACACCGGACAAGCCAAGGCTGACCTGGCCCGCGTGGCACAACAGCGAAACGCAGAGGAACTGTCGTCGTACCAGAAGAAGCTTTTCGAGATTGACGAACACACCGCCATTGCCATCGCCGGCCTCACATCAGATGCCCGCGTCCTGTCCAACTTCATGAAGCAGCAGTCCCTGGGCCACCGCCTCACCTACGGCCGCCCGATCCCCATACACACACTGGTCGGCATGATTGGCGAAAAGGCACAGATCAATACCCAGGTCTACGGCAAGAGGCCGTACGGCATTGGGCTGCTGGTAGCTGGTGTTGACGAGAACGGCCCCCACCTGTTCGAATTTCAGCCATCGGGTATGACGGAGGAGATGGTGGCGTTCGCTATTGGCGCACGAAGCCAAATGGCCAGGACATATCTGGAGCGCAACATTGAGTCGTTTGCCGACTGCTCAAAGGAAGAACTGGTCAAGCACGGGCTGAGGGCGCTCAAGGAGAGCTTGGTACAGGACAAGGAGCTGACGGTCGAGAATACATCAGTGGGATTGGTGGGCCTGAAAGAGGGGCCCAACGGCCGATCAAGCATCGAGCCCTTCAAATTATACGACGGCTTCGAGGTCAAGTCATGGATCGAGAGTGTCAGCGAGAGCCAAGGAGGCGAAGGTGAGGGCGATGCCGCGGGCGAGGGTATGGAGGTTGATAGCTAGACGACACTGATGAACTAGAGGGACTGCGGGAGAAGGGTTTAGATCATGCATCACTAGAGGCTGCCTGGGACAGCACAAATGGTCAAACTTGGTACGAATGAAGGAATAATAACAAAAAAAGAAAGATACCTAATCATGACATTACTCCCGTTCCATGACGTAATTGTAACCTGTCTATGGATATATATCTTTTGCTGAAAACCAACCATTCTATACCATACATCAAAAACCAAGTGTACTCATGATTATTCCCAAAAGCAGCCGGAAAAAGAAAGGAAAAGAAAAAAAATAACATAAAATAAACAGGTGCTAATCCTAGCAAACAAGGGGTTGCTTGCTTACAGCCCTGAAACGTCCAACCATTCCTTCTGTACCTAGGGTTTTGCCTGTTTAACCTCTATATCCTAACCTAACCAAATCTATTGCGATCCCCATTCCAGCTTGAAGGTGCCCTCAGAAACCTGGTAGTTCATCAGAGCCAGGATGGCGTCCTCGGCGCTCGTCGCAGTGACGAGAATGTCCTTGTTGGGCAGCTTGACGAAGCCCTGCTGGACAGCCTTGTCGACCCACTGCACGATGCCGTCCCAGTAGCCGTTGATGTTGAGCAGGCAGATGCCGCGCTTGTGGATGCCGAGCTGGTTCCAGGTGACGGTCTCGAAGAGCTCCTCGACGGTTCCGTAGCCGCCGCTGAGGGCGATGAAGCCGCTGCCGGGCCCGCCGGAGAAGACCTCCTCGGCCATGAGCTTCTTGCGCGTGTGCATGTCCTTGACGACGGTGGTGCGGCCGTAGGTCGACTCGGTGGGCACGTATTGGTTGTTCGTGTTGACGGTCTGGTAGGTGCCGTCGCGCTCGTACTTGACGAGGGCCTCGGGGATGATGCCGTGGACGGAGTCGGGGCCCTTGAGCTCGCACAGGGTCTTTGCGACTTCGCCCATGAGGCCGACGGTGCCGCCTCCGTAGACTGTCGAGAGAGATTAGCAAGAGTGTCTGGTAGGGAGTGGGGTTGAAGTCTATCAGGGGGTGTTTATAGCTTACCAAGGTCAATATCGTTCTCAGCCATTACTCTGGCGAGCTCTCGGGCGACCTCGACATGCTCAGGGTCGAGTCCGGCGCTTGAGCCGCAGTACACGCAAATCTTGGTGCGAGGAGTGCCGTTGGTGTGGCCGTTGGAGGAGCCATTCTGGCCGGTGACGGAGCTATCAGCAGTCATGGTGGGGGATCTAGGAAGTGTTGATTTCGAGTGGTGGGGTCGATGTAGAAGTGCGAAAAGGTGGCGATGCGACAGAAGAAGAGATGTCGACCCGATTTATATAGGGTTTATATCGGATTTATATACGTCTCAGAGGAGTATCGAGCAGACGGGATTGGGCAGATGCCTAAGGAGTGGTGGGTATGACTTGGGCGTTAAGAGCCAGACGGTGAAGTGAAATGAGCGAGGCTAGAGGCTTCAGTCCTGTTGGTTGCAAGGCCGCAAGCAGAGTTCAATCTTTCGTCGAAACAAGAGAGAAAAGACAGAGAGGAGAGGAAAGAACGAAACAACGGTGGCGAACGGGGCTAGATATAACTCTGCGAGTGACGCTGCGAATACGCCAAAAGTCGAGTTCCCGATCTGACGGCGCAAATGCTGCACTAGTTCGAACCCCCGGCAGCCATCGGCCACCGCCGGCCCCCCATCACTGAAGAGACTAGCAGTCTGGATATCCTACTCGAGGTGGGAGTCATGCGAATTGCCGGGGCCAATGCGAATGTGGTAATTTTCAAAATTGCCAAATCCGCTCGCCGCAGCCCGCCATGGCCCAATTGGGCGTTGTGTTCGGGCGGTGGGACAGGCTATTGATGACCCCTTGGGAACGTAGTTTGGTGTTTTGACGGTCCATCTTGTACAACAGCAATTGAGGCGTCCATTTGCTGGTTCACAGGGAGGGGGGTCAGCAGGACAGGGCCGGTGAGAAACAGCAGATTCTGGTCGAGTGGAATGGGAAAGGGAGCACATGGGCCGGTGAGAGGGAGTGGGTTTGTGGTTCAGTTGGACGCAGTTGTGTCTTGTCTCGCGCTGCTTTGTTGCAGTCGAGGCTCGATATCTGCATACCGCCACTACGAGTAGGTATGCATCACTGATACAATTGTCATGTACAAGTATCCCAATTGCACATCGTTGAAGACAATTACCTAGACATGTATCTACAGGCAACACTGAAGCAATGCTGCATTCACGTCTCCGATTCTCGCTCATCGCCAGAGGTCTCTTCTCAGGGCTTCTGGATGCGTCACCTCGCCGTTTGTTGAGTGGATCAGAGACAGCGTGTCACGGCCAGCGCTGATGCAAGACACGGCTCGCAGTTTGCTCTCGATCGGGCTTCATCGTAAAAGCGACGGACCCGCAGTTACTGATGCTAACCATGAGGCTCTTTTCCCGTCTTCTTCTTCTTCTGCGTTTCGCTGCTCTCTCGTGCCACGGAACCCGCCGCTGATTCGCCGATCCGGTTTTGGCGGGACTCACGGCGCCGACTTACTCCGGCCGCCGCCGCCTGCCGCTACGCATGTACCTTTTTGCGCGGCGCAGTGTGTGACAGGTACATCCAGCTTGGCCTAGGCCCAAGACGGAACTGGACCTCTCAAGGCTGTGTGCTTGCGAAAGGCCATCTTGCACAATTTTGAAGCCCTCGCAACGACACTCGCCTTTTTGCTTCCAGGGCGACCAGCTGCTCTCCGGATTAACCACCACAAGGCGAAGAGGCGTCCGACTGACTGGTCTGTGTCCCACGCGACGCCCGACAGTCTGCGCAATGCCCGAAACAGTTGCGCAACGGCCTGCGGGCCAGGCGGCACGGCGCCAGGAGGACCAAGGCAGTGTAAGTCGAGATGCCGGCCGAGCTGTGCCTTGAACGTGCGCTGACTTGTTGCTTGCAGGGCATTAGCATGAACAAAATCATCATGGGAATCGTCTTCTATTTCGGCGTCAACATCTTCCTCAGCTTCTACATGGCCAAGGACCAGACGGGCGTGGCCACCACCAATCCCGAGACCGGCGAATCCATCATCGTCCCCGGCAACTTGGGAACTATCCCACCATACCAGCTTCGGCCGCGACATCTGGATGAGGGCGCTACGTACAGGCACATCCCCAAGACCATTGCCCCCATCTGGCCGCAGGACAGTTACCTGGACATTGTCGTCACCATCTCGCCCTCGTTCAACCCGACCCCTCTGGCTAATGTTCCGGCGGAGTATGTCGTGCTCGACGAGAAGAGGTTTCACATGAACAACAAGACGGACAAGCGGTCAGTCGATACTACCTTTACCGTGCCGAAAGCCGTGCAGAACAATGGCACCCTTTGGGGTCACTTCTACATTGGTCTCGCTGGTAGCGTTCTGGATCCTTATCTGCCCAGCTATGACCCTGGGCGAGCGTACCATGTTGCCCACCCTCTGACCCAGTATCTGCCCAAGAAAAAGGTGGTCAAGACAAGGAACCTGCTGGAGGACCTTCCTTCGCCCGTGGAAGAACCGGAAGAAGTGGACACGTCTGGTCCCCTCATTGCGAGCTACTACCACCAGAATGCCAGCTTTTCTTTGGTGCCTGGCCTGGGAGTCAAGGATTTGGACACTATTCACCCAGCTCTCAAGACGTTCCTCCGCCTTGAGGCAACCGGAGCCCGCGATGGCACGGGCCAAAACGGCTGGTACTGTATGTCATGCTGTCTTGGTGCACTTGTATGTGAATTGACTGGCTAACCTATCACTCTCATAGACCCAACCCTGTTTGTCAACACGTTCTGGCAGTTGAAGACCCACATGACGCTTCTCAATGACACAGTCAAGGAGCTGCCCCTTCACATCGACCTCAACAACATGCCCGGCTGGCAATTCTATGCCATGGCTGCTGTCGAGCAAAACTCAAAAGAGAACGCTCGCCAGGCTGCCCTTGGGAACCCAGTCCCTGGAGGCGGTGACGGATCGGAAATCGAAATGATCAAGGAAATCTTCATTGACACCAACCCTATCCTTCTCGGCATCACAGCTGTCGTCAGTATTGCCCACATGATTCTGGAGACGCTTGCCTTTGGATCCGATATTGCCCACTACCGCAAGAAGAAGGACAACGTCGGCATTTCCGTCCGTTCCATCTTGGCCAATGTGTTTATGCAGACAGTCATCTTCCTGTATCTGCTAGATAACTCGCAGAACACGAGCTGGATGATTCTCGGCACCCAGGTTGTTGGCATCGTCATTGAATTCTGGAAAATCACCACCGTCGTCAACGTTCGTTTCCGAGAGACAGCCCCAGGCTCGCTTTTGCCCTACTGGTTCGTCTTCGAAGACAAGCACAAGCTCACTGAGACGGAGGAGAAGACCAAGGAGTATGACCAAATCGCTTTCAAATACATGTACATCCTGGCAGTTCCTCTGCTGATTGCCTACGGCATCTACTCTCTGTTTTACGAGACTCACAAGTCATGGTACTCGTTCGTCATTACCACGCTTGTCGGATCCGTCTACACTTACGGCTTCCTGATGATGGTTCCCTCGCTGTACATCAACTACCGACTCAAGAGCGTGGCACACATGCCCGCCAAGGCCATGATGTACAAGTTCCTCAACACTTTTATCGACGACCTGTTCGCCTTCACCATCAAGATGCCTTTCCTGCATCGACTGGCGACGTTCCGAGATGACGTCATCTTCTTCATCTACCTGTACCAGCGCTGGGCCTACAGGATCGACTATACCCGTGTCAACGAGTTTGGCCAGGGAGGCGACGATGATGAGCCCGTTGAGAAGAAGGACGAGAAGGACAAGGCCGCCATCAAGGATGCGGCCGGGGAGAAGAGCGAGGCTACGACCACTGGCGCCGATGCCGGAAAGGCGACCAAGAGAAAGTAAGCAATTAAGCCGTGCTCTAATGCTACCTGTGTGCTGTATCGATTGGTTTGGGTTTCGGGATCATAGCAAGTAGATAGACGCCTAGCTGGCCTTGGACTAATTTGATAATCATGTACGACAAGGAGATATAAATAGCTCCTCTCTCCGCAATGCCCCGATCGCCAGGAACGAGCACTAATAAAGCAAGCGCCGAGCTGTCAAAACCAAACTTTGGATGAGGCCTCACGCATGGATGCCCTCACTGTGTTAGTGCCCCCTTGGCTATTGTTTCAGGATTGATGACAAAAGGTGGGAGGGGTGAAGGCTTCAGGTCGGCCAGTCCTCGTTTGTTCTCGCTAACACGAGCTGACGCACCAGCTGGACACCACTGGGCACTACCGGGCTCCCGTGATAAATCCATCAGCCCTATGGACAGTAAATGTCGAATCATATTGGGTCATGAGCCCCTAGTTTTCGTTCGTCTCTTGGTGGTGGTGTCATTAAATGTGCATAAGTGCATGTAGGACATGTCGCCGTCGAAGCGAAGAAAAAAAGGGACCCTGAGCGGGCTGCTAATAATGCGCACATGGGGGACTGCCACAGCGTGCCAACCCCTGTAATCTGTGCATCTTCCCAAGAGGCCGGCGCCCCTTCCAGCGCATTCCCCCCCACCGACGGCCTCCAACCAGAGGCCGCGATAGTGAATTAAGCCACATAGCGGGAACATCCATTTCTTGCGTGCATCCAGTCCTCTAAAGCGCTCAGGTTGGCATCTCCAACCCCATCCGTCGTCTTCCATTCGCCTTTGTCTTCATTACTCTCGTTGCTCAACTTGTGCCCCCCCTTTTCTTCTTCTTCTGCCCTTCTGCTTCCCTTGGCAGCGTGCGTCGTTCGTGCTGATTCGTTATCCCTATCTCTCCCTTTCTGCCACAGCCTCCAGGCCCACCGTTTGCTGCACAGCCTCGTCTCTCTTGCTTGTGTCTAACCGTCTGGGGTTCACGATTGAATGCTGGCCACAGCCACAACGTTCCGTTGAAGATTCCACGGCCCGTATCCATATCCATAACCTTACTTTGATAGTAATAAACGGCCCTCGACCAAGCGCTACGTCATCTGTTGGAGAGCTTCACCCAACCGTGGAGCTTCCCCCCATGCGACGCGCCCGTCGACGGGTGCTCTTCGAGGCCCCTTGACGAGGTCCGTTGATCCATTTTGGTTAATACATCTACAAGCATCCATTCGTTCTCGATACATAAGCAGTGTCACCCCGTGATTGTGTGTGTCTCTGGCTATCAGATCTCACAACGGCCTAGCCACCTGCTCAGCTCCTGCAAGGCGGGGTTCGCATGCCAAGAGAGTCATCATCCTTTGTCTCCTCCTCACCTCACCAGAGCAATGGGCGTCTTCGATTCGGTTGGGACTCTGCTGGCAGAAATCGCGAATCTCATTGCTGACGGGCAACGAATCCTGAGCTTCTCCGACAAGCGACATTGGGGGCAGGACGAGCGCGAGCAGGAGCGGGCGCTGGAGTCGGTGCTGGACGAGGCCAGGAAGGACTTTCAAGAGCTCGGGCCGCTGGTCAACGGGCGCTCGCAATATGAGCATGACCGCAGACGTAAGAGAGAGCCTCATTGGAACAGAGTCCCCGATGGATTTGCTCAGTCACTAACATGATTTTGCTGCCGCTAGATGAATCAATGGAGGAGCTGCGGGCGATTCGGGCCAAATTCCAAACATTGACGGATAAGCTGAAAGACTGGAGTCGATCCGGCGGTCCTATCGATCCTACCTGGGTGCGCGAGACGTATTCGCTAAAACGAGAGCTACATCGAGCTCAATGTCGGGCGGCAATGCGAGTATTCACATCAGCACGGGAGGCTTCGCAGCGGTGTCTGGGTGCGTTTATCGTGCAGCGGAAGCAACGTGCCCCTGCTCGCGACGTCAAGGCCGGAATCAAACCCGACGAGAACACATACCGGAGGTATTATGCGGAAGAGCTTTTGGCATGCAAGAATGTGGGAGCGTTTCAGCGGTTTGGAGATCAAGATATTGCATTTGTCTGTGACTTTTGCGACGGCCATTTGGTCTGGGAGGACTTGGAGCGCATGCCGACGGTACGGTCTTCTACTCAGGCGGTGCCACCCGGCTCATCAGATGTGCCTGTATCATTATTGCCGAACGACTCGAATTGGCAAGCATTGGCCTTGTCCAACTGTGGCCAGCATCAGAAGCAGATCATCTTCGCCCCGGTGGCCATTGCGAACCATATTGTACCGACGCATGGAGATTGGGAGGCCAAGCTGCTATGTCCACTCTGCGAGGCGATTGGAGAACAGCCGCAGGACGAAGACGACGACGAGGAGCCATATCGTCCGGATGAAGAATTTGACGACGTAAAGTCTTTACAGGAGCACCTCGAGTGGCAGCATGGAACAGGCGCATTGCCAACTACAACGACAGCTGACAATAATTGCCGAATCATGTGAGCCATAGGAGCTACAGGTCCCTTTTATGCAAGCAGAAGGAGATGGAGGAAAGTATACCACGTCTTTGATGGGGCTCAGCGACGCATCTGAATTCGGAGTTTGTGGCGAATTAAGGGTACGGAGTGATTTTCTTTTTTTTTTTAATAACGACAGCTGAATCAGTTTGGAGAGCAGCGCTGCCTCAGATGCAGGAACAAGTCTAGGGAGGATACGAAAAGTTTCGGGACATTTGCGGTGCATAGAAGCATTAAGTCACATAACTGTATATAGAATATATAATGGATATCCATCAACGCCACGCTCCGCTCTTTTGTGCATTGATAACTTGATGTTTCCCTCCGCCCCCCCCCCCCCCCCCCCCCCCCTTGTTTGCCCATGTTTTCTCTTTCTACCCCCTTTGTTTCTCTTCTCTTCTGTTCTCCCCCCTTTCTCGCTCTCGACATGTGATAGCGAATTCGCTGCGTCCCTTCTAAAAGAAGCGCCAGTAGATGAAAATCAGGATGAAGAAGCCCAGGCCGGCAAAGGGGCCGTACTGCTTGAGCATGAGCTCCCAGTTGATGCGCACCGCAGCGCGGCGATACTTTTTGCTGTCATCCCGCAGACGGCTGCTGATCTCGCCCATGCGCTCGAGGTTGTCGCCGCGGTAGAGCAGGTCCTCGATATTCTTGGTCATGATCTTTGTGACGTCGCGCAGCTCGTCGTTGAGCTTATCGAGGTTCTGTGCGGCGCGGGCGTCGGCGTAGGTGGTACGCGTCTTCGCGATGAAGTTGTCAAACTCCATGAAGGCGTAGGGGCGGAGGGCCGGGTTGTGGATGGCCTGCGGGGTGTATGTGGTTGTGAACTCGCGGGCGAGGTCGGCGAGGTAGGTGAATGCGAGCTTGCGCGGGTAGGAGCGCTCGCAGATGCAGAGGAAGACGACGTCGGAGTCGATGAGGTAGTGGATTGTGAAGAGGGACGAGGACTCGATGCTGGCTTGGGACTCGGAGTTGCGGGTGAGTTTGCGGAGGATTTGGCGGAGCTGCTGCTTGACTTCGTTGAGGGCGGCGGCGTCGGACTGTGTGATAAGGGAAGAGTTAGTTTGTTTTTTGGTTGATTGGAGTGATTTGGGGGGAGGGCTTTTTGCGGACGAACCTGGGACTCGTCGTCGACGGAAGCGCAAAGCATGAGGCCTGTGATGGTGGGTTAGCGGCTGATGCTTGGTGGTTTGGGTTTTGGGAGTCGTTTACATACCATCTAGCCTCGAAATCTGTGTTGAGCGAATCATGTTGATGGGCTTATTATGTGTATGTGTATATGTAAAGAAAAGAAGAAGCCAAGTCTCGCAATTCTTTCGCGGACAAGTGATTGCGTATGGTGTTGCCGAGAAACTACGTGTCAAGTACTGTAGACACACGACCTTCAGAGCGATTGGTCGCCCAAATAGTCACAAGCACGGCTGAGGCTTTGGCGCGAAAGAGATGCCTGTGGCAGAAAACCGTCGAATTGGTGTTGATGTCTCGAGAGGGAAATGCAAGCTCGAGCCAGACGGCTTATATCAAGAGTTTGTTGTTTTGCGTTGTCGATAAGTGTTGACTCTATGGGTTTGGAAGTGTTGGGTGTGGCTGACGCTATGCAGTTCGGGTGGCGCAACCATCCATGTGCGCCTCAGTTGTAGAGATATCAAGGCCATTCAATGTGGCCGTGCATCATAGACAGCTCTTTGCCTCGCATTTGATAACGGCGTATTTATCTTGGTTTATCCTTTTCTCTTTTTTTATTCCTGCAGTTCTATTTTTCTTCTTTTCTTCCTTTTCTTCCCTTCTAAGCTAGTTTCCCACTTATATCTCGTCTTCTTCATCGTCGAAATCGTCCTCTCTGCCCATCTCGTATAGAATTCTACCTCCCTCACCCGCTCCTATATCTGTCTGCGCATCAAAGTACGGCAGCACAATCCCCTCCCTATCCTTTCGCTGCTTTTCTGTAAGACCCAGGTTAAACGTGCTCTCGGGCTGCTCGTCCCCTCCATCTCCCCGCTCAGCTTCGGGCTTCTTAAACATGGTGTGGTCCGTGAGTAGACAGAGCTTGCCCAGCCTGGATTTTGCAGCTGCAGAGCCGGGCATGAGGATGAACTTTTCGTCGACAGCCCGTCCGCTTCTCCTCCGTAACTCCATGGTAATGACGACGCCTGCTTGGTCCTCGGATTTGCCCTTTTCTGCAAGGCCAATGAGGATGCCTTCGCGGTGTTCTCTAAGGCCCCACTCTGGCTCTACGACGCTTCTGTTGCGCGCCTTTTGTCGTTCGATTTCTTGCCGCAGGCTTGATAGAGTCAGTACGGCTGTGGCCAGATGGCAGAGCAGCGTAAATGGGTGAGGCTCATATTCGTTGAATGATTTGGGTAGAATGACCGGCACATCGGTGTGATATACACCCACGATGGATACTACCGGTGTGATGATGCTCGATAGAAAGACTGCCAAGGATTGAGTGGCTGCGGATGAAAGAGAATTCAATGAGTCAATGAAGACGACAGCTCCTACACCACATGTTCAGTCATGCATCTTCCGTAAAGTAACCAGATTCACTCACTTTGCGCAGTCTTATCCTTGAGAGCTGACGGTTGGAATGAGGGGTAATGTGCTAAAAGTTCTCGGGCTATCGCATTTGAATCTTTTCCAGTGGCTTTAATGAGGATATCTGCATCTCGAGGCTTGCGGAGCGTGGAGAAGGACAAGAAGATGATTTTTGTCTTTGCTAGCTGGTTATAAGTGTTAGTCATCTGCGGCATGAGTAATGTAGAGGAGACTGTAAAAAATACCTTTGATCTGGTCATGAGCTCCGAGATGACTGGGCGGGCGGGCTGTTCAAGGTTGTCGAGGAGGAGAGTGAGAGGGCTGGCGGCATCACGAAAATTCAGAAGCCTTTGAAGCAAAAGCAGGCTGTGAGAGCGGCCATGGGAGTGTGCCGTGGGAGCCATGGTCAGCCGATGTTTGGTTGTTGATCGAAAAATGACCTATGAATATTTCGATTTGTGAAATTCAGTTGGTTGGCTACTGTATCCAAGTTGCTTCTGAAAAGTACGAATGAGACTGGAAATGTAAATTGCTGGGATGCATCATTTGACGTCCATTAGACTCATTGAACGGCTGGATCCGCTAGGACGCTTTGATTTAGTGCAGAGTTGATGCCTGAGAGACCACCACGGGCACTAACAGTAGCGAAAGCATCCACTAAATTCTCAAGTGTGCTCTCAATCAAGGTTATGTCTCCATAGGTATTGCTTGGTCGATGTGCAAAACAGCTGTAGCTCTCATCGTCTCAGCAGTCAAATTTTCCCTTCATCCATACATCACCAGCCTCGTCCTAGACGCATCTATGCAATACAACCTCGCCACTTTGGAGATTCATAGCCACAGCCTTCCTCTTTATTAGGGGACACAATCCATGCGTCGCCACAGCCTGCTGTTGCAGCACTTGACTCGCGCCAGCAGACGAAGTCCAGGTGTTGCTTTATCAATTCGAGCACTCAAACAGCCACCATCAAAGTCATGCTCATGTAACCATAGCCTGAGGCCCCTTTCAACCCAAGCTGCTCAAGCCAATGAGCCCAAACATCTCAACACTAGGTTCGGTGCAGGCACCACCGATACGATTTATGCACTTTCTACTGCCCAAGGCAAGGCGGGAATCGCCGTGATTCGTATCTCTGGCCCGGCATGCTTAGACGTAAGTGGCCAGAATTCCAAATCACAGGACGCCGTCAAGTAACCAATCATACCGCTTTTTTTATTTTTAGATATACAGAGCCCTTTGCCCGTCAAAGGCACTGCCAAAGCCTAGATACGCCTCTGTACGATCGTTACTCGATCCCAAGCTTGCAGGACTCCAACGGGGCGTGCTTGACTCGGAAGCAGTAGTTCTCTTCTTTCCCTCACCCAAAACTGTAACCGGAGAAGACGTCCTAGAGTTGCACATCCATGGTGGCACAGCTACGATCAAGGCGGTTCTAGCAGCTATCCCGCAGTGTCCGTCTGAGCATCGGATCCGATACGCCGAGCCTGGGGAGTTTACCAAGAGAGCATTCCTGAATGACCGCTTGGATCTCGCGCGCGTCGAATCTCTAGGTGACATTCTCTCCGCAGAGACGGAGCAGCAGCGGCGCGCAGCAGTCAGGGGAAACTCGGGAGTGTTGGCTCGCACCTATGAGGGCTGGAGGGAGGAGCTTCTTCTGGCTCGGGGAGAGATCGAGGCGCTGATTGACTTTTCAGAGGACCAGCATTTCGACGAGTCACCAGCGGATTTGCTAGACAACGTAGCGAGGATAGTGGACGGCATTCTCCGAGGCATTCACCTGCACGAACAGGGTGGTCAGAGGAGTGAGCTGCTAAGGAGCGGTATCCAGATCGCGTTGCTTGGACCGCCAAATGTTGGTAAAAGCTCGCTGATGAATTTGATTGTCGGTCGTGAGGCTTCGATTGTATCTGGCGAGGCTGGTACCACACGAGACATTGTAGAGGCCAGCCTCGACATTCGAGGGTACCTGTGCTCCTTTGCAGACACGGCCGGGTTCAGGTCGAGCGATGATATAGGACCGTCGGGTCCCGTCGGGGCGGTAGAGCTGGAGGGAATCCGTAGGGCCAGGCAAAAGGCACAGCAGTCAGACATCGTCGTTGCTCTGGCATCGCTTGAGAGCGGGCCGTCTGGTCCATTCATCCTCTATGACCAGGAAACGCTAGACATTGCAGCGGCGGCCGAAGCCCATCTCATCGTGGTAAACAAGAGAGATACGGTCAAACCAACGGAACTCCAAAGGATACTGGCCGAATTTCGCCAAAGATTAGGCGAAAAGGTTCCCCAGCTGGGATCAGCCCAAATAGCCGCCATCTCGTGCAAGGAGGCCAGCCTGAGCTCTGAGCTGGGCAAGGATCCAGGAGGAATCCACGCTCTGACAGAGACCTTGGTAGGCACCTTTTCGCAAATGACAGAGATGCCTGTCGATTTGCAGGATCTGCTGGGGGTGACGGCACGCCAGGCACAGCTCCTGGCCAGATGCAGGGGCCATCTGGAGGAGTTTCTGGCGGAAGCGCGGCCGGAGGATGCGCAGTTTGAGGCGGATACTGTGCTTGCGGCGGAGTTTTTGCGTTATGCGGCGGATTGCCTGGCGCGCATCACGGGCAAGGGGGAGGCTGGCGATGTGGAAGATGTCCTGGGGGTGGTGTTTGAAAAGTGAGTAGTTCATTGCCATGGATATTGATGCTTTATTTTGTGATGCTAACGTGTGTTTTAGGTTTTGCGTGGGTAAATAAAGACTCGAGGTAGAGATAAAAACTCTTGTACTATTATTCTACATTCTAGATAAAGGTGAAAAAAGAGAGAAGCGAAGAGAAAGAAACTGCATCTATGCCGTAAAGCTCCAGTGGTCTACCCAAAAATGAAGAACAAATCGACCGAACCCGTCCATGTTTCTAAGCTGGCTGCCATGTGCAGCATGTTATCTTGTTCCCATATCCAACGCCGCGTGAATATCGTCAAACCAAAGGGTGAAGAAGAAGAAGAAGTGAAAAGGAGAGAAATCCCGAGGCCCAAAAAACAGATCCTATGCCGATACAAATACAGAGGGGTAAAAAGAGAGCAGGTGTTAATTTTTTTTGGGCCGTGTTTTTTCCAGTGAGGTTGTATTCCCGTGTGGTTTTTTTTTGTCTATCCGTCTTCCCCCTGCGCCTCTGCTGTGGCGAAAATGAAAAATGCCCGCGAAGGCACTTGATGCTTTCAAAACGAAAAAGAAAGAAGCAGTTTTAAGTGCAAAAAAAGCAGAGATGAAGTGAGCCGTTTAGTATTCACGGGCTTCGGGCCGGCGGCCGTTTGAGGAAGAGGTCGAGCCGGAGCTGGAACCAGAGCCGGGCCCGGTGTTGGGTCGGGAGACGATGTTGTAGCCGCTTCGAGCAGAGTCGACCATGGAGACGGAGACGTCGAAGGAGGAAGCAAAGGCGGCCATTGTGATGAGTTTTTGGGTTGTTGTTTTGAAAGTGTGTAGGTTTTTAATGGTGGTTGTAGTAGATTGGGTTGAGTAGATGGATAGATGGTTTAGAAAGAGTTGTGGTGAGGGTGAGAAAGAGTTGAAGAGTTGACGGCTGATGTGATATCCCAAGGATATATATATGTGTGTATAGATCAGAAGAGATGTGGTTGTTTAGAGTTTGTTTTGTTTCTGTGTTTTGAATGCTGTCTGAGGAATAGTGGCATCTGGTCCTGGGATGAAGCAGCCACCTTATATATGCAAAGCCGCAACGTCGATACACCAAGCAAGTTGCCCAAACCGAAACGACGTCTCTTGTTCCCTGCATCGAGACCAGTTCCCAGGATTCCTTGGAACCAGGTCCCTCCCACACACCCCCCTGACTTGCACCGTGAGATGACGGCTGCCCTGCCCTGCCGTTTATTTCTCTCGCTCACTGCACTACGAACTTACAGGTACAGCCCAGTCCGGCGCGTGCTCACATCCAGAGCTGCACACACCCCCCAAGCCAAGCAGAATCCCGCCAAACCCATTTTTCTCTCTCTCGCTCTCTCTCTCATCCCATAGGGAGGGGTGGCAGGGTGGCTGACGGCCCTTCTTTTTTGGGGGCGTGGGCTTTGCCCGCTTTGATCAAGCCGTAGGGCTGAGGTAGGTTGCGCGTGAGTCAGCCCAATCGTAGAGGCTACCGATGTGCAACTAAGCACTGCATCCTGACTGCATACATATGCGAGCGTCTGTGTATAGTGAATACATAGTGTATGATGTATAGTGTATAGTGTATACGACTTGTCTGGCCTCTTGTCTTGGTACCTTTTGCGCGGCATGCAGCCTTCCTGGGCCTCGTGGCAATTCCTACGGGAGGGTTCCTGTCGGCGTCTCCATCCAATCTCATCGACGGACCGGGAGCCGGCTCAGCAGCAAGATGGAGGCGTGCATGCAGATTCTGGATCCAGGGCAAGAGGATTCATGTTGAATCATTTCGCAGGTTTACTCGGGCACAACATGATACATGTTTGGGGAGGCAAGCTGCAAGCAAAATCCAGCGAGAGCCGGTACGAATCGCCCAATCGAGAGAGCTCCCCTGGGCCGTCATCATTCTCTCTCGAATACAACGTCAAACTGTATGTGTCGTGTCATAAACCCAACCCATCACCTTGTCCCTCCCACCCTGGTCTCCCCATTTCTCTGGCTCTCGTCTGATGATGTGCCTTTATTCCCTTTTGTTTCTGCGACGAGGGGAAGGCAAATGGCCGCGAGTGGGTGGAGAAACTACCGTGCCTAAAACCTGTGCCAGGTTGCGCACTGATGCTCTAGACGTTCCGTCGGTAAGGGATCCCTGGGAGTCTTGAAGCCATCATCTCATCTCAAAAGACGACGGGCAGATTACAAGTGGTGCTAGCCAGGCTGATGCCGACCAAAAGGTCATGTCTCCTGCCCATGTAAGTGCACAGATTGGGGAGTTGCTTCTATCGCAGCCCCCACGTGGCGCGTACCTTGTTTGCCTTGAAAGGATGCCGTATTCGTCCAACTGGGCAGTGCCAGGGGGTCCCTTGCTGATGGAGCAGCCACTACGCGCAACCCTGAGGTTGTAGTGGTTGGCGAGAGAGACAAGGCCATGTCATCTCATCGTCGCTGTTGGAATCGCTGAGGCCATCAATAGAGTTACATGATGCGCGCCCTTCTCCACGCCTGCGACCAATATCACACACTGGTCCCAGCAGCTCCCAGCGCCCAGGGAACGCCAATGCCAGGAGCAGGGATAGCCGCATGTGGATATTTCCCATCTGGGCACTTGATATTGTACGCAAGGCAGACAAAGGCGTGGTGATGATGATGATGATGATGATGGATGGGTATATCAGATTTGAGGCTACACGTGGTGTCGTACAAGCAAGTCAAGATGCATCGTGTACCTGTACCTACTCATCGCAAGTATTGGGCGATACGATATGACACGGCACGGCACAGCATAGCACAGCACAGCACGGCATGACATGGCATCATATCAAAATAGCCATGGCACGGCATGGACCCCCCCTAGCAGAGCCAGAGCTAGACAGAGCAACTTGATTCATCCAAGCGAATCCCTTGATCCTCTCGTCTCCTTCATCTCTCTCTGTTTCTCTTTCCTTCGCTCTCGTTCCGGCTCCTGGTACGGGGCGTCATGGCAGACTATTCGCTTGTCAATTCCAAAATAAGACGAGACGAAGCTTCTAAGCCCCTGCACCTAAGGGCCGCTGCTGATCTATGATTCATCGGGGGACAGGCAGAGAAAGATGCCTCGCTTGCGGCCAAAAAAAGGAACATTTCAACGGCACTAATACGGACTGCCGCCAGCGCTTGGCATTGAAGGACTCTTCCATCGTATAGGTACAGGTACAGTTACAGGTACCGAGAAGAGAGAGTCCTTGGAATTATCATGTGCTTGGCGACGACTAACAGGCCACAATCAATTCTATTACTACCATTACTACTAACTACTTGTAACTAGGTAGCTAGCCGTGACAAGTACCGCGGCAGCAGGGCAGAGGAACACATGTTGACTCAACTGTATCGTACTATGGACAAAACGACAACATGTCCATTAGAAATAAAGAGCCCCTCATGGGTTCCCGCCCGTAAGCGCCGCGAAGCTCACCAAACAGCCCTCGGCCTCTCTCTTAGGGTTTCTGGGGGATAAAAATAGCGGCCCAATGGCAAGCGAGCCGCGCGGAGGGGGGCGGTACTTGATTTGCTGGCCTCGCTTGCAAGTTTGTGCTTACTGTGCCGTTAGTAAGGAGTATGGGATGGTAAGTGGACGTGTAATTACAGTACAGTAGCAGTTCTGGCAGAGTTGAACTCGTCTAACAAGCTCCCTAGGTATTGATTCGCTTCACCAGCCTCACAAGGCGTCAGCACTTGACGCCAAAAAAGGGGCCACGCGCACTGCCCATCTCACAGGGTTTTTCGCTTCCATGTTCGCTTGCGTCTGGCTGTGGCGCCGCATCTCGCCTTCGGCTGTTTGGACAATCGAGATGCCGCCCGGCGCAACGTAATCGGGCTTGGCTGGGATACTACATTGAAGACACGCTGCACAGTAAGCACAAGGAAATTGCACTTGATCCATCTGCTGGAGGCCCGTGATAACTAACTAACCGGCCGGCAAAGTAAAGCAATCCCCACGATGGGCAGAGCAGGATGTACCGCTTGGCACAGTTCGCTTAGGCGAAGTGCCTGGTCTGTTTAGCACTCGGGGTTTTGCCTGGCCAGTGTCATGGGATGGAACTGTCATATCAAATGCTTCAAGGTTCACGCTTTAGCACCGTCATCATCGTCGTCCCAGGTAATAACACTTGTGCGGAAAAACCAATTGTTGCAAAATTGCCCTATCTATGGAGCTCCTCTCCTTGCTGAGCTCGACTTTGAGCTCTCCAAGAAACCGGCACCCGCTGCATGTGCATCACGGCGTCTTAGCTCGCCGTCTTTTGACCCGATACGAAAGCCGGCGGCCTATCAAACACGGCCTTGGCCAGCACCGGTGACCTTGGCTGTCAGATCAGAAATGCACGCTCACTGCGGCTGCGGATGAGCATGACTGCCGGGTGACTGATTCATGAGTTTCTTGTCTGGGAAAGAAATTATTAATTATTACTGTCAACGGCGTTTCAATCAATCTCGACGAATCAAGCACCCGTCCCGTCGCAATGGCGAGAAAAAAGCAGGTGCCTGGAGGGAACTCGGGGCGATGCAACATTACACCCATTTCGAGCCTTATAGTACACAGTGCACCCATCCTTCCAAGTGGCAATGACGTATCGTGGAGAGCAGATGCTCATACAGGCACGCCTGGCCTCGTCACAAGCATTGCCGGATCGTCTATCTCGCGGGCCGTCCAGTGCGTGGCTTGCAAATGCTAAAGGAGCGGCGCCCTATGGCAATCGCCCGTCCTGCCGGAGCCCGCGATGAAGGATCAACCTGTACTTTTGTAGGTCCCGCAAATATTCGTCGAAACAAGCCGGCGGTTTCTAGTAGCTGTCGTATTGCGTATTGCGGAATTGCGCCTCCGCCAAGGGGTGTAGGAGTCTACGAGTTTCGGAATCCAGCAAGTCCGGGCGAATGGCTCTCTCGTGTTCGGTGCTGTATTTCTCCACGGTCTGTCGATGGACTTGCTGTATTCGAATGCGGCATGCTCTTCGCGTGCATGCATACATGTAGGCACGCGTAGGGCAATATGGATGTTCAAGCCAATGCATCGAGAAAAGCGAGTGTAACGCCATGGACATGACAGCCTTACCGTCCCCTTACCGCCATTCCGCTAGATCTGGGTTCGCAGAAAGGGCTAGTCCACATACAACATAACATGCATGCCATGCCTGGAAGCGAAATTCGAGCTGGTGTCAGAGTCAGCTTCTAGAAGATCAGATGGAAAGACCTCTCATGCAGCCCAGCCTTGCATGCACTGCACTGCGCTTTGCCGGCACAGCCCTACAGGATTTGGGTGCGGCAGCACAGACAAGCGGCTCGCCGCCGGCAGACGACGATGACGATGGCCTCACGACGGACCTGTGTGTGTGTGCTACTCGACCTACACAATGCGCAGCTTAACAATACCTGGGTACCAGTATATGCCCAACTTGGTGTAGGACGGAGTGGGATTCCGGCAGTGCGCTGTTTCATCCATGTCGTCTCTATCCAAGAACACACTCGCCGTAGAACGGCTGGCTACCCTGCACACAAGACAGGAAGGATAAGGAATTGCATTCGAATCCATTGTCATGCTATCATGGATGCCGAACACCTTGATGGACGACCCCCGAGGCCCCAAGGCGCAGCACGCAGTGCCCGCTCCGCTGCCTCAGGCCTTGCTTGGTAATGCTGGCAAGGGGTACAGCCGGGCTGTGAGGTGAGAGCAGTTCCTGTTGCTGTATTACCTCATGCCAAACTATACCTATTACTCCGTCTGGGCACAGGTAAAGTGCCGAAGCAGGGATTGCTGCCCGTCCGAGTCATTCCTGTGCAGGCACGCCGAGGACTCGAGGATTCGTGATAACTCGTACGAGTCTGATAGAGAGAAGGCGCTCTTGTCCACGGCTCGGGATGCACTTCAAGGCTCCAGGCCCGCCTCACATTGTCAACATGAACCCAATACGACTCTGGTTTCAATTGCAGGGCGCGGCACGGCATCCGGCCGCGTTCCTGTCCCTGTCTTGTCCTGTCCTTGTCCTGTCCTGTCCTGTCCTATCCTGGCCTGGCCGTCTTCCTCACCTGCGTTGGTCGGTCCAGCTACGTTTTGCATGCCGCTGCGGGCGATCCCATGGCCGGGGCAACGCAGCCGGGCTTCCGCGACTTCAAGTCTCAAGTGCACGGGCCGATCTGCCAGAACCATTCAGCCGGATACTCGAGCGGCGTAGAGTCGCAGCAGGTCGTCGACGATAGGCTACATGTATGGACCTTGAATGCTACGGTATTAATCATCACTGCGGCATTCTTGCGGCATGCGCTCTTTTCTGGTCTTGCTTCCTCTTCCTCTATCCTCTCACCGTGTTCATCTCATTTACTCGCTGCACGGAACTTCCCTTTTGGACGCCCTCTCTGTGTCCCATGATCATGATGCTCTCACGTCCAGACGCCAGGAAATTTGATATTGCTCGAATGCTACTCACACCTCTCTGCTGGCGATTACTGCTTGCAGCATCATATTACTGTACGAGTACGGCACATATCAAGTACAGTAGCGGCCTTTGGCCCTTGGCTGTGATGAGCCCTGCAGGTGGGCTATGGGTCTCTTTATCCAAACGAGCACAGGCATCATCCTTACCTGACCACATCCAGGATGAACAGTTTCTCCCCCTGTTCCTGTTCCCCATCGTCAATGGGCTATGCACAGTATCTGTAGCGTCGTGAGGGTGCTAGTGCTGGCATGGGGAAATGCTACGCTACGTTCTGGGTATGAGAGCAGCATCCTGTAAGCCTGCAAGCAACCCCCCCGGCTCACTTACAGTTAACCCTGACCATGACAGTCCCGGATTCAGCAAAGCGTCGAGGCCGACAGCCACGGCAGCGTTGTAGCGCAGTTAATTCCCACGTGGGAGAGAGAGGCTCGTGTTGTAGCTGCATCCGCTTTTGACCTTTGTCAATGGCCGTGTCATCCTAGGAAGATGAGCGAATACTTGGTATATGCTCACCTGTCACCGGACATATATATCTCTCAACACTCCGGCCCTGGAAAATCTGCTGCGATTACTTGCACTGCCTGTACTCGTACCGCTCCTGCAAGGATCTTCACCAAAAGGAGGGCACGGAACAGCACTCTACGGAACTTTCGGGCTACTTCCAGGCTGTCCTGCCCATTAAATCTGCTGATGGCCCTGTAATATTGGAAAATCAGCACATGGGGCTGCTCAGGAAGGGGGAGGGGGTGGGAGGGACACAGGGTGGTCTGGAACTCCTTCGTCTTGAATTGTTCCGACTCGCCCGCGCAATTGTGATCTCACCCATCACGTAAGCGCGAGATCTCTCTCGCAGTACCGGCCTCGAGATGAGCCCGATATTGCGCTGGACTTGCTGGGGATCGACACGAGGTTAGGAAAGGGGATTTCTGCCCACTTGGATCATTTCCCGGCGGCATGCGGTGGCAAACAGGCGACGGCAAACGAGAGGGAGATGGGATTTGCCCGTACGGAGTCGTGTCGATCCAGCGAGGGGAGATTCCTTCCACACACACACACACAATTACATCGAGCAGCCCGTTTCTCCATCTTGCATGTATATACTACTACTTGGACACCACCACCAGCTGTAGCCTGCTCCACACTGCGCACCTTGAGCGGGCCGACGGTGTTATCTCTTTCCATGGTTAGGAATTACAAAGGAAGGTCAGTTCAAGGGTGCTACGACACTCCCACCGTCATGGGTACGGATACAATGTTACAATAAGAAGCACCATCAGTCTGGATTACAGAGACGGACCTTCTCTTAGTGAACCCATGACTCGTGCCTTGCCGTGCCCTTTGTTTGGGAGAATATTAGACACTGGTGAGACGACGATAGAGTGGAATCTGTCATGTTCAAGGCCACTCTCGCCGCCTGCTCCACCAAGGTTGGCATCTTGGGCATGGTCACAGACCCGCCTTTTTTGTGGTCAAGGGAAACGAGCAATACTACCACAGCTATGACTCCGTGTCACTCGGAATCTCTTTCCCAATGACATGGAGTCGGCTCTTCGGCTGTCATTGCCCTCTCCTTTGCTGTCTGTGCTTCTTTCAAACTTACCGAATGCTAGGACCATGAGGCCCGTGTGTCTCCCCCCTCTAGCACGGAATATTGGCAGACGTCCGGGGCATCGGAAGGTTGTAAGAACGCGTCTTTTTTTTTTCTTCTACTTGTTGGCTTACAGGTACAACTGCCGAAAGGGTAAATACTCACGACAAACAAAAATCATTGAGCACTCAATGCGGCTTGAGACGATTAAGGGATATTATAGTGGACCCGTGATGGTCCCCTCACGGCATCGTTTCAAAGGCCTCTTGGCATATGCCATGTCCTCGACAATCTGGCAAAGTCTTACTCAATAAGTGGTGCGGCCAACACCTCCATGGGATGATATCCTGCTAATTGCAATCACATTTCAGGGCGCTACTGGTAAAGATTCCAGCTATGGAGAGCCACTAGTATCTGACTTTATTTTATTTGCTGCTCTGGGACAAGTGCCGCGCAGACAGGGGGAGGTTCTTTCTCGAAACTAGAATGATTCAAATCGCCTTGGTGCTTTGAGTGTGTCGTGCCCTTGCAGGCGTGAGAAAATGGGGCCATTTTAATCCCGGAAGGTGATCATTACAATCCCCTTTTGAGAAGGAAAAACAGGGCTCGATAAACGATACGCCGTCGCATATTGGGGAGGGGGGGCGTTTTGATAAAAAGACGTGGCCGTCCCTGAAATTACGTACATTGCGGTGGGCGCTTGTATGAGCCGTATGAGATTTCCGCGAGGAGAGCTAAAGAATGATGCTTGGCTGGTGTGCCGTGTGTTGCTCGGATGGGAATAGGCTGAGATGACATCTCGTATTCTATAATGATCGACGCTTTGCGAGTTTGGGCTAGAGTGCCATGCTCACTTACACAAGAGAGTCGGATTGCATGTCATGGCGATCCTAGTTGGAGCTAGCTTAGCCTAAGACACATGGGCGGGGGTCAGGTTTGACTACAGCGAGAGGCGGTAGCGTTCCGTAAAGGCACTTATGTTGTTGAAGGATCGATCGAAATAGGAATAACGAGGGGCCATGGATGGCGATGATTACTTTGTAGCATTACCCTGGTTTGATGGAGGAGGGGAAGGGAGGGGAGGAGTGGGCCGGCTATCTGGAGGGCTATAAGGCTACGGCAATTGGGTTAGGATCGATCACCCCAAGCGGCCGTCGGATAGCAAAAGGCAAGAGATGAAAGTAGTTTGACTACATTCAAATTAAGCTAATTCGCCGTCACTACTCGCATCCTGCCGATAGTTATTGGAACTAACTAAGAGAACTAGAGGCACAAGTACACGAGTTGCCGATGGCCGTCAAAGGCTCAAGCCATGTACATATGTACTTTGTGGGGGGACTGTGGTGTGATGCTCGACCACATCAAACGACAGAGCAGTATGTGCTGCTGTATGGAGTTTCATATAGTTGTGCACAGCAAGCAATCTCCTCCAATCGATTACAGTACGCCGTAAGAGTTGGGCAGTCATGCATGGCGGTCTAAGGCATCATCAGCCTCCAAGGCATCCAGGTGTTGGACATTTGTATAGCAGTTGAATAGTAAACCTTTTCATACTCTATTTGCCCCGTGAAAATGCTCTACCGACTTGGGTTTGAATTCTCTTCAGACACCATGGAGTACCCGCGCATCATAGCCGCTGGCGATGTCCACCGAAGCCGCAACGAGAATCAACAACCTGTTGTTGGCAATAGTCTTGACAAGGCTGTTTTCGATCTGAAAAACAGTGTCGTTAGGCTAAAATCTGACTTTGGTGGTACGTCTTTGGTATTCGGATGGCATCGTCTTGCTAGTCTTGATCACATGGCTGATTTTTTGATAACATTTTGTAGATGGAAAACCAACACTCGGCACTGGGTTCTTTGTCAACTTCCCGTCCAAAAAATACGATGTCATATTGACAGCCGCCCACAACCTCATCAATAAAAACAAAGTCGAGGTCTCGAACTTGAAGGTTATATGCGCAAGGGAGAAGAAAGACTCCCAGAAAGACGCCCAGAAAGACGCCCAGAAAGACTCCCAAAAAGATGGAGAAGAGTCCAAGAAGGATGAAGAAGAATTCGAGCATGTTGTTGAGTACAAAATCTGTCCCAAGTACAGGGAACTCCTCGAAAACGGGGGTACCCCTTCCGAAATGTGCTCTCATGACTACGGGATCATCTTGCTTCACAAGGACGATAGTAAGGCAGGCAATAGGCAAGGTCTGGGATTGAGTCTTAGGCTCAGCTCCCATACATCCTTGCAAAACGCAAAAGAAGCACGGGTAAGCGGTTACGGAGCAGGAGACGACGCAAATACTCCGCCGAAAAACAGCTCCGGTTCCCTAAAGCTAGGTGGAAGTCAATATCTTGAATACAAAGCGCCAACAGAACAAGGAATGAGCGGATCACCCGTCTGGGTTCCCTATGGCGGTTACCCGATGGTGGTAGGCATTCAGTGAGTTATTGCCTGAACCTCTAAATAATTTCTTTCTTATTTCTCACGTGTTCTAATTCATCCAAACTCTCCAGTAACATGCGGCCGAATCAAAAAATAAAAGGTTCCGGGAGCAGGGGCACAAAGATCACTGAAGAAGTCTTCCGCACCATCTGCAAGTGGTTAGATATAGGCTTCTTTGGAAAGCGTCTTTGCGTTATCGGAGGAAAAAACAAGTCGCACAATACATACTTTTCTTTTTTCCAGAACAGCGATTTCGCCAAGGTGTTCCTAGGCTCGAAGGAAGTAGCCTTGGAGCAGGATAATGTTACCTTTGACATTATGCCGGCGATGGTTTTTCCGAGATGGACTGAAAAAGTCGCGCTATATGCGTTCAAATTCCACAAGCCGTCAACTTGGAGCGATGGGAAAAAGTGCTGGGTTGAGTGGCAGCCAGCACGGCAACGGGCGATACTGGTAGACATCCTGAAAGATGTCAATCTTGTCAGAATACAAGACGGTATGGGCAAAAGCAAAAAACGACTCATCATCCTTATACCTGTGCCGGGAGATAAAGTCCAATATCAGGAGCTGAGACTATATGACGATGAGCGGGATGAGGATGATATCGAGGATGGAATGACCGAGTTTGCGGGGGTATCATTTGGAGGATGGGGGGAAACGGCGAATATGGTTGGAGTAAGTTTTGACCTCTAGCGGACGAATACGAAGCTAACACTGCTACTAGACCCGGCTCTTGATGATTGAGTAGACCTGAGTGTCTGGTTAGCAACTTGATTCTTGTCAAATTGATTCTTGATTTTCCTGGAATAAAATACTTTCAATTATTGGCAAATTTATTTACAACTACACAGATAGGTATCTACTAGACCTACATCTATCTATTATATCTACATCTATCTACTAGATTTACGTCTATCTATTACATCCATATCTATCTACTAGATCTATATCTATATCTATCCGCTAGATCTACATCCAGCCAAGATCCTCTTTGTCCACGTGGCGTCGTGGGCCTTGGTGGCTCACACCAGACAGCAATCGTAAGGTTAATCATGACTTGAGCGCTAAGAAGAATATGGTTGGTTAACTGAGTCTCCCTCTACAGGTGAATTCTGCAGACTACGGGACGTGAGGGAGTAAGTAGCGTTGCCGCCAAGGGACCAGTATATACATGTGCATGAACTCCTGATCTCAATTGGGCATCGATGATATCAATTGATATCGATTAACTTGAAGAAACTGAACTAATTGACTATTTAAGGGAATTTTAGCACAGGTAGTCCAGTGATAGAAAAGAAAGACGACTAATACAAAGACGACTAATACAAAGAAGAAGAAGAAGAAGAAGAGAGAAAGGAATAGGAGAGAGAAAGGAATAGGAGAGAAAAAGGAATAGGAAAGAAAAAGGAATAGGAGAGAAAAAGGAATAGGAGAGAAAAAGGAATAGGAAAGAAAAAGGAATAGGAGAGAAAAAGGAATAGGAGAGAAAAAGGAATAAGAGAGAAAAAGGAATAGGAGAGAGAAAGGAATAGGAGAGAGAAAGAAGAGGAAGAGGAAGAAGACAAGAAGAAGACGAGAAGAAGATGAGAAGAAGAAGAGAAAAAGAAGCAGCAGAAAGAAAAAAAAAAAAACTTTTCGACAAATGAAAATGATGACTAAAGAATGTCCTCAAGAAAGATTCCTCCGAAAACCGACCCTAGCGCCTGAAGTTTCATCAATAATTCCCATCTCTTTCAATTCCATCTATTCCTGTAACTCCAAGCACCTTTTATGCGCAGAAATGAATACCATCTAGTCGCTACCGCTTCCAAGACTGGTAATAGGCCCCATGAGTGTTTGCAAGAGCTGCATGGCTTGTCAGCATTAATGTTCGTGTGATCAGGCGTCCATTGTAGTCCAACATACCCATCGTTCGAGATCCTCTTCGTTCTCATTGAATTTTCTGTATTCCTCGTCCAAGCGCTCTATAGGTTGAAGTCTACATTAGCTTTTTCTATGCATGTTATTGGACCATGACGCTATGTAACACCACTTACGCGTAGTGCAGAAGAGCACTTCCTCGAGATTGTCATCATCTTTAAGCTTTTGAAGGAAATTTGCGGCAGCTGAATCATTACCAATCTGACTAATTTGGAATCGAACGGCTATCAGGATAATTAGCACTCGATGAACTGTCCCCGTTGAAGTAAATGACAAACCTTGGGCTGGGTAATCGTGGTCTATAAGGAACTGAATGCACTCGATAATTGTTTCCTTAAACTTGTCTTCGACTTCACCACTAGCACAGCCATCGGTGATGCAAGAAATAAGAATTGGTCTTTTCAACTTCTCTCCGCTGTTAATGACGTCGTAAACCAGGGGTTTGAGGATCTTAGTCTCGAGCTGGGTACCAATCCTGGTCTTGCCGCTGGCCTTGGTTGCCTTCATAATATCTTGCACTTGCTCGGCATTTAGATTCGGGTTCAACGTGCGTTTGTCATTGATAAAGAGTAAGCCTGCTCCGTGGTCTTCGGGTACCAGCAATGTAGAGATTCGGGCGACTCGTCGGACAAGGTCAATCTGATCGGCTTGACGGGTACCTTGTTTCATGGAACCGCTGTCGTCTATGTGAAGCAATACAATCATTAGCAGCTGTAAATGTACTCAGTTGCTTAGCTTCATTTCAACTCACCGCAATAGAAGACCGGTTGATAAAGAGCAAGCTTCGTAATGTCTTGGATATCTTGTTCGGTTCTCAGCTGGTTTTCGGTCTTGCCTTGAAGCTCCACTGCTTTATTCGCGACAATTTGCAAGAATGGGTCGCCTTCCTCGAAGAAGTAGTCGAGACCGGTATCATTAATAAACTTCATCATGCTAGCCTGGAATTCTTCTGCCGTGGTATGTTCTGAGATCTCCGAGACAGGCACTACAGGCGGAACATCATCGTTATCATCCTTTTCTTTGCTGAGAGCCAATGTTCTGTGATCTTTGGGCTTTTCGGAACTTGGAATGAGAGATTCGGTTGCGTTCTCTCCCGTGAAGATTCTATTTTTGAGTATTTCGGTCTTTTCGGGTGGAGCATCCGCAGGTTTGGAGACGTTCGGCATTGTGTTCTCAGGTGCATGCTGACAGACAACAAGAGTTAATACTCATTGAATATACATGTAATCTGGTCCTTGGGGATTTGCATCACTTACTATAAAGGATTGATTCAGGTTACCTCGGATGCCGAAGAAGGTCTTGACCACACCTTTGAGTCTATGGTTCATAAAGCCGATAGACTTGAGGACATAGTTAATCAGCTCAGTCACGAGCTCATCCCTGCTTGAGGCCTGTCCCGGCATTTGATTGATAGCTCGGATCACTGCTTGGTCGTTGGTGGCTTTTGCGAGCTTTTCAACGTCCATAGAGTTTGACCCTTTCTTGCCGTCCATAGAGGCACCCTTTTGCGTCAGAAGCTTGATGGCACCGGGCTCTCGATGCTCGATGAGCTTCATGAGGGCAGTCGAGCCATCTTTTGCTTGCACATCGGGATTTGCACCCTTTTGCAACAGATACTCGACGACTTCGCGACGCTGCTGCTTGGTGACAGAGGAGTGGGAATGCGAGGCATACCAAAGCGCAGTCCGATTCTTGTCGTTGATGCTATTGACATTTGCCCCCTCCTTCAGCAGAAGCTTTACAACATCGACGTGGCCCCTCAGAGAGGCATAGGCGAGTGCTGTCCGACTTTTGTTGTCCAGCTCATCAATGCTGAAGTGAGGGGATGACTTATACTGATCAAGGGCTGAGGCCGTGAGGCTACCCTGTGCCGCGGCAGCGTGGAGAGACGCCATTGTTCTGCAATTTTCTTTTGATTTAGGATTGGAAACAAAATTAAAAACCAGATTGAGATTGAAATTGAGATTTAGATTGAGGTGCTGGGGAAAGAATGATATAAGTAGTAGAGGAAAATTCGATTGGGATTATTGATTGTTCTGGTATTGTGACCTGTCATCTGTCATAAACCGTTATATACCTGGCAAGGGAACTCGATGGGCAAAATCAGGCACAAGGCCTATAACCCTGACCCAAAAAGAGCCTCATAATGTACACAGTATGCACAGCCTCGTCGTCACTTACTTCCTGCATGATGTAGGTAGATGTAAAGGAATGACCGAACGGCTTCCGATATGTCCAGCCATTACCGACGTGTCTCTCTCATTGCATTGCAGCTGAACATGCATGCACAAGCGTCAAGCATGGATCACAACACGTTTGATAAGTCACATATGTCTACTCGGTGAGTGAGTGCAGCTCAGCCGCACCGTTGACGAGTTAGAGAACATGAATACATCATGCCCGGATAGAAGCACCACCATGATGCATACAGTTTGAACACGTCGGCAGCAGCCCCCACCCAACGGCCTGCGAGTGAAACCCTCATTGAGTCCCGATGTCTTGCTGATCAGGCCCAATTACATGTAGAGATATGCCATTTCCCCCGGGCGGCGCATGCATGCCAAGTGCGTCCATTATCCGGTGCGAGGCTTCCAATGAATCGGCCTTGAAAGCGTGGCAGTGACGCCAGATGTCTTGTTAATGCACCACATGACGAGCAGAGTTTTTCCATGCGGTTCTCGTTGCCCAAGCTTGATGAGGGCTTGAAAAGGCACGCTGTATGGTTGTATAGACCCGCTTGAGGCTCAATTGTCAATTGCAGCCCAAGCGTCGTCCACCCAATTGGGGGTCCATGTCGTCAAATACGGCGGCTATAAGTTATATGTAAATCAGCCATTAGGTTGCGCAGGGGTCACTGTCGTGGTGACTTCATTGCCATTTCCACAGCTTACGACTCCGAAAACAAGCAGCGCATGTCTGTCTCACCATGGACAAGATCCAGGACGTGACGCGCTTCCTGTTGGCGGCTGGGGGGTCTCCCTCTGCCGACGGCAAATCAACCCATCTGTTTTACGAAGAGAAAAACGCCTTGTACATGGAGACATGGACGAACACTGAGCTTTCCGACCGGGTGCAGGTTGTTGCCGGTGTCAGGACCGGCACATCCGCACCGTTTGTGTACTTGAACTACAAGGCAAGGATTGAATCCACACATACCCAGGCATGCTTACATGAGACACTTACTAATTGTACGACGGCAAATAAAGAGAATCTTTGTTGCTGATCAAAACAACGTGCTCAGATGTTTCACGGAAACATTGCGAGCTGAGGATGAAGACGACGATGAAGACGACGAAGAGGAAGAAGAACTCTGGGAAAACGAAGAGTTAGACGACGTGACCGTTGCTCTTCACCAGAAAAGCCAACTTGCCGTCTCCTGCGGTGACAGCGCAATCGTAGTCTTTTATCAAAAACCAGATGGCACGCTGGGCGCTATTGAAGATGACGGCGACGGATGGAAGGTCGCTGAGCTCCCAAGTTCAGAAGCCTTTCCAGGAACCGCCCTGGCCAGTTTCCAAGCCGAAGACGCTGCATACTTTGTCTATGTTGGGGCCGAAGGAGCTCTTCGTTTTATGGAGCATAGCAATAACGAATGGAAAGGTACGTATTCCTGTTTCCCAAAATCATGGCTCAACGTCTCTTATTCTGGCATTAGATTTATCCTTTTCGAGTGTCAAAGTAGATGGAGCTACCGCCAGACTATCCGTTGCCGAAGACGAACAAGCGGAGAGTAGCCCAAAGCTCTTGGTCTTCTCTCTTGCAGATAACAAACTGTCTACGATTAAACTAGGGAGCACAGAAGCAGAGATCTTGGGGACGGTGAGAGACAGAGAATTCAAGCCAGTATCTGATCAGGAGTGCGGGGCGGCATTGGGGGAATACCTGTACTTGGGCACAGCTCCTTTCCGCCGGAGAGCTTTTGCGAGAAACACTTGTCAGGAATACGGCGAGGATGAAGAGTCTTGCGAGGACGAGCCAGCTGTTTCTGTGATCGTGGCTCCCTTCCAGGCCCTGGCTTTTGATCCTTACTACGGGCCTTATGATGCTTTTCGCTCTCATGATCCCTTTCGCCCTTACGATGCTTTCCGTTCTTTCGATCCCTATGATCCTTTCTACTCGGACTTTCATCATATGAACATGAGGGATGAGCCTGAGTATTACCAGGCCCGTTATCCACTCCGATATGCCCCCCCTGCCCCCCCTCCCCCTCCCCCTTATCAAGCTCCTCCTCACCAGAGGCAACCTGAAAATGAGAGAGGTGAGGAACAACTTGAGCAAACTTCTTTCCGGAGACCTGCCCAGCGACGTGAGATGAGAGCTGATCCACGCTTTGTGGATCAACGAACTCTTTCTCAAGATAACATTGGATACCCACCTAATTCTGAGGAGCATTTGCGATATCAAGTTGATCCTCAGGAGAATTCGAGACGCCAGCTGAATCCTGAAGAGAATGCACGATTCTTTCCAGATCCCCAGGAAAGCATGCGATATCAACCTCATACGTGGGAGAATTCGAGACACCAAAATAATCCTCTGGAGTCTTCGCACATATACCAGATTCCCGCCCGTCAGACTGCGCGAGAGGACCCGCCTCCTCCGCAGGAAACCTCGCGGCAACATCCACCGCCTCCCCCTCTCCCACCCAAGGTTGAAGCGGAATCTGTTGCTCCTAAGGTCGAAGAAGAGTCCGAAGAAGAATACGAACCTGTTCTCGACCCTCCTCATCCTCCTCTACCCAAAGTTGAGTCTGAAGAGGAATCTGATGACGAAAACGAACCCATGCATGATATACCTCCTCAAACAGAACCTCGGCCTGATCCACGAGAAGAATTTCGAGAAATTCTTCGAATAGACCATGAGCGCACTGTCAAAGCTCTTCGAGAAGAGCATGAGCGTGCTCTCCGAGCAGAACGTGAGCGTAGCGAACGTGAACGTGGTAATCTCCAGTCAGAACATGAGCGCGCTCTCCGAGCAGAACGCGAACGTGCTCTTGAAGCAGATCTTGGGCGTTTTGCTCAGGCAGAGCGTGAGCGTGAAGCTGCTGACGCAGAACGTGAACGTGAACGTGTTAGTCAAGAAGAACGCGAGCGCGCCGTCCAAGAAGAACATGAGCGTATTCTTCGAGAGAACCGTGAGCGTGAAGCTGGTGAAGCTGAACGGGAACGCGCCCGCGAGCGTATTTTTCGAGAAAGTCGTGAAGCTTTTGAGGCAGAGCGTGAGCGTGAGCGTCAAGCACATTTTGAACGTTTTGTTCGAGAAGAGCGTGAGCGTCAAGCTGAAGAGGCGGAGCGAGAACGTGAACGTCAAGCTGAAGAGGCAGAGCGAGAACGTGCTCGTCAAGCAGAACGTGAGAATATTTTTCGAGAAAGCCGTGAAGCTGTTGAGGCAGAGCGTGAACGTGCTCGTCGAGCAGAATATGAGCGTATGCGAGAAGAATTCATCGAGCGTGAACGTCAACGAGCAGAATTTGAGCGTTTTGTTCAAGAAGAACGTGAGCGTCAAGCTGAAGAGGCAGAGCGTGAACGTGCTCAACAAGCAGACCAGGAACGTGCTCGTCAAGCAGGACAGGATCGCGCTCGTCAACCTCGTCCCTATGATTATATGAATCCAACCCCGGGCTCTGGAGATCAGCATCGACCTCGTCGATACGACCGCCGATCTGATCGCCGACCTGGCGTCGGAATAGGATTTGGTGTTTACGTTTACATCGACAAGCATCGATGCAAGTGCTGCCATCGCCGCTTCAAGAAGACGCGCGGCGTGTGGATGAAGAGATGTCGCTGTCCAGAACAGTGCACCACCTGCGGCCGCAGTTACAAGAGAAACGCACGAGATGAGTGGGCTAAGAGATGTCGTTGTCCAGAACAGTATGATCCTACGAGGAGGTGAATGAATATCAGATTGAGAAAGAATCTATTTCTGTGAAAACAAACTATCGTTGAAATATTTGTATCTAGTCTAGTTAGTCCTTCCTTTTCAACTCCTTGCGAAAATACACTCGTTCATAACCATCCTCGCTCTTCCTCCCCGTCTCAACATACCCAAACTTAGCATACAGCCCAATGTTCTCATACATCTTGACATTCGTAAACAAAGCCATTGATCCAATCCCCTTCTCCTTCGCCACGTCCTCTGCAAAATCCATAAGAACACGACCATAGCCTCGTCCCTGGGCCGCAGGCTCAACAACCAAATTGTTCACCTTGACGGCATCTGCCTCACCGTCTATTCTCAGAATAATAGAACCGACGATTTTCACGATTTTATCATCGGAAGTAGTTTCTAGGATATAAATATCGCTAGTGTTTAGCAATTCGTTGTAATCGGCTACCATTGGCGCGGGAGGTTTTCCTATGCGCTCGATATACTTTGAGTAGCTGGCATTGACCATGGCCTGTATAGAAGGTACATCTTCAGTTTTGGCTCTTCTGATGCTGAGGCCATTTTCTAGAGCTTTTTGCGAGAGCACAGCCATTGGTGGTGGTTGAGTGCAGGTTGAAATACAACAAGTATGAGGCTGGAGAGAAATAGCCTAATGTCTCTCAGTTGAAGCTCCTTACTGGTGCAAGTCCTAAAACCGGCCCAAACCTGACTCATATTTACTCTCCGATATCCTCCAAGCTCATGCCCTGCATCTATCCAGCAACGCAGCATCACCAGCATTTTTTTTGTCGACGACCATTGAGTGAAATCCGTCTTCTCTCTCACTTTCCCATACAAATCAAGACATGTCGTTGAATGAATTGAGTCAGCACACAGGATCACAATGCGAACCGCTGCCAGAAGCATCCAATCCATGCGAACCACTGAGAATGCGAACTGGACCGTTAGCTGTGTCGCCAATCTCTCTCCATGAGTCATGAATACATGGAGAGCTGCAGCGAATATGCGTGCGCTTTAGAATTGCGGCCTGACCGTCACCGCTGCCACGTAGCACAAGCAGCAGAGAGTGCTTTCGGCCCAACCAGCCCAACCAAGGGTCACATTGATGCAGCGCGCGCTGTTCTCAACCAATCTCTTCTGCTGCAGTACTCTATCTTGGTAAAATCTTGGTAAAATCTGGGCCATCATCTAAGGCATCAAGCGTAACTCCACCTTCACAATTCATCCCTTATCGGCGCCGCCTCGTCTAATGACGCCATGGCCATAATCTTCACCACCAAGCTTGTCCATCCAGTGAAATGTTGGGTGCGCTGACCAGCTCCCGTCTCAGGGTTGTACTGCTCCCACGCGAATCCCGTCTTCTCCCAGCTCTTGAACACCGTGTCGACCAGATTTGTGCGCAGCTTGTTGTACAGGCCTCGAGCCTTACCTTGGAAGGGGCCCTCCTGAGTCGCGATTTTCTGTACCACAAGTTAGTTTCGTCATCTTGGGCTGCTAGTGAAAGGCGTCCGTCTTGACAGCAAATCTGTGATACTTACGTGGAGCTGTGTCAATGCCATGTAGTTAATGGGCATCCATACTGGGCTGCGCCAGTAGTTCTCTTCCGTTCCGTACAGCGGATCTTGCTTGCTCAAGCTGCGCAGGCCATGTGGACTGAACAGGTGACTCTCGTCGCCGACAAGATCAAGAATCTTGCCCAATTTAGCATCGTCAGGCTGCATCAACCCGACTAAAAATGGAAACAACGAGATGTATCCCTTGTGACACACAAGAGCATGCTCCTCATATTCATCAATAGTAGCATCGCAGTAGCACCCATCCTTCTCTGACCAGTGGAGGTCATCGAGGTTACGCTCAATGGCAAATAGGTTCTTCTTGAGCTCGGCAATTTCATCAGCCATGCCCAATGCGTCCGCAATGTTGATGAGTGACTTGGTCATGAATCCAACCCACGACATGAGATCCACATGGAGCTCGCCAGGGTGTGGTGGCTGTGGTCGAGGATAATCATCCAGTCCGCTGGTAAGACAATGCGTCTCGGACCGGCCCTTCCACCTATAGGCCTCCTTGGAGGAGAAGGCCTCTCGGTCGTATGCCTTAATGCTACCCCTCTGCGTTTTGCGGAACCAATCGTATTGCCGTCGAAGAAGTGGATATATCTTGTTGAGAAAATCGCCACCGAGCTCTAGGTTGTCCAGATGAGCATTATACAACGTTTGTCTTTGAGATAGGCTCTCCTTCTCAGCGGGTGCGCTGACGTTGGCACCACGGAGGCGCTCCATAAAGCCCTCAATGATTAGGAATAGAGTCGGCGGGTTGGCGTAGTGGGGGTATTGAACCTGGAATTCTGCTGGCACTTTGCTTCTCGCCTCTGGGCCGAGAATCTGTTCACGGGGGATCCACCCATCACTGTCCATGGTGTTGTACCAGCTTTTGACAACTTCAAGCGTCAAATCAATATCCCAATCAGCAATTGGGATCAGGTGGAATCCCTCATCCCAAAAGAATCCACGGGGGAAGAATGGTCGTGAAGGAACACTCGTAAAGAGCTCGTAAGGGCCTTCTAGCTGCTGGGCCTTGCGGGCTCGGGCTTCGGCGGTATCATCCCAGAAGCCCTCGTTCTCTTCCTCGTACTCATCCGCATAAGATCGATCAATCAATTGATGTCCGTGGAAATATCCAATGCCTCCAATCAGGTTGGAAAACATGCTCTTACCAAACTCTTTGTATTTGTCAGCGTTGTAAGGCGCCTTCAAATCAAAGACGCTGGAGAACCGCTGCCCAAAAGCCTCCGAGGTCTCTTTGATCTCTCGGGTGACGTCTTGGCTTGTCAACTCCTTGCCAGCAGAGGCCGATGAGAAAATGACGTCGAATTCGAATGATCCTTCAAACGCCTTCTGAATGAGGTGGACATTACCACCGCCCGCGTTGGACTTGAGTCGGTACATTTGCCATGGCGGAGGCAGAGTCTCGTCAGTGTAATCCTTTTGAATCTCCTGGATGGATTCTTGCAGCTGCTGGAACACCGCAGGTTTCGCCTGCCAAATGTGTTCGTTAGGGAGGCTAAGGCTGCGTACCACTGTCGTATCTCCTCGTCGTGAGGCGGATAGTTCATGGTCAGAGGTAGGGTGGTTGCCGCTTCCCTGGGTAATCACGACGGTGTAATCGCCCAAGGCATTGGAATTTCCTTTCAAAGTAACATCGCCTTCGAATCCTAGCCCATCATTATCCTCACCCTGGACAGCAAGATCTCCTAGGCCTTCCTGGGCGATGTAGTAGTGCACCAGATACTTGGTGTCGTCAGGTGCATCATCACGGACGGTTCCCTTGATTCTCGCAGCCCAGCTGCCACCGTGGTTTCCGCCAGGAACCTTGATGAAAGAAGTGGTGATGTCAATGCCGTTGCCTTCGTCGTGGATCGTCTGAACGCCACCAGTCCGTGCGTCATACTCATCCCAGCCATATCCATGAATGTCCTGGCCCTGCTCGCAGGTGTAGCGGAACACTGCCAGCAGATTAGCATCAGATCCACGAAAACAACCACCATCCCGCTCAATCTCTCACATACACGACTGGATGTCCATGTACTCATCAGCTTTCCCCCACATCAAGCCCGTCCATAAGCCCTGGGGCAGCCTCGGCCGCACTCCAAAATAGAGGTTTGGCTTGTAAGGCCCCCATAGCAGGCTCTGGTTGTTCAGACGGCCAATTTCGTTGATCAAGACAGTTTCGCTGCCCGTGGCTGCGGCGCCAGCAGCCAGCGCGGCCGCAGAGGCCAGCAATTGGGCGATCTTGGCCATTTGCGCCCTTTTTTCTTCCTTTTTTTCTCTACAGAGCTCGGCTCTATGTAAAGAGAATCCCTAGAAATCCCTCCTCATCCAAAGCAGAGGAAAATGCTAGGTCAAGACTGGCTGCTTCGCCAGAAACAACTTCTAGGGTGCTGTGAACACGGTGGTGCTGCCCGAGGTCACTGCAAGGCTGACGAGCTATGAGAAGCCAGGTGGCCAATCAAGAATGCCGGGATGCGCCACACCAGCCACCACAAGCCACCTATTCTGCAGCCTTGACCAAGAATTGCCAATTGAATCCAGGAACTTTCAAGCTCCAACGTCATAGTCCCCCTCGCTGCTGTGTATTATCCAACCTCTCAGCTGCCGCAAATTCAAAGCATATTCTTCCATCATGAGCGATTCACGTCGTTCTAGGCGGCCCGACAGCCGGCAAATGTGGGACGACTCAGACCGTCGCGACAGGAACCCTCCTCGAGATCGCGAGCGCGAGCGCGGCTGGGACAATCGAGACCAAGGGAGAGACCGTGATCGTGACCGAGGACGAGATCGCAGAGGCTACAGATCACGGTCGCGGGACCGACGCGATAACCAGAAGGACCGCTCAATGTCACCGGATAAACACCGACGAGACCGTGGGGGGGACAGAAATCGGGGTGGCCGAGACCGTCGCCAAGGACGAGATGGAGATAGGCGGGATAGCCCTCGTCGGCAGGACGACTGGGATGACCGCGATGACTATGACAGAGACAGACGATGTAAGCAAACAGACAGGGAACATCATTCACAAGCTACTGGTATCCTCTTGCTAACAGACATTGATAATACAGCAAAACATCGCGACGACCGTCGCCGCTCACCATCCCCTTCCCACTCCGCCCTGCCCACCCGTCCTCATCCCGAAAACGGCTCCCGCAAACCCCAGCCCAACATCACAATCAAGGCCGACAAGCGCAGTCCCTCACCTCCTCGCCGCGACCGAGACCGCGATCGAGATCGAGACCGCGGCGGCAGACGAGGCGCATCTCCCTCGCCTGTCAGAATGGAGCAGGACGAGTACGACGATGACATCGAGGTCGAAGGTCAGGATGACGACGACATGGCCGCCATGCAATCCATGATGGGCTTCGGCGGCTTCGGAACCACAAAGGGGAAGAAGGTGGTGGGCAACAACGCCGGCGGCGTCCGCAAGGAGAAGAAGTCCGAGTATCGGCAGTACATGAATCGACAGGGAGGATTCAACAGACCGCTGAGTCCATCGCGATGAGAGTCATCTTCTTCTCCTATGAAAGACCTTTGGAAGATGAAGCATACCGGGAAGTTTTGTTTTACTTTTTTTCCTTTACCCTTTCTTATATAACGATATCCATGATGGCATAGCACCTGGGGTTTTACTTTCTGGTTTTCAATCTCGGTTTGTTTGCCTTATTACAGAATGTTGTATCAAAAAATGAATAAAACAGTATGATACATGCTTGAGCAGACTCTCTCCATCTACGATGTAACAAAGCTACATATGTGACTGCCGCTAACATGCTGCACAATACAATGCATGCAAATATCCCCTCCAGTTCATACCCAGTACTTATTATACCCATCCGTAAAAGGGAGACGTAGAGAAAGGGGGAAAAAAGCCGCCAACAGGCACACCAACAACCATATCCTCCAACAGGTAGGCAAACGCAAACAGACAATAGTAGCGTAACGTCTATATCGACCGACCAAATTCGCCAGCCCTCTTCCAGATTAAAAAAAAAAAAGTTGAATCAAGACGGATAAACGAACGATGGAGACGTCCTCCCTTCTCGCCTCTTGCGGCTGTTGCAGTTGTAAACATTATGTGTGTATGTACTTGCTGACAGGTATATATGTATATGCTGATCCATGGCTCTTGTTCATGGTGGTTTTTTTTTTTCTTTCTTTCTTGATTCTCTAGAAAATACATGGGGATGCTGGCGTGACAATTACTCCTGCATCTTTTCGGATTCATCCGGTTTGCCGTCTTGGCCAGCAGTTTCTTCCTCCTTTGCGTCCGGCTTTACTTCTGGCGTCGTCGCTGTCGGCGTTGTAGTCTCCTCCTCTTGCTTAGGTACGTCAAGTGTTGGCGTGGGTGGAACATCCTCTGATACCGATAAAATGGAAGACTCGTCCTTCGGTCCGTCTGCTGTGCTGGAGGCTCTCTCTCTCCGTCTTCTCCTTGCTCTCCGTTCTTCCTCTGCTGTCTGCCTCCTGGCCTTTCTCATTGTCTCTCTCCTCTCGACATCGGCCTCATCGTTTCCATCTCCCCCGCGCACATCTTGCAGTAGCGCTGCAGCTCGGTCGGCCAGATCATCCTCTTTGTTGCCATCTCGTGAGGGAGGGGGCTGTGAAACGGGCGTTTGAGAATCTCCGTCTTCGTCAATTGTAGGTTCAGACTTGGAGAGACTGGTCTCGATGTCTGGAATTTCGTCGAGATCGTTTATTTTCTGCCCAGAGGCCACACGGACCTGGTGGCGATCCTTCAAGCGGGCACGGCGGCGACGGTCTCTCTGGTCCCGTGCCTGCGGTGCGGCTGCTCGAAGCCTCTCAAGCAGTGAGTCCATGGCGCCAGTGCTTGATGACGATGCGGGCCCATTGTCTGCCAAGAGAGTGGCGGCTTTTGTTTGCGCATGCTTGCGCTTCATGGAGGCTTCGTTACGCTTCCTCGTCTCCTCCACCTGAACGTTCTTCTCACGCGACTTCTTCCATTCCTGCAAAAAGCTGGCCAGCTTCGTGAAGAAATCCCTCCGAGAATTTTCGTCTGAGGGATCTTCTCCGTAGAACAGCATGATATCTTTGTAAGTCTTCATCATCTCCTCCAAGTAGACTTGCATCTGCTCCGCCTTCCTCCTGGCCTCCTTCATCACCCTCTGAACGACTTGGCCCACACGATCCTGGGGGTGGAATTTCTTGGGGTCGCTCAAATTGCCATTGTCGAGGGACATTTGCACATTCTTCACGTTGGCAATGTAGTTCTTGGCATCGGCCTGGAGCTGTTCAATGTTGATTTTTTGTGCCGTCATGACGCCGGTAATGTCATCGGCGAAGCTCTCCCACTCAGGGTACTGGTTTCGCACAATGCGCTCCACAAGATCGGCCAGCGTCGATTCATTCTTGTCATCCTTGACCATACCCAGTCTAGCGAGCGAGCTGAGCTTGAAACCACGAGCTTGCTTGTTGGCATCATTCATGTAGTTTCCAATATCCAAGATGAGACCAAGGACATTCATAAGTGCGACTGAGTCTCTCAATGACTCAGAGACAGTGACAACGTCCTGCATCTTCGCACTGATCTCGTCGTAATCTGATTCGAAACTCTGCGTGAGAGCAAGTGCCCTCATTCTACTCTTCCAGTAGTGGTGAAGCTCAAATGCCGTATACAGATACATCTGATCCTGTCGCGTGAGCTCTTCGGGGTCCGATTCTCGCGTTTGGTTCTTGGCATCTGGCCCTGTCAAGTCAGTACTATAGGGGGCCATTTGCTTGGCAACGTTGTCGTTGATATTGCACATGTCATCTTTTGACAAGAAATCCATGATACCCTGATTTGTGATTATAATGTCGTCGCAGTGAATAATCATCTGAACAATCTTATCAACAGAGTACTGAGAGAATTTGGCAAAAGCGATTTCTAAAAGATTCACGTATTAGTCCAACACTGCCAAAGTTGCAACGGGGGTCTCAGCGAAACCCCCTTCTCCAAATGATTCACATACCGAATGCTTTCCGAAGGTCGGACGATATAAGTTGCTTCTTGTCATCCTTCTTCGCGCCAGATCCACCAATCTTCTTGATTTCTTTGGCGACGAAAAGCTTTTCGACTTCGTCCAAGATTCCTCTGCGACTAAGCTCGTTGTATTTCTCTTCTCGTTCCTCGGCGGAAGGGGCGTGGGCTGCCCAGTGACTGGTCTCAGGGGTATCAACCTTCTCCCAGTGAAGAGCCTTGAGTTTCTTCTTGGGCCGCATCACCGGCAAGCCGACAGAAGGCGAAGCGGTAAAGGCAGGTGTCTGAGGCAAGAAGTGACCGGATATAGCTCCAGGCATGCCAGGAGGCGGCGGTGGAGGCGGTGCCATACCTTTGACGCCAGGCATAGGCGGCGGCGGAGGAGGAGGTGGCATTCCCATACCGGGCATGGGCGGCGGCGGCGGTGGAGGAGGTGGAGGAGCGGGGAACGCGCCGGGCATCGGCGGAGGCGGAGGAGGCGGCGGGGGAGGTGGAACACCGGGCAGTTGACCGGGCATGGGGGGAGGAGGCGGAGGTGGAGGAGGCGGCGGTCCGCTGGCAGCGGTGATCTCGACCTTGGGGGCCTCGCTTTCTGCCGGAGTAATGGGGGAGGACGATTCCATGCTCGGGTGGGATGGGCCTGTAGTGGCGCCCTCGTCGGCTTCGGAATCGCTGCCCTCGTATCGCTTGACCTTGGAACCGATCTCGCCGAGAAGCTGTGCCTGCTGCTTTGCGTCGACAACTGGTCGTCTCATCTCGATGATTCTCGGTCGCTCGATAACTACACCCTCCTCGTCCATCTCGACATCATCTTCATCAATAGCATGTTGCTCGAGCTTAGCCGGCCGCTTGGACGCTCTCCGTCCACGATGGATGGTTCCGAGCACACTGTTGGTAAAGTCACGAGGAGGTGTACCGCCGCCGGGAGGCGTTCCTGGTTCCCCGTCGCCATCCATGGCTTCTCTGAGGGCACGGAGGCGGTCGGAGGGACCATCCGAGTCTCCCCAAATCCTGCCTTCCAGCTTATACTGGGTTTTTTGTCGCTCAAGCTGCTTCTGCAGACGCTCCATAAGGCGCTCACGGTCAAGAATGCCTTGCATCTGCGCCGAGTTGTCCTTGCCGGGCTTGCCACTGCTAGCCTTAACAGCATTGGATGCCGCGATGTCCTGGGCGTCCCGCAGCATCAGATATAGCTCTCTTGTCTCAAGCTCATAACGCTGCGCTTCCTTGGCACGGACGCTTTGGATGTTATTTAACTCGCCCTTGAGGCCATCAGCCTGGCGTCTCTGCGCTTCAATGAATCGGGCCTGTTCGTCTAGCTGCCTCTGCAACTTGGCCACAAGGCCATCGGCTCCGAGCTCCAGTTTTGCCTTCATCTCGTCTCGCTCTGCCATGGCGGCCTCCGCAATCTGGCGGGATTCCAACGCCTCATCGAGTGCCTGCCGAGCTTCGGAATCGGTATGCAGCTTGTCCAGCAGACTCTGAACAGTAAAGTTGAGACTCTGCTTCAGGTCCATGTTGGGGAGGCGTCGGTCCATGGCCACATAGCTGAGCATTGAATCAACAAGCTGAAACATGCGCAGGCGCTCCTCGCCGTCGTTGGCACGGATAAGCATAAGGTGCTGAAGCGCAGAAACGAAATAATCATGTGTTTTTGTTCCGTGTAGCTGCTGTTGGATCGTATCTGCGATTTGAATCGGGTCGGTCAAGTCTTTGGCATCTCCCTCGATATTGTCCTTGACACTGCTGTTCTCACGCTCGAGCATATCCTCATAATCAATGGCCTCGTTGGTGCGGAACCGATCAATCTGCTTGTCTAGTAGTTCGTACTGAAACCCCTCCATCTTGGTCAAGATCCTCTTGATGCCACAGGCGTGGAACTGGGCTCTGATATGAACCCTCATCTGGAGGTCCTTTTCCGGTGCGTCGATGATCATGTTGACCAATATCAGCGTGGCAACGGCGTATTCCATCAGCAGGTTCTCCATTCCGATGCCTCCCGTACGAAGCTCATCGCTGGCACCCACAAGACTGCCCATCTTTCCTCGCCCATCGACGGTGACCTCAACCAACCGCATCCATGCATCGAATCTTCCATTCTCGCCCGACTGTGTTTTGACTTCGTCCAGAGCCTGAATGACTTTCAAGTGTCCTTCGCCGTGGGTGCCCCAGGTGCAGAGGAAAGTCAGGATTTCGCTCACGAGTTTGCGCGTGGTTAATCGAGATGAAATAAGGCAGGTGGCCAAGGCCAGCAGGACCTTTGATTGCATCAAGGCATCGTCGGCACCGAATTTGTTGTTCATCAAGGCCTTGAGACACTTGACAATGTCGTATTCGCGATCCAGATTCTTCTCCGTCTGTGTGGAGACCGCCGTTGAAGCCGGTCCTCCATTGGCATTCTTCCTGTTAATTTTGAGCAGCAAGGTTACTAGAGCCACTTGACCCTGGCATTCGACAAATCGTTTCACCCAGCCTATCTGTTGCGTTCTCAAGTTGACTTCGAGAGACCCCATACCCTTCGCATCTAGCTTATCCTCCATGACCCTCCTGACATACCACTCGGGGGTTCCCTCCTCGTCGGAATAGGTGGTTACGTCGGGTGTGGCATACTGGTTGGCCCTGGCGGTCTGCTTTCGCTTCTGTTCTCCTTGCCACTCCGTCAGACGGTCCTGATGTAGCAACGTCCACTTCTTCTCTGCGGGGTAGGCCGTCATCTGTCTTCTGGCCTGCTCGGGGAGGTTGTGCCATCCTCGCTTCTGCATAAGCTGCATGAACATCTGCTCAACAACGTAGTTATCATCGGGCTTGGGGAAGTAGAAGCCGTCGTGGGAGGTCGGGCCGTAGGCGCTCATCTTGGTCAGCCGATGAGACTCGCGGGGCGAGTGAGGCTGGTGATGAGAGCTCAAGGGCGGCGAGGGCGCAAGCGTGGTGTGTGAGGAGCGGGCGGATGCCGGATTCAGGAAGCCCTGGCCGCTGCTGTAGGGGTTGTTGAAGCTCTCGCCCGAGGACCGTCCATAGTGAGGGTTCTGGTAAGAGTCGTACCGCATGGGATAGGAGCCGTTGGTTGCGGAGCTGGACGTGCTCCCGCGAGCCGGGCCGGCTCCAGGCATAGCTCCGACGGCAGGCCCGGGGCCCCATTGCTGGTATTGGGCTTGCTTGCCGGTGGTGGCCATGGTGATGTTGTTGACGGACATGTTGGACGACGTGCCCGGTCGCGCAGACGTGTGGGGGTGTGAGGAAGCCATGGCGGACGGATCGATGGACGGATACTGGTGGAAGTCGAAGCCGCTGATGTTGAGCTGGTGAGGCACTGGCTCGCGGCGCTGCGGTGCCTGGTCGGGCTTGGGGAGGAACTCGAGCGAGACTGGCGAGCGGGAGCCTGGCGGAACGTCGTAGGGGATGGACGTGATCACACCCGCCATCTGGTTGATGCCAGCATCAGGAGAACTGGGTTGGTCGATCGAAATCGACGACGACTCCCGCTTGTGGCGCGAGGAGCGCGAAGAGATTATGGACGCCGTTTCGAACTGATCTGACGAGCTCTTGGGATCGATGTCGGTGTAGCGCTTGTCGGCGCGGTGCTTGCCTCTGGAGAAGAGGGATCTGCCGCCAGAAGACTGCCTTGACTTATCGGCAGCGGACGACATGATAATTGATCGTGGAGAGAAGTGGGTAGGCGAAACACGTAACGGCAGCGGAGTGCGAGCCCTGGACCGCTCGCATGATGGAGGCCTAATTTGCTAGCCAAGATGCGGACAGGGCTGGGCCTGCAGTGGGGGGAGGGGGGGAGAGGGGGTTTCTGGCGATTTTTTTTTTCTTTCTTCGTTTGTTTCTCTTGTTGTTCTTGTGGTTTTCGTCCTGTTCACGGGCTCTCTTCCTTTGACGTCTCTCGTGCCCTGCGCTTCCTATTACTGGTTCGGCGACGGTCTTTTCGCAAACGCTGTTGAAGATCCAAGGCTGGACGGCAGTGGCGCCGGTTTGATGGTTTGGAGCAAGGCTGAGATACAGAAGACGGGGCCGCTGAAGGGCTCGAGAAAGTGGTTAGTGATAGGGGGCGGGGGCCGTAGAAGGATGCACGCACACACACTACTGAGTATACTGAGACCAGGGGTGGGTGGGATTGATTGATTGATTTCAGTTTGGTTTTTCGCCGTCGAACTGTCTCGACGACGGCCAAGTTCCGTAGCGATTTCAGCTCTACAGCAGTCGCTCTCTCTATGCGCCTTGGATGCCGCTCTGGTACTGGCCTCGAAAGTCGAAGAGCGAATGAATGGATCAAATGCCATGGATTCGTGTTAACGAAAAAGGGCCCCCTGACCAGACGCATCACAGGGGGCCCAGCGTCGGCCACTTTTAGGCTCGGTCAGTGGCGAAGCCTCTGTAGCTCTTTTTGGCCGCTGCAGCGCTAGCAGCGGGACTGATGGGCTAGTCAGGGTGCCCGAGGGTGCTGAACGCTGGCGCCGAGTGCACAGGCGTCGAGGCCATTGGGTGCCGCGCAGGCGCTGAGTTCAGTTGACTGTGGCCCCTAAACCGCTGGCGCCGCAGTATTGACGGGCCTAATTGGGTCTTGCGTGCATGTGGATCACTGGCATTTGGGCAATCGAAGATGATCCACAATCGACGACAGGCGGGAAATGAGACAAGGGGGGGGCTGGCCTGAGGAAATGATGGCATTGTGCGATGGGCTGGGTTATTTTTATTTTTTGCTGTATTTTGTGCTTCGCATCTATACATAGCACGACACCTTTTTGCTTCTTCTCATTAACCGATGCGGCATATATAGGTACTAATGCACGCCATCCAATGCGCATGTGGCCATGTACATGTAGTAAGGTACCTATTATGTCATCACGACGAACATGCGTGTGCATTGCAAAGCCTCCTCGAAACAGCCGAGGTACCTCACTAGCAGGTACTAGACGACATCAAAGCCGCATCTAGAGACTCTAGTAATATGGCGCATTGATTCTTTTTCTTATTCCTGATAGAAACCCCGTATCTACGGAGTACTCTGACGGCATTATGGATGAAACACCTCATGTGCTGATAGATGGCACGGTAGTACCAAACATCCGATACTACCTGACGGCTCGGGATTAGGGAGTTGGTAGCCCAAATCTGTAACAATCTAATATACGGTAGAGCAGCAATTAAGATCACGCGTTGGGGCCCTCGTCATAGCAGTGGGGAAGGGTAAGGCCTTGGTCCATGCCACATCTAGAAGCAGTCCCTGGAAGCTTCTATCCAAAGTCCGATCCGGTTGGCAATGGGAGGTACCTGTAAGCTGAAGTCATGGTATCTGTGGTCTAGGTACCTACGAGCTCATGGATCATTGATCTCTCACATCGCCGTATCTCAGACCTGGCAGCATCCCTTGCGTGCCTGTACCTGTACCTGTACTCTTGGTCTAGGCACCGAGCAAGTCCATCTCAAGTCTTTGAATGATACAGGTACCGATAAGAAAAAGCCAAGTTTGACACCCCAAGATTCCTAGATCTAAGGTACTGTCAAAATTTCATAGACTCCCTCAAGCACCTGCATACTACCTACGGCCTAGTACCTTAGGTGTAGTGAAATATACCTCGCCATGTACAGTACCCAGTACTCCGTAAAGCAGGCCCAACACACGACTATACTCGTATCCTCGCAATCCCGTCATCGTCAATCAATCAATTCAATAAAATCCCGTCCCCCCTTCCCTAAATCGCCTAGCCCCCAGCGGTGGCCCGTCCCTGCAAGTGCTCAACCGTCGCCAGGCTCTTTAGCGCCTCCGGGGTACGTACATCCAGGTAGCCTGTTCGTACACGTCCATGTACTCAGAACTCTATGTCAAGCCATCATTCAATTGAGTCTCAGCCATCGCCAGCCCCAATCGTCAGCCCGACGCTCAACATCACCCCCCCTATAAACCACATTCTGCTTGCTCTGCTCCATGGCTAGGAGTCGGCCTTGTCGCCCTATCGCCAGTATCGCCTCGACGAGAACGGCGGCAGCCCGCAGCCGGCGACACATAATCGCATTCGCCCATCACCTATAACAAAAGAAAACCAGCATCAGAGACAAAATGGGCGACAAACTAGCCGGCATCAAAGTAAGCCTCATCTTCCCGAGAACAAACCAAAAAAAGAACAATCGACGGATAGCTCGAATCCCGACTTGATGCGCCCGCGACTAACGCGCCGCGTGCCGCAAACCAGACGCTCGTCATCCCCGCCGTCATCTCCCTCATCCTCTTCCTCCTCCTCACCTTCGTCGTCGTGCCCGTATGGCGCCGCTACCGCGCCCGCTACAGCCAGTATCTGCCCATCGACGCAATCTCCGAGCACACAACCTCTCTGCGCTACCGCATCACAAACCGCATCATCCGCATCATAAGCCTCCCCTTCCGATGGCGGCGAGATAGGGACATCGCCATGGCCGGCGGCATTACTGATCGTGACCTCGAGGAGGGCGAGGAGCTGGAGGACATCGACGAGGACATTGCCCAAGTGCTTGATGCCCTGGCCCGGTCCAGACGGCCGGACAACGAGAGACGCCTTAGCCGGGAGTAAGTCCCTTGGCGGCCAGATGCATTTTGTTCTGTATTCCGTCCCGGCTGACTGTGTACAAGGCTAGAGGAGGGATTTATAGACGACAGCAGCGATTCAGACTCGGATTGAAACGAGAACCCGCTGGAGAGATGGATAAAAAGAGAAACAGGAGGAGAGCATGTCATTATAATACACTTAGAGATATCACGCCATCTTCTGGCTATGAAGGGGGTTACCTGCTACAAAGGTAAAACTGAAAGGCGAACAAAGAGGGCTGTATAATTAACAAGGCATCACTAGCTACTCGTCCAAGACGGCCTGTATCAGGCATGCTTCAAATATAGAAACGTACGCATCAGTAGCCTGACGTACAACCTGTCTGATATTGGGGCATTAGATAATATGAGTTGGCACTACACATGATGGACAATCTAGCATAGTTGGATAACGACCGCTTTATTATATTTATAATAGACAAGCATAGCACAATCTATCGAGTTGAATAGAAAAACGACATGATCAGACTGGCCGCTAATAGACGCTGCTCTAAACAAGATGCCCGCTCTTCAGAACAGAAAAATCGCTTGCTGTTCTACCGGCTATATTGTGGCCGTCTAAAATCAAAGACGAATTAATAACGCATCGCTGAAGTTGAACCCGCTATGCATATTGAAAAGATGAAACCGAAGCTGATGAAACTCCTCGAACACCGCCGTTGTGTTCGTCGCTGATGTGTCCCAGATGTAAATAATGCACCGCTGTCGAAGCTAAACAATATCTCCAATCGTGAAGCACTTTTCTTCACCATCTTCACCACACTCCTTCGCTTTTAGCCCAGTGATGATCCTCGTCGCCAACGACTGTTCTTGCGCCCACATTGAGTGCATACATGTGAACGTCTAGCAGCGTTGACTGCTCGAAGTTGGCGGATCCAGCTTCTCCGCGCTAGACTTGGCCCTGGACTGTGACCCTCTGCTGTTTCAAAAAGACTATATTCTGGGGGTGGTTGGGGGGTAGGGAGAATGGGAAAGTCGACGGGTGGCCAGACTGGTTCATTAGACGGATTTCCTCTAGATATGCGCACCCTCAAATCGTTTCTCGGGTTATCGCGCACATCTAGCGGCGGGTTCGAGTTATAATACATATGCGGATTGCCTGCTCGAGTCCGTTGATTCGAAGGAGTCCTTATTGCCGAACGTACAGTAAAACCGTTGCCCGAGTTATCACTACTTGTTCCCGTGGGAGTCGCAAACGGATTATCGCGGCCGGGAGGGATGGGTTGGATGAGTTCACCAATCTCTGAAGATTCCTCATCTAGAAGATGCTCGGCCGGGATCCCAAGAGCCGTCCCAGTTGGAGATCCCGAGGGGCTAAACTCGGCCGCATTATTTATGACCAGGAATGGACTCCGATCAGAGCCAGCGTTTCTAGAACCACGACTGGAACCGCGCCTGGAACCGCGCCTGGAACTACGCCCGGAACCACGCCCGGCAACGGGCTCAGAGTTCAAGTTGATGGCTGGAGTTGTCTCCTGTTTGATGGTTTGCGTGACCAAGATTCCATTGTTCTCGAATTCCTAGTATTGTGGCGTACGATTTCCTCTCAGCCGCTTCCACGAACGCCTGCATGCTGCCTTGATGCTCTCCTTCAAGGCCAGGCTCCAGAACCTGACCTCCATTGCTGGCTTTCCAAGGTGCTGGCCGGCACAACGGACTGCGTGATAGCGCTCATAGCGAAATTGGCGATATAAAGGGGACAGGCAAATTGATGGATGATGGATATAATAGATGGCTGCTTGGAATACAAGCTTGGTGATGGTGATATTGGATGCTTTGTTGTTGGGAGGCAAGTCAATGGTATTGACTTGTGCACGAGTTTCTGGTATGTTTGCGTTAGGTTTCTATTACTTACTTCCAGAGGGGTGGTTGCCTCCTTGATGGCATTGTTGCTGTCCAATTATATCATGGTAAGCTCGACCTTGTGTGTGTTGATAGGTACTTTGAGAGACTAACAAGGGCCAGCGGTTTCCCACGTATCAGGGCTGGCGCTTGCCTCGAATGATAATTCCACTTGTCGGATGATTTATAATTTGAAATGAATCATAGAAAGATAAATAGTGAAGGTAGCTTTGGCTGCAGCATCCCATTTGTTGAGGTTAGGATATTCAGGATGACACTCCAAGGTGCTAAACGACCATTAATGTTTACTATTAAAGTCGGTATTGATTCCTTCAAGTGTTCCGAAAAACAACCAACTCTCTGTGTTCGGCTTCTTTGGTGATAATTTTCAATAATCTCCAATAAAATAAATAGCAAACCAATTGATTCTCTATTTTCTCCCCCCATAATTCAGAATCATGAAGACTATACAGCAAACGGGATGATAGGGATCCCAGATCTTGGCACCAGACTCCAGTAGATGCTAGGGAGATCTAGCCACTATAGAGCTCGTTCCACCCACTAACACCAAAACCACAGCAAACTCCAGCTTCTCTCCGTGAACCTGTCCATTTCACGAGCCACAGCCAATAACATCCCCCCAAGATGAGATTCCACAGCGACCTGAAAAACATTCGCACATTTGCCAGTGAGTCCAGCTACATCAAAGTAAAACCACAACCGTCGTCCTAAAAGAATTGCGCTAACCGACCTTCACCCTCGCAAGAGCTCACGGCCGCATTCTCCGCCTTGGAGAAGCTGGTATGGCTGCGCCTGAGCGATGAGACGGCGCACTTCACCGTCGTGCCGGACGCGGGCTCGCAAATCTGGTCGTAAGACATCACCCTGATTGCTTCTCTTGTATCACTAGTGAATAAATTGCCAACCTGTTTCTGTCAAAGGGTGCTGCCAATGGACTTCCTCTTCGAAAACTGCACCATTCAGTCCGCCGAGCCTAGCAACACCATCAACCTCGAGCTTTCTCTGCAGCCGCTCCATCGCGCTCTCAAATCCGCCCAGAACAGCATCTCGGCTTCCCTGCGCCTCACCAAGAAGAAGGGCATGCCCGTGCTGTCCATGACCATCACAACCACCACGTCCAGGCCGTCCCATGGAAATGCACCAGCTCCCTCAAGGCCCTCTCACGACGATCCCTTTGGCGACGACGATGACTTCCAGTCAGCCCATCTTGAGACTTCTCTGCGGAGAGAACACGAGAAGATCATCACTCAGGATATTCCCATCCGGGTGCTCCATCCAGACACCGTTGCCTCCACCGTCCAGCCTGTGCTGCAGGAACCAGATGTCCACATCCAGCTGCCGCCACTCCTCCAGCTCAAGTCCATCTCAGACCGCTTCACCAAGCTTGCCCTTGCCTCCAATGGCTCCAACAAATCCCCCAGGCTCGAAATCAGCGCCAACATGCACGGCGGTCTTCGCGTGCGCATCGCCACCGAAACGGCAGACATCTCCAGCGCCTGGACTGACCTTGATAACCCGGAGTTAGATCCAGCCCAGCTCAGGGTCCCCCTCGAGGATCACCCTAGCACGAAGTTCCGTGATCGTGGACCTGACTCTTGGGCTTCGATTTATGTCGATGGTAAGGACTGGAGCAGAGTCCTCAGTGCTGGCAGGCTGGAGGGTAGGGTCATTGCTTGCTTTTGCCACAACCACTCCCTGGTGTTGTACGTCTATATACCACATTATGACGACGCAGGTGGGGATGATGCAGTCCTCACAGTAAGTTCTGAAGTCTCATTTTTCCCGCCTCTATATATCAGCTGACCCAGTCATAGTATCATGTCCAAGCATACACGGCATAAGGTAGCTAGTAAATGGCAACGCTATCAACAGGAGCAAAGGTATTTGTGGGTTTCACGGCGTGCATGGGGAAAAAATGTATATAGGGAATCAAATGCTCTTTTTTATTTTTGCTATTCTCACCCAAAGATATCCAAAAATGTTGCGTAGTCATGTATATCTGCATCAAGTCATCCTCTCATTCCCTCATTCACCCATTCCGAAACTTCGTCGCAAAGGAAAAATGACCCCAGTCAACAATTATTACAGTACCATGACGTCCAATCCTATAATACAATGCTACCACCGGCTGTTGTTGATAAAGAAATAGATTTGTGTTCAATGCAAAAAGAAGAAGGAAAGAAGCTCCTGACATTCTATGAAGTTGTCATTTTATTTGGCCATGACATCAACATAGCGCCCAGCCTTCCTAGCTTTCTTTTGCCCTGGTTTACGGGGCCCAGCGTTTAATAGGTCGTCGATGCTGCTGGCATTGCTCATGCTCGTAGTAGGTCTGCTGGATGGCTTGCTCTCGGTGCTTGTGCTGGACATGGACCGCAGCATTGGCGGTGCACCGAGACTCTCCTGCGATGGAGCCCGGTTGAGGACTGCCGGCGGAGCTAAACTTCCAAAACTAGCTGATGGTGGAACACTGGATCGGCCCTGTACGGGAGGAGGCGTCTGCGGAGGTGTTCCGCTGACGGATCGTGGACTACTGGCCTTTGGAGGTGGGGGAGTGGCCGCCTTTGCTTCGACTTGCTCGGCTCCTGGCTTCTTGTTGACCCATCGTTTGAGCTCGGGATCATATACAAAGCTGCTTGCTTCACCGAGCTTGGCCTTGATGGGTTTACCGGGAGACGAGAGCTCTCCAGGGCTTCCGCCTTCCTTTTTGCCACCTCCAAACCAACTAGAGAAGCCCCATCCTTTCTTGGCTTGCGCAGCCTCGGCAGCGCGTTTAGCTATTTGACAGTTAGCAAAATAGTGTTTTAGGGTCAAAACAAAACAGTCAAGCGGGAAGAACAACACCTACCATCCTCTTCTGCGGCCTTACGGAACATCTCTTCATTCTCACGATCCTTTTCCGCTTTGGTTTTCCCTTTAGGCTGAGAGGTGGGGAAATCATCATCGTCGTCATCCATGATACCTCTCCTCCTAGGCTTGGGTTCATCATCGTTTTCTGCGGCAGATGGCCCAGCATTGGGTTCATAGGACGGTGGCTCATAGCCGTAAGACTGGAATGATGGGGGCTCATAGCCGCTTGATGATGGGGCTCCAGCTACGCCATCATTATTGGTATCAGCCTCCGGTGCAGTGGTATTTGTTGGAGGTTCATAGCCGTAGGCAATGGGCTGGTATCCTTGAGTAGAGGAACCTGTCGTTGGCTCCTCAGAGAAAGGCTGTGATGAGGCTGATTCTTGATGTCCATATGGCTGATATCCGGTGTGCCCTTCATTTTTAAGGATAGGAGTCATTGGCTGGAAACCGAGGCCAGATGATACAAATCCATTGCTGTGAGGTGGAGAGCCAGCAAGAGAGGGGGAAACTCCATATGTGCTAGTATTGTACTCGTTCGAGTTCCGCCCACCTTGAGACAAGGTCGTCGGCACCTGTGGTGATTCAGCGCCGTACGTAGGCTGAGAGCTAACGGGGGCGTATCGGGACAATGCTGATGATAGAGCCGATGTTGCGGCGGGAGCACCAGCCCCTGGGTAGCTGGGGGAGCTAATGCCCAAGGTGTCAAAATTGGAAACAGACGGAGAGCGACTCATGGATGGAGTTCCTATGCGGGCAAATGGGCCGCTTTCTTCAGTTGGCGTTGAGGTGGCGCCATCAGGATCCTCCCCGGCAACAAACTTGTTGAATCTGTTCCACATGCTATCTGACACTTTGTTCATGGTGGGCTTGGACATCCATGAGGAGGATTCTTCCTTTGGAGCCTGTTTCAAGCGTATCATGAAGTCTTCGACAGCCGCTTCCAGCAGCTGGTGATGATAGGGTGACCTCTTTGTCTGAGAGGATATGGCCGTGAGAATGGCATCGCAATATTGGAGGGCCCTGTCCCGGAAGCCATATTCAGCCAACGCGATAGCGTGGTGAAGTTTGTAGGCTGCAAGGTGAGGAGCGCCGGCCGCTGCCGAAGGGGCGCCCGAAAGAGAAAGGCCGTACTCGTACACCTCGCTGAGCTGTAAAGCCTCCGTATCCTTTGCAATCTGGTGTGAGTTCTGGCGATGGTCTGATCCCAACAAGACGAAATCCACATTTGGATCATCAAAGCCACCATACACGGATATTTGCTTGCTGAACATGAAGCAGATGTGAGCTGCTTCGGCTCTTCCGTAGCTAGATAGCAGCTTGCCCAAGGCGTTCAAGCCCCGGATGTCATCGGCACTGCGATTGCTCAAAACAAGAGTCAACGTCTCCCTCCACTTGTCCAGCCCTTCCATGGCGTCCTTGGCCGGCTGAGAAGATGATCCGGTCGAGACTAGCTGCAGGCCAGCACGAGCATGCACAGGAACTAGCTCATCAACACAATCGTCATAATTGCCGGACAGGACTTTGTACAGAGCAGCAAGAGACTCGTTGTTCTGGCCAGGATGGTTGACTTCCTTGCGAACAAACTCCTGCGCAACACGCTTGTACAAGTCGGGCGAGACTGTGTGGGAAATGAGCATGGCGTGTCCCCACAAACGCTTGTCAACTGCGGCCCAGACGGCAGTTTCGCGGTCGCCTTTGAGGAGGCAACGGCGAATTTCTTCCATAGTAGTGGAATCGGCGCCATCAGCCTGCATTGAAGTCACTGCAGTGCCATTGATACTAATAGTTGGATCGGTGGGAAACAGAGCATCATTATCCGCAGTCGGCGTAATAGTCCCTGGAGAGAGGACATCTCGTACCGCCTTCTCCGCTGCAGGGTTGCCTTCTAGCACGCCGTCATATTCGACAAAGACTCGAAGTATCCTCCACAGCAGTAGGCGTTCAATGGCCCGTTTCGCCTCATAAGAAAGCTGTGGGTGGAAGGAGACGTCTGGGAGTTCCTTTGCTAAGCTTTCAATTCCAGCACTTAGCCACGTAAGCACCTCTTTCTTCTTCGATTTGCCCTTTAGCGGACCAGGGAACTTGGCCAGACGGTCTTGCAAAGACTCAATGTCCTTAATATTCCGCACCTTGACTTCTCCTGGAGCTCGCAACATGGACGGCGTCGCTTGGTTCATGACATATCTCGGAATACTTTTGGGGAAAGAAGTGACTACCGTGCCGCCAACTCCCCAAGAAATAATGGGAACACCTTGCCATCGCTGAAGAGGGTCCTGCTCTCGTCCATCGGTAGGAGCAATCATGCTCATAGCCTGAGATGGAGGTCGAGGGTGTGAGGTGGGGGCATGCGTGGTCCTAGCAGCCGGAGGAGACGCGGGCGAATGTGAAGATGCAGGCCGGCGAGAGGATTCTAAAGGTTTCGGGCCATAGTTGCCACCTCGAGTAGCCCCAGGAGATTGCGTCTGAGCTCGCGGGGGTGGAACAAACCCTGGTTGGGTTGAAGGAATAGCGTTGGGTATGTAACCAGAGCCTGGCCTTTTAGGGGGGGATAAGGTAGCCTGAGTCGAAGGAGTAGGCAGAGGTGGTGGCGAACGGGTGGTGCTCAACCGCGTAGCACTGGGAGACTGGTCGTCTTCCTCCTCAACCTCGCGCGTGGGAGGGAGAGAAGCAACACGGGTCAGTCTCGGTTCATACGAGGAACTAGCTCGTCGCTCAGTGTGAACAACTTCTCCATTGACACCATGTGGCTTGTCGCTGCTAATCTCAAAATGTGCCAATGGGCTAGAGGTTCGCGGAAGGTGAGGTAGAACTGCTTGAGGCGGAGTTGCTGAGACAGCGGGAGCATATGCAGTCGCTGGATGGGATGCAGGTGGGGCTGGAGAATATCGGCCGGCCGGCGGCGGCGCACTTTGGCTAGTAGCTCCCTGTGGAGGAGGAGCCGGGGAGTATCTAGATACGTTGGCAGCCGGTGAAGGCAGAGGGGCATTTGGCGATTGAAGAGGCGCATAAGGGCTAACCCGCTCAGGAGCCACAAGATTCACCCTAGCGGTCTGACTGGGAGCAGCAGCAGGCGGAATTTGGGTTGCCATGGGAGGGCTCAGAGGAGATGGCCCATGGGGAGAGGTTGCTAGCGCATATGGGTTAGGGGAAACAGCCCTGGTGCTCTGTCTAGAGATGGAACGCGGCCTAGGCGCAGTCGGCAAATCCTCGAAGAAGCTGGATTTGTGTCGCAGAAGAGGCGATTTCTGGATACCGCCTGGAGGAACTGTATCAGTGGCGCTCATGCTGGCGCTTCGCGGTGGAGGTGGAGGCTGAAGTGAAGAATTGCTGCTGTCCAGCTGTAGTTGTTGCAGACTGGCCCGTTTCCTGGGCTTCACAGTAGTGGTAACTAAATCCGATGGGAGGTCATAAGGTGACGAATAGCCGCCCTTGGATTTGTCGGCAAAGCTCTGGGCTTTGGGCGAGTCTGATGACTGCTGCGGAGGAGGAGCTTGGCCATATTGCGGCGCAGCTTGGAAAGCCGCTCCCTGGGAAGGAACACCATAAAACGACGACTGTGATGGTGTCGTAACAGGTGTATAAGCAGAAGCGGATGCTGACCGCTGCTGAGTAGGCACGTATGTGGTGGGCGCAAAAGCAGGTGTTGATACCACACTACTAGCTCGCGAGCTCAGCGGCGCGGTCTGAGTGGGCGGTGGTGCCTCATCAAGATCATCCAGAAGACCTTCATCATCACTACCCAAGAACGCAGCAGCGTCTACTTCCTTGTCACCTGCTGCCGTGTCTTCAATAAGGAAATCATCACCATCATCGTCGCTGGCGAAGGCTTGTTCCCATTTTGATGAAAGATCCTGACCTGAAGGAGCCCCCGTTTCGTTCAAGCTGCCATGTGCTTCGAGTGGATTTGGCTTCTCGGTCACATGGGCAAACGGCGAAATAAGCCCTTCTTCATCCCATTCAGACGTCTCCTCTAATATGGGTTGCTGAGAGATGGGCTCTTGGTTGGCAGCTGCCAAGACTTGCATCGTCGATTTCCTCTGCAGTGACGGGATGGCATCACCTTTGCTCGCGGCATCTTCTCCAGACTGGTTGATTTGGTTAAAGAAGTCATCATCCTCATTATCATCATCAAAAGAGGGGATATGGGCGTTTTCACCACTGGCCGCAACTTCAGGTTCGACGTGCGAATGAGGAATCAGCGGAACCCCTTCCTCGTATCGCGCTTCGGTTTCTGCATCCTCGGACCATTGTATATCCCCTCCAATAGATCTGGACGGCGCATGCCTGCGCTGTGAATCCTTCGCAGGCTCAGATGTCGCATCTGAGCCTGCCTGAGGCTGCGCATCAGCCTGATACTCCTCTTCTTCAACATGAACATCTCTCTCCGTCTCTTCTAGCACGTCGAGCGCCTGATTCGATGGCAGGGGCATATCGTCGATGCGCTCCGGGTCCTCGGCCATTAGAGGCACGACGGGGAAAGAATTCGTTCTGTCGGATGGAGACATGAACTTGAAGGGATCCGTGTCCGTTCTTGAGAGGGTCCACTCGGTTTCGTCGTTGTCGCTGAAACTGACTTCGTGAGAAGTCCGAGCAAAGGACATTGAGCTTGAATGTTGCGCAGTACGAGTCGAAGTTGCAGCGGTATCGCCTTCTCCCTCTATTGCAGGCGCTGGAGGCTCTGCAGAGGCCTCAGCAGTTTCGTGATGCGGTTCGGGGTCCTCCGAAGCTGGCCCAGCATCGCCCTCAACATCGTCACCGAGAGAATAAGCCTGGTCTTCGGTATCGCGTCCGCTTTCATGATGATCCAATCCCACCGGTTCTTCTTCATGTGTCAGGCCATAGTCCTGGGTCTCTTGGGTCTCGGGTAAGGGCTCCGCAGGCGATGCTAATACTGCGTGGTCATCATCGGCTGCTGGGATATCATGGACGCTGTTTGGCATCAATGCCGGATTCCATGATGAGGTGAGGGGCTCGCTGGCCATGGTCAATTGAAGGCCGGAAGGCACAGCTCCTTACGAGCAAGGCTCGAATAGGAAGCTTCTATTCAGGCCGAGGATTGTTAGCAAGTGAGGACGATGGAGACGAAAGCCGACATTGGGGTATCGGGGCTGTTCAAGGTGCGCGCGAAGGCAGAGGCACGAGCAAAAGCAACAATAGGTACCTTGTACAGGAATGAATCGAGGAAAGAGATGGCGGATGGTTTAGACGGAGGTCATGTTCGGTAGCAAGGGCAGCATATAAACCGCAGACCGGATATCAGATGGAGAAGACAAGGGCCAGTTGGCACGTAATGCTTGGAGGATCAGGAGTACTTGAAGCCACTGAGCACGGGCGGACAATGTACAGGTACTAACTTTTGCGCTAGCGGAAGCGTGGGAAAATACCTAGCAGCAGGTACTCGGCTGGGTGGTGCAATGTGTTCCTTACCTCTCTCAGCCGGTGGTTTACCAACGTCACATTCCCGCCGACACAAAAAGTCGACCTGGAGGGCTGCCGAGGCTTAGCCGGCGCGAACACATCCCACCTCACCAGCTTCGTGAGGAATGTTTGCTTCAAGGATGATACGCGGTTGTTCTCCCACTGCCACGTTATTCCTTAAGATGTTTACCCAAGGCAGAGACGGTTGCCGACACCGCCCTCCTCTACTGTCCTCGCAGGCGGCAGAGCTTCCAGTGGCGAGCACCGCTCCCAACAATCCATAATCTGTTATCCATGCGCATAGACCCTAGGTCTGACATACAGCTCGGAGCACGGAAGACCGACTCATCCTCAACCATATCTGGCCACCTGCCTGCTGAGGCCAGGTTTCACAACCGTCGCGTCCCCACGATGTCAGCTTGTATCCTCTCTATAGCCATACCAGCGAACTAGGATTCAGCCGGGCCGTGTGGGCAGTTGCAAGGCCAGCTCTCTCTGAATCAACCTCTGGAAGCCCCGCGATTCTTGGGTTGTGCTCTTTACCTGCATTCACTATACAACATCCCTGTGCCACGGGATCGATCCCCGCAGTAGCTCGAGATGCGATGGCCCTCATCAGGAAGGTCTTATTGGCAGCCGACTGACATGTGGTGATTTTCTGTCCAGTCGGTGCTGCTATCGCAAACTGCTTGCATGAAGGTGCTGCTACCTCGTGTGTAAGTGTGCATGTACACCGTAGCTCTGGCGGGGAAATCAGCAGCGGCATGGCCCAGACGAGGCCTGCGTTGACTCGACTGCAGATACTACTTGGAAATGACACGTACGCCGTAATCAAATCTTGCAGCCGGTTTTTCTTTGTATTTGATCAGCTGTTCGCCACTCCAAGTCACAGACGCCGCTTGGTCTAACTTTCGCAGCCTTCGACAGTTGTGGGGAGCAAGCTGTAGCCACAGGAAAGAGATGTTACAAACTTACAACAGATGAAATAGGTCAACCAAAAGACTCCGTCTGGTACATTGAGGCTACAGTAGACCGACTTCTTCTTGAGTGCCTCATAATATGCACATGTAGGCTGTATTCCATGCGGAGTTAATCATGTAGATGTACCTTTATTCCTACCCGATCCGAGCGTTGCTCCCGGATGCCTAAAAGATGCCGACATGTGATGGCGGCTTCGGCTTCTAGATGACGTGCGATACGGCATTGAAACCGCTATCCATGCACTGTACTGCACAGCGACGCACCTCCTAGTGTTATAATCTTGCATAGCTGCCTCCATCAACGTGTCCTGTGCCAATGCTAGGCACCCATCTACACTGTAATTACTGTAATTGCACAGGTATGGATCTGAAACATCAACCTGCGTCGAGGTACGCATCTCAACGCCTTTGCGAGAGTCCGTCTGTTAGTGCATGTGTGGCGCTGCGCCGGCGCCCCACCCAGGCTCTGACGAAATCCCCTAGCTCCGGGCCTTAGCGCGAGGCCTTACGTATCCCTTCTGTTTGGCTTGATACTACTACTACAAACAAACGGACACGATAACTTCAGACACTCTTGCTTTGACAGCAGAGACGCACATGGACAATCGCATACTTCTCTGAGAGTCTGCCAGCCATCGATACGCATATAAAGCCCGTTTGGGCGAGCTCCACTGCCATCCATCTCACAGACCGAATAATGCTTCCCACCGCATTTACCGGTCTGCCGCTGTAATCCACTCCGATTCGCCTTTTCTCCCCTCCCCTGCTCAAGCACGCAGCATGAGCATCCGGCCGCGGTGGCAGCTCTCTCAGAACGCAACTCATCGCCGAGGCCCGGAGTCAGCTTGATGCGGGATGCCTCCTTCACCCTCATACCAGTCGCCCGAGTCTCCCTCCAACGATTCCGACTCCGATCTCGATCTTGACATCCAAGAGCTCGACCCCATTTCAACAGAGCCAGCACGAGAGGTGCAACAGAACCACCCAGCAGAAGAACAGAGGGCATCAAGAATAGCTCTAAGGAACTTGCGTATGGGTGGGCTGCGGCGCACAAAGCGAGACAGTGGATATGGAGACCTCGGTCGGAATCGACAAGACTCGAATGAGCAAGAACAAGATCTAATAGAAGACCATGATGAGCCTAGCCCCAGGCTCCATTGGTCTGAAGGAGGTGGAAATGGGGAGGATAATGCGCCCTTGCTGGGCGAACAAGGCTCACAGAGCCGAAGAACACCTACGTCCGGACGTCTAGGTTCCGGCATACGACTACCTAGCTTCTTGTCGTCAAAGAAGCCCGACGACAGGGAAGCAGAAGACCAGGGAGAGGATGATGACCCGTTGTCTTCTCGAATGGTCGCCGTGGGCTCTATCCAATCGTCTCGATTCCCGACCAATATCGTCTCCAACGCCAAGTATACGGCATTTACATTCCTGCCTATTACGCTCTACAACGAGTTCTCGTTCTTCTTCAACATGTACTTTTTGTTGGTTGCGCTATCTCAAGTGATACCAGCCCTTCGAATCGGTTACTTATCCACATATATTGCTCCACTGGCCTTTGTCCTTTGCATTACCATGGGAAAAGAAGCATATGACGATATTGATAGACGACGAAGGGATAACGAAGCAAACTCGGAAGAATACCGTGTACTACAGTTTACGGAGCCTGGAAGCTTCGCAAAGAGCTCTAGGCCACGCAAGCCATTAAAATCAGAGACGGTCGGACGCAAGCCCCGGAAAGCGCAAGCCGGCCGTCATGACCTTACGGATATCCAAGAGGATGGAGAGCAGCCCACCTCGGTTGTTCAGGAAATCAGCCGCAAATCAAAGGATCTGCGCGTGGGTGACGTTCTCAAGCTTACCAAAGGCCAGAGAGTGCCGGCCGATGTGGTAATTCTACAGTGTCACTCCACAGAGGGGACTACAGTCGACTCCTCGGCTGATGAGCCTCCTGAAGAGGAGGAAGAGGAGACGTTGCTCGCATTCGATGAGGGAGAGTCTAGCTCTAGTGCCAAAGGCAAGGCGCCCGAGACGCCGGCATCTCAAGAGAACGAAGCGAGCAGCGGCCCTTCTGGGGAAACATTCATCAGGACGGACCAGCTGGACGGAGAGACTGACTGGAAACTGAGGCTGGCGTCTCCGCTAACCCAAGGCATCGCTCTGGAAGACTTTGTCCGTCTTCGTATCACGGCTGGCAAACCTGACAAGAAAGTCAACGAGTTCGTGGGAACAGTCGAGTTGATGCCTACTAGACAAGCCGCAACCAGCCAGCAGGCCATGTCGGACGGTGAGATGAGCAGCGATTCCAGATCGGCTGCGCTGTCTATCGACAATACCGCTTGGGCCAATACCGTGATTGCCTCTCAGGGAACTACTTTTGCAGTGATACTCTACACCGGCCCGCAAACCCGATCCGCACTGTCCACCTCTCCGTCTCGCTCAAAAACTGGCCTCCTGGAATATGAGATTAACTCCTTGACCAAGATTCTCTGTGCTCTGACGCTGGCCCTATCCGTCATTCTCGTCGCTCTAGAAGGCTTCGAGAAGAGTGGCGAAAATGCCTGGTACATCAAGATCATGCGATTCCTTGTCTTGTTTTCGACCATTGTGCCAATTAGTCTGCGAGTAAACTTAGATCTAGGCAAGAGCGCGTTTTCACGATTCATCCAACGAGATCCAGGTATCCCGGGGGCGGTTGTGCGCACGAGCACCATTCCAGAGGATCTAGGGCGCATCGAGTACCTGCTGAGCGACAAGACCGGCACACTGACCCAGAATGACATGGAGATGAAGAAGATTCACGTGGGCACCGTTTCGTACGCCAATGAAGCTATGGATGAAGTCACCTCCTATGTTCGCCAGGCCTTTTACGTCCAGCCCACCACTGACCCTTCATCGCACGGCACACTCATTACTCCTTCTTCTGCCATGTCCAACACCGTCAACATAGGGGCCACTCGCACACGACGAGAAATCGGCTCCCGCGTGCGAGATGTTGTGCTCGCTCTGGCGCTCTGCCACAATGTGACACCAACATCAGAAATTGAAGACGGCAAGGAGGTTACCTCGTACCAAGCATCTTCTCCAGATGAGATTGCCATTGTGAGGTGGACCGAATCCGTAGGTCTGAAGCTATCGTACCGTGACCGCAAAGGGATGGTTTTGGAGTCCACCGAGACCGGAAAGCCTGTTGTCAAGGTGCGGATCCTCGATGTCTTCCCATTTACATCGGAAGGCAAGCGCATGGGAATCGTGGTCCAATTTCTCGACAATATGCATGCCAACCCTGGTCTCGGTAACGGCGAAATTTGGTTTTATCAAAAGGGTGCAGACACTGTCATGAGCTCGATTGTAGCGGCAAACGACTGGCTCGATGAGGAAACAGCCAACATGGCGCGTGAAGGCCTGAGAACTCTTGTCGTGGGACGGAAGAAGCTTTCGCATCAACAGTATCAGGAATTTGCCTCTCAATATCACGAGGCCTCAATTTCCATCACGGGACGAGACGCCGGGATGCAGCGAGTTGTCTCACGCTACCTCGAGAGCGACCTAGAGCTGCTAGGTGTGACGGGCGTGGAGGATAAGCTTCAGAAAGACGTCAAGCCCTCACTGGAACTGCTGCGAAACGCCGGGATCAAGATCTGGATGCTGACGGGTGACAAGGTTGAGACGGCAAGGTGTGTTGCCATCAGCTCCAAGCTGGTTGCGCGAGGCCAATACATTTACACCGTCGCAAAGCTCAACAGGAAGGACAATGCTCAGGAGCATCTAGACTTTCTCCGGAGCAAAACCGACGCCTGCCTACTGATCGACGGAGAGAGCCTGGCGCTCTTCCTGACGCACTTCCGTATCGAATTCATCTCTATTGCCGTTCTCTTGCCTACGGTGGTGGCCTGTCGGTGCTCGCCGACTCAAAAGGCCGAGGTTGCGAAGCTCATTCGCGAATATACAAAGAAGCGAGTGTGCTGCATTGGTGATGGTGGCAATGACGTTTCCATGATCCAGGCCGCCGATGTGGGAGTCGGAATCGTCGGCAAGGAGGGTCGCCAGGCCAGTTTGGCAGCAGACTTTTCGATTGAGCAATTTTGTCACCTGGTTAAGCTGTTGGTGTGGCACGGGCGGAATAGCTACAAGCGCAGTGCCAAGTTGGCTCAGTTTGTTATTCATCGTGGACTCATCATTGCCGTCTGTCAAACGATGTATAGTATAGCTCTGAAGTTTGAGCCTGAAGGCTTGTACAAGGTACGTGAAAGCATGATTTTTGCAGCGTCATTTGTTTTCTCTTTTTCACTAACATGGCACAGAACTGGCTCATGGTTGGCTATGCCACTGTCTACACTGCAGCGCCCGTCCTGTCCCTGGTGCTAGACAAGGACGTAGACGAGGACCTGGCAAACCTCTATCCCGAGCTTTACAAAGAACTCACATCGGGTCGATCTCTGTCCTACCGCACATTCTTCGTCTGGGTTCTTGTGTCCATCTACCAGGGCGGCATGATCCAGGGCCTTTCGCAGCTTCTCCTCGAGGTAGACGGCAAGAGGATGGTTTCGGTCAGTTATACGGTGCTGGTGCTCAACGAGCTTCTCATGGTAGCCATCGAGATCACAACGTGGCATCCCCTGATGATTATGAGCATTGTGGGAACATTCATCTTTTACATTGGATCGATGCCGTTCCTTGGTGACTACTTTGACCTCGCATTTTTAATTACTTGGTGAGTTTTCTCCCTTCGCCTTTATATTTTTCTAGATCACCTACCTTTTGTGACTGATGGCTAATCTTTTTTGCTGTAAAATAGGGGATTCGTCTGGCGTGTTTTGGCCATTGGATCCATCTCTCTAATCCCGCCGTATGCGGGCAAGCTAATAAGTAGGACGATGAAGCCACCATCATATAGAAAGGTGCAGAATAGGTAATATGAGCTATAGTTTGGGGTGTATAGGGCGCAGGAGGGGCGTATCGGCGACTCAGCGATTTTGTTATGCGTTGCATATATATGTGCGATATGCAAATAGAGGTTGCTACTGTTTGTTGTTATTCCAGGCTCAGGAAAGACGGGAGGATTCAATAAATGATGATGTTTAAAAAATCCATCTATTAGCCTTTATGTCGCCATTCTATGTTCGTTTTGGTTTATTCTACATATACACTGAGTCTACAGCTTCAGCACAAGCCAGTCGTCTGCCAGCTTTGGGTATCTTCTCTGAAGCTGAGCTGCCACGCCAGCCACCGGTCCTTGAACCTGCTGGCCACCCAGCCATCTCTTGGGTCCAGCATAGTGAGCAATGAAGCCATCCGGCCCCGAAACCATGAAGAGGTTTTTCCCAGCTCCATGCCCGCATCTACACTCCTCCGCTGTGGCGGGGGTCTCAAACTCAGGGGCCATCTCGAGCATTGCTGAGTCGTGCAGTCGGCATCCGGGGCCTGTGGTAGAACGGCTAAGCGGGAGACGCCCATTTTGTCCCCCTGAGATGGCGGTTTGAAGGTCTGCCTCGCGGAACTGCGTTTGCTCCTCATCAATGGCGACTTGCACACGCAGTCGCTGGCCATACTTCGTCTTCATGGCCTTCAGCTGTTGCGCTATGGGACTAGGATCCTGCAGCTGAGCATGCAATTCGACTGGCTTGCTGCTGCTATTCGCATGCCAAAACTGCCACCATGAGGGCCGCGGTATCGGACTGCTGACGCGCTGCAGCTCCTCCCTCTTGCGTACCGCCCACAGGATATTCACCTGCGCATCTGGGCTCCGCTCCAGCACTGCCTTGGCCACCTGCATCGCTGGGACGACGCCTGTGCCGCCGGCGAGGAAGACGACATTGTCCATTGCGCCGAGCCTCGCGGGGACATCGAATCCTACGTGCGGTCCTCTCAGCCAGACATCGTGCCCAACGCCCAGACGGCTGAGGTACGTCGACATTTCGCCGCCTCCGATGGCGCGCACGTAGAAGCGAAGAGATCCATCAGCCGGATCTTCGGAATCTTGAGGGGGAAGAGGCGTGTAGTGGCGGGCGATTTGGACCTGGGGCTGCTTGAACTCGACAGACCAAAGGGGGTAGCGCCATGAGGATGTAGAGGGAGTGAGATACGGGAGAGAAGGGTCTGGGGTATGAGGTGAGATTGTGAAGACGAATGAGGTGGGAGAAATGGCTTCTCGGGAGGTTATTGTGTAGGGGATGAAGGTTTCTGTGTTGAGGAGAGTGGGTTTGGAAGAGGATGAGAAGTAGTAGATGGTGCCGCCGAGGATGGCAGTGGTGATGAGGATGGGGATTTTCCGGGATCTCTTAACGGGGCGGGAGTGAGATTGAGAGGCGGTGGCATATTGTCGGAGGCATCGTGCAGATGGAGATGTTGCTCTCGCTGTTGAGAAGGGGTTTATGAGAGACTGAGACGATTTGAGATGAATGTGGTTAAGTCTTGCCGCAGAAAGAACGGCTCTCCGGCCCGACATTGGACAGATATTAAGATTTAAATGTCAAGAGCAAATAACAATCATGAAAAAGAAGTGTAAAATACGGAATATAATATATCCAATTGAATTTACTCAACTAACAACTGCTTGCCGTAAAGAGAATCTCATCATGGCGGAAAAAATAGGTACGAAAAAAACGGTTGAAGGCGAGTCACGTGTTCTGCCTGTCCCAACTCAGTCTGTCCCTTCTAAGTGACCAAAGCCCATCACCACCTTATTTCATCCAAGGTACCTAGACATCGATGCTTCTCCCAATTGACAAAACAAAATAGCAAGAAAAGCAAGAAAAACGCCGTTTCGCCATCCCGAACAAGCGCAATGCACATAAAAAATCCAAAGCCGCACAGAATAGAACCCCCAATCACGCAATCAGAATCTCCAGGCTGTTGGACTCGTACAGGCCCGAGAACTCATCTGGGTTGGACACATCGTCCCAGTCGGCATCGCCAATCTCCTCCTTGGGCCTCTTCCACACCGACATCCACTGGCCGCTCAGCTTGACGGTCGCGGAGCTGCCCAACTGGCGCACCGGCACCGGGTGGCGGATGACAATCTCGGTGGTGCGGCTCTCGCCCGGGCCCAGCGTCACCAGGCTGTCGCTGGGCGGCGGCCAGGCGCGCTTGAGGGCAATGGTAGGATAGTCGAGCGGCTTGGAGGAGGTTGTGCTGCTGCTGTCGCTGTCGTTGCCGTCGGTCGCGCCGGGGAAGATGAACAGGTTGCCCTGCTCGAGGATGAGCCCGTCAAAGGGCGACTGGTAAGGCGCGATGGTGACGGAGTGCGGGTTGTTGTTCTTGACGGTGGCCACGATGGTTGGCGGCGACGTGGTGCCCTGGCTGATGGAGACGTTGAGGCCGGCGAGGGGGTCTGAGGAAGGCATCTTGTCTTTGCTTTGCTTTACTTTGCTTTGTTCTGCTTTTCTTTTCTGTGCTCTTTCGTCTCGTATCTCTCCTCGTCTCTTCTTTCCTTATCAGCGACTGACTGACTGACAAAGATCAACAGGTGAATGGATGGAATGGAACAGTTGGTTGCGTTTCGCCTCGCCTTTATCTCTCTACTGTAGCTAACACAGGCAGCGCCAGAAACGGCCCTTCGCGCTGGAAAATGGCCGAATCCGGCAGCTTATATGTGCCGGCGTCGAACCCCTAAAGGCTTCGAATCCATTCAAGGCCCGGCCAGGGCGCACTTTGGGTCGCTGCATGCAGTCATCAATCAACCTGATGCACAGACAGGTGGGTCGGCACGAGGCCCTCGCTGCGCTGTAAGCCGTTTCTAGGCCGTAAGAACGCTGCACAGGTAAGACTTCGCCCTCCGTGATGGATCCTGCCAAGCGGCCAATACGGGGTGGTGGTGTAACTGATTCCGGGAGACGGTTGGCGGAAATGCCGAAGAGCTGGGGTAGCGCCGCGACGAGGAGCCAATGGTGGGAGCGATGCAACCGGAATGGCTGCTGCAGTGCGTAAGGCATGTGGCATGTGGCATGTGAACCACCAATTCCGCCACGTTCTTTGCTTTCCTATCTCGGCCATGGACTCGAGGAGTATAGAGTTTACTGTGTATTCGGTTTACATTTATACCTATGTATTCACGTCTACTGTACAGTACATCCAAGATACTCCCTGGGTACGAATCTAATAATCTAAGATACAGTAATGTCAAACATCACAGCCGCAATATCCGTCGCTGCCCATCAATCCCTCCCCGGAACATGTCCTCCACCACGCGCCCCCCCATCACCGTCTCTCCCACAATGCCCTCCACATGCTTCGGCTCTACTCTCCCATACCAAATCCCGCAGCCTGCCAATGCATGCTTCTCGCCTCCCCCAGTCGTAAATCCAGGTGGAATGTAAATAATCACGTTGCCCGCAAACTTGTGGCCCCCGATGTGGCTGATCAGACCGACTCGGGCCACCTTGTCGTTGCTGCTCCCTTCTATCCTCCCCGTCTCCCCCAGGTTCCCATCCAGGTCCCCGATCTGGACAGCTTCGCTCGCAACGTTGAACCCTCGCCTCTCCAGCTTCTCCTCAAACTCGTCCCTCAACACAGGCCCCATGGTGCCGCACCGCAGATCCCGCCCGCCGTGCCCGCATATCAGCACCAGCACGTCCTTGACGTCCTGCACGCCGGGCAACAAGCCCTGGAAGGCCTCCTTTCGAGTCAGCCGGTCGCGGTGCACAGGCGACAGTCCGGCGTGCGCTGGGTGCAGCTTCTCGGGTAGTAGAAAGCCCTTTGCGAGCGCCTTGACGCTGTCAAAGGACACGCGCGGCAGGAAGGGGACGTATTTGAAGCTGGGCAGCAGGTAGGCCGACGTCGACTGGATGGCCTTTCGGGGAGGCACCGAGCTCGGAAAGGAAGAGTTGATGACGGAGATGTGGTGGAACGGCTGCACGTAGCATCATGGCGCGTTAGTTCTAGTTGCTCTGGCCCCCAGTGTTCATGTCTCATGTCTCGCTGGGCTTCGTCCACTTACATCCGTATACTTGCCCCCCCTCCCAAACAGCTCCTTCAGATCCGCCGCCAGATTGTCGCCGCTGTTCTCGTCCTCAATCTTGGACAGCCAGTCGTCCTTGCCCGTACACACAACGACGTGCTCGGCATACCCGGCCATGACGCCATTGAGCGTGTTCTGGTGGTCAATCTCCAGCCCGTCCGGCATGGCTGGGGTGTCGGCGCACGTGCATGTCGGCGACGGACAGCTCGAGACGGTGGGAAACGGCGGGGGATGCGGCGGACGCGCAGATTTCGAGGTGAGGCCTCGTCTTGATGCAATCGCAGCTGGGGCGATGCTGATTCTGGCTCCGGTCCTGGCTCCGGCCCTCAGAGTGCCGAACCGGCGCGGCAGCTCGAGCTTCAGCCTCAACGGCATATACATATAGACAGGGCCACGGGCATGCACATGGACATGAAGAGGCATGCGCAACGACATGCTGGCGACAGGCGACAAAGACAGATGCCAGCGCTCGACATGCTGGTTGATCCGGGGATAGATCAGATCTGCTTCCACGGGGCGGCGAGATTACCGTATGCAGGCCAGGAATCCGCCGATTTAGCTGCTCTCCATCCTTTAGCATGGATAATGTAGGGAAATACCTACGTCAAGTCAGAAAATCTCGGAAACCGAGAATGCGGGCTTTTGGATTTTTAGTGCAATCCATGCTCCGGCTCAGCATCCCTTCTCCACCACGGAGCGGCCCCACGGCGCTAGCTGGCGGCTCCTTACAGGGAGAGGAGAATGGCAATTCAGGGCATCAGAATGGATCAGAATGGAGCGGTTAACGATACTACTATGTATGTACTCTTGACCTGAGTCCGTGCGATCCCATGTGATGCTGACGTTGATGTTACATGTAGTCACATGCCACTTGCTGCATTCTTTGAGCAGTTTAGCACAGTTCTAAGTAGGTAAGTAGGTAACCAGGGGATAATATTGCGTTGAGTACTGGTCCTTACTACCTGTGTTGCCATTCACAACTTCACGGAATAGATAATTTGTAGGGTATATATGCACATGCTCCCAAAATACGCGTATGTATATTATAGCTGAAAATCAAATATGCTGCCAATCGCTCCCCCTTTCTGTATCTGTACCGACTCTCTCTATCGCAAATTACCCAATGGCCTACATGTAAGTACACAAAAGTGAATCATCCTCCTCTATACAAGTCCTTGCAATCTGAATGTTATCCCAGTCCAATCCCTCATCCTAGTTATCCAAAGCCCTAATGAAACAAACAAACGAAAAAAAAAAATGACTAAATACTTTACCGACGACTACCTAAGCATATCAAAAGCACCACACAGTGCTCTCTTCTCTCCATGCATCAGCGCCGTCCAAACTTATGGGCCCCTTCGGTCACAGTATCCAGGAGCTTTAGGCTCAGAGTTGGCCCAGCTCATAACAGTCAAACTTGTGGTGTAGGCCATGGCGATGAAGCCAAAGATGCACAGCCCAATGTCCGACCACCTCCAAAACCTGTTTCGCGCAACGGCCTTGTAGTGGAGCAGGGGCTATAGGAGAGCAATGTCAGCAAATAATGTCTGCCAAAAAAGGTACAAGTGAAGAGGGTTAGATAAAACTCACAGGGTAGATATAGACCAAGGGAATGCAGGCGAAATTGCCCACGAGCGCGACGAACTTGTCGAGGTTGTCAGCGCCGCCCCAGGCAATGGCAGCACACAACATCACGACGAAGAAGCGGAAGATGTTCTTCTGCCACTTGATCCAAGGGTTGTACTTGCCGCTCCTGGTAAACAGCTCGGTTTCGGCGATACGGATGGCGGGGAAGATCTGCAGCGGTGTCGACAGCAGGATGGCTACCGAGTAGAGGAGTTGCACCACATTGACCATGCGGTTGTCCTGCGGCAGGTTGAGCAGGACGACGGTTTGTGTCTTGGAGCCGTACGCGGCGTAGGAGATGGCGCCCATGACCGTGAACAGGACGGTGATGATGATCATGACCAGGAACATGACCTTGGGGAACTTCTCCGGCTGCTTCATCGATTCCTGGATGGGGATGATGAGGCCAATGCCTTCAAAGGTAAAGATGGCCGTTCCGATAAAGAGCGTCCAGTCCCGCTGGTTGAACATGATAATGTCGGCGAGGCCCTCGGCCGCAAGAGTCAAAACATCGTAGTAGAAGAGGTACGCGAGACCAATCAGGATAAAGGCGTCGGCAATCAGTGCCGTGAATCCAAGTTTGCCGATATCTCGCAGTAGAGAGAAGGGCAGGAAGACAACCATCTGCATGAGAATCAGCATTGGGATGCTGATCGATGTCCGGCAGTTCGTCACAGCCAGGATAAAGGCCTGCAAGTTTTCCGAGGTAAAGACGATGTAAGCAGCGACAAATCCGACCTGACTGAGGACAATCGACGCCAGAATAACGGCTCGCATCCACTTTCCGTACAGAATACCACCCATGTCACCAAACGAACCCTCGACGTGGAGTCGCGTTGTGACCAAGAGAACGAAACAGTAGTAACTTAGCAGGGCCACACCAAGGAGAACCAGGTTGCTGAAGAGCATGCCGCCGTTGAGGTAGGCACGCGGCAAGAACAAGACACCGGTTCCCACAAAGGACTTGAGCAGCAGCAGAGCAGCGTTCATCTGGCTGTTCTGGCCACTGCCGCCGCGCACCTTTCTCTTGCGCTTCTTTTTCGAAGGGCCCAGCAGCGCGCTGTCTTCCATGGGCTCTTCGTCTTCTTCTTCGCCATTGTCCTCTCCAGATTGGAAGTATTCGTTGGGGCCGAGTACTTCGTCATCTTCTTCCAACTCTTCACCGGCGAAGTGGCCGTAAATGGTCAGGAATTCAAGAAAGCTCGACGTGAATAGTGGCCGGTTGCTGCCAGGGGAATCAGCTCCTCCGTAGCCGTTCTCATGGTCTCCAGAAGGGCTGATGACGTTTCTTCGAAGATGGTTCCTTCGGAAGCCGCCCGGCACCTTGATGGAGTTGATGTCAAGCGTCTCGCTTTCAGGCTCGGGCCTAGAATGATCGAAGCTCTTACTACGCTGCATCCTTGTTTTGGCCTCTGCCTGCTCAGTCCACTTGTAGATCCCCCGTGTCACATCTCCACCTTGCAGACGCAGACTCGAAAACTCATCCTCGTGCAGACCGGTTGTACCAAAGCCGAAATCGGCCGTCTGCTTGCCCTTGCCAGTTTCGGACGACGCTTCTGACGTGGGTTTATCCATCTCGCTAGGGTGCACCAGATGCCTCTTGACGATCTCCGGATCTTCAAAGGGCCCCGTGCTCTCCGCTCCAGGGCGGCCCCTCGAGTCGAAGGAGCCGTAGTTTGTCGGTGTAGCAGAGCGACCAATGCCGGAGGGAGACTGCGGACGGACCGGCGGTGTGCGGACGCGGGCTGGAGGAGTGCCATGTCGCGGCGGCGTTTGCCCCAGGGAGTCGGACAAGGCCGCGGCTAGAGCAGATACACCAGGACCTTGGGCAAAGGCGGAACCTTCGCCAAGCGCGCCGCCTTCAGGTTTTGAGAATCCGGGACGAGGCGAACCGCTTCTCATCATGGGCGACGAGGATCGGACCGGCTCCGCGAGTCTGGCAGTAACTTCATCTCGGGGCAGAGATGACGAGAACGGCCGCTGGCTGGGCGAGGAAGACAATGCAACGGGGTCTGGGGTTAACCCGCTCCTCGACGGCGAAGACATTGTGATGGTGTTGTTGTTATCAATCTCTGTCTAGTAAACGTCAAGCCTCCTATCGCATATCGGTCTGCCGTATAGTAGAGGAAGATGCGTCGCTCTGGGAGTGCCAAAGCAAGCGACTCTGATCGCGAGGGAGACTCGGTGACAAACCAAAACACGGCAAGATAAGGTTCGGCGGCGCCCGGAGTCGAGAGTCGAAGGACAGGATGATGATCCGAGGTGATGCCGCTTGAGTTTGGAGATGCTCGTGTTAAGAGATGCTTCAAAGAGGAGATGCGGTTGAAAGAAAACAAAGGCAGAATGCTGGTGTGAGCGAGGATGAAAGAAGTGCAAGCTAATCTATTGGCATAGATTACTCCGTGAGTGCAAGTACGAGCTGCCAAAAGGTCCTTGCACTAATGACGGAGAAGCCACACTAGCCGCCTTGGCGGGTCGCAGGAGACGTGGAGAGGTACCGGCGAGGTACCGGCGTCAAGGCAGCAGCAGCGCAAACGCGCCAGGCACAGGTGCGAGTACCTTACAGGCCACAGGCACGGCACGGGGTGCAGGTACAGTCACAGTACAGGGACTCGCTGGCAAGGCGGTAACGGCACTCGACGTGTTGCGGCGCTGGCCGTTCAAATTGCACCGCCCCAGCAGCGCTCACAGCGGCTACGGTCTGGTGACTGGTAGGGGCTCATCAGTGGGCCTTCAGCGGCGAGGGCCCGCTGTGACATTGATTGATGCGACCTGGAGTCCAAGATCGGCTCGATTCGCTGCGTCGCCTGAAGCGGCAGCTGAGCGCAGGGCCTAAATCCCACAACCAATATTTGCATACAGCCCAAACACATTTGATGGATTTTGTCCAATCCCGCCAGCACGCAATCGTCCATCGAGCGAATAAACAGCATCAATCAGCCATTGGGCGGGTACCAGGCAAGATGAGGGGTCTCAGTTCAAAGGGCCCTCGGCTCGACGACCCGTCAGTTGGCCGGATATAACAGCGCTGAGTTGGTACAAGCTACAAGCTACAGTACAAGGTTTGCACTTTGCTGCTTGATAATTGTGCATGAAGCTTATCGTGAGCCTGGGGTTGCGGTGGTATGACTAACAACTTGGCAGATTTGAGACAGAAACGGTAAATGAGGCATTGTGCCGCACGCAATCGGAGAGTCCTGATTTGCTCCGTCTACCGTCAAGGGCGAATACAAGACGCTGTGCGGTCACGCTGCGAACCCTGTGACTCCGTGTCGAATATGATGGAGATAGCACTGACACACGCAGCATGATGCTGTACTCACTTGGTACCAGCAAGTGGTGGCAGATATCTCACGTCTCCCGTCAGCGTTTGCCCCCCCAGAAATTCAATTCCCTGCCAACCTCAGCCACCAGGACCCAAGACCACGCCTCCGGATAAGAGCGGGGAGGCCTAATTGGACGATGTCGCCAGTGCGCGAGCCAGTATGGTTATCACGAGGCTGGACCATGCATTCCGCTGGCTGCTGACACTGGGCTTATGCTTTACTTGATGATAACGATCGAACCTAATGCCTATAGATGCCCTCTTAGGTGCCGTTGCCTGCCCATGGGGTAGTTGAGATGCCTGGTCACGCCGAGACGCCTCAAAGCTGCATCAACACCAATCCAATCCATAGCGAACGGGACGAGCCGGTGGACATATTAACCAAGTGCCGCACTAGATGATGATCTCCGTACGATGGGCCTACATACTAAGCGGGATCAAGCACTCTTCATACTTGCGTTTCTTCTGCACCATTACAGTGTTACACTCTTGGTCACCAAAAACTCCCATTGGCAACCAATAAACGATGGATATGAGCATCAGGAATATTCCTTGCACCACAATGCATTGCCTGGCTCGGAATGCCGTCATGGCGCGTGATAAATAGAAGCGGGGCAGGCAGGATGATCGCCGCGCATATGCGTGACAGTCTCTGTTTCTACAGTATGGAACGATGAGGCTGCTACATTTTTTTCAATGAAACTGAGTAATGTTTGAAGTGTCGTTTCTATAACCGGAGCTCACTTTCATACAGGGGACTGTGGCCGGCCTTGACATGTTGCAGCCTTGCCGTTGCATCGAGGGCTGCCGTTTATATGGCTTATAACCGTGGCCAAGCAGCCGACAAAAAGCACAAACTGCCCGCAAATCAAATTCCATCGAGTCCCGTAAGAGCCGGGTGAAGATCATCTTGCCTGCCTGCCCCTAGGATGACGACCACCTCCATCCCACCACTGCGGAGCTTACAGTACGATTCTCACCTGATCTGTGGTTTTCTGGACGAGAGATTTATACAGTATCAACGGTGAAGCTAGCCGGCTTAGCACTAAAGTCTAGCGGTAGTGCTTGAGCCAAGCTCAAGTTCGTCCGTCCACGGCGCCAGGGTCACAAACAGACAGCAAGCAAAAAGAGGGTTTTGCCGAGGGAGGATCGATTCACACAAGTCGAACAAAGACCTCCACGATACAGCATCGTCCCCGTAACGAGATAGAGAGCCATTATGTGACGAGACGTGCATATTCATTATGCAACGGCAGCTTCAAACTTGATTTGCAGCATCTTTACATGCGAAATACCAGCATGATGGCGTCGATGGCTCTCTCACCAGCTGCCCCGCTGCAGATCCCAGAACCTTGGCGTGACGCCGGCCTTGATTGATTTTAACGGTATTGGTCACTGCTATAATTTTAGTAGCTCGCCTGGGGATTGATATTGCCGTGATCGCCACCATAGTTTTGTGCGCGCTGCTTTTGATGGTCTCTCAAACCACCTCAACTCGTCGCTGGCAGAGGCGGTGGAAGCCGCTCGTTGCATTTTCCTCCTCTTCTTCTTCCACTTCAAATTAATTTTCACTCTATGCTGTGGTCGTGTTTCACATGAGACATCAATCAAGGTACGGAGCGCAAAGAGGGAGGCTCTTTGGAATACGTCGCCCGTAACCAGCACTTACAAGTTCGTTACGCGACCTGAGAGCCTCACGACGATCATCGTGTCAGCCATGCCTCATCAGTCGCCGGAAAGAAAAGGATCCTTAGCAACGGCCATGGAAGCCGCAAAGGGTGCTGGCAACGGCAAACTGGGCACCGTATCTGGCGTCTACATCCCCGTCTATCTCAACATCCTGAGCATCCTCATGTTTCTCCGGTTTGGCCACATCCTGGGACAAATTGGCTTCATCGGCATTCTAGGTGAGCAGCAAGTAAGAAACGGAAGATGTTATGACGCTCAGTTCCAACCAGTCTCGTCACACTAGGTCTTCTACTCGCCGCGTATTGCATCGATCTTCTCACTGTCCTGTCGCTTTCCGCTATTGCATCTAATGGCGAAGTCAAGGGCGGAGGCGCTTACTACTTGATTTCCAGGTCTCTTGGCCCAGAATTTGGCGGCTCTATCGGCATCTTGTTCTATCTGGCCCAAGCTTTGAATACCGCAATGAACGTAGTTGGTCTCATTGACTGCATCAGACTCAACATGGGGTCCAGCTTCCCTCAAGGGTATTGGACTGGTTATGGGCTCCAGACAGCTGCTTTGATGTTGTGCACAGCTCTTTGCCTGCTTGGCTCGTCAACATTTGCAAAGGCCTCGAATGCACTGCTTATTATTCTAACTATCGCCATCATCAGCATCCCGGTATCTGCCATCTTCAAGACGCCTTTTGTAGATGAAGCAGCTGGAATCAAGTTTACGGGAATCAGCGTCGATACGCTTATTGGAAACTTTGTACCCCGGGTCTCTGAGGGGAGTTATGGGGGCATCAGGACATTTCGAGATCTCTTCGGTGTTCTCTTCCCGTAAGTACTTCCCACCAGTACCCGTTCACAAGCACCATATCAGCTAATAGTATCTGGCATAAAGAGCCACTTCGGGGATATTTGCTGGGGCTTCCATGTCTGGGGATTTACGAAATCCGAGCAAAGCTATTCCAATAGGAACACTATGGGCGACCCTTACAACATTCATTGCCTATTTCACCGTCATCCTATCGATGGCAGCGGCTATCACTCACGAATCTTTCTTGGCCAACAATAACATCATTTCTCTAACGAGCTTGTACGCCCCTATTATCCTAGCCGGAGAATGCGCCGTCACTTTCTTTTCGGCTCTGATGGGGGTCATTGGTTCAGCCAAGCTCTTTCAAGCGCTTGCTCGCGATAAGCTTCTCCCAGGGCTATCGCTCTTTGGGAAAGGATCTAAAAATGGCGATGAACCCATCTTTGCCATATTTTTAACTTACTCTATTGCGCAAATTGCCCTTTTCGCGGATTTGAATCAGATCGCTACACTCATCTCCATGGGTTATCAGGTCAGTGTGTAGACAGGCGTCTGGATTATGTTACTCGTTGCATTCATGCAGCTAAGCTAACAAGTCGAATAGATGACCTTCTTTGTCATGAATCTAGCTTGCTTCCTTTTGAAAATTGGATCTGCTCCCAATTTCAGGCCCAGTTTTCAGCTTTTCAGCGCAGAAACTGCATTTCTTGGGAGCTTCCTATCTGCAACCGCCATGTTCTTCATTGATGAGACTTATGCTTCAACCGCAATCTGCGCTCTCATTCTAGTATTCTTGCTGATTCATTATCTTTGCCCCCCGAAGCACTGGGGTGACGTCTCTCAGAACCTCATCTACCACCAGGTGCGAAAGTATCTGTTAAGGCTAAAGCCAGAGCACATCAAGTTTTGGAGACCGCAAATCATTCTCCTTGTCAACAATCCCCGACGGCAGGCTAGACTCATTCAGTTTTGCAATTCACTGAAGAAAGGTTCGCTCTATATCTTGGGCCATGTTATCGTAACGGACGACTTCAATGCGGGAGTCCATGAGGCGAAGCTTCAACAAGCAGCTTGGACGCGATATATATCCGAATTTTCAAAGATTAAAGCATTTGTACAGCTTACAATGTCGCCGTCTATCAACTGGGGCATCCGAAATCTCATCCTGTCATCGGGCCTAGGAGGTATGAGGCCCAACATTGCCATTATGGGATTTTACAACATGGACGATCTACGAAGATCTAGCCATCGATTAAGGGTGCCAGATATTCCAATGGCTCCCGCTTCTAAAATGAATCGACCGCCAAAGTCCCATGGGGAAACAGTCACAAGGCGTCGCGGCGATACGTCTGCTCGCTTACTAGAGGGGTTCCTACCTACCGATGCAATCCGTAACGAGGATATGATGTCTCCGACAGAGTATATGACGGCCTTGGAAGACTTGGCTCTGGTATATCGGCTGAACGTAGCTGTTGCGTACGGATTTGATGAACTAGAGACGCCCCGAAAGGACGAGTCCAACACAAAAAAGTATATTGACTTGTGGCCTATCCAAATGTCTGCCGAGGTTTCATCACAAGGAAAGAATATGTTGACTTCTAATTTTGATACCTGTAGGTTTAGCTTGATCTCTCTTAGTAAATGCCTCTCTTTGAGCTTTGGGTATAGCTAACTTTCAACAGACACTCTCATTCTGCAACTGGGTCATATTCTCCGAAGCGTCCACACTTGGAAACGAGTCTTTACAATCCGGGTCATGGTCTTCGTCGAATATGAAACCGAAGTTGAAGAAGAGCTGGCGCGAGTCCAGGCCCTTTTAGAGAAGCTGCGTATCGACGCCGAAGTCCGGGTCTTTTGGTTGGCGTGCGGCCAGTTGGACACATATGAGCGCATCATTAACGGCAGGAGCAGCAACCTCGACTGTGAAATTGTCGTTGGTGACGCATTGAGAGATGAGGAGTGGTGGAATGATTTGGAAGACTTCCGCGGGAAAACCGAAGCCATGTCGTCCAGCCAAGAGTTTACGCATCTGGCTCATATCCTTACTTCAACCTCTGGACGACCTGGAGTATACAATCCGCATGAGGAGCTAGAATCGCGACGACGGCGTTCCAGTGTCATGAACCTTCCGGGTATACCCAAAAAGCCGAATATTGGCTCCCTTTCCAAGATGGGTATCAATATCGGGATGCACACTCATCACTTGAACGAAGAGGTCTTTGAGGAATCTGATTCGGAATACGAAAGCGGGAGTGATACAGATAGCATAGGCACAATGGGATCTACAATCGATCCGGCATTGCCAGAAATGCCATCTTCGAATCTTTCACGGGAGCCACGAACACCGAGGATGCGGGAAAATGGAGCTTCTGACCTGACCGTCAGGCCAGGATATCCTGCCAACGGCAATCGCCCAACTACTCCATCATATGGTACCATGTCAACATCTCAAACCTTTTCACAAACTCACAGCGGGCATGATTCGGTCATCATTCCAGCAGCTCAGCGGATTCCCGAGGTCGACTTGGACGCCACCCCGCGAGCGAATAACCGACAGAGGAGCAGCTTCAAAGTCGAAATTAAAAGCATAGAGTCTTTTCCGAATTTAGATCAGTTAGCAGTCCCTGATGCTCGCCACAATACCTTTCCATCAAGCAGCTCAGCAATGACCTCCAGTGACCGATATTCTGGAGATGACGATACATCAACACCCCGACCGGGTCTATCGCGACAGTCATCTGCCGCACGGTTTTCAAGCCGACCTGTTCCAGAGATGAGAATAACGACGGAAGCAGGAAGCTCGAGGATTGGTTTCGCCACGACCAGCTCCTCAAGCCCAGGAACCCCTAAAACAGACCGCCCATCGTTCTCTCGACAGTCGTCTCTCGGCAAGTCCTCCGCGCAACCACTATCTAAATCGAGGAGAAACTTTGGAGGAGGCGTGCGGGCGATTTCATATACCGAGCAGCCAACGTATTATGCACGCGCAAGTACACAGCCTCTTTACCAGTCTCGACTGGAACCTCAGCCTTCGCACGTTGATCAAGGGGATGTCAGCTTGAACATCCCTGAGCTTGTACAATCCTACAGACTTGATACCGAAGCAAGCCAGGCAGATGGTACACCTTACTCTACACAAGGCGTTGCTTTGTCCTTCAACGACCTGCCCAGTCGAGCGCAGCACCTAATCTTGAACGAACTTATGCGACAGAATTCCAAGTATACGGCCGTGGTTCTAAGCACTCTACCAGTTCCCATTGAGGGGACGTGCTTGGACAATGATAAAACGATCAAATATCTTTCGGATGTCGAGCTATTGTGTCATGATCTTCCGCCTGTTCTCTTGGTGTTAAGCAATAGCATGACGGTCACAGTGAGTTTGTAGATGGGAATTTCATGGGCATTTGATTTGAGCGATTGCACAATAGCAAATTGCAGTAAAATTAGCGGACATTGATTTTTTTTTCTTCATTCATTATCATGACCATTCATGGCGCGTATATAAAATGTATCATCCCCTCCAAATTGAGACATCGAGGACTTCTCGTCTTTTGTATATAAAGCAGTTCATAAGAGAGATTTTTACGACTATAAAAGATCTTTTGTCACATTGATGGTGAATTGTTCAACAGCACATGAAAGTATTGGTTTTGGATGGGCGGTAAATGTTTCAAGGCAACAAAGAACAGGCGGCTGTTCAAGCTCGTGATCCAAGGTGAATGCCCCTTTATTCCTCTCCCACCTCATACTTATCTACTGACTATTAATTTTTCTTGTGACCAAAGAAAAAAAAAAAAAAAAACCATGGTAAGATAAGATGCCATCAAATATGCCACTTCACACCTTCCAGCGAAAAAATCGCAAGGAATCATCCCATACAGTCGAAAAGGAGCAAGAATTTCGCATGACCCATTTCCCAGACAGGCCCCTGAAAAGAGTCGCATTCAAAGACATTCCCGGAGAAGCAGACTGCAGACGGATATTGTCAGGCTGGAAGAGTGGCAAGATGATGCCGCCGAAAATGTACAGCAGCAGAAGAATGAGTCGAATCATCGAGAGAGAGTCGGAGTGTATGAGCGATGTGCGTCCAGAATTGCAGAGGAGGCAGTATCATGAGAATTACGAGAAGCAAGGACTAGAGCAGTATATTCGTGTGGAACCGGGGTCGGTTCCAAGTAGCAGTCGAATGGCAGAACATGGTTTCATAGATCGAATTCCTCCAGAACATCAGCACGCGTCGGAACAGATTCTTCTACCAAGAACGACTTACAACCCTCAGCTCGAATCAAAAGCAACAGAGTCATTGCCAAAAGCATCCCATCCATCAACACCACCCTCCACCATATATCCTCGCCGACCAACACGATCCTCTACGCCACATCGTCGAAGCCCTCCTATACCTCCATCCACATGCCCCCTCTGCCACTCCTATTCAAGAGACAACCACGGCGACCTCTGCAGCACATGCAAATCGGAATTCGCAATGCCATTCAACGATTTCTGCGAAGACGACGAGAGCATTTTGTGTTCCTCTGCCTGTCTCCCCAGTGTCGAACATCTCGCGCCCAAGGAGCTCTATGGTTATTCTAGTTCAGTGTACTCGTCAGATACGAGTTCTACAGACAATAATAAACTTGCAACGTCGCCCCAATTGTTAGGTGACGCTGATAATACAATCTCGCCAGTGTCGTCATCTTCGAGCATGGAGGATCCATGTATTCTAGGGCCGGATACGAGGAAATTGGCAAGTCATCCGAGTCAGTATGAAAGAACGGAGATGGAAGAGGAATATCTGGATTTATATGATCGCGATTGGGCAGAGTACTACTTTGATGAGAGTAACTTTACTCCTAAAAAGGATCCATGGGAGAGTCTCTACAAGTACGTGTTGGTTCTACACAATACAGCACAGAACAAGTAATAGAAACCATTTGAGAAAAGAGAGCAATAATATAAATGTCCATATTCTATTTGCCCATTGTATCTGCGTTTGTATTCCATGTCATTCCCAGTCGCCTGTCTAATTTTCTTCAAGTCATCGCATCATCTATATCAAAACCATCTCTACAACATTCTCTTAACAAGCAACTCCCCTTTATCCCCACCATCTAATTCGATCAAGCCACCAGCCTCTATTCTCTTCTTCCACTTATTACTCTCGTATCGTGCCAAGATCATCGTTAACCGTAGCACAACACCGTTGCTCGAAGAATGCTCCTCGGCGCTCTCAGCTAGAGGCGTAAACGTCCATCGACCAAAAGCCCAGTTCAAGATGTACCGGCCACGGGGGTGGGCTTCAGGCTGCGGTACGTCTGGGTCGGAGTTCTTGGGTGTGGATGAGAGAGTGAGGACGGACTTGATGCGGTAGGCCTCATCCTTGGGAGCTGATTTGAGAAACCCGAGCAGCTTCTCTGTGGAGACGGCAGCACCGCTGTCGCCTTTGAGCTCTACCGAGAGCACTTCGACCTCGCTTTGGTGGCTGTGGCTGTGGTTGTGTTTATGGCCATCGCCGTTCGCATCGTGATCGTGATTGTGCTCTCCGTTGACTTCCACTTCCGTCAACTCCCTAGCCAGGCCACCATCAACACCAAACACCACGCCGATATCAACCAGTCCTTTGTCGCTCTTGACACGGGCCACGTCCACATCCAAGTCGCCCACTCTATCCAAGCAGTAATCGTATCGGTCCTCGCCCGCAGTCTCCCACTTGTTAAACACAATCAAGTCGGTATATCGCGCCTGAATCTTGGCCGTATAACTCGTGTCCTCGTACCCCTTCCAATTCTCCACGTCAATGACGCTGATGACGCCATCAAGGACATATTTGCCCGTATCTCTCGCAATTCGGTTAACCTCGAGCGCTAGAGTCGCCGGAAACGCAGATCCGCTCGTCTCGATGATGATGCGATCCGGTGCGACAGTCTTTTCGAGTTCTGCAAGCGCGGGGCCGAGCTGGCCTACGAGATTGCAGCAAATGCATCCGTTGAGCAATTCTTGGACGCCGGAGATGGCTGAGCTGGAGGCCAGCTGGGAGTCTACCGCGAGGTCGCCGAACTCATTCTTTAGCAGGGCGAGTTTGTATGAGGGATTCTGGGCTCGGAGTTGAGGGATGAGGTTGAGAATGAGGGTCGTCTTGCCAGAGCCCAAGAAGCCCGTGACGATGGTAACAGGAATCGGGACAATTGTAGAGCCCATTATTAAAGAAGGCGTTTATCTTGTTCGTCTATATCGAATCAAACAAAAGAAAGAAGAAAGAAAACCAGTATTCAATCACTGGTTATGCCTTGATCATTGTCATGGAGGAAAATATCGCGGCTTGTAAATCACATGGAGGAGGAATAGAGGAATGCACATAGGATGATTTGCTTATCTTATCAGCGCCGTTCACCGGACCCCCCGAAGCCTTAGCAGCAGCGCTAACTAACAGCCGCTATAATTTCAGGGAGCAGTTCACGGGTACTGTACCTCGCAGCGGCCAACACCTCTCTGCACAGTACCGGTTCTCACTGATCTACAGCACTCTTCTTCCAAAGTCTCAACTTGACGTCACCCTTCGCTGTAAGATCCAAAGTCTAAAGCGCCAGCCATGACATCGTTTAAGGAATCCAAAGTCGGCAAAGTCGCCCTTGATGTCGCGACTTCTAGCATATATTTGGTGTTCATTCTTTTTGATGTTTTGCGAGACCAATACGACAAAGTGCACTACATGATGAGCTCGCCCAAGAAGAACAACAACAGCAGCAGCAGCAGCAGCAGCAGCAGCAACTCGGCACCGGCGCCGACGTTCAAGGAGCAGCTCGACAACAAGGCGATTGAGAGCCGGATCCACGAGAACGAGAGCGAAGGGAGCTCGGTGGTTAAGACTGTTGTCGATACGAGTAAGTTTATCTCTTCTCGACTGCCCAACTTATATAGTTGAATGGGTGAAAAGCCATACGACCTGGTCACTCTTCTTGGCTACAACTCAAGTTAACATGCACGCGACAGTATCGCATGTCATTCCCGCGGCCGCGCCCATCATCGGCGGATCAAATCCAGACAGCAAGGTGGAGGAGAATAAAGAAGAGCCCGCAGGTCCTCCTCATCGACCAGAGCATGACACCCAGATTGAAGAATTCGTGAGGGAGCAGCATCGAAGCACCATTGCAGACAATGTGAGCTCCGGAATGGAGTGATGGACTTATCCATGTATTCAGTCCAGCAGGTCTCTTTCATGTACCAATAGCCATCGAGCTTTACTTTGCTTTTTTTGCTTTAATACACCAAAGTCTGCGCAAATACTATGCAGAGCCTTACAGATTGAAATAATTCGAGACTCGTGCGTCATAGATGATCTTGTGCTACCAGACATTTCTGCCCTTGATTCGCACTCAAACACCACGAGCAGAATCCCCAATCATCGAGGGACTACGATGCGAGGCAGCCAATCTCCCCAGCTGAACGGGCACATCCGAGGATCTTCAAATCGTCCCCAACAAAAGCGTCAGTTTGACAGCTGACAGCTGATAGATTGCATAGCCCCTCTTCAGCTCTTCAGCTCTTCAGCTCTTCAGCCGCACTTTGGCACTATGGCACTACAGCAAGGGCGCAGGCACGCGCGCACAAAACAAGAAAATAATCCCGAGCTTTGGAAAAAGCTGGCATGTCCCCCCTTCTTGGCGTCTACCGCCCACTGATTAAAAACGTAGCGGCAGACTTCCTATATCCAAGGGTTTTACTCTTCTGAGCGTTTCCCACGAGGGGAAAGGCAACGCAACACCGTGGGTTAGCTGGGTGAGGGTCGTGGCAGCTCAGTTGGCTTTTTGATAAAGAAGAAAAGAAGAAGAAAAAATTCAAAAGATTGGCTGGCGATGGCGGCTTAAAAAGGCTGCGGCAGGGTGGGGCTGTGGGAAGTTGTGGATGATGACTCAGCAGGGTTTAGTTTTTTTTTTTTGCAGCGTGAGATACGTACTTCCTAGCTCCAAGCGATTGCGGAGCTCTACTAACTCTGATATTCAAACATACATACTCCGTATAGGGTAATGGGAAACAAACACCAGTTGAGCTCTCTAGAAAGCATATATAACAGGTATACTAGAGGAGTTGCCCCCTTTATTCTAGCAATTCATCTGTAGTGAATAATCATTGCTTTCGATTTTAAATACCATCATAGCTAGCAACATTAAGCAATGCCACTGTCAGCGCACACACAATTTGACGTCAATTTGACGTTATGAAGATGACGCTACAAGGGCATCAGGATGAATACATCCACCACATCACATACGAGTATATAAAATGAGTGATAATCAGTCTCGTGGTGTTTACGTTGAGAACACATTATAAGATGCGATATTCATCATGTGGTCTCTAAGGCAGCGTCGTCAAATTAAAGAGCAGGTCATTCGGGAGCTCAACCAAAGAAGAGAATCGCAATCGCAATTACTATCGAATGGGCGTGCCGACCTCGAGGTGAATCAGCCTCTCCAGCCATATCATAGAGAAGAATCTTCGCTTCATGCTGGACCACCTTTTCAAAATGTGAAATCGGACCCAAAGGCTTCATCCAATGGGCAATTATTAGTCACCTGCGGACCTGACGATACGCTCAATCCACAGAATTGGCCGCTGATTTCAAGGTGTAAGAACCTTTTCATATTGGCATTTCTCATCTTTACCCAAGGCTGGGCAGGTGCCTCCCAATCAATGGAGAATTTAGTAGCAAGTTCAACGTTTCATGTAAGCCAGACAACGGAGAGTCTAGATACCGCCATGTATCTTTTTGGTGTTGGAATCGGCGCTCCATTTGCAGGTCCATTGTCCGAGACGGTGGGAAGAAATCCTGTATACCTATTGGCTACTTTCTGCTATCTGTTCTTCGTTTTGGGATCTGCCAAGGCAACCACATTTGGCGGGCGTATTACCTGCCGTTACTTCGTGGGCTTGTTCTCCAGTGCTACTTTGTCCATCAACGGATCCAGTGTTAGGGACCAGTTCAGAGACGTAAAAAGAGCTTTCGTCTTCCCAATTATTGCTTGGGTTAATGTAATAGGTGAGTAGCATGGTTCCCCTACGATCGTCATCTATAAATGCTGATGATACTGATAATTCTGAGACAGGCCCTGTAACTGCTCCGGTAGCAAGTGGCTGGCTCGTTTCTAGCCCTGGATTGAGTTGGCATTGGCCTGATTGGGTTACGTTAATAATATCCGGTGCAGCCTTCTCGATTGCAGTTCTGTTTCTTCCAGAAACATACTTGCCGCTGCTTTTGGATTGGAAAGCAAAAGAACTTCGGCATTTGACTGGCGACGATAGGTTTACATCTGAGCACGCCATGGCAGCCAATTTCCTAGGACGCCTGAAACACAACATCACACTTGGGGTTACGTTTTTTCGAACAGAGATTATTGTAACGGTACTGGGCTTCTACCTTCTACTCCTATACACGCTACTTTTTACTTCCCTGTCTGGATTCGATTTCATCTTCAAGGACACATATGGGCTCTCCACGGGCCTTACCGGTAGCTGCTTCGCCTCTATTGCAGTAGGATCGACGCTTTTCACATTCAGCGCACCAGGCTTATACAGCTGGGCCCGCAGAGTTACAGAACATGTGCGTGGGGCATCTGTTGAACCCGAATTTCGACTATGGCCTGCGATTGTTACATCGCCCTTGTTGCCCATGTGTCTTTTCTGGCTCGGATGGACCAACTACCCTCAAATTACTATATGGTGCGGACTGAGTGCCTGTTTAGTGTTCGGTATTGTCTTGACTGCATTCTATGTGAGCAGTTATGAATACATAATAGATAGCTACGGTGACCATTCAGCCATCGCTCTTGCGAGTGTTACATCTGTCCGGTATTTGGCTGCAGGCGGTATGGTAATGGCTACGCGCCCAATGTATACGGCCATCGGTGTCCATTGGACTATGACGATCCTGGGTTGTGTTGCAGCTATACTGAGCCCTGCTCCTCTTCTGTTCTGGTTCCACGGACCCAAACTCAGATTGAAAAGCAAGTATGCGAAGAATCCACGACAAGACTCATAGGAGTCATTGGACAGCAATTTATTATATTAAACTTAACAAAAACGCTCTATAACTGTAAGCAGAGTTGGGTAATCATGTCATCATCAAAACGCCAAACTTCCAATCATCCCGATGCTGCTTTGAGGCCCTTTCCCAGGAGCTCACTTCCAACTTCTGTAATCAGTGCCTCCTTAGGGAAAGCCTTCTTCTTTGCCAACACCGTTCCCTCGGCATCTAGAGCTCGAAGGAGGTCGGCAAGCTCGCCTTGAAGATCTGTGTAGTACACCAGGTGACCCAATGCCGAGAGCATGCCCTGAAGAGCTTCCGCCGATGCCTCTTCCTGAGCGATTGCCTCAACCACGGACGCTGCAAGCTCGATTAGATCCTCATCTGGGAGACTTGATTTAGCTTCACCAAGCCTTGATTTGCGGTCTGCCAGTGCGATGTTGAATAAGAGTGACGACGCCGCCACGCGAGTATTGCTGTGGCTGTCGTCGAGGAAGCTGGTTGATATCAATCGGGTGATTGGTGCCCGAAGGTGCTCTTTCCGTAGGATTTCATCTGGGAACAGGGGCGTGGAGAAAAAATTACATGCCATCTGCAAAGTGACAAGACGTAACGCATATGGGCACTCGCTCTGCTCGTTAACGGCATTGAGGATGCTCACAGCCGTCTTGTGTTCCGTCTCTTCGGCGAAATACCCGCTAACCCGAGGGTCCAGAAGAGCACACCGGAGAAGATCAACAATAGTAAACATGGTATCGATAGGCAGCTTGGTGACTGACTCTTGAAGAAAACTGGCCATGTGTCCCATATTTGGCAGTACTGCATCCAGAGCCTCGCCTGTAGCGCGGTCCTCAATGAATCGCTTCAGTTGCTCGACTTCTGGCTTGCTCGAAATCTCGACCCCCATCTTGGCCACCAGTTTCTGCATCGGCGGCACCTTTCCAAACAATACGGGCTTCGTATTGGGATTGGCAAACGTGGGAAGCCGTAGCTTCTCATGTGGGTGGCTGGGATGCGCCATCTGTACCAGCAACTGGACATTGCCTCGGAGAGCAGCTTGGTCAGCCCCAGACCATCTATTCTCCTGTTCTCCCTTTAGGAAAGTGATGAAAGTGGGCGTTGCACTGATCGAGTATTGACTGGCGACCAAGCTCGCCTGTGGCTGCGCGATGTCAATCTTGATCAAGGTTGCCTTGCCAGCAAACTCATCGGCCAACTGATTGTACAGAGGATAAAGCATCTTGCACGGTGCACAAGTCGCGGAAGTAAAGTAGACAACTGCGCAGGACGTCTTTGCTTGATCCAAAAGCGTTGATAGCTCCGACTGGCTATTCACGTTCTTGACAGATGAAACCGCCTTCACGGGTGCAGTAGGCTGGGAACTCTGCTGCAATCCTAGGATTGAGCCGTTTTGCCTGCTGGCATTGACGCCTTGGGTGAGCTGGGGCATCAGCATGCGCCCGAACGGCGAGTCGAGAACTGCTTGTGGCATTTGCGAGATGTGGCCTGGGATGCCTTTGCCGAGGAGGAAGTTTGAGAATGCATCTGTGAAGTTGTTGCAATTGTGACGGAACAAGTCATAGGCCTGTTTTGAAGAGTCAGCAATCGCCTGTACATGTATAAGGCATATCACCATACCTCTATCGTGAAGATCGATCGTATTGACTCCAGATAGTCTCCGATAACGTCCATGGGGAGGTTTGTCTTGCCGAGATGGAGCCTCTCCAGCGGCTGGCCAAGGTGTGAGGAACCGGGCACGATGGAGATGATGCCTCCGTCGTAGACATACTCACGGCCCTGGAGCTCAATAGAGGTGTGGTAGATGGCATCGAGCTGGAAGCCCAGGAGTCCCATGGACATCTGGCGGGCCAAGCCGCGAGACAGGTCGTATACAAGGAGATGGACGTCCATCTTTGGCTAATGTGTTTTATGCCTGAACAAATGTGAGGATTAGGCGGCGGGTAAATAATAGGCTGCAAATTCAACGCGGTTTATTTCGAAAGCTTCTGAATGCGATGGGTATCTTGTAACGGTGGGAATGGCGATGGGTATGAGTCTATAGACAGCTGGAGGGCTGAGCTGAGCCGATGTAGGCAGATATTTATTGAATATCAAGGCAGCAAATGGCATACGAATCGACGAAGCTTCCAGCTACAGCGGACTTTGGCCTAGAAAACTCCGCTAGCCTAAATCCGAAGCCTCTGGCAGTTGCTGAATTGATGGTGAGAAGCACGATGCGCAATGACTGTGTACGGAATCCAAGAAGATGAGCCCCCGACTTTGCATCAGCGTCTGTCCAACTTGCTTTGCATCTTCATCTCATCATCTTCGCATCCTGCCACCGCGTAGAATGCCCCTCGGCACTTACCCTGCACCTCTCCGCTAAAAACCAGCGCTTCAGGCCTAAGGCGACCCACTGACGCATCATCCAGGGGGGGCGATGGCTTCGAGACGCTCGATTTCAGGGGCTGTGGAATGTGGCGAATGGGCTCGTCAATCTTGGCCGCAAATGCAATGGGCCTGTAGCGTCGCGGATGTGGATGGGCAAAGTACCCCTCCATACAGAACACGGCCATGTGGTACCTGGCACCTGGCAACGGGCCTTGTCCCTCCACACACCCCCGGAACAAGTTTGTTCGGCTGGACTCCTTTTTCCCTCCAAATCATTTCCACCTAAATTAATGAAACCTTGTGCCGTTGTTCGTCCCGCAATCCAACTGTTCTTCACTCACTTCCCGTCCTTCCTTTGCCCTATTTAATGCGTTGCGGCGTCTCTCATTGATCGCCCCGCGGCCTGATGAGGAGAACTTCAGTGTCGCTGCCCACCAAGCACGCTGCCTACGACCCCCACGAGAAGACAGATCGATACTACCCGAGCCAGCGAAACCAAGGCCTGTTCAGCAGCATGAAAGAAACCATGCTGTCGCAGGCGCAGAAGTCGCGGTGGCTCAAGACGGGCGCGCTGGTCCTGATCTTGATGTGCCTGTTCTACTGGCTGTCGCCCACCGGTGTCGAGGTCTACAACAAGAGCCCTCTGGGCGAAAGCTCCGAGAGCGTGAGCAAGCCTGCTGGCAACGCTGTTCCTGTTGCCAACACTCCCCCCGTCGAGCATGGTGCTGCCGCTGCTGGCAACGGCGCTCCCAACAGCGGCCAGTCCCCCGTGGACTCTTCGTACGGCACCGACAAGTGCTCCAAGTCGTACTCCAAGGACAAGCCCATCGTTCAGTATGTCCTCATGATCGACGCGGGCAGCACCGGTTCGCGAATCCACGTCTACAAGTTCAACAACTGCGGTCCCATCCCCGAGCTCGAGAAGGAGGAGTTCAAGATGACTGAAAAGTCTGTCGGTGGCTTGAGCGCTTTCAAGAACGATCCCGTGGCTGCTGCCAAGAGCCTCGACCCCTTGATGGCTGTCGCTATGGAACACGTCCCCGAGGCGCTCAAGAAGTGCTCCCCCGTCGCTGTCAAGGCTACCGCCGGTCTGCGTTTGATCGGCAAGGAGCTCGCTGATGCCATCTTGGTCGAAGTCAGGCGACACCTGGAGCAGGACTACCCCTTCCCAGTCGTCTCTGCGGAGCAAAACGGCGTTGCCATCATGGACGGTTCGGACGAGGGTGTTTATGCTTGGATCACCACCAACTACCTCCTGGGCAAGATTGGCGGTCCCGACAAGAGTGAGACTGCTGCTGTTTTCGACCTCGGTGGTGGCTCAACCCAGATTGTCTTCGAGCCTACCTTTAAGGGAGTTCCCGGCGGAGGCATGCCCGAGAAGCTGGCTCCTGGTGATCACAAGTACGAGCTTGACTTTGGCGGCCACAAATTCGACCTGTACCAGCACTCTCACCTTGGCTACGGCTTGATGTCCGCTCGCAAGGCTCTCCATTCCGCCTTGATTGACGAATTGGTCAAGGTCAAGGGAGACGACCAAACCTGGATGAACTCGCCCGTCGTGCACCCCTGCATTGCCCCCGGCACCACCAAGGCCATCGACGTCGAGGTCAGCGGCGGCGAGGCCCGTACCTTCAACTTCACTGGACCTTCCCAGCCCTCCCCGGCCCAATGCCGTAACATTGCCGAGAAGATCCTGAAGAAGGACGCCGACTGTGCCCTCGCCCCTTGCTCGTTCAACGGTGTCCACCAACCCGCCCTGTCCAAGACATTTGCCAAGGAGGACGTCTACATCTTCTCATACTTCTACGACCGCACCAAGCCCCTCGGCATGCCCGACTCCTTCACCCTACGTGAGATGCACGATCTCACTCACAAGGTCTGCGAGGGCAAGGATGCCTGGGACGTCTTTTCCAGCGTCCCCGGTGCGCTGGAGGAGCTTGAGGACCGACCCGAGCACTGTCTGGATTTGAACTTTATGATGGCTTTGCTGCACACTGGATATGAGATGCCCATTGACCGTGAGGTCAAGGTTGCCAAGAAGATTAAGGGTAATGAGCTGGGTTGGTGTCTTGGAGCTAGGTAAGAACATGACTTCTCTGATGATGTAGCATTGGCGTGTTTTTTTTTACTAACTCTTCTCCCTTTTTAGTTTGCCGCTTTTGGCTCCTGGCTCGGGCTGGTCATGCAAGATCAAGGAGGTTTCATAAAGGCGTTTTTATGAATTAAACGGTTCATGATATTTAATTGTAATGTGCTGCTAGAGTCGGTTATTTTACGTCGTCAAGCATATCATTCATTGTATGACATGTACGCTGTTGGAGAGGGCATCGGGATTGGGGGCGTAGTATGTTTAATGCGGTGTTGATGCCATTGGAATCCGGGATTCTACCTATATTATGTATACTTGGGACACTACTAAAAGGGCTTGTCTTTTCTTTAGCGACAAGCTAGCTCGGGTTGAAAGAAACAACATGGAGCAAATACAAGATTTTCAAAGAGGCGCGGTGACCATTTCCAAGACTTCTTCCATTACCTCCTCTGGGCCTACATCTTCCAACAGAGCCTCCACAGCCTCCAGCTGGCTCCCCCACTGCATACTCCTCTCCTTTTCAGGCTCAGTGATGCGTATCCGGTGGAGAAAGACTTTTTTCACAGCTAGCCCGATAAGAGCAGGCGTCACGAAATCAAGCTTGTGTAAAGGGGCGAGGCTTTTGACGAGCTGGTGGAGATGCTTGGTTGCCGCGGGTGTGATGCCCCCGGCGACTGCTCGGTGCATTCGGAGGAAGGCGATGATGTTCATCTGGTACCGGAGGATGTCGATATCGATTTGGACTTCCTGGCTTAGCTTTGCGAGTTGACTGATTTCCTGAAAGCTGCCTGTAAGTAATGATGTCAGAGCTCAGGGGATTGTGACCATAGCTTACAATATCCGATATTAATGCTGTCGATGGTGTTGTGTCATTCGAAGCCTTCTTCACAACACTCTCCGTAGATGCCGTCTCATCGTCCCCATTGTTGCGATCTTCAGCCTCGTCTAGGTTGACATATCCATCTTCTGGGTTATGCCAATGCGCAACCGCGAAGAAGTCATTGAGATGCGCCGTAACATGTGCTTCACCACCGCTTGCGGCCCCCAAGACAGGAATAAAGACAAACTGCTTCGGTGCCGCCTGCACTGACGTGCGCGTGAAGATGCGTCTCGTGCGCAGTAATTCGAGGGCCTGGATCTGGACGACTCGCGGGGCGCGGTCGAGGTTCTTTGCGATGACGAAGTGGGCCATCTGCGGAGAGAGAGGGAAAGTTCGGGGGCTGAGCGGTGTGGAGGATCGGTGGTTCGAATGCGAGCTGAGCGCAAAGTATGAATCTGTCCGTGCAAATGGCGAGATGGACCCAGCGGTGGAGTTGAGGGGGGTATGCTGAGGCTGGAGAAGCAGAGCTGAGGCGAAGTCTTCGAGTGTCGTGGACGGATGGCAGTTGACGACGACGGATTGGAGACTGTATGTCTTGCTTGCTATCTGCGCGTGTGTCAGCCTCCTCGTGGGTGGCCATGGAACAATGGGGGAGAACATACCAGCTGAAGCTCTTGCACCAGGTCATCAATGGCGGCCGGCGGAGTGCTGATGAGGACGTGCTCTCGATTGACAAGACACAACAGAACGGCCAGCTCCAAGTCGCTGAGGCTGTGAACCTTTTCCAGCAGGTCGTCATCCGCCATGGCAAAGCGCCGGTAGCCTCGCCAGGGCCATCAGGGCGACTGCAGTATGTAGAAGCACAAGATCAAGATCACTGCGGATGCTGAAGAAGCATTGATCTTTCTTTCCTCAGTGACAAGCGATATGAGATGCCAGGGTGTGGACTGTACATGCATGATGTAGCTTTGTCTCCCAACACCCAACAAGTGCTCAGAGGTACCTCGTCACGTGCATGCATTGGACGACTTAAATATGGGCTCATCATGCGGAGGCTACATTTATGCATGGGGCTAGGCTGCAAGCGGCCTAACGCGGTTGCGACACCGATATCTGGGCGTCTGGCAAGTCTAGGTACCTACTAATAGGTACCGTTGGGTGGGCGCTAAATCGCTGCCCGCCATCAACAATCCGAAAGCAAAAGCCAGCCTCGTCATTGAAGCCTCAAAAGTATAGGCAACCGACACACAGGGTCTCGTGACGTCTGCAACCCTAATTTCCTCCATCACACAGGCCAGCTCTCTTTTTCGACATCTATCTTCATCTATCTGCGAACAGTTGCACCCGGAGAAGGCCCTCTTCGCTCGCGGCGGCTGTGCTTTGGTTCATATCTATCACGTCATTCGAGCGGCGAGTGTACGACGATAACCGGTCAAAATGTCTTCGCGCAACAAGAAGGTCCTTCTCAAGGTATGAGGGCTTCGTCATCGGTGCTGCGCTGCGTGAGAGCGATGCTAAAGTTGCATTCTTCGATAGGTCATCATCCTTGGAGATAGCGGTGTGGGCAAGACGAGTTTGATGAATCAATACGTAAGCGTGCAACTCCTACGACTCCAATATACCGCCAAGGCATACGACGGCTAATGGGCGAAATGACATTTGGCATATTAGGTCAATAAGAAGTTCAGCGCAAGCTACAAGGCGACTATCGGCGCTGACTTCTTAACGCGAGAGGTCTTGGTGGACGACCGACAAGTCACCATGCAGGTATGAGGTGTTTGAGGATACGCAAGGGTTGCAAACCAAGGGGTGCTAATGCTCTGGTCAGCTTTGGGACACGGCCGGACAAGAGCGATTCCAGTCTCTGGGCGTCGCATTCTACAGAGGAGCCGACTGCTGCGTTCTGGTGTACGATGTCAACAACTCCAAGAGTTTCGAGGCGCTGGACAGCTGGCGAGACGAGTTCCTGATCCAGGCCTCTCCGAGAGACCCCCCCAACTTCCCCTTTGTAAGTGTGACGGCCGAGGCTGCTCTCGAGGTGGACGCTTTGGCTGATAATGCTACAGGTTGTGCTTGGAAACAAGATTGATGTGGAGGAGAGCAAGCGAGTGGTAAGGAACACCCTGCGTTCACATCCACATGCAGAGCATGGGTAGCTGATGCAGAGTAGATTTCGACCAAGCGAGCCATGACATTCTGCCAATCCAAGGGCGACATCCCATACTTTGAGACGAGTGCAAAGGAGGCCATCAACATTGACCAGGCATTTGAGGGTACGAGAAGACCTTTTTACGACGACAATGGTAGGGAAAGACTATAAGCTAACAAATGACAGTTATTGCTCGAAATGCTTTGGCTCAAGAAGAGTCCGAGGAATACAGCGGTGACTTTGACGACCCCATCAATATCCACATCGACAACGATCGCGACGGCTGTCCTTGCTAAGCGGTAAAAAGACGATGGGATAATTGGATGGATACGAGACTGGTCAGAGAATGAGCGTGAACAACCAGAGACGGCATACCCGGTCCTCGAACTGATGCATTTTCTTGTCTGGAAGTAGAGTATGGAGAAACGAGGCCATGTTGGTGTTTGCGTGGAAAGTAATTTTTTTCTTCTTCTTTATTATTTTTTCTTTTTCTGTCTGGGCTGATTTTCTTGCTTTTCTTGTTTGATTGATGGGATGGGAGATGCTTACAATTGCTGGGGATGGAGGCTCGATAGCAACAACCATAGCCTCGGCTCCGACTAGTGGCCATGGGAGAGAAGAGAGGGGGAAGAGGAGAGCTTTTGATACGGTCATCTCATACATCTATTTGTCAGGAGATTGCGGGGCTATAGATTCTATGCGTAGCTGGGAGCAATCCCACGCTATGGGACTTGATTATACGTTTGCCTCTTTTTAAATCAATTGATCCATCATGCCTAGATATACATCAATGGATTGATGTTGTTACTCTCCTCTGTATTTCTGTAGTAGTCTGGTAAGTACTATATTGCCCACTAACAGTCTCACTGTAGCCGCCAACGCAACCCGCTAAACCGCGGCAGATACAGCGCTCTAGGCAGTCGCGTTCAGTGTCGGTGAGGCCCCACTCTGCACCTCGGCTTGCGGCATACCCCAGACTGTCTCCGCGAATCGTGGCCCGATGGCGTTGGCTTTCCGCCTCGGCTCCGCATCAGCGCTCGAGATAAATATCGGACCATTGGCATTGCTGATGATCTGACAGCTTCAGCATTTTTGCGGAGAAGTCTTGGGTTCAAGTTCTCCTCTTATCACTTTATAATTTTTCTTCTTTTCTCTCTCTCTAGTGTGCTGACCCGGTACATCATTCGCCATCATGTCAGCTAGAATTCCAGCTCTTGTAAGCTATTGGAGCTTTCCTACTTGCTTTTTTCTGGTTGGGTTGGATAGCATTGGATACATGGACTAACGTGTTGCGATTGATCACGATAGGTTACAAGATACGTCAGCGAGGCGGCGCGACAAAAGATTGACATTGTCGCCAAGTTTGTCGAGGAAGAATGCATCCCGTGAGCCCTCCAAACGAGTCTCGACATTCCATACCATCTGTGCCGAGGAGCTAACAGGCGTCAACAGCGCCGATCCCGTACTCGAAGCCCAGGTTGGCGAGGGCGATAACCGCTGGGAGAACCATCCGTCCATCATCGAGGAGCTCAAGGACAAGGCACGCAAGCTGGGCTTGTGGAACATGTTCCTGCCCAAGGGCTTCTATGCCGAGTCGCCCGGCTGGACTAACCTCGAGTACGCCCTCATGGCAGAGTGGCTGGGCCGCTCTCGCAGCGCCTCAGAAGCTTGCAACTGCGCTGCTCCCGACACAGGCAACATGGAGGTGGTGGCCAAGTACGGCAATGCCGCCCAGAAGGAGGAGTGGCTGAAGCCCCTGATGGAGGGCAAGATTCGCTCGGCTTTCCTGATGACTGAGCCCGAGGTCGCGTCATCGGATGCCACCAACATCCAGCTCCAGATCACCCGCGACGGCGACCACTACATCCTCAATGGCTCCAAGTGGTGGTCCAGCGGTGCCGGCGACCCTCGATGCAAGCTCTACATCGTCATGGGCAAGACTGATCCCAACAACGCCGATCCTTACAAGCAACAGTCGGTCATCCTGGTTCCCGACAATCTGCCTGGCATCACCATCAAGAGAATGCTCAAGGTCTACGGCTACGACGACGCTCCCCACGGCCACGGCCACATTACCTTCAACAACGTCCGCGTTCCGGCTAAGAACCTGGTTCTGGGTGAGGGCCGCGGATTCGAGATCATCCAGGGCCGACTGGGACCTGGACGTATTCACCACGCCATGCGCAGCATTGGTGCTGTAAGTTGTTATTAATATCAATTGACCAAATCCCTTTACTGATCGACTGTTTTTTATAGGCTGAGCAAGCTCTCGACTGGATGCTGGCACGCGTCAACGACGAAAACAAGAAGCCCTTTGGCAAGCTCCTGCGCGAGCACGGCGTCATCCTCGAATGGATCGCCAAGTCCCGTATCGAGATCGACGCAGCACGCCTCATCGTCCTCAACGCCGCCGTCAAGATGGACGAGGAGGGCCCCAAGAAGGCTCTCAAGGAGATCGCCGAGGCCAAGGTTCTCATTCCCCAGACCGCCCTGAACGTCATCGACCGTGCCGTCCAGGCATACGGCGGTGCCGGTGTCTCCCAGGAGACTCCCCTGGCCAACATGTGGGCTGGCATCCGAACGCTCCGCCTGGCTGATGGCCCTGACGAGGTGCATCTGCAGCAGATGGGCCGCAACGAGAACAAGCGCGGCAAGGAGACGACGGCCAAGATCAAGTGGCAGAAGGCCAAGACCCAGGAGCTGCTGAAGAGGTACGGCGTTGAGATTGCCGAGCCCGGCACCAGGATCAAGCACACCGCCAAGTTGTAATGAAGAATGGCTGGTCAGTTTGGGTTGTCTTGTTTTGATCATGTCTTGTTGGTTTGTAAAATACGGGAACTAGGGTAAGCAAATAGCGTATACAGTATAGCATACTCCATAAAGGAAGTCAGATGCACTAGTACTTGATTTATGAGATGGACGTATGTGAGGTGTTCTCCAGTCTCCTTGTCAGCATACTAGTATACTCAAATCAATCTCCAACACGCCATCATGAACCACCACACCTTCACCAGTCTCTCAATCACATGCCCATGACTCACAAAGCCATCAATTACCCCGTGTTAAACCCATAAAGCTAGTCTTTGTTTCCAGCTTCTTCAAACCTCATACCAAAATCCCATTTCTAGTCCCGAGTAAACCCAACCAAAACGAAGCCAAGATATTCGCTTCCCCTGCTGGTTGGCCAACAAGTGCCGTTGCCGTCTCCACACACATTTCATGCATGCCAGAGAGAAACAAGGGTGGCAAACTCCGTTGCCCAGCCAACGTCCGTCATTCGTTTACTTTTTTTTTTCCTCTCCGGAACTTTGTAGTACGAGTATGTGAATGAAATGGGGACGTCATATTTTTCTGCCCTTGTTTATTCTTCTCCGCCCCTCTATTTGGAAAGTAAACTAAGCTGAAAGAGCTGACGCTTGCATTTCTGGAACGTTTACAAAAACGGGTGCTACCCCCTGCGTTTTTACGGGCTGTGACATTCACGGTCGATTTGTTGCAACACACCGAACCAAACTGTCTTCTTCAACACAACCACCTGCACAACCACCATAACTACACAACCAACACACCGTCAAATCACAATGTCCGGTAGCAGGATCCTCGGAGACAGAGACGTCAACGCCGCTCTAGCCGATGGCCAGCCTCTCGGCAAGGACGTGAAGACCATGGAGTACCATCGCCAGGTGCTGCAGTCCAAGATTGCTCATGAGCCGTATGTCACCGCTCCTTTTTGCCTCCAACTTTCCGCCTTCATGTCTTGCTAACTAACGTCTTGATATCCAGAACCAAGCAATACGTCTCCCCCTCGGATACCATCATGAGCCCTTGCACGGCAAAGCTCTCGGCGCTACGAAGCAAGCAAGTCACCAAGTATGTCACTCACTCTCGAACCTCCCAAATCTCTACATCGAAGAAACCCACAACATCCCTGGACGAGAATCAATTCAGAAGACTAACATAATCTGTGCTTCAAGGGCCAAACCAAAGTCTCTCTTCGCCCAAGCGAGCGCTAAGAAACTCCAAGGCGAGAGCCTCTTCGGCGCAAGGCCAGATCAGAGCGAGAATCCCCTTGGTGCTAGAAGCGTCAAGGCCGAGCGGCCCCTAACTTCGCGACTTCGCTGATCGGGACCGTGTCCCTTTTATATTCATTTTACATTTTTTCCTTTGTTGGTCCGGTTTTATTTCTTGTGTACATTAACGACTGCTTCTTTTTTGCACCCTTCATCACGATGGGAGACGAGAGAGACAAAAACTATCAACTTGGTAATGGTTGGGCTGAGCAAGACCTCGGACTAAAGAGAGGTTATCGCGGGAACTTGTGGGTTATTAGGGGCATTGGCGTTTTCCGGATTACGTACGTATCGAGTACGTGCCCTATTATGGTGATTCCGGAAAGGGTCGACATGAATATTTTCATCTTTGTTTTTTTGCTTTTTTAATTGCTATGACTGATAAATACTACTATCAAGGGGAAGCTAAGCAATTCACCAATACGAGATTCTGATTAGAGTGCAACTTGATAAAACAAGGCTTCGTTGACTATGTGTTTTTTTATGCTATTGTACTACGCTTTCCACGCCGTCACGATATACACGACATCCTCATCTGCAACGGGATGTCCTAATCCCACCCTCTGAGGAATGTGTCTCGCACTGGCGCCCCAAACTAGAGCGTACTTGAACGTATCTTTTAGCGTGCGGTGAATCCTGTCGCACACGTCTTCAATGGTGCTGTTATTCCGCACAATCAAAGCCTCGCTAAAGTCCGGGTCGGTGCCCTTTCGCTTGGTGTAAATGCGGATCAGCTTGAGCTCCTTCCAGCACCGGTCGATGACGTCTTGGATGCCTAGGTCGAGTTCACAGCTCATGACGACGGTGTGGTCCTCCCTGGCGAGCTTGTCGAGAAAGTCAAGCGAGACACTGTCGATCTTGTTGTAGACGTATAGGCACTTGATGTACTTGCGGTGGTCCTTCATGATGATGTCGATGAGGTCGTCGACGGTGGCTTCTGGATCTCGGATGAGCACCTCGCAGTTGAGAATCTTGTAGTCGCGCAGGATGTTGAAAACCATCTTCTCGTCCAGCCTGTTGGGCGGAGACTGAAACGTAATCTTCATTCCGCCTGCCGTTTTGACTTTGAGGTAGATGTTTCTTCACCTTTTGTCAGCTGATAGGACGCCATGTGAAAATCACATTTCCTTCTACTTACGGGGGTTCGCGATTTAATCTGATTCCAACAGCTTCCAATTCTGCCTCCAGCAGAGCTCTTTGTTCAGCTCGTTTCGTCGCGTCCAGGACCATGAGGATCAAGTCGCTCGTCTTGGCAGCTGAAATAACTTGTCGACCTCGTCCCTTGCCCTCGGAAGCACCTTCAATAATACCTGGCAGATCGAGCAGCTGGATTTCAGCACCACCATACTCTAGCACTCCAGGAATGGCTGTGAGAGTTGTAAATGCATATGAGGCTACTTCGGATCTGGTCTTGGTGACTTTGGATAGAAATGTTGACTTCCCTACTGATGGGAAGCCAACTAGAGATATTCGGGCATCGCCGCTTTTACTGACGTCGAATCCGGAACCACCACCGCCGCCACCTCCAGGCCCTGGCTCTAGTAGCTGTGCTCGGAGACGTGCGAGCTTTCTAGTCAAATTAGGCATGGCCGAAGCATGGAGGCTGAATTGTCTTGACTTACCCTTTCAAGAGACCCAAATGGTATTCTGACCTTCTGTCAGCCTTGGTAGATTAATAAGAATCGTTCAAAGACATACCAGTCGCCTTGTTTTCTATTTACATCGTTAGCTAGACTGTAAATGAGGAACTTGATAAATATGTGCATCGATATGCCCTATACCCTGAACAAGCAGGTAATAGAGAGGAGTTGGCGGTTTACAAAGCCGATGATATACTCGACAGGCTAAATGGGATAGGGCTTGTAAATATGCATCTTCAATTGCACACATAAAACGAACCGCCCCAAATGTATCGCAGCTAGCCTGTCGAGTACACCAGTCATCTTCGTAAGAATGCCGTCCCCACGTCATTTCACGCTTTCCGCGGTTACCAAGAGATGTGTGTATGCGCAACGCGAATTGGAATCGCGGCTGTCTATACGACAGCCTCTTGGGGGTAATTTGCGGCTATAGCGGCACATGGAGTACTCAGGGAATTACAAAGACACAGAGATTGCAAGATGGATTCCGTAGGTTTACTTACTCTGTGTTTTTCTCATCTCCTCCTCAATCCTGCGTAGGCCATCAGTCATGATCTCTCATAAAGCGACCAGTCTACTCACTCCTTAATCTTTTCTGTAATGTTCACCATCTTGACAACGGTTATTTATAGACGGAAATACCGTCTTCCCACGTATATCAGTAAAAGAAAAGAAAAAAAGGGGGTATTTGTCTACTTAGAGACGTCTCGTTAAAGCCTTAGAAGAGCAGCGTTGAAGTCGGCTCGAGATTTGAGATGGCGGGGCTCTGGCAATTGGAGCAAAAGCCTTAGGAGGGGCCCGTTGGCTTTGCAATGGCGACCGCACTAGCCTCACCGCCTGCCTCTTACGCCACACTCGTCCTGCAGCCTTGCCGGCGCGTCGAGCTGGACAAAATTGCTGCTTCAAGCTTGCACTTGTCATCGCTGCAAAGTGGGCGTCAGTCTTTCATTTTGCTGAATCATGGCCGACCAACAAGAAGATGGTGTCGCAATGGCTCCAGTATCCGATGAGGAGACTCAGAACATGGCTGTTGCAACGACGAACAGCGAGGTCGCGGCTCCTACCGAGAAAAAGGTCGTCAAGAAGATCATCCGCAGGAAGAGGAGGCCAGCCAGGCCGCAAGTCGAGCCGGATTTCTTCACGAACGAACCTCCGCCGCAGACGGGAACGACTTTTAACATTTGGTGAGTGATGAGAAGCTGCGAACCCTCGATTGTGCGGTACAACGACAACTGATACCGGCCAGGTACAACAAATGGGCGGGTGGCGATCACGAGGCATACCAGCAGACGAAATCGAAGGGACGCTGCAACGTTGCTCGCGATAGCGGATACACGAAAGCCGACGGCGTGTCAGGAAGCTATTTCTGCCTATTCTTTGCCAGGGGACTGTGTCCGCGAGGAGCAGACTGCATGTATCTACACCGACTCCCCGGACCGTACGACGTCTCGGCGCCGAATGTCGATTGCTTCGGCAGAGACAAATTCTCCGACTACAGAGATGACATGGGCGGTGTTGGAAGTTTCATGCGCCAGAACAGAACCATCTACATCGGCCGCATACACGTAACAGACGATATTGAAGAGATTGTGGCGCGACACTTTGCTGAATGGGGCCCGATTGAACGAAGTAAGTGCCGTCACCAGCTGCAACTACACTGCTTTTGTTTTGGACTTCACTGACCACCAGCATTCAGTTCGCGTGTTGAACTCTAGGGGTGTTGGTTTCGTTACCTATGTTAACGAAGCAAATGCGGAATTCGCCAAGGAAGCCATGGCGCACCAGTATGTATTGCTCATCATGCCTCATCTCAACATCCGCTGACCAATGGCAGGTCTCTCGATCATGACGAAATCTTGAACGTTAGGTGGGCCACGGCTGATCCCAACCCCATGGCACGAGCCCGAGAAGCGCGACGAATCGAAGAACAAGCCGCCGAAGCTATCCGGAGGGCGTTACCAGCAGAATTTGTCGCCGAAATCGAGGGCAAAGATCCAGAGGCAAGAAAGAGAAGAAAACTAGAGAGCAGCTATGGGTTGGAAGGATATGAGGCCCCAGATGAAATCCATTTCGCCCAGGGCCCTAGCGCAGTCAATCCTGCTGGAAGACGAGGATTCGAGGTGGAGTATCAAGAACGGCCTCTGATCGAAGATGGAACGGTTGGAGAGACGGAACCAGAAGCACAAGAAGGAAATCAACAACAACCGGCACAGAGCGCAGGTGTATTTTCCAGCAGCACTCTGGCTGCTCTAGGCAGGGCAAAGGTTGCAGTGGCATCGAAACCAGCGGCCCCTGCTTCTACGGGACCTCTGGTGGCATATGATAGCGATAGCGATGAGTAAATGGGGCGTTTTTATGGTATTTGGCTTGGGATTTATCTATAACTGTAGATTGGGTACAGGATTCTTGTTATGCACAGCATTCATAATGATACCATATTAATATTAAAGAGCAAAAGAGAGTACTAGTATATACTGCTCAGCTGTTGAATATTCTCGAGTAGAGCAGCTCATGCCGCCCAACCCACAGATCCATCACCGGCACACTCTGTCCAGCTTCTTCAACCGACGTATGCCATTCCCTCTCCACCACTGAATTAATCAGGGTCTGCACGTTGTCACTCGCAAGCAGCTTCTGTGCCTGATACGGCCCAAACATGTTTGCCCTCACGGCCGCCGAAATCAGCGCCTTGACGTGGCTCAACATGAAGACATAAGCCGTCTGTCTAAGCGTCAGCCCCACGATGGCGCAAATCGCGCCGAACAGCGGACCGAGATGAGCTGAGACGAGAGGAGCCTCGCCACCGGCCTTGGTGCTCTCTCGACGAAGAAGCGTGGCAAAGTCCTTGAGGACGAGGGCGTCGTCCGCGGCGCTGCTCGGAAGCGTCGCCTTGAACGAGCGCTCCCAGATGCTCAGCAGCGCCCTGCCCTGGGCGACGCTGGCACGCCGGCCGACGGTGCAGATGACGGCGGCATCGAGCTGGTCGTCCAAGGACGCGAGGGCCCCGGGCTGGCGGTGCGCGGCGAGGACGAAGGGCAGCGTCGTGCAGGCGTAGGACGACAGCGAGAGGGGCAGAAAGGCGCCAAAGGAGGCGCGGGCGTTGTGCGCGGCGAAGGACTCGAGGCCGCTGCTGAAGGCGAAGGACCCTATGGGAAGCGCGGAATCAGAGAGCAAGAGGAGGAAATGCGTTGATGAAGACGGTGATGGCGATGGGGCTGGCCGGACTGAGGTTGGTTTTTGCGTGAGTAAATGGACGAGATAAAGATGTGGGCGATGTTTGACTTACACGGGATGCCGGGGTTTGATGAGTCGAGAGCACTCAGACGGGCTTTTGCCTCGTGTAGACGACTCTCAAGCTGGGCAATTTCATCTTGGATCTGAATCTCATCTTGTGATGCCATTTCGACGCATGTGTGTATGTAAAGTTTAAAAGTTGTATTGCATTATCTCTCGTCATCCGTTCCGTATTAGACCGTGTGATATCGCGATTGATACGATACACGCCAACGCTGTCTAGCAATAGTTACAAATAGGTATGTATATGAACAAAATTAAAAGCCAAAAGAAAAAGAAAACACAAAAAAGGAATAAAAAACCAAATATCCATCCAAGCAGCAAGAGCTTCCAGCTTGCATTCCACTCGGTCCCGCTCGTAATAAAACATGTTGATAACCGCCCTCCATTTGCCGAATAACACCAACGCTGATCCCTAAATCAAAAACAACTATTATCGTAGATTGCTCACAATGGAGCATCGTCATCTCTTCATGGCCGTACATTTTCCTTGTCTGTTCCATCTCGTCGCTGGGCCCTCTTTTCGGCCATTCTCTTCTCAATCCGAGCCAGAGCAGCTGCTCGACGCTCCGGTGGCAATGAGGCCTTGCCGTTGCCGCTCTTGGGCACTTCCTTCAGTCTCTCTTGACCTGAGTCACCGCTGCCTAGGCGAGTAAAGCGATCCTGTAAAAGGTCGATCTCGACGTCCGTGTCGTCGATGGATGCCGGTTTCTTGGATTGAGCCATGGATTTTGCGAAAGCGGGCATACCGGCAAGTGCAATATTGTCGCTTCCTGCGTCGTTCCCTGGCTGGCTACGCTTTGGCACGGCCTCACTGGCAGAGGCTCTATCTCGGGATGCCTTTGACGCAGAGGGCTGCCATTTAGATTTGTCGTTGATCAGTCGGTCGCCCGAGGCCTCAGTTGTGCCCCTTGACTTCGCTGCTGTCCTAGACTGGCCCGGCGTAGCATCGGTTTGATACTTGTCTCGTAATGTTCGAAATTTGGCATTGCCCGCTTCAAAGAGATGTCGGGGCCGTTCAAGATCTGCCACGTCAATGCTCCTGCGGGTGTCATCTGCTGTAGCGGAGAACCTAGGTAGATATATCTCATCTTCGTCGTCCCTTGCCGGCTTATTGTCGCCAGGTTTGTAATTCCGGCCTTTTGACCGACCTCCGTCAACGGCATCCTTAGCTTTCAGAGTTTTGATCTCTTTTTTGAGATCAGTTATCTTGGTTTGAGCACGCTCAAGGACGCCCTTGGTATCCGCATCATGAGCTTCTCTCTCTTTTTTGAACATGTCAAATTCCTTCTTCAATTGGCCAAGTTCACTGTCCTTTCTGGATGATTCTTCCCTTGCTTGTTTAAGTTGGGCCTTCAGCTCCTTCATCTTTGTCGTATCGGTAACTTCATCGGTAACTGGGTGATCCGCAACTTTTCGCTGTTCAGCAACTTTTAGCTGAGCCTTGAGAGAGGACACTTGGTCTCGCAGGGCGTCCAACTCCTTCAGTTGCGCTCGAGACCGTCGCAGTTCTCGCTGCGTCTCGACCAGAGTTCTTGCCGTATTGGGGGAAGTCGTTCCTTGCAACCGCCTCCACTCTCTTGATTCGTCGTCCTCTTCTCGCGCTTGGTGCAGCTCCTCAAGCTGAGCCTCCAATTCCTGAACCCTATGTCGGTATTGGGCCGCAAGGGCTGTTTGCTTTGTGAGAGTTGCTAATAACTCTGCTGTCTCGCTGCTAGAGGCACTATTCTGTTTCGATGCCATCTGGTTTGCGTTTTCAGCAATCCTCTTCTCCATAGCAATCACCTTTTCCTGTTCTTCCTTGAGTCTCTGAGCAAGATGGATAGCTTCCAAGTCCTTCTCCTCCGCGTAAGATTTGAGATGCTTCTTGTACTTGAGGAGCTTCTCCATCTCCGCTCGTGCTTCTCGGTGATACTTTTCAAACTCCTCTTTCCAGTATTTGCCTGATTGGGAGTGTGGCTCATTCAAGTCCACTGTGGTATCGTGCGCGTAATATTCGCCATTATCGTCAAGTTCATCCTCCTCCCATTCGTCCTCCTCCGGCTCGTCCTTGATAATACGGGGCTCGGTCACCTTGGAAACGTTGGTGGTGCTTTTGCGCCTCGCCTTGTCGAGCACATCGGATAGACGAGTTCTTTTGCTGACTGCAGCCCCCTCGCCATTCGGGGAAATGGTTTTCGTCGTGGCAAGATCACGATTGAATGATACGCGTTTCGGTCTCGAGGTCCCCGTACCAGGTGTGAGCAGGATGCCTTGCGGCTTTAATGGAGTATCTAAGCCATGGTCTGCTGCCATGGTTGTCGATTTTGCTGCTTTGGCCCTGTCCCGCGACGCTCGCTGTGCATCCCGAATAGGAGTGCCAAAGAGAGCACTTTTGAAGGATCTGGCAGCAAAAACGGGCCCGGGGGTGTCTGGCAGATCAAGAAGCGTCGTGTCTAATTATTGAAAAGAAATTATTAGAATACATCCATCACGACCATATTATTATCACGGGAAGCACTTTACATACCGCCGGTGTCAACCGCGTCCGGCGCGTTGTCCCCGCGCCCCAGCATCCAGCCCAGCATGTTGGACGAAATGGCTGAAATAATCGGATCTTGATTAAATCCAGTACAAAATCGATCGTATTTTGTATTGGTGTATTTCTAGTGAGCTTGCAGGCCAATCGATTCGAGCGTTGCTGTATCCGCAGGGTCGATGTTTGATGGTTGCGATGTTGTATTTGTTTACTTTGCTGTGGTATGTTGGCCAGTGACGAAATGCTTTTTTCCCTTATCGACACAAGCCACAGTGCGGCGATAAACAACCAGCCAACCTGAACTCTAGTGGTGAACTCTAGTGGTAATCAGCAGGTCCCTAGTTGGTTAGGAGGGGTTTCCCGCAATCTGGCAGTGGATCGATCGCCACCCGGCCGCTGTAGCCCACTGGACAGGTCCTGGCTCAGCCCTGTACAGGCACAGATTTAGCGGCCCAACAGCTGACCATGGGCCGCAGGGGATCGCTAACGTACCAGGTGATGAAACTGCCCCGCCACCAGGTATAGCTTCATCGAGCCGCTACTGGCTCTTCTCGACATTCTTCCTCCTCCATACCACACCAGCCTTATTATCCCTCGTCTCTACCCGTATTCACAATGGCCTCTTCTGTGTAAAGCGTCACGGCTTTAGCTGTGGCTCTTACCTAGGTATCACGCGACTATGGCGTGGAAAAAACCCAGGATACTGACGGCGCCGCCGCAAAACTCAAAGGATGACTCAAGCTTTCCGGGCCTCAAGCCCCCCGGTCCGGATGCGACGACCAAGATTGAGTACGAAGAGCTCCAGAGGAACGAGATTTTTGCCTTAGAAGCTATATACGGAGATGATTTCATCCAGCATACGGCGGCGCATAGCGCTTGGAAGGTATTCCGCCTTGAGTTTCTCAACCTTGCTGGCGCATGTCGACTTACACATATATTTAGAAGTCCGACCCGTCATTTGACATACGGATCAAAGCCCCAAGCGATGAAGACTTTGCTGTGACAGTCGGATTTACTATTACGGCGACGTATCCAAAGACACCACCGCTTTTGACCCTCAAGGGCCAGAGCTACCTCCGAGAGGCTACTGGGTTCAAGATTCAGAAGTTTTTGGAAACACAGCCAAAGATTTTCGCCAAGGAAGCTGAAGAGATGGTCTACAAGATTGTTGAGGGTATTCAGGATATCCTTGAGGATGCTGCGCAGGCAAAGGCGTCTGGTAAACAGCTGCCGTCGCTAGAAGAAGAGCGTGATCGACACGAAGCGGCCTTGGCAAAGCTGGCGCAGGAGCAAAAGGAGAAAGAGAAGCGCTTGGAGGAAGAGGAGATGAAGGAGCAGGAGAAAGCTGCCGCCGAAGAATTACAACAAGAGCTTCAGCGGCAGAAGCAAAAAGCGAGAGAGTCAAAGTTCAGTCGTCGCACAAATGGCTTGAGCCCTCACCGGCCATCCTCATCCTCGGTCTCGAATGGCGAGACGATTGACTTTGATCAGTTTTGCACTGTGACTGATCGCATGGGAAATGTTTTGACGTTCAGATCTGTCACTGGGAAATCCGACCCTCGTGCCGGAGAGGTTTCCACCGTTTATACCGTGCGTCCAGTTCTCTCGAATGGCCAAGGCAACCAACTATTGGCGTTGAAAGAGGCTGTCTTGCGTCCAAATGGGAAAGATCAGAAAGAATTCAAAAAGCAACTGCAGTCTTTAGAATCTCGACTTCAGGATCTCAAGATTGGGAACAAGATTCATCACCGACATCTTGTCGATATTCTTGATTTCAAGGTCGAGAGTGGTGCAGCCGCTGATCGTACCGCATCCAGTACATGGACGGTGAGGATACTAAGCCCGCTGGCCGAGAGAGGCTCACTGGAGGAATTGCTAGAGCTAGCAGGCCATCTCGAGATAGGAAAAGTTCGAGCTTGGACAAGAGACCTCCTGGATGCGCTAAACTTCCTTCACAACAAGAACATAGCCCATCAAAATATCCACCCAAGGAATATCCTCCTCTTTAGGGAGTCCACCGGTGAAATTATACCAAAAATATCTGATGCCTCATATCAGAGAGAGATTCACAATCTCACTTCCAAAAAGCAAGGCCCCCCAGGGCTCGCCACCGCAAAGTCTGCGTATTGGCTACCACCAGAGATTGCTGCGGCCACCAAACCTCAATACACATCCAAGGCTGATATATGGGACTTTGGCATTGTATTCGTACAGATGGTATTTGGGTTAGATGTGCTTCGCAAGTATTCGTCTCCCAAAAATCTGATGGAATCGGTGATGCTTTCCCAGCCCCTCCAAGAGCTGGTCAGCCGTTTCTTCAAAGACGATAGGCAGAAGAGGCCGAGAGCGTTTGAACTTGGGGCTAGTGAATTTCTTGCGACAGATGCTCCTGTCCTGTTTGAAGACAGTTCTGCCATGCTGTCTCACAGCCCATCCATCAATTCTTTGCAAGCCCTTCCCGTGAGGCTCAGACGAGACTCAATGAATAGAGCAATAGCCGTCTCTCGGTACACGGAAGACTTTGTGGAAGAGGGAAGACTTGGTAAGGGCGGATTTGGTGAGGTTGTCAAGGCTAGGAAAAAGCTGGATGGACAGATATACGCAATTAAAAAGATCACACAGCGTTCACAGGCAAGCCTTACGGAAATCCTCAAGGAAGTCCGACTGCTCTCGCAGCTTAGCCATCCCGCAGTTGTGCGGTATTACAACACTTGGGTCGAAGAGATTCCTGATTCAACAGACACCGAGGGTGAAACATCAACGGATGACTACACAGAGGATACTCGGGACACAGGTAACGAATCCGCTGGTATTGATATCCAGTTTGCTACAAGCACTGGCGGCTTGGATTTTATATCGTCCAATGCTGGAGTGGAATTTGACTACGATTCGGACGAGGACGAGGAGGACGAGGAGGACCATGATTCGTCCGATGACGAAGAAGACGACGATCGAAGCTCTATTATGGACTCCATTGGTCATCGTGAAAAGCATCACGAGAAGGACAGGCTAGCTGCCCTGCAGCGGCGCGCTCGAATGCATCGGTCTTACCGAACAGTTCTCTACATCTCCATGGAATACTGCGAGAAGCGGGTACGTATACAAGATTGATCAGCTCCTCTTGAGCAGTTACTCACTTTAATCCTTAGACTTTGAGAGATCTTATCGCGCGAAAGTTGTACAAAAATACTGCAGAAGTGTGGCGGCTTTTTAGACAGATTCTGGAAGGTTTGGCGCACATTCATTCGCTAAGTATTGTTCACCGCGATCTCAAGCCGGAGAACATATTTATTGCGAGCAGTGCCGACGGTGTGGACAATGTCAAGATTGGCGACTTTGGTTTGGCAACCAGCGGCCAGTTTTCTGTGGATCGAACCACTGTCAACGGCTATGAGGCAGATGACATGACAAGAAGTATTGGAACAGCTTATTACTCTGCCCCAGAAGTGCGATCTGCATCCAATGGAATGTATAGCACTAAAGTCGACGTATGTTTCTCTATACGTATGTCTACAAGTGGAAGCTGACGTGCTTACAGATGTATTCCCTCGGAATCATTTTCTTTGAGATGTGCTATCTGCCTATGATGGGCATGCAAAAAGCCGATGTTCTTGGGCAGCTTCGACGTCCTGTCCCTGTTCTACCCTCGGATTTCCGACCTGCTGAAAAGACACAAACTGAGATTGTGCTCTCGCTTGTCAATCATAACCCCAAAGAACGGCCATCTAGTTCTGATCTACTCAAGAGTGGTAAATTGCCAGTCCAAATGGAGAGCGAGACCATCAGGCGAACTTTGGCGGGTCTGGCAGACCCTAATTCCCCATATTACCAAAAGATGTTGTCAACGCTGTTTGCACGGCCCGTGGAGGCGGCCAAGAATTTCGCGTGGGACATGAACGGCACCACACCCAGTTCTGCCGAGCTTCTGAATCAAAGCATCGTCAAGAATGCGTTGGTGGCCATTTTTCGCCGTCACGGAGCCCTTGAGGCAACACGAACTTCGATATATCCCAAGACGGTGCACCATGCTGACAACGCTGTTCGACTTCTTGATTCCAACGGCACTGTCCTCCAGCTTCCTTATGATCTTACAATGGGACACGCCCGAATGTTGGCAAAACACTCGCAGACTCCTCCCCTGCAACGCACCTTTACGTTTGGCAGCGTGTTTAGAGATAAGCAAGATACAGGGCAGCCTCAGATGTTTGGTGAGGTGGATTTTGACATTGTCACGATCGACACGCTGGATCTGGCATTGAAAGAAGCCGAGGTCTTGAAAGTCCTGGATGAGATTCTCCATACGTTTCCATCCTTGTCAGCCTCGCAAATGTGCTTCCATGTTGGACACTCTGACATCCTCCAACTAATTTTCGAATACTGTGGTATTCCCCCTTCTTCTAGGAGGGCAGCGGCAGATGTCTTATCCAGGCTAAACATTCACAACCATACATGGCAGAAGATTAGGATGGAGCTTCGATCTCCTGCAGTGGGAATCTCAGCTACCAGTATTGACGAGCTTCAGCGATTCGATTTCCGAGGTACGAGTTCACCGTGGCCATTGACCCACAGCCAAGACATTTCGATCCTTTGCTAACGATATGATACAGACACACCAAACAAGGCGTTTGCAAAGCTAAAGCTCGTTTTTGAAGGCAGCGACATGTATCAACGGGCCGCGTCGACAATAGCACATCTCAAGGAAGTGGTGGAGTATACCAAGCGATTGGGCGTCACTACCAAGATTTACATCAATCCTCTCAACAGTCTCAAAGAAGGCTTTTACATCGGTGGCATCCTTTTCTCCTGCATCTACGATAAGAAGGCCAAAGACGTTTTTGCCGCTGGTGGCCGGTATGACCACTTGATCAACGAGCAGCGTCCCAAGATTGGAGGGCAGTTTGAAAAACGCCATGCCGTCGGGTTCAGCCTGGCTTGGGAAAGGTTGGCAAAAACGCCAAAATCCGGCGGCTACTCGTTTTTGAAGAAGAGCGAAGAAGATGTGAGCAGCATATTCAGCAGTAAACGTGTAAGTACCTATCAAATCATGCGACAGTTTGAAGTGCCCGACTGACGCCAAACCTGCAGTGCGATATTTTGGTGGCAAGTTTTGATGCAGCGACTCTTCGATCCTCTGGAATTGAGGTATTGCGGCTTCTCTGGTCACACGATATAAGCGCAGAGCTTGCTAGGGACTCCAGATCTCCAGAAGATTTAATGTCGAAACACCGGGATGAGAGCTATTGTTGGATCATCATCATCAAGCAAGATTCTATGCTGAAAATCAAGACTGTGGGAAAGAAGGATGTACCGGATGTAGATCTTCCCATGGCGCAGCTCCTTTCCTGGCTGAGACCTGAGATTCGAGACCGAGATTCCAAGGCTGCAGCAAAGTTTCGTGGAGCACCCGAGCCAGCAATACAAAGCGAGAAAGATCACGAGCAGGAAGTCAAGATCATGGTTGCCCAAACCAAGAGCAAAAAGTTCAATCGGCGCACAGTGGTGGAGCAAGCACAAATCACCGCAGCCACGCTGATGAATTCGTTTCTCGAAGGCCCTATCTTGGCCGTCGAAACCAGCGATCACCTGATGGAGCTTGTACAGAACACAAACTTATCAGACCCTGAAAGCTGGCGGAGAGCTGAGCATGGCGTGGCAACGTCGGAGAAGAAGAACATTCGTGAGATTCACGATCAGCTTGACACCTGGAGGTACAGGTATGAGAAGAAGAATGGCTCGAAGCATTCGTTTTTGTACAACTTCCGATCGGGAACCTGCATGTATTACGATTTATCAGGATAAGAGACGTATTTTGTTGGGCATAGGGGCATCCGTGCATATCATTCGAGCGATGTATCTTGACAGGTAGCATTGGGCCATTTCTCTATCATATACGTGATACCTTGGATGGAAGGATATCTACGCAAGTATACTTTATCCCTGAGTTGGGTATAGCTCGTACTGGCCCTCCACACGCCGTCCATTGACTCTGTCTGTGTTTGTTTCATTTGGTGCCTAATATAGGAGCCGTCGTCGGGCCAAATGCATGTGTGCGCCACCCAATATGCAGACGGCCGAGTCCATTGGCCACCTATGAGGCGAGAATAAGCCATGCCTATGCAATGATAAGGTGCGCTCAAGCGAGCTGAATGGAATCAAATGGAAGCCGCTAGTTTTTGTTTCTCACCCCTACATTACAATGGAAAATCAGCTTCATTCCCGCCGAATAAATTTTTCATTGAGTGGCTTGAGAGGATGACGGCGCAGATCTTGATGTTAGATCGATGGCTTGATAATTCCAGTTAGAGCACGCCTGTTAGCATTCGGGTTACTCCGTAGTGGCCAATTAAGGTACTACCTAGTGAGTACATGCACGCACATACGAGTACATTATCTAATTACTAGTAGGTATTAGTAGACGCGCTTTGTTGAGGCTCACCTGCAGGATGGAATGGCTGGGCCTTGAAATGATGCATTGATGGATCCAATCGTACGTTGACCCGTGCAGCTAGATACGTATCACCACCACATTAGTCACTCGTCTCTCTCAGTGGAATTCAATTCAATAGCACCGAACTGCCCTCTCATGACAGGTGTCAAACTCCTTTTCCCCCCTCGTCTCAGGCGATTCACGTGGCGGCTATGTAAGTACCGCCTATTGCACAGCTCGTACCGCGCAAGTATCGCCGTCAACCATCGCCACGGGACCGATACTTGGCTGTACCTGCCGGCGATAGCACTCGGGATGCACCCCTAAGCCCAGGCGAGGACCCCTGCAGGCGGGGGCGCTGGGGGAGGGGCAGCGCACTCTAGCTGCGACTAGCAGGCGCCTGTAGAGGCTTCACCGCCCGGGACTTGCGGCAGTCACCTGTTGCAGCCACCTGATGCCGTCACATCTGAGGTGCCATAGCCGGTCCGGCTGAGTTTCGGAAATTCCTGTACGAGCACTTCTACGTCGCCAACCCTTTCTTTACTTGCATCTTCTTTTCTTTTTTTGATCTCTATTCCCATACGCGCCTCATTTCCACGCCTCTTGTCACGCCCAGTGTCTATCCTCGGACGACAGCATCGAGTCTTCAGTGGCGGCCACCCACTCACCCTTCTCATCCATTTCCCCCTAGACTCTGGACTCTCCCGGTTGCTGCCGACAACCAGCCAGACGCTACTGCTCCTGCGCGTTGAGTAGAAGCAGCATAGAGGAAAACAACTTTCGAGCCGTTCTGCCTCCTATATCGTTCCATATAATCTTTACAATCACCTACCAGCGTCATGGCTCAGAAGCGCCTTATGCAAGAGCTGCGGTCTCTCCAGAAGGAGAAATGGGTGGAGATTACAGTAGGTACACCTGAATCGACTGAAACCCGCAAAGACTCTCCTACTCACAATACCCAGACAGATGAGACAAATCTCCTCAAATGGAGGATCGGCCTCTGGGTTGTCAATCCTGACAGCGTTTGGCACGGAGCGTTCCTCAAGGTAAGCCAAGCAATTTGTCCCGGCGAGAGGCGATGAGATACTAACAAGGAACTCCAGGCCGAGATGAGATTCCCATCCGACTATCCTTATCAGCCGCCGGTCTTCAAGTTCCTCACCCCCAACATCATCCATCCTAACGTATATTCCGACGGAAACCTCTGCATTTCCATTCTTCACAAGCCTGGCGAAGACGAGCAGTCTGGCGAACTTGCAAGCGAGAGATGGAATGTCCTACACGGAGTTGAATCTGTTCTCCGATCCGTTCTCCTGCTCATGGACGATCCCGAGATCAATTCAGCTGCCAACGTGGATGCCAGCGTCATGTATCGAGACGATCGTGCTCAGTATAATGCCTTGGCCAAGGCTACAGTGGCAGCGACCAAGAAAAGCATCCCGGCGGGTGTGAGGATGCCCAGCATGGACGAGCTGACTCCGGTACCGGTAAAGCCGATCGATGACGATGCCGACTTTTGGAATATGACAGATGAGGAAGAAGACTTTGGCGGAAGCGATAGTGACGAAAACATGGATGACTTCGAGGAGGAAGAGGAGGAGGATGAAGAAGAAGATGAGGATGATAAATGAGCGTTCAACTGTGACATGATGTGGGGAGAATGCGCTGTTTCCTGAGTGAAAAAGCGAAAAAAGCGAAAGAACCAACAGCCGGCTGGCTTGTCATAACACGCCACAACCGATGGCATACTTTTACCTACGCAACTAGCGGATCCGATTTGATGGCGTTTGGCGGCTTCTTACCTACCTATGCATGGAACGGGCTGGGAGAAGGTTGGTGTCATGGCGTGGCATCTCTACTCTTGGACCACGGAAGGATTGCATTTGAATTTTTGCGGTTTCTTGTTTTACTTTGCTGCCTTTGTTTTTGTTTTCTTGCCTTTTTAGGTCATTACAGGCATCTCTCATATTAGCGGGTTTTTATCGTTTCTTGTAGCTCGAGTCTGAGGGCAGCCAAACTTTACATAGAAGGCAAAAGCGCATAGACGCGTTGATACAGCAAGCACAGATATACAATTTCTTTTTCTTCTTAAGAAGCAGAAGGGTCTCAAGTGACTGTGTTAGCCTTTTAAATCAAAAAGGCGAGAAAACGTAGGCACAAAGGTATTCTAGGCACAGAGAACCCAGAGATACGAAATGTCATGTCTTAACATTAACAGGTACATCGCATGAGACGGCTAATGAGTGTCGAACTGATCATCAAGGTTCTCAATAAACTACTAATTGAGAACAGAAATACACAAAAATACTACCAAAAGGCATTTTAAGGGCCCGAATCAGAAAATTTGCTTGCCATGAGCACATGCACCTACATGTCCTCCATTATTTGACTTGAGTAGAAAAGCAGGGCTGCGTAATACTTGCGTGGCCCAGCTGCGGTTATGCTTTGCAGCGGGCAGTCAGATGTTATTTCCAGCAGCCCCTCAATCCCTCAATGCCAATGCTCAGGTACTAACACGCTGGCGCAGCTTATCTTATCAACTCAGGTCCCTCCTTCACTGACGTGCCGCCCGCAACGCAACCGCCTTTCACCTCCCAAGGTGCTAAACCATTCGACGGCCACATTCCTCCAGGCTGGCACCTACAAGCAGCAGCTTGCGTCGCTTGCTGGCGACGCTTTTTCGCCTCCGGTATTGCTTAAATTGGCCTTTCTCTCATTTTTGCTTCCTCATGCCCGCAGCCGCCACGCTTGGTTCGCATCCTCGATAGCTTCGTTCCGATTCTGGAGCTAGGGTCACCTGTCCTGTCCCGTCCTGTCCTGCCAAACGAGGCGAGAGAGGGAGACACAGGGCTCGAACCAGGCTCTGGCTGGTCCCGGAAGCCGCACGCTGCATTTTAATCTCAATATTCTTTCTATTACAGCTCTAGCAGCTTTGCCATTGTTCCGAATAGAGCTACAACCGGCCGTCATTCGTCATGGCCTCGATGGAGCCGTCCGAGGATGACATCTCGCAGGTCATTGACTTTGCGGGCCTCAATCCAGTCGATGACCGTGCCTTGGTCATAAACGCGCTCAGAGTCTGTTTGCGATGCACCCAGTCGCCAGTTCGTTGCGGTAACTAACACGACGCAGAATAATAATCGAAATGTCGAAACCGTCGTTATGCAATACTTTGACAACTCTGAGAGTGTATGCAAAACTCCTCTAACCCCTCCCGCCTGGAACTACATGGCCGAGTCGCACAATACTAATCTGTGTTGCTGTAGTTCCGACAAAAGTATACTTCGCTATGGAACGAGGCCATGTTTTCAGCCGATAGAGACGGTGCCATCGGTAACAATGCTGGCAGAGGTATGAGGGGGGCTACCCGCACCACAGGAAGATCATCATATGGGATCTGACACTCTAGGCAGCATTTCACATTGAATCGCTGAACGGCAACGATATCATACAAGGGGTGACGCCTCCCCCACCTGGCTATGGAGCTCCATCAAGGCCTCCTTCGCGGTCTAACGATAGATCCCCGCTGGGTAGGATGGTCGAATGGACCACGGGAGACGCAGCTGGTAGTGTTCTGCACTCCCCCGCATCTGCGAAATAATCTATTCTGACATGGCTGGTAGGGGGAAATACTATGCACTCGCAAGAGGATGAGGACATGCAAAGAGCGTTGCGGGAATCAGCTCAAGAAGCGGGGCTATCGATCCCTCCGCAAGAATCTGGAGTCATAGATCAGTCGACCTCAACGCCGTACTTTGGCCCCGCGAACCGTTCCGAATATGACCAGGACAACTGGGCCATGGTTCCCGTTGGGCCGCTCAAGACAAGGCTAGATAACGCTCCATCACCAGCTCAGAGAAAGCGAGCCCCCGAAACTCCGGCATTCCTAATCCAGGGACCTAGCTCAGCGAGACACCACACCTTGGGTGGCTTACTCACGATATTTAGCCAAATTCCACTGGCAAGGAATGTCCTCCTACAGTGTGGCTCTCCTGCGGCATCCTACGGTTTCAATAACGAATGGTGGAACGGGCAGGAGATTCTACCTCCAGAAGCCTTACGACAGATGCAGTCAGGAGAAACGGATTGGGGCTACGATAATACTCCGAAGCCAAACTTTGAAGAAGAAATCCATCGGCTCATGGCGTTTCTTGAGCTGACAGAGAGGAGTTATGCGACAGTCGCTACGCTTTCGAATTTGATGCAGGATGCAACAAATGATACGGAGAAGCAATTTTATGCACATCTCGGAGACACTAATGGTGGAAAGCTGCTAGAGCCGTTGTACCAAGAAGCGGTACTGACAAGCGTCGGTAGTAACGACGATGACGAGGCCCAGCATGCGACTTTTGGACTGCTTGAATTTGACCACTCAGGGCTCGAGTACGCCCACATCAAAACCCTCTACGAAGCCCTGGATTATTTGATGTGGGGAGACTTGCTGTCGTGGCACGATGCGGACGACAGGGCTAGAATCGCCATGTTTCGGAGAATGGGAGAAGTCCTTAGTATCAAAGTCGGAAATGATGGGCCGCTTGATTCGTTTGACATTCCAGAAGTGCTATACCCGGAACGATATCTGGAAAGTCGTAAGGAGGAGGCCAAAAGAATAGCATCTGCTTTACTGGAAACCAAGAATGCTTTCGACATCGTGACAACCGAGGAGCGGCGTCTACAGGAATGGCAGGATGACTGGAACCAGTTGACATTTAACAAGACGGACATGATCCGCAATGCTACGGAGCAGTGGAAGGCCTTTTCCGACTACCTTCAGACCTCCGGCCAGTTTCAGGCGATGGAAGCCTCGGGATTCGACACAAACAAGTATCCCAACTACCGGGATGCGCCATGTCAAATGACGGCGGAACAGGCCAAACACTCTGAACAGGTGGACGAAGTGCTTCTTCTGACGGAACGGATACTGCATGATATGGAAGCAAAGACCGAAGGTGAGGAAAATTATCCAACTATAGGCAGGAAAAAGAAAATGAACACGGCATGCTGATGAATTACTGTTTTAGACCTCCGCGTTCAGCTAGAGCAGATTCAAGCCAAACAACGCTTTCTCGGCAAACTCTTGACTGTCCCAGACAAGCCAGGCCGACCAAAGCCAATGACTTGCAAGAAGTATCTTCTCAGAGGTGTAGCAACCGACAGAGATATTGTTTATGTCTGCCAACGTGTGTACCCGGAGTTCGAGGAGTCAGAAGAACCGAAATCGCCAGTCGATCAATGGTGGCGGCTAGAATACTGTCCCAATGAGGACCAACTAGTTAGATCAGAGGTGCAGTAACCCGAGTTTCTCTTATGCTCTAGTGAGAGACAATGCTAACATTTACACCCTTCAATAGAGAGTAGAAATTGAGCGAGTCTTGAGAGATGTGTGGCATGAGACAAAGACGCCTCTTCTCATATATGCGACCGAAGAAGCACTCTCCACGCCGAGAACCCCGCTGTCAGATGCCCTGAATATGTTTGTCAGATCGGATAATAAGGCTTTTCGGCAAGAACTGAAGCGGCCCGCCGCCGACAGCGTGGAGGAAAGGAGGTATACGTCTGTCGACCCCGTCTCGCCGTCCAAGCGAAAGCACCGAGATAGCATGGACTCCATGGATACGAACCGAGCGTCCATCGGCAGCGAGGACAGAAGTCCATTTGAAAATGCATTTGACGAACAAATAGAGCAATCAGAGATGGAGATGGCAGACATGTCTGGAGGCAAGGTGGAGTATGTCAGAGGCTCTGACGCAGAGGGAAAATTCGGGCCTCACGGAATCCCATCGGCCCTACTAAACCCTGACCCAGCGCTGATTACGATTGAATCTGCAACCCTTACACCAGAAACGCTCGCGGCAGACGAGGGCGAAGCACATAAGCCAACTCCCTCTGAAGATAGCCAGACAGACGACGTGGTGAACAAGTTGGCCGAGGCTCAGGTGGCTAAGAGCCCAGAAATGCAAGAGCGAGCCCGACCACCGTCACTCATACGGCCACCGCTGGGGAACGAAACTGGGAGGGATCTAAACATGGACATGGATATACCAGATGTCCAGGAATAGACGTCTATAAGGGATTTTAGAGGGTATAATGGACTGGGTACAGTATGATTTGCTGCAAAAAGAAGAAGAAAAGGGGCCACGAGGTCGAGTCTGGTTGCGGAAAAAGGAACAGCGCTGGGAAGGGATTACGGACTGGTCGTGAAGGGGGGAACGTTTGTATATGGGGTTACTTGTCTGCCAATGAATGGGCTGGCACTATAGCGCGAGGCTTTTGAATGGCAGTGTTCGCCTTTTGGCAATGAATTTCTCGCTTTTTGGTGAGATTCTAGTTAGAACTCAGCTTCACGGCGAGGAACATGATGCCACGGATGGACAGTCTTGTTATGTTATCATTAGCCTCTAATTTCAAATGTATTCGTATCCAATCACGAAGAATACCGGGCACTAAATGCTTGGTGTTGTAGTGCGTGCTTGATCTCGTGAGCGGTCGCAGAATGGGGATAGAGAGTTGATGGTATGGAAGCTTCTAGAAGCTTCTACGAGACGGGCATTTTCGGCCAGCCACGAGCGTGCACAAGGCGTGATTCAAAGCTGTAACGAAGTACTTTTGGGGTGAAACACTATAACTCTCCGGATATTGCTTGCCTTGGTGTTCGGTTAGCTGCTCTAGTGTGGTGTTTGTTGTTTCTCCTTCTGCTGCTCCATGTGCATCAAGGCGTTACCAAGTAGGGCATCAGTGCTACAATGGCAGCGGGCATATTGGGGCCTGACGTATGAGTGTATGAGTGTATGGCATGGCGTGTACAGGGGTTGCAGAAGGGCCCTCCATCAGTGACATACAGACGAATGGACGATGCAGGGGCAAAAGGGAAGATGGATTCGGTTGCAGGTTCTCTTTGAGGAGGAGGGATGGCTGGGCGTGGCTGGGTTGAGGGCTCATTGGATTTGATAGACAGCGCATCAGGGAGTGTTGACGGGTCATTGCCAACTGGAGCTTAGTGCTGCCAGCGAGCTGTTTTGGCATGATCCTTGTAGCGTGGGGCTGTTTTTGATCTGACGTTTTTGGCTCTGCGTGTGTGTGTGACAATGAAAAGTGTTGATGTGGATGAGCATTCAAATATGGGTGCGGGAGGATGAGATTAAACAAAGAAGCCAAATGTGCACTTGTTAATTTGGTAGTAATACCTTGCAGTAAGGTAGGTAGTAATTAATAAATAGAAGAAATGAAGCCCGGGAACTCATCTAGCCCATAGTCTAATGGCATGACAGAAAAAAAGAGCATCACCTGCCCAACCCCGGACCGCTTGCGAGAGAGTCACCTGCTGCCAATAGATTCCACAGTGCTTCGTGCCAGACCAGAGTCAAAGGGGGAACAAATATGCTCTCTCTCTCTGTCTTGTTCTCCTTTTCCCTCTTGGACCCTTTTTCCTTTTTTTCCCCCGTATCTGGCATTAGCACTTGTTGTGCGTTGGCCTGCTGTATGTTGATGCATCTGCAGCTGCAGCGTTTCCGCATCACATCACATTCACCTTACATGACAACCCCCTCTTTTTATAATTGGTTCTACTGCTGCTGCTACTGCACTTGGTCCGGAGTCGGTAATACGGTACAGACGTGTGCAGAAGATACTAGACTACCTATAGTAAGGCATTTCGACTGAAAGTATCCATCCAACCTGCTGCAGACGTTATCGTACTGGCTTATATAGGACGTGGTCGACCTCTACCTACCTGTCAAACAACCATCACGTCCATCCTTCACTTGTCCGACCGACGGTCAATTGGCCCCTGGCATCAAGTCAAATCGAACCAGCAGCCAAGCTCTGGTCGCCCTGCCTGTGCCGATCAAACGTTGCTTTTTCTGCCGTCTCTCTCTCTCTCATATTTGATCCCCCCCCCCAGCTCTCGTGCGTCATAGCCGGTAGCGGGAAGCTTCTACAAGGTCCCAGCAAAAGGCGGCCCCACAACCGGCTCACCTTTGTGCTGTAGTAACCTGACCAGGCCTGAATATTAGTAGCAGCGAGGCTTGCTCTCTCACGCTCACGCTCTCACTCACTTCTCTCCCAAAACCCCCTCCATACCAATCTCTTGACCGATCTTCCTTTCTTTCTTTTCACAACCTTTACCTTTCTTCTCTCCAATTACACCCCCCGACTGCGGCATAATAATTCGTTGCCAGCTTTGCTCTTTCATCCAGTTTTGATTCCGAATCCCAGCTTTCCGCCTCGTGTCTTACATTCGATTCGTCGCATCTTTTGCTGTGAATCTGCCTTGGCAATAGCTGCCGTTGGCCCCCACCACTGCTAGAGAGAAAGCACACCGACAAGCTCATCATCATGGTCAAGGAGACCAAGCTTTACGATACCTTGAGTATCAAACCCGACACATCGCAGGACGAGATTAAAAAGGCATACAGGTACGTGACAGCTATTTCGCTCATTGATTTCTTTTTGCACGCCCTGCTTTTGCTCCCCAATCTTTGTCGTCATACTTGGCTCAAACTAGCTGGCGGGTGGCAATTGGCCGACGACGACCAAGCGCGTGCTCCTCCCCACACAGCTTTGCCGCCCAACCAGCGAGTTCCAAACCGATGCAGAAAGTGAGATGGCGAGGCTAACCACGATTTGCGTTACAGAAAAGCTGCTTTGAAATGGCACCCTGACAAGAACAAGGACAACCCCAACGCCGCGGAAAAGTTCAAGGAGTGCTCGCAAGCCTACGAAATCCTGTCCGACCCGGAGAAGCGCAAGATCTACGACCAGTATGGCCTCGAGTTCCTGCTGCGGGGTGGTGCCCCTCCACCCGAAGGAGGTCCAGGGCCCAACGCATACCCGGGAGCAGGCGGCATGCCTGGCGGCTTCAGCGGCTTCGACTTCGGAGGAGGTATGCCGGGAGGTACTAGAACCTTCCACTTCAGCACGGGCGGCAACGCCAAGGGTTACAACTTTATGAACCCCGAGGATCTATTTGCAGAGTTCAAGCGCAGTGGAGGCATGCATACCGGCGGCCCCGACGATGACGACTTTGGTGGCTTCTTTGGTTCTTCGTTCGGTCCTGGTGCAGGCGGCCCGCGGTCAGGTCGGACAAGGACGAGATCCGGGTTCGCTGAATCACAGCCCAGAAACCGTGAGCCAACGCCCGAGATTACCACTGTTGAGCGGCCATTAGCTCTCACTCTTGAGGAGCTGTACAATGGAACTACAAAGAAGATGAAGATTAAGCGCAAGACGTTTGATGAATCAGGCAAGCGCGTGCAGACAGACCAAATTTTGGAAGTGCCCATTAAGCCGGGGCTCAAGAAGGGTTCCAAGATCAAGTTTAACGGAGTTGGTGACCAGGTGGAGGGTGGTAGACAAGATTTACACTTTATTGTTGAAGAGGTAAGCTACGCGATCCCCTTGCACTCCCTCTCCCCCTTTTGCAATTGACCGATCACGGAATGCTAACAAGCTGTGCAGAAAGAGCATCCCTTGTTCAAGCGAGAGGATAATGACATTGTACACACCGTCACCTTGGAGCTCAAAGAGGCGTTGACTGGATGGAAGCGTGTAGTCGCTACAATCGACGGCAAGCAGATCAGCATAGACAAGGGCGGTCCAACGCAACCCGGAAGCGAAGATCGGTATCCGGGATTGGGCATGCCCATGACAAAGAAGCCCGGACAACGCGGCGATTTTATCGTCCGCTACAAGGTCAACTTCCCATCAAGCTTGACGCCGGAGCAAAAGACGCAGCTCAAGGAAATTTTGTAAGATTGGAATTGGACGCTCAATAGGCGCTTCTTGCAACGCTTGAAACAATCGAAAAAAAAAAAGGGAAAAAGAAATTACCACACATAACGACAGAGGGCTTGGTATGCGGGACATGAACAGGACCTCGGGAGCCGAGCCGCACGATCCTTTTGAGCAGGTTGGGAATGAATGTCTGCGCATTCAGGCACAGTCTGTCAACTACACATGGCGCGGATGACGATGATGACGAGTTGGCGTGTTTTGTTCTTCTTTTCTCCTTTCTGTTTTTCTTTGGCCACTTTTGTAATGTCAAGAGGAATTGACAAGGAGTAGAGGCGTTTTAGGGATGAATTTCTGGCAGAGTTCAAGGCACGCGGAGGATTCTTTGTTGGCATGAGTGAGACGATAGCATCCAGGATTTTGTGATTGAGGAATTGCAGGGGATTTATACATTATGTTTTAAGTTGGTCGGTGTTACGACGCAACACTTGATAGCGGTTGAAAAGAATTATATTGCTTTTGGCACCAACAATTGATTCCTTGCTGTATGCTCTGTATCTACCATAGTAGCCATTGAAAATTCAGCAGATCATGAGACGATGCAGTGCTCGTAGATTAATGCTTTCCAGCTGCATAACTTTGTTCATAACTACCTACGTTGATTATTTTTGGCATTGAGCTGATGAAAAAGCCCTTACATGCTGGGTCTCAGCCACTAGGGCGCCGTCTCAAACTCGCGTTCCAAGGCATGGTCACGAGCAGTCAAAGCATGACGAGAATTCCAGCGAAATAAATTGATTAAATGGTTTTATTGATTAGATCGACTGGACGTGTTGCTGAAACTGATTTCTGAATGCGCCTTTAACATCGGAGCAAGGTCTGGTGTTTTTATCCGTATGGAGCGACGAACCATTCTAGCATGGGATGGATGGGGGCTGCTAACATGGTTCAAGGAGGGGCGATGACGACACTGATGACCCGCGGAGGGGGAGGGGTAGAGAGACGAAGCAAGGCTGGGAATAATAGCTGTATGATGATTGGGGGGGAGAGGCTGGGTAAGGGGGGAATTGATTGTTTTGGATCATGTTGGGAATGGGGGTCGAGAGAGAGGAAATAAGTATGTAGGCAGAAGATTAGGTAAAGAATAAAGAAGAGTAGAATACAGAGTACGGAGTACGGACTAATACTTGTTTTGGCATGTGAAGGGGACTGTACTCGTACGGAGTAATGATGATTCAATTGTGCATCTGGGGCCTCTGGTGAGACGGGGCTGACGCTGTATCATATCAGCATCGCGCGAAGAAACAAGATTTCGGGGGGCGGCAAGGGGATTTGATTGATACCCACTTTGTGCAATGTGTTTTGACACGTCTGGATGCCTTTTTGATTCGGGTCTCACATGAGGTAATTGCGTCTGTACCTGGACCTGTTACCGCTTTAGCAGCCCTTCCATGTGGAGAGCTTGATTGGCTTGGCTTGGGCGATCTTTGCGCCTTATATACTTGAAGCCGTTCCCGAATTCTCTCGTGTTGGTTTTCTTCCTCTTCTTCTTTCATTAAGACAGTAGACGCTACGTTGTAATCCTTTATTTCTTCCTTTCTCTTTCTCTTTTCTCTTGGAAATAATACCCAACCACTGCATTGATCAAGATGCCTGAAGTGAGCCAAATCTCCATCCCTACTTTCTTCTATCCGCACACCAGCTAACCTCCCTCACTCTTCCTCCAGATCAACGCCATCCTCTTCGACTGCGACAACACCCTCGTTCTCTCCGAGGAGCTCGCCTTCGAGGCCTGCGCAGACCTCATCAACCAGATCTGCGCCGAGCGCAACGTCCACGTCAAGTTCACCGGCGAGACGCTGATCCAGGAGTTCGTCGGCCAAAACTTCCGCGGCATGCTCACGACGCTGCAGAAGACGCACGGCATCGAGATTGCGCCCGAGGACCTGGAGAAGTACGTCTTGGCCGAGGAGGACGCCGTCATCGCCAAGCTCAAGGCCGCGCTGAGGCCGTGCGTCGGCGTCGACGAGCAGCTCGAGGCGCTGCAGCGGAGCGGCAAGTACCAGCTGGCCGTGGTGTCGTCGTCGGCGCTCCGGCGGGTGCGCGCGTCCATTGAAAAGGTCGGCCAGGACAAGTTCTTCCCCGGCGACGTGGTGTTTTCCGCGGCGACGTCGCTGGAGAAGCCCACGAGCAAGCCCGACCCGGCGATTTACCTGCATGCGCTCAAGGTGCTGGGCAAGGCGGCCGGCGAGAGCGTGGCCGTGGAGGATAGCAAGAGCGGCACTCTGAGCGCCACGAGGGCGGGCATCAAGACGATTGGGTATGTCGGCCCGTATGCCGCCGACAAGCAGGAGGAGATGGAGGGCGTGCTGCGGAATGCGGGCGCGGTGGTGATTATGCGCGACTGGAGCGAGTTTCCGGCTGCCCTGGCCAAGATTGAGAAGGGCGAGGTTTAGATTGGCTTCATGTATCTTTTTTATTTTGGTTTATTCTGCATTATGGGTTATGCCCTTTGAAGGCTTGGAATTGGGTTCTTTTTGCTCGTTGGCTTGGTTCATAAAGGAGATCAAGACAGAAACACCAACATGGCAAGCTAGATATGAATAGATATGACGGAACGAATTTGACGCTTCTTGAAAATACAGACCAATTCAAAAGCACTCGGATGCATGTTTGTCCCATGTCATTTATACCATGTATTCCAATTAGACGTCGTTACTAATCAGCTCCTTGCTAATTCCTCCAGTCCATCAAGAAGCTATTCACGCTCTGCAAGGTACTCCTGCTCGGATTCGCCTCGGGATACACCGTCATGACGGCCCCGAGCCTCATCTTGACCAACGTCTTGGTAAACGCCACCTTGTCGTCAGGCACGCGGAAGCGGCCCTCGTCGTCGAAAAGATGGCATGACAGCGCCAGGGCGACGCCTACGGAGAGGTCCTTGCCTGAGTCGCAGGCGACGACGATTTGGGGCGGCTTGACGACGGCGTCGTTACTTGCTGCATCTGTTGGAGTGGAGTGCTCGTTGCGCTGGAGGAAGAGGGTTGCGAAGGAGCAGATTTCGGGGAGGGCCAGGCGGAGGTTGCGGCTGGCGGTTTTGTGTTTGCCGAGGCCGACGCGGAGGAGCGTTGGGGAGAGGAGCCAGGTTTCTTTTGGGGTGGGAGTTTCGGTGAGGAGGATGAGGCATTCGTTTGGTTGCTGCTGTGATGATGATGCCGCTGTTGGTATTGAGAGGTCGAGGGGTGATATTGCCCGGACGGAGAGGTAGGACGTGAGTTGTTTTCGCGGGAGAGTAGCTGGGTTTACATCGCCGGTGGGAGCAGCCTGGCGCTGTGCTTTAGCTTCTTCTACGAGCTTGACGATGAGGTCGGGGACATCGGCTTCTGCGGCAGAGAGAAAGGCTGTGGTGTTGGCCCAGAAGACGTCTGGGGTCAGGCCTAGAGCCCAGTTCTCGGTGTCGTCTCCGGCGCCTTGGATGTAGCCGCCCTCGTCGACCTCGCTGCCGATGACTCGTCTACTAGCGGTACAACAGATGACAGGTCGGTAGTCCTGAAATATGATGCCTTGGTCTTGATTTTGGTCTTGGTCTTCATCCTCGTCGTCGTCCGAGTCTGGGGGAGGAGGGAGAGAGGAGTCCTGTGTGATCCAGAGGGGGCGAAGAGGCTTTGTGAGAGACGTCGGGAGGGTGAGGTTGAGTTCTTTGAGGGAAGATAGGAATGTGGGAATGAGAGCGGTGATTTGGGAGTGTGTAGATGCGGGCAGGTAAGGGGGGAGGAAGAGGTTGGAAGAAAGGGGGTTGTTTGGGAGGAGGGCCATGTTGAAGACGGTGCACCAGATGGGAATGGTGGTTGAGAGGGCATCGGGCATGCCTGAGTTGAGGAGTTAGTACGATATACTGGAAAATGTGTTATTGTTGGGTGAGATGATGGGAGACTTGCGTTTGCCGCGGCGAGTAGAGTCCACAATGATGATTCTGTGTAGGTGAGTGTTAGCATGAGATGTGATGAATGGCAAACACTGGCTGGAGAGAAAATAAGCAACATACCCGTCATTCTCCTCAATTATGTCAATTAGGTGCAGGTTCAGTCTCCTAGTGCTAAACTTCCACGCCCGCTCATGTCCATCCGTGCTCTTGAAATACGCACTGCCGTCTTTCTTGTCCGGCGGGATATACCAGCTCCCACAGCGCTCATTCGCCACCAGCGGCCTCTTTTTCCTCTTCCGCTTCTCTAGACCAGCAGCTGAATTAGACTCTGAATGAGAGGGAGGATAGGTTGGAAAAGAAGAGGCCACCTGGGCGACAAAGGCGGCGTCGGAGTGGATGGACTTGAGGCGGTTGTGAGGCGTGAGGGTGCTGCGGCGGAGTTGGGTGAGGAGGCTGGAGATGGAGGGCTGGTTGGAAAAGAGGTCGTCTGAGTCCATTTTTTGTTTATTTTCCTGGGTAGAGGGGGGATTTGGGGGGGGATTGGCTGAAGAAGAGAGTTGCTCGGTTTGATATTGAGTTTTTGGTATATGGTTAAGATGTTGCTAGCGGAGGATTCATGATTTTTTTTCTAGCATTTACACTCACACGTACCCACCCAACACTTTAAGTCATGTAATTGGCAGCGAAACAGCACAACGACAAGAGACACGGTGAAGAACTGATTTTGGTTCATTCAAATTTCGATTTTACTTTTTTTTATTTTCATTTCATCAAGTCATCTATTTTGTTGAGGATTTTCACTCAGTCTCTACACCAGCTTCCACTGTCCATTCTCCACCACAATCTGAATCTCACGGCCCTCGTCAATACTCCGTCGACCAGCCTCCAGAATAGCCGTCGTCGCAATCGTGTTGTTCAGAGTCGGCAGGCCCTTGGCATCCAGATCAGCAGGCGTCGCCCTGCCCTCGTTGACCGCGCGGCAGCCATCGACAAACTTCTCAATGGAAATGTAGCCATAGCCCGTCTGGCCGTTGAAGTTGCCGTCCTCGTCGGGGGCGTAGCGCATGTAGAAGGGGTTGAACCACTGCAGCTGGCCTGCGCGGTCATCAGCAACGTCGTAGCCTCGGTGGGCCTGGTCGACGCGGATCTCGCCCTCCTTGGCCAGGTAGTGGAAGTACTGGTTGGTGTGAATTCCGGCCCGCTGAGGCGCTGTCCACGACGACGTGTAGACGGCGATGGCGCGCTTGTTGGGCTGGTCCTTGAGCTCCCAGGTGACCAGCAGGGAGATTGTGTCCTCGGTCTCGTCGACGCAGCCCAAGCTGGTGGCGACGCCCTTGGATGAAGTAGCAGAAACCTTGACGGGCAGGTAGCCGCGCTGCTGGACCATGGAGTCGCAGATGTCGACGTGGTGGCTGTTGAGATAGTAGGAAATGTCCGACTCCTTGCCGGCCCACGACTTGAACGTCTCCAGCTGCGACTTGGGCTGCGACATGTATGAGTAGAAGTAGTTCCAGTCTCCCAGCGTCTGCGCCTTGAAGCGGGCGTCTGAGTAGGCGGGGTCGAAGCGCTTGTGGTGCTCGATGAAGACGTAGACGCCCTTTTCGTTGGCCTTTTTGGCCAGCTCCAGGTGGTGCTCCAGCAGCTTCACGGCGGGCTTGGTGATGAGGACGTGGATGCCGCGCTCGATGGCGTACAGCGCAATGGGGAAGTGGGTGGGATCGGGGGTGAAGATGGTGATGGCGTCGCCGGGCTTGAGGAGGTCAATTGCAGCCTTGTAGGCATCGGGATCGACCTTGTCGTTGGCGGGGAATGAGTCGAAGGAGGTGTCGAGGTTGTTGTAGACTTGAGTGATGTTCTTGCTGAGATGCTCTCCTACAGGCCAATGAGTTCAGTCAACCTGGCTCGCCGCATCTTCGAGGGGGCTTGTACGTACGGATTGCGGGAAACTTGGTGCCATTGACGCCGACCATGCCCAGCTGGCCGACCTTGCCTCGTCGTCGCAAGTCGAAGAGAGTGAGGCCGACAACTCCCACCTTCTTGTCGGAACCAGAGGCGCCACCGCCAACGAAGCCGGTGGTGTACTCGCCGGTACCAATCTGTAATTTCAAAGTTAGTCCGTCACTCAGTAAGAGGCACGTTTGCGACAGATTTCAATTGGACTCACCATCAACACGTTGAGAGGAGCTGCCATGGTGAGGAGTGCGTCTTCAAAATGTCTTAAACGGGTATCTTGTATGAGATGAAGAGAACAGACAGAGACGCTGCGAAGAAGATGATGAGAAGGGCTACAAGGATGAAGTGAGAAGAGAGTAAGAATAAATCATGGAGTTTTAAAAGACTCGAAAGAAGGATCATCTACAGCCTTGCCGAGTCGCGTTTCTCATGTGCCAGCTTCCGAGCTGGTGACATTGCTAACGGAGGAATTGAGGGGCATTGGCGGGGCAGCAATTGGAGGGATAAATAAAGGCCGTGGAGCAGCATTGAGGTGATGCTGGACCCTCATTTCTGATGGATTTGCTTAGTTCAATTGAATTAAATTGATTGTGTGATTTAATTGACTACATTTGCATTTATATTGCTACTGTACCTTGATGGATGCAGATGCATATACTGTATTGTGTACATGATGCAAGGCAAGCTTTTCTGTCAGGGGATGATCCATGTTGATTTTATACAAAACATCTCCCAGCTTCGTAGTCTCGGGATTCACTACCCCGCGCTGCCCTTGAATGACCCCGCAATCGTCTTGGAGAAGTTCCAGGATATGGATTGTTGTCATCATATCACATCAAATCAACTCAAGGTCCAGACAACTGGTCAAGAGCAGCCTTTATGTCAGCTGCCTGAACCTCTACATAGTAACTCTTCACCTCTACTCCGTATATCCCCTTGCCATCAGCCAGCGGTCCCCGTTCATAAATCGGCGTCAATAAACCCGACGGACATGCTTCCACTTTCATCTCTCCAAAACAAAATTATATAGCCGTACTACCGTACTACCGACGGATGAATCGAGCTAACCAAGTACAGGTACGGATGAGTGGGCTGGGCCTCTCGTGATCCATCCTGTGAATGGTGGGAAATGCCCAAAATCGAAATATCCACCAATCAGATGAAGCGTATACGCCATGCCAGCCGTCTCCATTGTATCTTATTCCCCCAGAAACCCCCATCAAACCCAACTACGTACTAGGTAGTATCTGCATCGACCTCGACCGGAGCAAGTTGCCTTACTACGTACCTATATATCCACTATCAAGAGCCGTTGTAATATGCAATTCTGCCGTTCTCCATGGCTCCAGCTCACTAAATCTCACCCATTCCCCACGCCGTCTTCGGATCGTAGCCCTTGGAGTCGGGGTCAGTCGGCCGAGCTACAGCATGGCTATCGGACCTCTTCGGTGGCTGCCCCTCCGAACATGTGCCCATGAGTCGAAGAATGACCATGTTTGTGGTTATAAGCGGCTATTTTTTGTGCCCGAACACGACACTGGTGTGTGTATTGGGTTATAAAGATTGGGTCCATCCTTTTAGAATTACAAAACCAATAATCCTCCCTGTCTCCTCTGTAGTAACACGATATCTCCATCCTCCTCTCTCTCTCTCTCCGTGCTGCCTACCCTCTTCTCATTCCTTCTATCCTCCATTGATACCCTCGCCAAAAGCCTCGCTCTGCACATCACAGTCTCACAATGGCTCCCGCTCGATCGCTGCCATGCGGCATCTACGCCCCTACCATGACCTTCTTTGACCCCGTCACCGAAGATCTCGACATCCCCACCATCAAGAAGCACGCCGAGCGACTCGCCAAGGCTGGCCTCGCTGGTCTCGTCATCATGGGCTCCAATGGCGAAGCTGTCCACTGCACAAGAGAAGAGAAGATTGCCGTTGTCAAGGCCTCAAGAGAAGCTCTCGATGCCGCTGGTTTCCAGTCTACACCCGTCCTGTTTGGCGCCACCGAGGGCAGTGTCCGGGGCACCATTGAGCTGTGCAAGCTCGCAGCCGAAGCCGGTGCTGAGGCTGCTCTGATCCTTCCTCCTTCATATTACCGCGCCCAGACCGACGAGGAGTCCATCTACAACTACTTCATTGCCGTGGCCGACGCAAGCCCGATCCCCATCATCCTGTACAACTACCCCGGTGCCGTGTCCGGAATCGACATGGACAGCGATCTGCTCATCAAGCTGGCCGAGCACAAGAACATCACCGGCACCAAGTTCACCTGTGGCAACACTGGAAAGCTTACACGCGTGGCTCTTGGTACCAACGCCAAGACGCCCTTCCAGGAGGGCTCAGGATACATGGCCTTTGGTGGCATGTGCGACTTCACTCTGCAGACCCTGGTCAGCGGTGGCAGCGGCATCATCGCGGGCGGTGCCAATGTCATGCCCAAGCTGTGTGTCAAGGTCTGGAACTCATATGCCGAGGGCAACAAGGAGGAGGCCGAGAGGCTGCAAAAGATTCTCAGCCGCGGCGACTGGCCCTTGACGAAGGCGGCCATTGCAGGCACAAAGCAGGCAATTCAGAGCTTCTATGGATACGGAGGATACCCTCGTCGGCCGCTTAAGCGCTTGGAGCAGGCTCGCGTGACGGCCATTGAGGAGGGCATCCGGGAAGCGATGGAGGTTGAGAAGTCTCTGTAATTATTTCGTTTATAAATAGAAATGTAATAGGAAAAAAAGAAAATAATTTGAAGTCACTCGGTGTCGAGTATATTTAGCATTCTATTGCGATCTATAAATTCAAACTATATTAACATTGAGTCCTCCTATTTAAACGCCGTAGCAACTGGATACATGTACTGAGGCGAACAACATAGCACATCAACTGCATACCTATGGTAGCTGATGTCGGCCACTTCCAGCCACGGGTCTACCACCTTATTTGACGCATTGGGGAAACATTATCCAGGAGACTGGGGTTTTCTTCTCTGTCTTTCCATCAGAGCTATTCCGTTGGAAGAGCTGAGAATAAATGGTTCAGACCTGGACTAATATCAGCTCTGTTCACTTTGGACGATTCCGCTAGGAATGTTGATGTACCTCGTCCACCTATGGGCGCCCATAAGAGTCCCCAAAATCACCGCGGGTATTACTAGTAAAATACCTGTTTCTTTTGTATATGGAACTGATCCGGAACGACATCTTACTATTCCAACTTCTTGACAGCTTTCCTTTGCAAGATTGACGTATAATCCACAAGAAGGATATCACAACATGCCGTAGGCACTATCCTTGCTTCCGGTTTGTCCCGGTTATGCCCAAATCATCAAGATATGCACGTTCCTAGAGCAGCAAGCACATTTATACTTCGTAACATTCATTTTAGTAGATCGAAACTTTCGTGCAAATATAATACACTTTTCCAATGCCCCAAAGCGCCCCAAATACCCAACATATCACATCGCATCACATCATCATTACCACTTCTATTGCTGGACGACATCCAAGTGGTATGAGCGGATGATACTGTCGGTATCGTCGATGGCCAGGGGTCGGATATCGGCCATCTGCTTGATCTTAGCCGTCACCTCCTTGACCTGCTCGTCGGTCATCTTGAGACCAAGCTGCTCCACACGAGACTTGACGGCGTTCCATCCCGTAATTCTTGAATTGATCGAGACGTATCGTGTAAGTCCAAACAAGCTGGGATCGATGATTTCGTATGTTGAAGGGTTCGCGAGAATGGCCTTGGCGTGAATGCCCGCCTTGTGTGTAAACGCCTGAATCTCTAGTTAGCTGAGAAGGTCTAAAGACGGCGAAGTAAGGTAAACGAACGCAGAAGCCGGTAATAGGATTGTTGAAAGGAATGTTGATTTGTACGGCATCGGCAACCAACTCTTCCAGGCTCTTGAGGGCCTTGAGGTTGTACTTCTTGGTAACATATTCGGGAGCAGTCACAACCATGCGGGCCATGAGGGCACCAAGCGGGGTGATGCCGTTACGCTCGCCAATTCCTGTGGACTTGTCAGTCATTACGCCATGAGGTGAGGGAGACCTGCATAGATCCCAAGACAGCCTCTGACTTACCGAGGACTGAGGTATCGATATGACTTGCGCCTGCCTCCAAGGCTGACAAGGCATTTGCAACAGAGCAACCAGTATCGTCGTGGAAATGGCATTCGATGTCGCAGCCTACCACCCCTCTTAAAGTGCGAACCAAGTCATATGTCATTCTAGGGGTTGCGCCTCCGACGGTGTCTGCAACACCCACACGATTGACTCCGGCTCTGTCGACGGCCTTGTACAGGGCAAGGATATCAACGAGATCTGAACGGAAGGAGTCCTCGGAGGAGAACCGGACTTCGACACCCTGACTCTTGACGTATTCGATGACTTCAAGAGCAATCTTCTGGATCATCTCCATGCTCTTTCCGTGGCTGTACTCACGGAGGAAGCTCGATGTTCCGATAACCTGAGATACGGTGAGCACATGAACGGGGAGATGCTGGGAAGAGACGCACGAGATCGACACCATCGACACCACATTCTACAGCCTTGCGGGCGTCGTCCACTATTTGACTTGTCAGAACTGTCTTGGAAATGTGTTGATGAAGAAGAGTAGAGGGGGCTCCTCCAACTACCGGACTACCGCAAGCTTTTCAACTCTGCCTGTATACACTTTCGAGTCTGTTTTCGCTGAAAAGAGATCTGATCGAGGTCTCGTTGCTACATTCAACTCTTCAGGACTCGGAACAGTGTTACGAAAGCATCGATATGACGAGAGGTGTCCACAAGCAAAATCGAACAATTTGAGGTAATCCGGAGTCGAGTCGTAAAAATCGAGGGACGTACTGTTACATCGGACATGCGTCAAGACCTTGGCCTAAGAGATAATCAATATCGACACCAAATCGGGCAAGAGAAATGGTATCAACACCAACCTTCAATCCAAGCTGGCAGATCCGCTTGCAGTCTTCATACGATTGCGGCGACGAAACCGGGGACGTAACCTCAATATAGTCGACACCGAAGTTGTCTATAAATCGTCAATAATCCACTGGTCTCTGTCCGGACCGATTTGCGTACCCAGGGCCTTGGCAATCTTGAGCTTGGTCTCGGTGTCGAAGAAGGCGTTGGCAAACTGCTCGCCCTCACGAAGCGTACTCTCAATGATCTTGAAACTGTTGACATTTGAGATGTAGTCCTGAACGGACTGGTATGGAGAGCTCTTGGGTAGTCCTTGGGCAGAGTGAACTCCGTTGGTGGTGGACTGGGAGGGAGGGTTGGCGGCAGCCGCGGGGGCCCCTCCATTTGTGTCACCGTTGCAAGTGCCGCACATGATGGGTTTTTCGGGATTCAATTGATCGTAAGGAACAAGGCAAAATGGGCGATTGGCAGATAAATCGTGGACTTTGCGCTGAAATCGTTAACTCGTTTCGTTTCGTGGTGATGGTGTTGCGAAGAGTTTTTGTAGCGTTTTTGTATACAAAGTTTTCACAGTTTTTCCGCGGTTACGGAGTGGCTTGAGTCAATGAATGTGGAGGTGTTAGTCAGCCTGTTGCGACCCTCCAATGACGCTGCAAAACAGGGTTCTCCGAGATCGGTACCTGCGTAACGATTGGATGCGTCATTAGTGGGGGCGGCCATTCAATCAAGGGATTTTCTATCCAGCACCCCGGCTTTGCTATCCAGCACCCCAAGGTACTTAACCTTATCATGGTGCGCACATAGAAAGAGTAAGTACCTCCACGACCGATGACTCAGCAAGTTTGCGAATGACTAAGCAAAATGCTCCCTACAGAAGAATACCTCCTCTAGTAAACTAAAGTTTACCCAGAAACTATTATTTTTAAGATTTCTTTTAAAACAAATTAATATATATATTTCTTAGTTTTAGTTTTTATATTTTAAAAAAGAAAATTTTAGTTTTAGTTTTTTTAAGCTGGGAATTTCAGAATCTATTGTTGGAGTTTTGAGTATCTTTGTGTATGTCCCTACTAAAAACTTGGGGCGTTGGATAAAAGAGTTGGGGTGCTGGATAGGCATTCCCTTCATCAAACATGACCCCGTTATTGACAGGTAAGAAAGAGTACTATACATAAAGCACAATGCCTAAGGTACCTACACTATATCAAATGGGATTCTTAATTCCTCTAAAACTTAATGTTAGCGTTACATGTATGTTTATGGTCTAGCAGATTGCTTAGGTAGGTAGGCAGTACTGAAAGTCAGGATTTCCAGGTGTCTACTCCGTACATCCTACTGTACATGCCAAATGCCAAGTTCCACCATCTACATCTACAGGTCAACCTCCATATCCATCTATACATTTATGCAATTGTGCTCCGCTGAACAATCATATCCGCAATCTTCGCAATCGAAGCACCGCCCATGATGTCAAAGGCCGTAAGGAAAGCGCCAAGCTCCCGTCCAATCCAGTTCCGTAAATCTACAGACATGAGGGAATCGACACCATAGTGTGACAGCGACTTGTTCAGTTCAACATCTGCAGATGAAATGGACATGGCACGCGCCAGCCTTGCAGCCAAGGCGCCCAACACAATCTTGGTACGGTCTCCCGCGTCAGAAGCCTGTCGGAAACGAACTCCCACTGCGGCCTCTTGGTTGGCATTTGCGCTTGTTGCTGCGTTTGAGCTGGCAATAAAAGAGAAAGGGGCAAAGAATGGTCTGTCCATCAGTTGCGGCAGGTTGCGACCTCGGGAGAGGTTATCAATTGGAGTCTTGAGTCCGAAGAGAACTTGACCGCTGGCCTGGGACACAATGGCCGATTGGGGACTGGCTGGGTCGCAATACAAGGAAAGGGTGGCCAACAGATCGGCGCCATCAATCTGCTTCATGTCATCAAAGGACCCGCGCTGCTTCTGATATACGCCTGTTTCGGCGACAATACCAATGTTGCGCATCCAACCGATGTCAAGAGACAAAGCTGCTTGACCTTGAGCAAGACGTTGTCGTACGAGAGCGTCTTGGAACGAGCAGCCCGCCGAGTAGTTTGCACTGGCTATTTGACCAACGACACCAGCAAGAGATGAGAGCATGATGAAGAAGTCGAGGTCCTTTGGCAGGAACCGGTGCAGGTTCCATGACGTCTGCTTCTTGGAACGCATCGTGAGGTCCCACTGCGCAAAGGTCATGCTGTTCTGGAAGACAGCGCCTTGAAGGACCATGGCCGCATTGATGCAGCCTCTGATGGGCGGCATTGTGCGAGTACAGCTATCCAGAACATCAGCAAGCTCCGTTTCAGATGCCACATCGCATTTGGGTGCCACGATATTGATGCCGCGAGCTGTCAGTTCTTCTACTGCTTCCTTGGCAGCTTTTGACGTGGCTCCAGATCGAGATGGTAGAATGAGATTCTTGGCTCCGCGGTCAACCATCCACTTAACAATGGCCCGACCGAGGCCACCAGAGCCTCCGGCAATCAGATATGATGCGTTTGAATCAAACCTCCAAGGCCGCTGCTCCTGAATGAATTTCTGCTTCAATGTTAGCATAGTATAACGAAGACTAAGAATATGGGCTTCTCTACTTACCAGCACTACATCTTCACTTTGAGGCATGATAATGACACGACCCAAAAAATCTTCCTTTTGAAGCTCTCGGAACGCATTTTCTGCTTCTGATGCACTGAAGCAGCGCAATGGCTTAGGATGTTCAAGGTGCTCTTGCTCTATAAGCTCCATTGTCTTCATCAAAAGCCTGCCAAGCATTTTAAGATTGAGGTTGGTAACATCAACAATAGAGAAACTGGCGTTTCGCTCAAAGATACCCACAGGAAGAGTGGCATTGGTATTGATGCTGGAGCGGTTCATCTCAAGAAAGCGTCCACCAGAAGCCAGACACTCACAAGAGGCTAGGGTAATGTCTTCTACAGCAAGTAGATTGAAGATAACATCTACTCCATCCCCACCAGTGAGCCTCATCACACCTTGAGTAAAAGCGATACTTCCATTGTCAAGAATGCGGTTCTCAGGCAAACCCATAGTCTGGAGCACGTCTCGCTCTATAGGGCTTGAGTATGTGACAATGACTTCAGCACCCTGCATCTGAGCAATGCGGACGGCGACCTGGCCAAAGGCACTAGCAGCTTCATGGATGAGAACATTTTCTCCTTTATCGAGGCGGGCAATGTCAACTAGAGCGTGATAAGCCGACATGGAGGGGATCAAGATAGACGTGGCCACCTCATATGACATTGATTCTGGAATCTTGCAAATGGCTTTTGCGTTTGCGCGAGGATATTGCCGCATACAGCCTGGAGCCACCATACAAACCCGGTCTCCAGGCTTGAAAGAATTGCAATTTCGTCCTACCCGAGTGACGATACCGGCGCAGTCGACTCCCAACTGGAGGCCATCATGAAAATTGTACCGGCGTCCAATAGCAGCCTGTACATCCTTGTGACTGACGCCCCATGCTTTGGCGTCAATTTCCACTTCATCAGGGTTTAATTCGCTGTCATACTTGGAATCTCGGACAAACTGCAATGCAGTTCTAGCTTCTTGAGTCCCGACAGAGAGCTGTAGAGCCGGTCCATCATACCAAGGCTTCTGTTGGAGCTGACAGGACAAGAGAGAATTGATAGCATCATTGCCAGACACATCCTCGACTGCTCTTCCAGTCATCAGAAGGCCATCCCTGACGAGGTATTCGACCTCCCTAGAAGCTGAAGACCCGAAACTGGCTTGGAAGACCTTTCCAATGAGCTGCGCAGACTTGAGAGACTCTACTTTGCCTTCCATGGCAAGCGAAATGATCAAGCTGTCTGGATTTTCTACTCGAATAGAGCGGAAGAATCCCTGCATGACGCCATAGTCGGCATACTCGTCACTATCTGTGTTGCTGGCAGTTACCCAAAGAAGCTTGGAGGTTTGTCCTACCAAGTGTTGAAGGCACTTGAAGCTCTTTTCTGAAAGATTGGAGAGTAAGGGCTTGTTATTGACTTCAGCAATGCAGACGACAGTGTCATCTTTCGTCATGTTGTTGAGAGACTGAGAGAGATCGTCTATGGAGAAGGCACAGATGCTCGAGTTCTTATTGCCGTGAGGATCTAGTTGCTTCTGCACCAACTCAGCTAGCCTAGTTTGTCGATAGGACTTTTGCTCATCAACAACAATGACAAGCTTACCAGGCTCAGGAGCCAACTTGGGTTCTTCAACGGCCGTCGTAATGATGATACTCACAATGTGGCAAGCCTCAGTCTTGTAGTCGCGGAGAATCACGTCGTTGCCCGTGAACCCATTGTCTCTTAAGCACTTATCCCACATCTTCTCGGGTACTGCTGCAGAATGAGGTCTCCATTCTTCTTTGGCAACCCACCATCCGGGCACAAGACCTGCCATGAAGTTCGTAGCGATTTCATCCGGGTTGATGACCTCAAGCAAAATGAGGCGGCCGCCTGGCTTCAACGCCTGGCGGACATGGCGAAGGCTGGTCTCGAGGTACGGGGTGGCGTGGAGCACGCTGGCGGCAACAACGAGGTCATAAGATCCGGGCTCAAACCCTTGATCCTGAACAGGTTTATCCATGTTGAAAGTCTTAAAGGTTAAGCGACCCTCTGACGTGAGATGAGACCATTTCTCACGCGCACGCTCAAAGAACATCGGAGAGATGTCTGTATATGTGTACTCGGAGAAGCTGTAGCCTCCAGTTCGTTGCTCACGTTGTTGCAGAATAGATAAAACATGGCCAGTCATGCCACCAGTTCCGGCACCAACTTCTAGAATTCGTTGAGCAGGACGCTCGTGAGCGGTCAAGTCCAAGATAGTACCAAGTCGACCATCTTGGCAGAGCTTCTGGAAGAGATCTGCATAGAAGAGTTCCGCCTCGTCCGACGCGAACACAACTTGTAGAGGATCAACCTCACCCGAGAGCATTTCTAAGAGCCTTCGTGCGCAGGTAGTGTACAGCTTCCAGGCTGGAAGAATCTCCTCCATCTCAACGAACAAAGCCTCGAGATCCTCGTCGCTCATGGTTTCTCCAAGTCGTCTATTATCAGGGCTCATGTTGCTGACGTGATGCTCCATCCAGTCGACGTGGCGAGTCAGAGACTCTGGGACTTTGGCCCGGTCTAGTTTCTGAAGTACCCGTATAGAGTGAAGCTCTAGAGCTAAGGACATTTTTGAATGATTCTCTGCAGCTGACGTTTCATCTCTATCAAATGAATCGGCTCTACAGACACGAGCCAACTCCTCTGGCTCCAGCAGGCTAAGCTGTGGTTTCCACTCAGCACTGTAGAGCAGCTTTTTATCGGTTGTCTTAACGTCGCTAGAAATGGACGTTGTGGTAGCCTGTTGTATAGTGCATAATACAGTCCCGTCGTCAGCTAGGGCAGCGATTGTACCTTGCTCGCCATATCCCCGAGCACCATCAAAATGAGCGGCCGAAGTAGACGTTGCGATCCAACGGATATGACCAGTCCCAGGTTTCTGCCACTTGGACGTAGAGGCAAACCAGGCGCCTACCAGGCGTGACGGAACATTGGCAGTGGGCTGTTGGCCGGCACTCACACGCAACACGTGGAAGCCTTGGTCAAGAACACTGGGATGTACCAGGCTGTTTGTCTTGAACCTATCCTTGGACACATCGACACGAGCTACTGCAGTTGCTCTCGAATCCCAGCACACATCTTGCACAAGCTGAAACCAATCTCCGTACTGCAGGCCAGCCTCGGCGGCATCGCGGTAGAGGGTAGCAGACTCGATGGGCCAGATGCATGATTCGGTGGCTTGGCTGTACTGGCTACGGGTCTTTTCATGCCAGAGTTGCCTACGCTCATTGCCATAGATGCTCGTAGATTCCTCGTAGTCAACTTGAATGTTGGCATGGAAGCACTTTGTCCAAGATTCACTTGTATAAGAGAAAATATCCACCTCAAACAGCTGAGGGCTGTTTTTATCTGCTGGCTGCGCCTTCAGAGGGCGAAGGTGAACTTGAGTCTCTGTCCTGTCCTCCCACTTCTCATAAACAACAATGGGATTGAGGAAATCAGCCTCCTGAAAGAGAAAGCCGGCGATCTCTTGGTCTTCGGGAACCATCTGCTCAACAGCCTCAATGGCCATTAATAGCATGCCAGCCGCAGGATACAAAAGGGAGTTGGTAACTTTGTGGTGACCAGTCCAGGGGATAGACTCAACAGTAAGAAATTTTCTCCAGCGAGGAGCGAGGGGGTTCCAATCGGACGCTCGAGCTCCGAGCATGTCACCCTTTACGGTGCCACGAAGTCGGTAGTCGCGGCTGATGCGAGATTCTGTCCAATACTTGTGAGATCGATCAAAGGGATACTCAGGAGTATCGATGAGGAAACCGGGGTTCTCCTTGAATTCGTCCGACTTGGTAACCGGCTTCAAGTTTTGGTTAAGAGCTGTGATGGATACCTTGTGTCCCTGGCAGAACAGCTGCCCTACAAGCTCCAATGTCGTCTGAACAGGGGAGTGTGATCGTTGCAGCGCAGCATTATATCTTATAAGCTGCTTTTTGTTTCCGGCCTGGCGGATAGTATCCTGGGCCACTCTCCGTAAGGCCGGATGGGGCCCAATTTCGACAAGATCAGTAATGTCTTTCAACCCAATTTTGACTTTGGATGGTTCTTGGGTGAGTAGTTGCACGGCATCGGCGAAGCGAACTGGAGAAACCATGTTGTTGACCCAATACTGACCCTTTACCAGAGCAGATGGGCGCACGATTTTGCCCGAGACGGACGACACCATGGGAATATTGCTCATGACTTTGAGATCCGGGAGCGAGGCGCCCTCTAGTGATCCCATTAGCGCTAGATATTCATCAGCAATGGCCTCCATGGCCTGTGAGTGGTATGCAACTCCAGTCTTGAGCTTCTGAGAAAAGATGCCATCTTTATCAGCTCGCGCCTTGATAGCATCTATCGCCGCCTCGGGGCCCGACAATGTGCAGTTGAGGGGACTGTTGATGCAGGCCACACAGACAGCGTTAGCCTCAGTTCCAATGGCAGAAATGTAGCCCGACACATCTGTATCTGTTATGTTGATGGACATCATAGCTCCAGGGGACGACACATTGGCAGCCCTCAATTTTCCTGCAAGTTGGCCCCTGAAATAGGAGACTTTGCAGGCAGATTCCAATGATAAGGCACCAATGGCATAGCTGTTATAAATAGAAAGCATGAATTAGTACAAATCACTCTGAACAAGAAGGGTTTGAATGTTGGTTATTGCACATACGCAGCGGCAATCTCTCCTGAAGAATGTCCAACGACAGCCTTAGGAGTAATACCAAAACTAGCCAGCAGCTCCAGCAGAGCAATCTGAACTGCTGTAGACAAGGGCTGGCTGTACTCTGGTAGATCAATGTTCTTGCTAGAGCGCAACTCATCTGTAATGTGAGGGAGTTTGTTAGCTATAGTCTTCTGCAAGTATCGTTAAGCTGGGGGAATACTTTTCTTACCAAAGATGGACCATGAGCAGCCAAGGCTCTCATAGATTTTGTCAATCTTTTGTAGAGTATCTGCAAAGACTGGGTATTGAACTAGGTCCCATCCCATGCCTACGTACTGAGCTCCTTGTCCCGTAAACACAAATGCTAGTGTAGCGTCTGTTGAGCTCCTCATGGGCTTTACGGGGTCAAGGCCACCGGTACAATCTTGCTTCTCTGCATCATCTCTAACAAGAGAGAAGCTTCTCCAGAGCATGTGCGTCCGGCGAGCAGCCAACGTATAAGCCAAACGATCGAGCTTGGTGCGGTTTCCCGCTATCTTCTCATTGTAGTAGAGCTCATAATCACGTAGGGAGCGTTTTGCTGCCTGCTCGTCTGCGGCGGTCCATACGAGCAGCTTAGGTAAAGCCTCTGCGGTAGACGCTTGCGAAGCTGCAATGGTAGATTCAGTTTCTTCGGAGCCAATAACGGAGGAATCAGAATTGGAGAATTCTTCATCCGAATTGGGAAAGTCTTCAACAGGGCCATCGATTATTGTCAATGGTGGTGAAACTAATTCACCTGACATATTCTCAGGAAATGCAATTGTGCAATGATTTCCAGGCAGATTCCTCTCTCGCAGATAGTGCAGGGCATCATCGATCACAACATGGGTGTTGGAGCCGCCAAAGCCGAAGGAATTGACTGAGGCCCTGCGCACGCCTTGTCCCGGCCAGAAGATACTTGCAGTGGGAATCTGATGAATACTCCAGGTCAGAGAATTTTGATGTGTAAGAGCGGACTGTTTAAAAGGCAGGACTTACCGAGAGATTCCAGAAGTCTGCGTCTATAGCAGGGTTGATCTTCTCAAAGAGTGCATTAGGTGGAATGACACCTTTCTCCAAACTCACTGGAAGCCAAAGGTCAGTGATCCATTACGTAGCTTTCCTGACATACATGAAATACGAACTCACAGATGACTTTCAGCAAGCCAGCCAGGCCGCTGGCACCCTCGAGATGGCCAATATTTGATTTGACGGAGCCACTGTCAGGCAATCTGGGTCAGCATCCGTGAATTCAATATGGTAACGACTGCTACAGAAGGAAGGGAAGGACACGGGAACTTACATGTATAGAGGCTCTTTCTGGGATCTGTATTTTCGAAACACCCGCCCTATAGCCCTTGCTTCAATCGGATCCCCTACCGGAGTTCCCGTTCCTGTAATTATCAGCAAAAGCGTCTTGTTTAGCCAATAACCGACTTACCGTGTGCTTCAACATACCGCGTATCGGCTAGCGAAAGATTTGCCTTCTGATACACGTGTTGAATAAGGTCTTGTTGTGCTTGCTGACTAGGCTGTGTTATAACTGGAGTGTGTCCATCCTGATTTGAGCCGGAAGCGCGAATAACGGCACGAATCATATCACCATCTCTCACAGCTGCAGCGACGGACTTGAGCACTACCGCAATAACACCTTCACCTCTGGCGTAGCCATTGGCTCGCTGGTCAAAACTGTATGATAGACTATCCGGAGATAAGAAGTTCTGATTCGACAACAGGTGGAACAGGGTAGGGTCAAGGAGCAAGTTTGCTCCGGTGACAAGAGCCTATGGGCCATGAACTTCAGCCTTTCTGCCTTTCAAACATTGTTTCTTCGGCGGGGGGGTATCCGAATTACCCGTTTAGGTAACATTAACAGGGATAGAGGGGCTCATTTGACTCACACATGATGCATCGCCACTGCGTAATGTCTTACATGCCATGTCCACGGCGACTAGTCCACTGGAACAAGCCGTATTGACATGGATGCTTGGGCCACGAAGATCAAAGTACCAACTGATACGGTTTGGGACCATACATGGCACTGTACCACCAGTAATAGTGGTGCGTTCTATATTATCAGGGTCCATTATCATCAGCCGCGTGTAGTCCTCCAACATGGATGCATGGAACACAGCTGTCTGAGAACCTCTCAGGGCATCTGTAGTGAAACCAGCTACAAATCATCAGCACAGTCATCCAAAGCTCCCTATGACAGCATGGAAAAGATGAGACAGTCAAGGATGGGGGAGAGGAGGTATCGTATCTAGGCTCCTATTTTGTTTTGTATTCATGCTTACCTTTTTCAAAGGCTCGATACGAAGTCTCGAGAGTCATACGCTGCATAGGGTCCATCGACGCAGCCTCCTTCGCTGTTACCGAGAAGAAAGGAGCATCAAAACAGGTAACATCATCTGTGATGAAATGAGCTCCCCGAGGATATGGCTGCAAATGACGTCGAGTTAATGAACCACTTTCTCTCTTAGAAGCTCGCTAGAGAGATAGAGAAGGGCACTACCTTATCGGCATTCGTATCCAAGAATGATTTGGCGTCCATTCGAGACTCAGGACAGCTAGTCATCAAACTTCGACGATGATCTAGGGCTTCCCAAAAGCTCATGTCGTCATTCACATCCTGGGGAAGCCTGAAAGAGAATCCGACGACAGCAATGTCGTCGTTTGCCTGTACAGCCACCCTGACTACGTCTAAGCCTTGAGACATAATGATAGCGTCAATGCTAGATTCTCAACGCGGACAAATATGTAATATCGAATAGTTTAAAAAAAAAAAAAGTGATTTTCAGCAACTTGAAGAGGACGAAGAGGGTGCTGGTGATGACAAGAGTGCTATATAGAGCGATGGATGACCTGAGCTTAAGAATGGCTCTTCTCTTCTAAGAGTAAATGAAGAGAGATATGAGATATCTTGACCAAACACTCAATGGCGGATGGAAATACCCTTTATCTACTTTACACAATTGTCTTCCCTATGAGAATGTCCCATTTTTACAAAACACTCCAAGTAGGCTAGGTGGCGATTATCAGGGTCCAAACCAATTCAGACACCGTTCTCCCTATACAATGCTATATCAGATCAGGAGAAAGCTTGAAATGAACCCCTGCTGTGACAGTCGGTGCAAAAGAACTCTCCGGATAACGCTTACAAGTTACGCTGCTCCTTGGCGAGGCGCTTGTTGTTTCCGGGGATGAGGCAGGACGAGGTCCGAATGGGTCTCTCGGCTACAAACAAGGAACTCGGAGGAGTCTATCCTAAAGGACCAGTTGGTCTGATACCATTGTGTTGAAAGGGGGTCAGTCGCTCGGTCATGAGGCCATGGGCTGTGCTGCTATATATATTTCTGGTGTTGGTTTGAGGCACAGTGTTGGTCGATTGCTTGCAGTAGTTTATCATACTTTGATACTCCTTTAGTATTACGGGCCAGTAACATTCACGCAAAATTTGTATATTTAGAACGCACAGACTGCTGTCATCCTGTCACTCCTCTTTCATGCGAGTAAAGTAATGCAAATGACACAAGAGACTAGACGGCCACGATCATCATAGTGACCAAGTATCTAAGGGGTACGGTTTTCTGGCAAATTGGCTCAATGTCCCACAAAAAAAGTATGATAAACTGTCATGGATATCACGGGGGCAGTGACCCATTGAGAAAAGGCAAAACCGCGCCATTGAAATGGTAACGAATCGGTCCGCACTCCGCGGATCCCAGTCCGAATATCTTCATTAGATTGCGATATGCAAATGTAGTCGAAACACTGGGTCATTATACCACAGCAAGCCAATGCACCTCCGGAGCCAGTTGAGCCCGAGGAATAGAGCAATATATGGTCAACCAGGAAGTATTATATCGCTGTACTCTTTGTTCTCCGTGTCTTTAGAGCTACCACATTCACCCTGCTACCACAACGTTCCTAGCCTTTCCTTCTGAAGCTGCTCCCGAGTTGATATGAACTGCTACCGCCATTTTGGCTGTCTCTGGTTAGTCTAACCTTGGCAAATCAGCCAATCGCTAACCCTAGGAACTTTCTCTTGCCTCTTAACCGAACAATTGCTTGTCCTGTTGCTGCGGAATTCAAATACTGAACCAATTTCGCGGAACGCGGATGACTGACAGGCTTGCATCTGTGCTCCATATTTCGTACCTAGCATTTGCCGCCTCCCTTTCATACTCTAGTGTTCCACCAGTGAGTTGTTAGCTTAGCCTGTTGGTTTGGTAGCCGTGAAGAATAACGGGGATGAGCGAATATCCCATTCATCTCATTCCGGTTCAAGAAGACGTCTGGGTACATTTGTAACTGTACTCGTACTACGATGTATCTGGTAGGTTCTACGGAGTATCTACACGGCCTGCTGCTCAACATGGTCAACGACATCGGTGTGGCAGATTCCAGGGTCCAGGTTGCAAGGCTACCCTGGGACGTTAGTAGGAATTTAGACCCACCGGTTGGCCCGACCCGTTGAGCCGGTGTATACATAGTAGTTCATAGTAGAAGCCCGAATTTGATCAGAGCGTTCAGAGCGGTACTTGAATGCCGAGGACATGGCCTTAGCGATGCACGGAGAAGTGGAGTACATGGGAGGGTTTGGACAGCTAGCGAACTCTCATGTGAGAGGGAGAGATTCCAAATATGCGAGGGATTCTTAGAGCACTGCCCAATTCAAAAGGGTCTGAACGTTTACTGGCAGAGAACTCCGTAAAATAGCACCTATTGACATTCGTGGCAATTCGCAAGGAAGAAGCTCGATACGTATTACATGGCATCTGCTTTTAGCCGTTTTCTAAGAATATGTCTCCCCCCCCATGGAGACACGATCTTACAAATATTTACCCCAGCTGTGCTCGCTCGATCGTTCGCTCTATGGTCCGAAGAGCCCCTGATAGTCCCTCGGCCGACCTCGCTCCAGGTACCTCATGTCCTAATTGATGGACAAACAATTCTCGCTGGTTGTCGCACAGCCGAAACAGCCACTGGTGCAGCTCCTCCGGATCCTTCAGGCCGCCGCTGATCAAGAGGCCAGCCAGAGGCGACAGGGCCAGTAGGCGGGCGAATGGCTCGTTGGAACCGATGATATGAGCCGTGGGGACGCGAATCACGGCCCCGTCAACAGCAGGGTTGAGACATCTGAGCGTCGCCGGCTCTTGATGAATCCCGCCAGGATCCAATGGTGGCGCGGCGCTTAAAAGGATGCCGCACTGAAAGCCCGCAAATGCCTGTCTAGCGTCTTCAGCAAGCAGCATTGCCGCGACTATACCGCCTTCCGAGAAGCCCATTACCCCCTGGAAAGGCCCGTTGTTGGCAATGAATTCCATCAGACCAAGGAGGAGTTCTTTCGACTGGGCTTGGCTGATGGGCTTGTCGAACCAACCGAAGAACTCGTCAGCGATAGCTTCGGCCCCTGAGAAGCCGACACGTAGTTAGTCTTTACCATTGCCACTAAGAATACAGAGTAAGGGGAGGCAAGGGGATTGATAAGATGGCCATGTGTGTTGCTGCTTTCGGGGTTTCTAGGGTAAGGAATAGAATAGGTAAGTTGAGAGTCACCTTCGCTTGGCTCCGTCGACACAACTCCATTTATAAAGATAAATTCATGGCTGCTGAGCTCTTCCCGGAGTCTGGCTGCCAATTGATATCAATATACTGTTATAAATGTGCCCGTAGTTCTGCACTTTGCAATAGGTTTTGATAAACACCAAATGGAACCTTACCTGTCTGCAGCTCAAAGATCTAGCCAAGAAGGGCAATTGTCAGCGAGTCTATGCATAGGCAAGAACCTGCTCTCCCCTTGAGCGATAGTATAGTTGTACTTGGCTCACGTACCTGGCTGGATGTTCCACGTCCGTGAAGGCAAAGAAACCGCATACTGCTGAGTTGTTGATTTTTTACTTCTCACAGTTACGTACAGGAATTGAGAAGCCCTAGGCACACAAGGCCATACTTGTTAAAAGTACACTCGCACCCGTCCGAACCTCAATCATCCCAAGATGCTCAGGGTACTTTCATGTGGTCTGTACATTTCAAGCGCGCTTTTGAGAGAGTGATGTGTCGTTTCGGCTGTCGGCGTTTCTTCTCATTTACGCGAACTCCCCCCTGGTGCCTCTTAATCAACATGGGTGCTGTTCTCCCCCTGGAGTCGTTCAAGATGCTCCGCATACTGTACGGTTTCTAGTTTCAACATGGGTTGCGTTGCATCTTTTATGAGGCCCCGCTTATTGAACAGCAGTGATTCATCAGGTGCGTACTCCGTACTTGTTGAGCTAAATAGTAGTTGTTGTTTCTATATGCATAGACAGGGATATAGGAAGAGGCGGGATTGGCCCGAATAGTATGTAGAATATAGGTATCAACCTAACATACTCGTACGTGTACTCGTACCAGTAGAACGCCATAGCCTAAAAGTATGCACACGCATGTTGGCTCTGCTGTCGTTGGTCGTGTGCTGCACTTGTGTGGATTTTCATCAACACTTAATCAAATACATATATATCAACAGACTGATTACCAACACCAATGTGCATTGTAACAAGTTTCTCTAGGCTCTCCGCCATCTCCGAGCAGGCAGTACTCTGTAACACCCGCAGGTTTCCCCTTGTATCGACCAGTTTTCGCTGCTGCCTGGCTCATCTGGAGCATCTATCCCTCGTCTCATAGCTACTCCACACTCTCTGAATATCCACACAGACAGCTTTCTCAAACCATGGCCCTCAGCCTTCCAGCCGGCGCCGCGGAAATCATTACCCGCAAAAAGGCGCTATACTGCCGTCTCGCCGACACTAATGACTGGAGCCAGGCCGACAAGGTCATGTTGCCTGATCTGATCTTTACGGCTGTCGATGAGAATGACAATATCGTTAATCTTAACGATACTGACTATCATTGGACTTCACGAGCAGACTGGGTGGCATTTTTCAGCAGGATATTCGCCCCAATCCAAACAATGCATACTGTCGGCTATCCTGAGCTGGAGCTGGTTGCACCAGGCGAGATCAAGGCCATTTTCGGCGTCACTTATCTGGTTGGAACTAAGGAGGCCAACAAAGGGGTACATGGCACTGGTGGAGGACACTATTACGAGACGTGGAAGCTCAAGGATGGCGATTGGTTCATCCAAACGATCAAATTTGTTAGGATCTATTGGAAAGAAATGACCTTGTAGTAGAAGTTGGTTGGTGATCCTGTAGTAATACGAACAGCCGTATGCAGTAATGGTTGTATTATCTGCAGAAGCTATTCACTACCTTGCAACAATGAATATCATTCCCATATATAGTAGATAAAAAGGAGGTAGGTAACGCTCTCAATACAAGGCAACTTGGAAGCATTTTCATTCTCCCGTAATCCTCATGTGGGGCTTTTTTTTTTTTTTTTTTTTTTTTTTTTTTTTTTTTTTTTTCCCTGTGGGAACTTGTCCAAGAATCTACATCATGTCCAACAGCTGAAGACTCATAACGGGGCCCAAAAGAAGGTCGCTGGTGCTAAAAGTGATCGGCAGAGGCTTAGACAGCCTTAGCGATAGAGTTGAGTCCGCTTCTTGCATAACGCTAGGCTATTTGGACGGCATGATGAAACAAGCTCGCAAGAGAAAATGACAAGAAAAGGAAAAAGATCAAGCAAATCCCGTACCGTCGTTGACAATGTTACGCGTACGGAACAAGGATATCACTTCGGCCGTTTATTCATTTACACGATGCCCCTAGACCCATGGTCCATTTTCGTGCTAGCAGTCTATATGATATCATTCTCACTTGCCGGTGACCAAGATCCGACATGCATTCGGTATTTCGTTTTTCTGGCAAGGAATACGAGTATTGCGTGCACATGCACTTCGTACGAGATTCCTTGCTATTTCTCCTACCGGGATTAAACACATCGGTAGACAGAAATTCGATGTTAATGCCGGAGAACCCCCCCTCGTTGTTGCCCTTGGCGCGAATTTTGCCGAGAAGCACCACGAACCCTTGCAATCATCGCCGCCTAACGCGCATATGCAGGCAGTGCGGATTTTTACCTCCTTGGAGCCGAGAAGCCAACCCTCGTACGGAGTACTGATCTTGACATGTGCAAATGAACGCGGTTCAAGAAGTTGGTAAATGCCCCCCTTGCAATTAGCTCGCTGGAAATACACTCTGGCCGCCCATAGCGGTAATATATCATATAACACAATAATGATACATATGAATCATCCGATTCCTGCATGATGTTGTCACACTATCCGTATTAAGATCGTCACATTTCATGTTGGGACTTTTGGAGACGTTTTGGGAGATCATTCTTGGCATTTGGAAGTACATGTACCTGGGCCAGGATCCCAATGTAATTATCACTGAGGCTACAAACGCCACTGGATAGCCCATTGTCTGATCATTGTATGGATACAAGGATTCCATGCTTGTTATCTTCTCATAAGTTTTATTCTTAACAACTGTCTATCGGCTAGGCTTCCAGTAACTAATTGAGGACTGCTGCGGCAGTGGCGTCCTCCGCATCAATGCCTCTATACTCAAAGTACTTTCCGAACTCTGCGTCTTCGATCAAAGTTTGTGCCAGCCGCTTCTCATAAAAGAAGGAAAACTCCAGGCCCTCATCCGACTCTGGGTCATTGCTACGAGATGGGTAGACAATAATAACTCCCTCCGTAATGCGATCCGTAAGGTGGCGATAAGTGATCGACTTAGCGAAGCCAAAGTCTGTTGATGCCATGGTGGCATCTCGGTGGTCGGTGAAAAGAACAGACATGGGGGGCAGGGAGTCGATGCGGACATTGAGGGCCGTCTTGTCGCGGATTGTTGCCACCATCTCTAGTGTCTTGTCCAGGCTCTCCTGGGTGATGCTGTTGGTCATACCCCGTATGTACTGGGCAACCTTGGAAAGAGGCCATTCCGAAATGACTTCGGCTACAGTTGGCTGCTCGACAGGGGCGGTTGTGGAGAGAGCGGCAAACATGACATTGCCCCGAATACGCGGGGGGACTTTGGGGTTGTTGAACCGCCTTCGCATATCGACTGCTTCGATGAGGATGGATTTTGAGGAAGGGTCTGGATTGAATACTGGGGCCCTGACGCGGGTGATGGAGCGCCAGATAAAAGCCGTGAAGGCGTCGTAGGTAGAGATCCATGTCCCATCTGTTGGCGTAGCCATCTTCTTCAACTCAGCTGCCTTGCTCTTGGGTAGGTGGAAGAGTAAGGCAATTCCCTGGACATGGCCCGGGTGGCGTTTGGGCGCAGGAGGCCCTTCAATCTTCTGGTCCTCAGGGGGCTCTGCCTTAGAGAGAAGGGAGAGATCCATGTTCTTAGGGGCCCAGGTGGGATAAGCTGTCTTATTGAACGCGGCAAAGCAGTTCTCTGCCAACTGCCTAGTGTAGCCAGCCCAGCCCATGACATCGTTGGAGTAGTGATGGTGATGCATATTGAGAACCATGCCTCCGCGCACAAAATTCATCTTGAAGGCAGACACAACAGGAGAAGCGCCAGGGTGGGCCTCTGGCTTCTCTCCATAGGTCATTGGGTCAACGCTCCAGAGTTTGAGGTCACCCAGCGGCACTGCACTGAAGTGTGCCTTTTCGATGTCTTCGAAGGACGGGTACTTGTCTGCGTCCTCAGGTGAATCGAGCCACTGTACAAAGAGACGGACCGTGCTGTCCTTCTTCTTCAGGTACATGTAGCCGCTGCCGCTGGTGTTCTTCTCAATGGTGCAGCACAAATGCCTCGCTTGGCTGATGGTGCGTGAAAGTCCTTCTTTCATAATTTCTACTGCCCGAGACTTCATTGCATCTTCCATCTTGAAGAAGAGTGCATAATTGTTATAGGACATGGCTGTAAGGTAGTCCAACGTCGACATACCGAATGTCTCCTGTTCAGGGTCATTCTCCCACCCAAGAGGGTGAAGATGGAAAGCCTCTTGCTTTGGAGCCATGATTCTGGATGATCGTGTAGAATTGAGAGAAAGAAAAAAATAGGGCGAGGGTACAAAGAGGGTTAGCTATGGGAGGTATGGTCAATAGCTGTGCGGTTGTATGGACATAACAATATTTCCTTTTTTCACATTTCTGGCTTCTCCTTTCAACCCTTTAATATGTCTCGCCACTTATGGTAAAACCAAAGTCAAAGCCGGTTGCTCGCTTGTAGCTAATCCTTTCGGGCCTGCTATAGGTCCCCAGTAGCTGTCACTAACTTGTGTTTGATAACTTGGTTAATGCGGCGTAAGGAGCAAGGCTTTGAGACCGACTTGTCAGAAATGATAGCCATGAGATATCCTAGTTTCTCTACATTGCTTGCGGTGAAGCTGGGTGAAACGGCAGACTACCAACAAAATCCTGGTGAACTTTAAAAAGCCAGTCTACAACGGCTTTACAAGCAACAAGCGGTGCGGTAAATCGGTCATGCATATGCGTCTCTAGTGGAGAATTCAGGGGGTTTCTTCTTCGTACGAGCAGCTACTCATGGTCCACGTTTGTACTATTATCTGTACTGTACGTTGGATGTAACTACCTGAGGTGTCATTCTATGTCAATCTGCATCTGCTTGTCCCTGCTTACATGAAGTGTACTCATGTATTGCTGTTCTGTGTGGGTAACATCAACGTACAAGCAATCCCATATACTTTTTGGCTGCCCACCCACGGCTCTCGCCCCAGCTGTACGGAGCTTTCTTTCTTCGTAACGGCAATCGGCAGACATCTCCGCAGCATCGGCTGTGTATTACTCGCAGCCATTGTATTTCTTCCTTTACAAACACCGACAAAGCTCATGTTACCCGCTCGCTTCGCGATGGTCCTGCTGGGTTTAGTTCGACGCGATGGATTTTTTTATCCCGGCTTCTAGTCTCGGTTTACTAGCTAGTATTGCGCGGACTGCTTCCGGAGAGGTACTGCATTAGCCCGAAATGGTCCAATATGGATGAATGCCGAGCTGGGACCAACAATTCGCGCAAGGGTACCATAAATATCAGCCAAGAAATGAAGAGCTAAGTTTGGTGTTCTGCTCGAGTCGATGACGATCAGGGGATATTGTTGACATTGAAGGATCAGCTGAGGAGATTGATCGGCATGTTTTTTTCTGATGTATCATACAGGAGAAACATGGGGTGGACAAAGCTATTGCAAAATGGGTTGAGCAATTCGTCAAGAATTTGCAGCCGCCCTCACGGCATCACCGCAGCTTAAACGGGCTTGAAATGCTTCTGACCCCAGCACTGTTGGATGTAAGCAGCATGAATTACCTGGCAATATTTGTTTCGAATCCGGGATTCTTGGTAGATTACCCGTTTGACCGTAACAATAACAGGCAATGGTTTCCAAACTGTACTACTTACCGTATGAAAAATGTGAAAAAAGGAACGACTCTGGGGTAGAAAGCTCTTCTCCTGATCTTCAGACAGTCATTACCTTCAACAACTTTATCTTTAGACGGGATCCGCATACACGGAGCAAGTTAACGAAAACCAAAATCAGAGAAAGTGCGTAGACTGATCCAAGCGCGGTGCGCAGCAGTTAGTCTTGTATATGGGGCATCATCACTCCAAAGACCAGCCAACGTCTGATCCTTGGTTGACTGACAATTATCTCTACCCATTTCTCTTTTACACTCTTTTGACAAGTCTGAAGCTCATATCATCATGGATCTCAATGGCCCTGCCATTCCGGCACCTCCTGGAGAGGTCTCAATACTTGATAATCCTCCGAACAGCAATGGGCTTGCTTTGGGAGTCCAGGTAGGCACTTGCGTGGTTGCGACAGCTTGCTTCATGCTTCGTATCTACGGCCGTTGTGTTATGCTGAGGAAGTTCCAAGCAGAGGAGAGTAAGTGTAACCCAAATCCAGTAAACCCGTTTAAATTGCCCACATCCAGATCCAACCGATTGAAATCAAACGATGATGGTAGAATTTACTAACCTCTTTTTACGTTACACAGTAATGGCCATATTGGCATATGTTAGTCGACCGACGTTAAAGAAGTGATACAATTTCTGTGGCTAATCTGTTGCTTGATTTCTTTCGTTTAGGGATGCTATTGGGGCGCTATCATCTCGTCGTTCAAGATGCTCAAATATCCGGGCTATCTTGTCCACGCTTGGAATGTCCGCCTTATAGATGTCGTTCCGACAACTTATGTGAGTATCTTTTAATTCAACTACTATTTTTGAAAACCATCAGCTAACTCATGGAACACCAGTGGGTTCTTGTTTATGGTGTATTCTATTCTATTGTGCTTCCGCTGCTCAAAGTTGCCATCATGATCGAATGGGTCCGGTTGTTCGTTCCCACTACAAAATCTAAGAGCCCATTCTTTTGGGGAGCCGTGTTGATTTCATTTGTTCAAGTTGCCGCTGGAATCGCCATTGTTATTGCACTCAACCTCCAATGCACTCCGCACACGCGAATCTGGGATTTCAGAGTTCCTGGTACATGCTGGAATCTGTATACACTCCAAGTGATCTCTGCAAGCATTCAACTCGGCTCTGATATTGCCATGTTCTGTCTTCCACAACACACCATCTGGACCCTGAAGATGACATGGCAGAAGAGACTTGGTGTTGCAGCCATCTTTGGCATGGGTGTACTGTGAGTAGAACTCTTTTCTTTAATTGCACTATTTGCTTTACTTTGGCAAAAAACACAGATAGCTAACATTTTTCTGCTCTACCTCTAAGTGCCATAGTTGCGGCATCTTTCCGAGTCGATGTAACTGTCCAACACGGCAACTCCCCCGACTCAATCTATACTCTCGGTCCTATTGTGTTTTGGGCCTCGGCCGAGATGACATGCGGATTCTTCATTCTTTGCGTCCCTTGTATCCCCAAGATTATACAAGAAACAGGTGTTGTCCCCGCCATCAAGAAGGGAACGGGCTTGTTCCAGTCTAGCGGCAAATCCAACCAAGGTTCAAACGGCTATGCTCGCGGCGGTGGCACTACTAAGACTTCCGTGTCCGCGAACAAGGACTACTATCAGTTGGAAGAGGACGGCGTGCGTATGAAAAATCTGTCAGAGTCGACGGAGCAGCTTCACCATGGAGCACATGGCCCTGCCATCACCCGTACCACACGCGTGACGGTGACCAACGACAGCCGCTCTATCAGCGATTCCGACAGCAAGAATGATGCCTGGGGCAATTAGATGGACAATGACCGGATGCAACAACGAGGCTGCTTCGGGCGGCCATGATACCCTCTCTTAAAGGTTCGAAACTTTTCTTGATGTACTACTACACTAACGGCCGAGGCGCTGGCACCGCTGGCGAGTTGTTGCCGGATATCTTTTGATTTCTTGTCATCTCCTTCACCTCCTTTATTACTCCATAGTATCTAATACATAACGCCAGCTCCATGAGATGAGCACTCGTCTCTGCGGGACTTGCATTGTGCACCTATATCCTATATCCTATACTATACACTATATCCCATAGAAGAATACATGTACACACAACGCTGGAACGTTGGCTTACGCCTAATACTTACTATGCCGTTATACCCATGTCATTGCCGCTTATAAATAAAAATCCGGCATGGCTGTGCGATTGATTAATATGAGATGGATAGTGCTTATGATTTTACAATGTCAATCGTTTGCTATCGTTGAATTGTTGCTGTTCATGTTCATACTGTTAACCCCCCGGTCAGCTTGGAACCGCGGCCCGGGATATAAAGAGTGCTGGATAGCCACTTCCGAGATATATTGCGAATAAGCGCGCTGTCAACATCTAATGCCGAGCAAAATCTCCGTACGTGACAGGCAAAAAGGAGGGCGAAAGAATCCCCTGAGCTGAAAGCAATAAGTCTAGAACATGAACCCTGGACCTGGTTCATGGAGGCGGAATCCCGGGGTCTGCAGTACGGAGAAGAGACCGCTAATAAGCCACAAGCACCCGTTGAATCCTTTAGTGCACCAGCCACAATCCTTCAAACCGCTGTACTGTAGATGATCTGTCAGCACCAAATACTGCCCGCCCATATTACTCCGTGCTCGCCTATCCTCACCCAAAATCCAGGGTCCAAATTGGCAAGGCGTAATGCAACGTCCACCGCCTTTGCCCAGCTCTGCCTAATCCTGCCAATACCAATCATCATCCTCCATTATCCAGCTGGACTCTCGCAATTCCCACTTCTCAAACCCACTGCTGCAGGAGTGCTGTGCCAATTGCTGGCCCACGAGCTCGAGAGTCCAACGATGACTGTAGAACGAACCGGGCATCAGGCCCCGGCCGGGTCGGTTGCACCGGCTTCGGAGCGCACGCCGCTGTTGGGATCCGGCGCGTCTGAGTCTCACACAAACGGCAGTGGACTAACGGGGGCGGCAGCAGCAGCGGCGGCGATTCTGAGGCGTCATCAGCGTAATGAGAGCGAGAATGAGCGGCTGCTGGCCGGCGAGAGTGATGATGGTGACAATGACAATGACAATGACCAGGAGGAGGAGACGACGGTGCTGGCCGAGGAAGTGTCCTTCTCCAAGCTGTGCCTCATCATGGGAACCGCCTACCTGGGCGTCTTTCTCGGGGCCATCGACTCGTCCATCATCGCCACGCTCTCGGCGCCCATCTCGAGTGAATTCCAGTCTCTCAGCCTGCTCTCATGGCTCGCAACTGCGTATCTCATCTCCAATGCGGCGTGCCAGCCCATCTCTGGTCGCTTGACGGACATCTTTGGACGAGGCCCCGGCTTGGTATTTAGCAATATCTTCTTTGCCGCTGGCAATCTCATCTGTGGTCTAGCCCAGAACTCCAGTGTCATGATTCTCGGTCGTGTCGTAGCGGGCATTGGTGGCGGCGGCCTGATGAGCATCTCGACCTTTTTGGGATCCGATTTGATTCCCTTGCGCAGTCGTGGCGTGGTCCAAGGCATCGGCAACATCTGCTACGGCTCTGGAGCCATGCTGGGAGGCGTGTTTGGTGGATTGATGCACGACCACACCACACTGGGCTGGAGGCTGGCCTTCCTCGTCCAAGTCCCCCCAGCAATCCTCTCTGCCGTGGCCGTGGCTATCCTCGTTAGGGTGCCGCCAAAGCAATCCAACAAGTCATACCTTGCACGAATCGACTTCGGTGGCGTCTTCTTCACGGTGTCCTTCCTAGTTCTCCTACTGCTTGGCGTCAATGCCGGCGGGAATCTCGTACCTTGGACCCATCCCCTGCCACTCACGACGATTCCTCTCTCCATTGCTGCATTTGCTGGCTTCATCTGGTGGGAGAGCAGAGCGATGCAGCCCATCATTCCAGTCAGGCTTCTGCTCGACCGCACGCTATTCTCTGCCTGCTTGTGCAACTTTCTCGCCACCATGGTTACCATGTCTGGTGTCTTCTATGTCCCGCTGTACCTCCAGGTTCGCGGTGACTCGCCAACAGTTTCAGGTTTGAAGATTTTGCCTTCTCCTGTCGGTATCTCCATCTGCTCTGTTGGGGCTGGTTACATTATGAAGAAGACTGGCCGGTACGTCTCGCTGGGCATTAGTAGCATGCTGATGGTTATTTCTGGAGTCCTCGTCTTCTCTACACAGAATGAATCCAGCTCGGGATGGGTGACCATGGTGGCATTCTTCCTGGTGGGCGGAGGCTATGGTGCCATGTTGACGACGACTCTGCTCGCATGCATTGCAGCAGTTGATCACTCACAACAGGCCGTCATCACATCAGCAACCTGTAAGTTTCTGTTCTTCTCATTGATCATGCGTTAAAAAGCTAACTTGGTCAGATCTTGCTCGAAGTCTGGGCGCTACGATCGGCATCACAACCAGCTCGGCCGTCTATCAGAACCTGCTCAATGCTCGTTTATGGCAGCGATTCGGTGATGAGCCGCATGCTGCTGAAATCATTCAAAAGATCCGCGATGACTTGAACTTCTTGCGACACTTGCCACCAGGATGGCATGATGGGGTGTTGAGGTCATTCATGGAGGCATTTAAAGGTGTCTGGTTAACCATGCTCACCCTGGCCATTGGTGCTCTCATCTGTGTCTCGCTTATGAGGCAGCACACGCTCCACGAGACTCTTTCTAGGCGATGAGTCTGACAGATTGTCACATTTAAAGGCACAAACATGTGTTTGCCAAGCGCCAATGGAAAGCTCTATGGGGGCTCATTGGCGCTGTTCGACTGTGATGCTATGGAATTAAATTAGAAAGGCTACCTTTATTCAGCACACTAAGTTGTCTGTTCAATCCCCTAGAGACAACGTGGACTTTAAGTGCCGCAACAAGACGCAGAGAAAAGAATCTTTTTATTGCTATTACTCAAGTGAGATACACGGTTCCTTGAGTATCTGCTACAATCGCTACTCTCTACTGTTATCGATATATTCCTCAAGATAGCTTGAGTTTGAGACATGGGATGCTGGATAGCCAACTTGTGGTGCAGAACAATCACACCAATTAAAATTCATCTTATAGCTACTGCGGTAAATAGAATGGATATGTATAGATAGTTTCACTCGCAGGCAGAGATTTACGCATCGGGGACAAGCAGCGATTTGGAGTCCCGGCTTGATCAGAACACGCATTCGCGTCTATTTTGCTGCACATGGGTAAACATTTGGTACTGTTGTTTCCCATTCACTGACACTTTCCAAAGTTTGACGAGCATGGTATTTGGATATAAGGCTCGTTCTTGCCCCAATTCCAAGATATATCATCCATAGTTGTATTTGAAACCAGAAAGAAACGAAAATATTCTTGCCAGAGCTCATCTTTAATTTTATCCCCATGTCGTTTACCCCCACTGAGACCGTCAGCTTTAACCTGACCCCGATTGAACAGAATGGCACCAGACAGTATAAACGAGTTGCTATTGTTCTTCCGTTACTTCTATCAACAAACGATTCCCCCCGGGAGAGTTCCATCATCCAGGAGAGGACGCTGAGAGCGTTCCTCGACACCCTTTCGGCGTGGCCATTTCTCTGGCGCAGTGTTAGAATCTCGGGAGAAAGGAAGCTCGTAATGCTGGGCACACCAAGTACGTATAGCGATTCACAATCTGAGCTGCGTAACGCCCCTACGCCTCCCAGCAACCAGCCTGAAGGGCAAGAATTCTTTTCTCAACTGTATCTCAATTCTTTGAGCGCCGGTTTCTTTCGCTCGGAGAGTGAGTTGAATCTCGTCTCAGGGGTGCCACCGGTGATGATGAAGGTTTCTTTTCTAGATACCCTCCTTGTGCTTGGGTTCTCTTTCTACGAAGCCGTCGTCGACGGTGAGTTCATCAGCCGCTTCTTTTCTTGGATGATTGATGCTACTTGGATGTTCGACTCTACCCACATCACCGCGGCCAGTCGAATGGCATTTGTCCATCGAAGGCCTATTGAGGCTGTCCGACCAGCCGACATCAACCGAAATATGTTCTCCTTTTACGATTGGAGCAAAAGGCCACCTCCCCAATACACACCAAAGGACAGGCTGGTTTGTCGGCTTATTGAGTTCAAAAAGGCCAATATGCTGGACTTTATGGGCCGCATCCGACGAGCGGTAGGCAGCTCCGTTTTTGGGGTCAGGGTCAAGGACGAGGACTATATTGTTGCCATCATATGGGCTACAATCATACATGCACGGCTTATGATGGACAGAATCAAGTTGCGGCACAACGCAAGGCTCAATATCCTGCTCCCTGGAGAGCCGCACGCACGGCGAGCAGGAGAGCACGACTTCTGCTACTTTGGCAACTCGACGGTGCCCACTGTGGCCGAGCTCGGCGTCTCCCGCATGCTTTTTCCAGATAGATATATTATCGACCACAACTTCCAGTACCAGTCCAACTGTCATTACAGCATCAGAGGCCTATCCGAGGCTGCTGGGGCAATTCGCTGGGCGATCAACAAGGTAGACCACAACTACGTCCGGCATCTCATGGGCCTCAAAGACACTCTGCAGCCGAGCACCGATTGGGCGGCATACGAACGGGGCATCGACCGACACACGACCGGCACGGTATTCGAGGACTGGAGTGGCTACTTCAACAATCAGGCGATAGGACTGCCATACAGTATGGGCAGGGCGGTGCGGATGCTGCCGTGCGCGGATGACAAGGAGGAGGGCAAGATTGTGTTGCTGCCAACGCTGGGAGGCCTGGATGCCTCGGGAAACGAGATTGGCTGGACGGCGTGGGTTTGTCTGGACGTTGAAGTGATGCCGATTGTGCTTAGGGAGCTGGATATACAAGGTTGGACCACAGGGGGGGCTGCTGCGAATATGAATACGATGGAAAGCTGGTAAAGGTTGGGGATACGAGGTTGATGTTATTTTGACGTCGTTTAGATACGAGGCACGGACTGGGTTAGAGTAAGTACGAGTGCTGTATGGATACATGTACCCTTCTACGTACCTACTAGGTATCGTCTTAGCACCTCAGGAGTGAAGGAGGTAACTCCAATTGGTAATACTCTGGATCTGTATAAGCATGCGCGCAAAAGATGCCTGGTTTTTTGCATGTGTTCGGCAAATGGAGCCGTATCAGGTCATGTCTAGAATAAGTGTCTCATTTCAGAGGTCATGGGCCAATGACGTAGCGGGTGTAGAGGATGGGAGGGGCTTAGTATTCAGCACCCCGTATTAACTACACGACGGAGAGCTGAAGAGCCGTCCATAACAAAGACGCAGAGGAAAAGCCTACTAAGGTTTTTATTCACTACCGGTACTTGAGTAGACGCACTGTTGCTTGAATATCTGTTACTGTCACATTGTTCCTCTATTATCGGCTATAGTCACTACTAGGTACTTACCAAAGAAGCCTCATGTTTGAGAGCCAACGTGGGGTTCTGTAGGGCCACTCCCTAAAGGATTGATGCAAAACACTCAGCGATTTAGGCGCTGTCGTCCTGTAAACATTACCGGCCCCGGGACATAGTGCCGAGAGACCCGCAGCAATAGGGCGGAGCCACAGCTGCCGAATTTTCATTCATGCTTATGCGCTTTTGTTTCGTAATAGTAAGATGAAGAGAGTAGGCAAAAAAAGAGAGAATATATGCATAATTCCTAAAATGTTGGTAAAAATAAAAGAAAATAGTACTTCCAAATCATAAAGCGAGATTCTATCATCATCATCAGCATCATCATCTCCAGGAACCGAAAGCGAAAAACCCAAAGTGCCTTGGCGGGTGGCGCAGCTCCAACCGCACGCGCCCCATCCCCCATCCCAAGTAAGCCCGCGCGGCTGTGGCTGTGGCTCAGGCTCGAATCAAATCAACAGCACTGATTAGTTAGTCTTGAGCTGGTTGCCATGCCGCAACGCGTGGCTCCCACAAGCTGACCAGACCAGACCAGACCAGACCAGACCCTCCCCCTCCATCCTGGCTGAACAGACGCTTTCTCGTCGCCTTGTCGGTAAACAATGCAAGCCTCTTCTCTGCTGTTCATAATCCTCAGCAGGTCCATTTAGTGCCTTGTTGCCCCCCTTTCATCCCGTTGTTTCTGTTTCGTTTTTCTGTAAATCGAAATTGCAAACGAGGTCCTGTTATTAAACGTCCCGCCATCTCAGCTTACCGGCCCTACCTACGGAGCACGGAGTACCGAGTCCCTAGTACGAGTAGATAGCCGCTGACGGCCAACCGCCATCCCGCTCAGCCTCAGTCTATTAGCTTCAGGCCCAGGCTCTCGACCTCGCAGATCTCCCGGTGCGGGCACAGAAAACAAAGAGGCGTCGTCTCTCTCTCCGTCTCGCACACGTCTCCTGTTTAGCATTCTCGAATTTTGATCGCCTCTGCTCTGTCAACCATCATCGTCCGCCACATTCCGCCAACAACCAACCCCTCTGTCGACGGCTCTCGACCGCTGCAAACGTCGGCACCATGGCGCTCTTCGAGATTGACCCCCAGATTCTCCCGAATCTGAAGCTGGGTCTGCACTCGTTCCAGATCATTCTGGGCTTCCTGGCGTGGTGCTTGGAGATTGCTGTCTTCCGCGGCGATACGTCGAGGATTGTGGGCTTGAACGGATGGACCTTTGCAGTGGTAAGTTTGCGCACACTCTTTTGCTCCCACAGCGCAAAAGCACTCGGTCGCTGACTTTGGCCCCCTTTCCAGTGCTTCCTCTCCATCCCCGCATGGATCTATCTTATCATGACCCCTCGATTCGAACGCACTCGCAGATTCGCCAACCCATATGTCATGCTGGCTGTCGATGGCCTCTTCATCATCATCTGGCTTTCTGCCTTTTCCACCCAGGCAGCCTATAACAGCTCTGGCCAATGTGGTGGCAGCTGTGGCATCAGCAAGGCTATTGTCGCCGCCGGAGTCTTTGTCACGTATGTATACTTTCAACCTTCAAGGTCCCTATGTCAACGATTTGCGCCGGTAGCCTAACCCCTACTTCTTGTTGCTATAGTCTCCTCTGGATTGCAACTGGCTTCCTCAGTGCCTACACCCTGCAGTACTACAACTTCCACGGCACTCTTCCCGGCTACGACAGCCGCAAGATCGGCGGTAGCGACAACATCGACCCTGACAAGGCTGCTTTCTCCATGGCGCCCCACGATGAGGAGGCTTACGAGCGAGTCAACATGGATGACCACGATGCCCCAGGCTACGACGACCACCACACCAGCATGAACAGCCGCTACGGTGACAACACCCCCTACAATGCCGACGACTTTGATGACCCCAACCGCTACGGTGCTCTCCCCCCTCGAAGCAACAGCAACCCCATTTTTGACAGCGAGACCGAGTACCACGGCAGCAACCTCGGCACCGACTTTGGCAAACACAAGACACCCTCGCCCGGCCCATACAGCGGCAACCACTCAGACACCTATGCTGACGGCCCGGTGCAGTTCCCGTCTGCCGACTATGACAGGATAGAGCACTGAAAAGGGGAAAAGCACATTGGCAGGCACAAAGACAAAGATATACGACGACGGTAGCGGGCACTATCAATGACTTGGACAAAAACCAAACCAAACTAAATAACCCTGGGGACGGTCTCTGGTGGGCCTGGATGCTTGTGTTTGCTTGGGTAGAATATCTCTGCGGCGTTGACGGCATCCCGATTTTTTTTCCTCTTGTTTGGACATCTGCAACATGATGAAACGTTGATGAGATACCAGGTGTATATAGAACGGCCGGAAACTGCACACGAAATGTAATTTGTAGTTCTTTTTCATTTTCATTTTCATTTTCTTGTTGTAATCTTTGCATTATCAAGAAAATATCGTAGCTGAGATTCCATTTCGGAAATGCTGAAGAAAAGTAAATCCTTTCCGTCTTGATATTCAAATAACATCCTCCCAACGCCGTGATTTAAAATGCACCGTCTTGGTCTTTGCATCCCATATACATTTGCTGGAAACAGAAACAGGAACCCAGTATGAATCACTCCCACATCCGTGTTATGCTCTCACGCCCTCAACTTCTTCAGTCGCTTCGCAATATCCGCCGCCGTCTGCTGCATGGGGTTGAGCTTAGGATCCCTCGCCATGGCCCTCGTGTCGTCTCCGTACTTGGCGACCAGCCTCTCCAGCCACTCCGTCTCGCGCTCGCTCAAGTATCGGACCTTTGGCGGCGCCGGGTTCTTAGCCTCTTCGATGAGCGACTTGACCACATCTGTCGTGCCCACACCGTCGTCATTAATACCGCCCCATTCTTCGTGGTCGTCACCGTTGTCTTCCTCGCCTGACGACTCAATTTCGTTGAGAGGGTCGTTGAGGGGGTTCGCCTTGCGGCCTAGGATGCGGACAATGTTGCCTTGGGCGTCGCGCTCGACCTTGGCCTCGGAGAGGAGGGCCTTTTCAGTGACGGTGATGGCGAAGGGATCGGATTTAGAGGTGGCCACGACGGCGTCCGCTGATGCTGAATTGAGCTTCTTCTCAGTGCCGCCGGTGGGGGTCTTTAGTCGTGCGAGGAGGCCCAGTCGGCGGTAGTTTTGTGCCAGCGTTTCCTTCTTATCCCTATAAAGGCGAAGTTTGTTAGTTTAACAATTGGGTTTTTACTTTGATTGTAACTTTCTCGAGAAAGAGAGAGAGAGAGAGGGCGAACGTACCAGTTTTTCGCAATGACGGAGTTGCCGCGAGGATTGAGAATCTTTTTGGTGGTGTTTGACTGGCGCACGGCAGGGCGGCCGGAGCGGCGCTTCTTCTTCTGGAGTTCGCGGCCCATTGTGACTGTGAAATAAATGCGATGTTGGGAGGATTTGGGAGTGTCTTTTTTTTTTTGGTTCGGCTTGGTGATGGGAGGTTGGATGGAAGCCGCCCAAATTTTTTGGTATCAGGCTTATCGATAAGGATGGAGCAGCATGCTATGCCTCTTTTGAGCCAGGAATTGCGCCAGATTCTAAGAAGCGCCAGGATTTCATTTAGAAGATCAAGTTGATTCTTTGAGAATCTAATTTCTAAAAGAAAAAGGGCATTTTTAAGTTGGTAATTGAAAAGGACTACTTCATGCAGGTAGATGCATTCAATGCGCAAGCACTATGTAGTACGCGACAACAGAGAAACTTGAAAGCCGTCTCTAACGCTACGTGCGAAGCACATAGGAAGGTATAATTGAATCATCAAATATTACATACATTCTCGTTATTTACAATCTATTCATTCGTTTTTCTTCCTTTCTCATTCCTCTTCTCAAGCATCATCAGCATCTATGGGGCTGGCGCCTTGATGGCCTCGATGATCTTGCTCTGAAACTTCTCCGGCTCGGTGGTGCTGGCCCAGCGGTCGATAACCTTGCCGTCACGGCCGATCAGGAACTTCTCAAAGTTCCACTTGATTCTCTCTAGACCAAGAAGGCCGGGCTTCTCGTGCTTCAGCCACTGGTACAGGGGGTGCGCATCGTTGCCGTTGACGTTAATCTTGGCCATGACGGGGAAGGTAGTCTTCTGGTCCAGCGAGCAGAAGTTCTGGATCTCCTCGTTGCTGCCGGGCTCTTGGCCGCCAAACTGGTTGCAGGGGAAGCCGATGACGGTGAAGTCATCAGGGTACTCCTTCTTGATGGCCTGGTAGACGGACTCGAGGTTCTTGTACTGGTAGGTGAAGCCGCACTTGGAAGCCGTGTTGACAACCAAGACGACCTTGCCCTTGTAGTTGGACAGAGGGACTTCGGTGTCGGCGGCTGTAAGAAAGCGTGCTCGTTAGCGGGAAAAGTCTCCGGGCTGCTACTATCATGGGCGTTGTGTCTGGCGCAATAGCGGGGTGATAGCTATCGGCGCAAAGCTGGGCGACGGGGATGGAGGGGCTCGGGGGGGGTTGGAGGGAATGTCGAGCTTACCGTCGAGCACCGTGAAGTCGAAGAAGTTGGTGGCAGAAGACATTGTGGAATAGAGTCTGTCGCAAGAAGCTGTGGACTGGATGCGGTGTTGATGCAGAGTGCAAGTCGAGGCTCCAGGACGGACCGCGCCAGAATATAAAGAGCGACTCCTCAAGTCAGTCCACTGGTGACGTTTTGCTACTAGCGGCGCTCGGCGGATTGCTTCAAAACGGCCTGTGTCACAGCTCCGAGGGTTCGGGCCCAGCAGCGCCCGGCCCAGCACGCGGGATGTGAATTTGGAATTTGCAAAATGGGCCATTGTCCGATCCCCACGTGAAATTACAAAGCCAGCGGTGATGAAGTACGAATTGAGAAGCGATGCCGCTATTGTTCGGCTTCAGCCTTACGGAGGCCCGAAAATGCATGCGATATGATGCAGTGACGGCTATGAGTTCATCACTCGCATTTCAGCCTCGGTACGCCCCACGTCGGTGGAGAGCTGGCGATAAAAGGGTTCCAGGTTTTCAAGACGCAATCTCAAATACCTGCCGGATCGGAGCACTGAGTTTGTCCGCCACAGAAGATGGATGACCCCGCACCAAGGTGGTTGTGCGATTTGAATTGCTTTCCAGGTTTCGTATGGTTTATTAATCTGGACGTCTTGCGATAAGGACTTGCACGAGCCGCGGCAAATTGTTCAAAATCTGATGCAGATGCCGCCACTTACGGTATCTAGCCTTTTGAAATGCCGGGAAGGCTAAAGAGTTTTTGAGTAGAATGGAGTTCCACAGGGTCCTCTTTAGCGCTTAAGCCAGGTACATAATACACCCAAGATGACAATGGCGATCAGCACTGGAGAGGCGTTTTGGTAGCACCTTGGCACCACAGAGTAAGCTTGGGCATGTGGGGAACGGTCGTGTAAGTCGCCAGGCAATCCTGCTAAACAGCCCTCATATGGATCTCCATCTTGCTTTCAAGATGCTATTTTGAGGCTGGTTCAGCGAGAGTTTTGAGAGTTGTTGGCGACAATATGACCTCAATACTGTTACTCGTTGGATCAACCAGTTATTACAGTAACAACTTTGTCGAGCTGGATGGTGGTGGTTCCATTGACAAAGAAACACAAGACAACATAACCTGAATAGTGTAAAAGGACAACATTTGAATTTAGCAATGTATATACCTGGCAGTCCTGATCCCTACTGTGCTGTGAGCTTCTATTCTTTGGCTCTCTCACATCTGCTCTCATATATCAACTTGACGGGTTGAATTGGCTTACGTCATTGATCCACGACTTCAAGACCCACCGCTCCGACACTGGCAGCTACTTGCCTATAAACAACATTCAAGATGCTCTGCTTGCGTTTGCCTCCGCATCTGCATCCGTGCCAATAGAATCTCGTAGCTAGCCATGGAGGAGAAGAGAAACATAGTCATTGTCGGTATGTGTCTCCTTGTCCTCCTGCCTTTAAACTCAGCCCAAGCAATCGCCGCACTGCAGGTTGCAAGTAAAACTACCTATAGAGGGGTTCGAAGCTCATACCGCAATCAACCATACCAAACCAACAATCTCGCACAGACGCTTAGCGAGGCTTGCAACTCTAAATAGCTAATTGCGGGAATCTAGGAGGCGGCATCATCGGCTGCACAACCGCCTACTACCTGACCCGCCACTCTAAGTTCAACCCTGCTTTGCACACCATCACCCTTCTGGAAGCCGCTCCATCTGTGGCAACGGGCGCTTCGGGCAAGGCGGGCGGCCTTCTTGGGCTCTGGGCCTATCCCGTGTCTCTTGTTCCGCTGTCGTACGGGCTCCATGCAGAGCTTGCGGCAGAACACGACGGAGCCAATCGCTGGGGCTACCGCAAGCTAAAGTGCGGCAGCATCGAGGCGGTGGTTACCAAAAAGAAGCTAGGCGAGCGCCAGAAGTCTGCAGGTGAGCATGGCAAGGAGTGGGAGAAGCTCCCAAAGCAGGATGAGGCTGCCATGGAGCTGCTTCAGGACGAAGAACTGCCTGCAGACCTGGATTGGATAGACAGAGAAGTGGTCAGAGGATGGGCCGAAATGGGGTCTCCGGGAGCTACCGAGACTGCCCAAGTGCATCCATTCCACTTTACTACTTCAATTGCAGAGCTGGCTCGGAAGGGGGGCGCTTCCATCAGAACGAATGCAAAGGTGACAAGACTCATCACCACAAAAACAGGCGTCGAAGGAGTCGAATATCTAGACCGGACAACCAACGAGACTAACAAGATTACCGACGTGACCGATATTATTGTTGCAGCTGGACCGTGGACTGGTCGAGTACTTCCTCGGTCCAAGGTTGAAGGCCTGAGAGCACATAGTGTCGTCTATGATGTCGATGTCAGTGCGTACGCCGTTTTCACAGACATCGAATTGCCCTCAGACTTTATCCCAGAACATCGGGCAAAATTGGGACAGAAGAGACAACACAGGGGGAGAGTAGACCCCGAAATTTATGCACGGCCCTTTGGCGAGGCATATGCTTGCGGTGAGTCTTGTGAAAGAGAGCGTCTTTTCCATCATATGGGGGAAATGTACTGACTTCAATTTCAGGTGAGCCAGACAGCGTCGTGCCGCTGCCAGAAACGGCTGATCAGGTTCAATTCGACGAAGCCTACTGCGACGACATCATCTCTTATTTCGCAACCGTGAGTCCCGTACTGGCCGCTGCGCCTATCAAGGCCAAACAAGCCTGCTACTTGCCACGGCACATTCGATTTGGACAAGAGAGTGGTCCTCTCATAGGACCAACGGTGACACCTGGTCTGTGGGTTGCTGCCGGCCATACTTGCTGGGGGATCCAGAACGGTCCGGGGACGGGAAAGCTAATGTCGGAGTACATATTTGATGGCGAGGCCAAAAGTGCCAATGTGGCTAGTCTGGATCCACGCAAGTTCAAGGTTTGATGGAATGCCGTTGCCTATTATAGAATCATCGACCGACCTATAGAGCGTATTTACAGATAGAGAGCGTGACAGTAAGCAACGATGCGATGATGAATATCCATTCGTGGATTTATAGAAGAATTTTTGAGTTCATACGGCGTTTTTGTTTATACAACGATAGGCATTAATACTTACATTCAAGAGAGAGTCTAGTTGAATTCTGTTTTGTTCTAATGCGTCCGGTTGTTTGTTCAAACATATTACTTCTTTACAAGTTCATCTCGTTGTAGGTCTAGATATCCTTAATTCTAACGGCTTACTTGTCTCTGGGCTCTTGATAATTATACATCTTCTGGAACTTTGCCTACTATCTCGAACAGTTCAAGATGCCAGCATATGAGTTGGAAAATAGCCTAATCATCCGTAATGTTAAAAAAGCTTTGTAACTTGCGAATGGAAACAAGTGATACAAAATTTCATACTATTCTCTCAACAACTTCAATGTTCAATTATTATATGGCGTTGAACTACCGACATAAGCAGCAAAAGGGAAAGAAAGTGAAGGGGTTGCTCCAACAATTAATGTATTCTGCTAATCTCTTTGACTATAAATTTCCATTCACACGGTCCACCCCTTAGTTAGTCTTATAGATAGCCACGTATCTAACCCTCATAGAGGCATCATACCCACTGACGGTGCTATCAGTAGGATTGCCTGGGTATCCTCCTCCAACGGCCACGTTCAAAATCATGTAGTATGTGCTTTGAGCCAACTGCACCCACTGCTGGTAGGCTCCGATCTGAGAACCTGTGACACGGTAGAACTGGTTACCATCCAGGTACCAAGTCAAACTTTGCTGAGTCCAGTCCGAGTTGCGGCGGTCCACCTTGAAAGCCCAGGTATGGTACTGTCCTCCCTGGTACGTAACTCTGCCGTTGAATGCACCGTTGTGGTTGCCGTTTGCATCCTGGAAGTGCAGCGTTCCCTGGTTCTGGTTGCTCATCTTATCAGTAACCTCGAAAATGTCCCACTCGCCGCATCGTGGCCATGGTACACCGCTGCTGCGGTAGTTGTTTCCCTTTGCCCAGAAAGCTGGCCAGAGACCAGCGAACTTGGCCGGGTTCCCGGTAAAGTCGGGAATCCAGAGCTCAGACTGGAAGATCATAGCACCACCCTCGTCGCACACCTGCGCAGTGGCGCTCTCGATGCGTCCCGAATACCATTTTCCGTTAGACTTGGTGGGAACGATGTACAGCTGACCATCGCCCGAGAGATGGACGTTGTTGGTGCCGGATGTGTAGGTTTCCACCTCTCCGTTTGGGTTATTAGACCTATCGATCTGCACCCATTTGCTGTGGTCGATACCGGCGTAGTGGTCGCCATTGAAGTCGTCGGACCAGACAACATGGTAGCCAGACAGGGCAGGGATAGCAGCAAGTGCGGGAGCCCATAGGAGGCCAAGGACGGCAAGATTGGAGATCATGGTGTTGCTGTCTGAATGGATGGCCTCTCTAGTTTATAATTGCTTTGCATGTAGGGTTTGCTTCTGTATGACTTGGACAATATTCCATTCAAAGGCGATCTCATCCACTGTATTTATACTTCTAACAGATCAGACTATGGGGCACAATTATAGAGATGCCTTTTCATTCTTAGAGCTCTCAACACAGCCTGATAGTAAGCCTAGGCTAAGCACCGAAGAACATATTTTAACCCTAGAGCAATACTACTCCTAAGCTTACTCCAACTCTTAAACCCTGATTCGTCTAACTTAGTCGCATGATGCATGAATCCTCGTATCCAGTCTTGCTTTGGAGTCTCCATCCAGCCCTGTAATGCTGTCCCAAACAAGGTAATAGCGGGTAATACCTGTTGGCTTAATTTAGAGTTAACAGCATGTATTCCATATCTGGAAGTTTCAGGGGTCACTAGTGTATATCCTATTATAACCCTTGACGAACCATCTCTATAGGAGCTGTGATTTCTTCCAATCCAATTGAAGTCTGCTCAATTTCTTGGCAGGTGACAAATAATCACCTATACATATATCCACCAGTGCAAAGAGATTAAGAATAAGTCTTCCTATTTGCACTGTAACGTATTCTTATTTAAACTGTAATGCTCTACATCGTAAGTTAGATTTACCCCTTTAATTGTAATTACTATACCTATACACTAAAATACAGTATAATACATTAGAAAAGAAGATTAATATATAAAATTATATATTATAATACTATTAATTATTAATTTATACTAATTTATTTAAAAATAATAATTCCAGCCTTTTTAATTAAAATAAATATACTTTTTATAGCTTAGCTAATTTATTAACTTTATTATTCTCTTTAATCTAAGTGGCTGGGATAATAATAATATTTTTAACCTTAGATTTAATTATAGCTTTTATTTTAAGGTTTATTTTAAAAGCAGCGGCAGCTATTACAGCTAGCCTTATTATAGTAGAGGTATTAACTTATCTTTATAACTATCCCTTTATAGTTCTTTTAATCTATAAATTTAAGTATAACTGTAAACTTTTTGTTAATTATAATAAAATAGCCTAGCCCCAGCCCTAGCCCTAACTATAGCTTTATAATAGCTTTTATAAATTTTTAACTTTAAATTATAATAAATTACAGTATATACTTAACTTTATATAGTATTTACAGTAATATAACTATATAATTTACTTTAGTTTTTTTAATTATATTAATTATATTATTTTTTTTTACTTAATATTATTTTAGCTATTAATAGCCCTTAGTATTAATAGTATAGTTATTCTTTTATTATTTAAAAGCTACAGTTAGTTATAAAAGTTCTAAATAATATTAAGGTTTTAGATTTAAAGTAAAAGCTTATTAATATTTTAATATTATATAATTAATAGTTTTTTTATAAAAAAAATAAAAGAAAATATATTAAAAGCTTAATTAATTATTATTATAAATAAATATTATCTTTACTAAAAGCTTTATTAATATTAAACTTTTTAAAGATTATATAGTTATAAAGAAATATATACTATTATATAAAGCTACTAATGTAAAAAAGTAGTAGTAAAAGTATTAAAATAAAGCTTAAGGGTATTATAGCTATAGTTAAATAATATTATTATATAAGGAGATTAATAATAATATAATTAATAATTATTAAAATATTATTTAATTAATCCTACTGTTAAATAAAATACTACTACAGCTACTACTGTATTTTAACTATCTTTTTATTATAATTTTTTTTTTTTCTATAATATAAAGTAAATTATATTATAAAAGTAAAAAAAATTATTTATACTTATAATAAAAAAAGACTTTATATTTTTATATACTATTTTTATAAAACTGTTAATTTATTAATTAAAGTTATAATATTACTTAATATAACAGTAAGTTTATTACTTTTAATATAATATATATTCTTTTAAAATATAGTGTAAGATATAGTTTTACGTTAAATCATATATAACCTTTATTTTATATTAAGCTTTTTTAAAACCTTTTTTATCTTTAATGTAAATAACCTATTTTTAAATATAAAATATTTTTTTATAAATTAAAAAATTAGCAGTAGGTAGTAAAATAATATTATTATTCTTAGTGATTTTTTATTTAGTAGTATAAATAGTAAAGTTATTATTTATAGCGTTAATACTAACTTATATATTAAAGAGGTTATTATTATTACTATTAGCAGCCTTAAACTTATTATTATTATTACTATTATTTTTACTCTTTTACTTTAATTAAATTTATATTTTAATATTAATATTAATATAGTAAATATATAGTTATTGCTAAATATTAAAGAAGATTAATTTAAAGGTATTCTTTAATATTAATTTTTTATTTATAATTATTATAGTTAACATTAGTATATAAAGGTTTTAATAAAAGTCTTTAAGTTATTAATAAAACTATAAAAAATTATTTTTTTTTTTTATATTAATAAAATTAAATATAAAATTAACTATTAACTTTTAGTTTATAATATTTATAACTTTAAAAAAATATATATAAAAATAATTAATTTTATATATATTATTAAGATTTAAGACTTTAAAGAACTAATATTATATTTTTTTTAATTAAAAATAAGTTTATAAAATATCTTTAACCTTATTATTAACGTTAAATTTAATATAATAATAAAGGTTATTATCTTAAAGTTACTTAATTTAGGCTTAGGTAATTAATAAACCGTTAAGTTCTTTAATTTAAATCTTCTATTTATTATTATAAATATTTAATTAATAAAAGAATATAAGTTTAATAGCGTTAAAGTCTTTTATAATCTCTAATATTTTATATATAGGAAGGGCCTAGTGTTTAATTAGATTTTACTTTTATTACTACTAAGTTAAAGTTTATTAATAATATATATTATATACTGATAAATAAATTAATAAATTATAATTATATTTAATATAAGTAATATAATAAAACTACTTTTAGTTAATGTTTTTAATTATTAATATTATAATTTTATAAAAATATTCTATCTATTAGCTTAATAAATATTAAATTCCTTTATTTATTAAAGGTAAATAATTTATATAATTATAAATAAAAAAATAATAAATAAAGACTCTTTTACTATTAATAATCTATAAGTTTAAACTTCTTTTAGTTTAAATAATAATATTATTATTATAGTAAAAACTTTATAAAAAAGTTAAAAGTTTATTAAATATATTATATAGCTTTAAAAGTAGCAGTAATAAAATCTTTAACTTTAATATAGTTTTTAATATAATTTCTATAACCTCTACAACCTTTACAGTCTTTACAGTTTTTATAGCTTATTACAGTAACCCTATTATATATAAAAGCAGCTGTAATAGCCTTTTAGTATATAAAAGTAATAATATTTCCTTATATTTATCTTTAAGCTGTTAAAATATAATATTATTATTAAATTTATAATATTATAGCTATTTTAAATTATTAAATTTATTATTATTAAAGTTAATTTTAACAGCTAGGGCCTTTAATACCGCTGGTGTATTTAATAAAAAGAAAGCATTAATTTTATTAAAGCCAGCGTTAATTAATATCTTTAATAACAGCAGCAGATTAAAAATACTATTACTAAAGAAGGCGTTATTATTAAAGGGAGGTATTATAATATTTAACTTTATAATCTTTAATTTTGTAATTTTAGTTTTATATAGAGTTTTTAAATATATAGTATATTAGGGCGCTGCACTGTAATTAGGTATAGATTAATAGGATCGGTGGTGTATGTACATTAATTTTAATATAGGCATGGACCACTACAGTTTAAATAGGAATACGTTACGGTGTAAATAGGAAGACTCTTAGGAATACTCTGTAATATCCGCGATATTGAATTTATTTAACATTCGAGACCAAGAAGTTTGTAGATCACGTTGTAACACTTCATCAGACGAATCCACATTTTGCTCATCGCATCAGTCATTATTCTCTCCAAATGAACTGGAGGGGATCGATCGCTTGGCCATCCTGGCATCTTTTTATTTTAACCTCTTAATGTTAACGAGACGCTAATACGATCCGAGGAGATGCAGCCCTACCACTCCAAAGGGCATGTACCCAGTTCCGTAATAAGTAACAGCCCTCCGAATGGCGCCATCGTCAAGCGAAATACGGAGTCCTCCAACGGACATTTGAAACAGTTCAGCTCGCCCTATGGAGTCGATTTGTCCGAGAGATATTAGTCGCAGAAGCTATACACCACGCCTACGGGTCCTCCCCAGCTGTTTGCTGCTTCGGCTGTATAGGTGGAGGGGATTAGGCAAGGCTAGGAACCGCTCGGCTTTATAGGTGGAGGCGAATGAGGCATAGAACTACCAAAGAACTACAGACCACTCAAGCCAGCCTCGCCTCTCAGTGAGCATTCATGGACATGCTATGCCATAATTGGAAGTTTAGAGGCTTTTTGTCCAAAAATGATCATCGCCTTTCACCGCCTCTGCTGACTGTGGGGATATTAGCTGCATGAATCAACGTCGCTTTCAACTAATCAGTTACCAGTTCGCAGCCGTACCGCGCGCTTAATACATATATATATATATACTAATACTTCAAAAGAAGAACAGTGAAATATTTGGAGGCTACCCCTATAAATAGAGGGCGCTTCGTGATCGTCAAGGTCATCAGGAGGCTAATACGACCTACAAGATGCTTCAATGTTTAAGCGCATGAGAGCACTGCATCTGACCATCTCGTTTATGTAAAACCGGAAATCCTCTGGTCAGCTTTCATAGACATCGGCCACCGTGCGTTGTTCAAGTTATCCGATTGATCCCGCGTATGATATAAATGGATAAAAGGCGACTATTAGCGTGGTAGTTTCTCTAATAATTTTTGCGCCGATTCATAGCAAGTAGGAATTGATGTCTAAAGATATTAGAAGCTGGTACGCGCAGGCCAAGTTGTGGAATTTCCATTGTACTTGTGAACGTTCCATGGCTTCGGGACGGTCTTCTGCACCAAATAGTTCAATAAATTATTTTCGCTGGCCACTCACTGTTTAGTCAGGACTTCTAGTAAATGCTCAGCCAATAGGTAAGAACTTGCTAGATTTTGTCTAAAAAATTGTTTTAAGACTGTTCTACGATGACATGCAGACTCTAAGCTTTATTGGACTTCTCATATTTTCCGCCACTAACTTTGTCAAGAGAATCTGCAAGGTTGAATGAGAGACCTGGCGGAATAATATTATTGCTATATGCCTGCTCCCAATCCGTATTACTAAGTCTAGTTATATAATAGCCGGGAAAAAGCATTAATCTGTTAGCTGGGGTAACATTTACTATAATAGCTAAGGTGTGACAGAAGGTAATATTACAGGTAGTATTATGGGACTTGTGTAATAATTAAATGGAGGTAAAGTCTATTGCTAGGTTGTGTAAATTCGGGCTGCATGTTGGAGTAAGTTGGTTCACTGTTTTTGGATATCATCCAGTAATAAATTTTATCTGAGCACCAGATACCAACCGGTAGAATGAGATGAGGGCACAAAGAGAATTCTGGCCATTTTGCAAGCAGAGAATAAGAATGCCAGACGAGAATTCTGTTGCACTAGGGAATTAGGCAACATCAGATGTATTCCCATGTCTACAGAAAAGAAATTTCGATGTAAATCAAAGATGCAACAAGACATCATTCTATACTTTGCCTATCATCACCCAGCCAAATATTCTGTATAGACACCGAGTTAAGAGTTACAGACCATACGGATCAGCGATGTAGCTGATAACTCACTGCTTAAGCCAACCTAATTTTTCTACACGTTGGGAGTATTGTGAGTGGGTACTGACTATATAGAATTACCATTTGACCTATAAATGTATTTATAGTCAGAAAGCCTCTCAGTAAACAAAGTTGCTGTGATGGGCGTTCGTTTGGACTTTACCGAAGTATTTTTAATGCATAATCTACAACATATATTCTCTCCAGTATGCCTTGTGTTGTGCCTGCTGCAGAACGAATCGCTCAGCCTCGTCCGCCCACTAGCAACCACCAATAACAATTGAAGGCTCAGAGTTGGATTGGCGTGCTATGAGACCCACCCCGTCTGCATATACATTCATATTCCCCCTCATTCTTTGGCCTTTGGCCTTTGCTTCACTTATCTTGCAGGAACTACCATGTCTTTTGGTTTCGGAATAGGCGATTTTATCGCCGTGGGGGAGCTTTGCTGGAAACTCTACTCGCAAGTCTACAAAGTTTCTAGAGATGCACCTGAAGAGCTCCGTGGACTTAACCAAGAGCTGGGAAACCTTCACAACACTATCCAGCTGCTTATAGAAGAACTCAAGGACGAAGATTCGGTATTAATACGCTCTGGAGATGTTCGGATTAACACTATTCGGCGAGTAATGTCGCAGTCAGAAGAAACGCTTAAAAGGATGCAACAACTATCTGAGCGGTATGCAGAGCTCCAAACACCATCTGCCGGGCGAGAGAAGCGACGCGTTCTGCGCATTTACTGGGACCAACTAAAATACTCACGGGAACTTCACACTATTAATGATCTACGCGCTAAAGTGAGAGAGCATATTGGCAATTTCGACTGAACGCCGTGCACTAAACAATTCACAGATAATGCTTCAAAATTCTCAGCTAGCTCTCATCCTGCAAGGTGCTCAAAAGTAAGTAAACTCTTACTGAAATATAATGAATTGAGTTAACGGTAGGAAGTTCGTCGTTAGAGCGTATAGAGAAGCAAAACGCGCAGACCGACAAAAAGTTGGACGAGCTGCGGCAACTACTCATGTTTGATCATGCCTCGCGGGATCGACCGATACTTACAGCGCCATTGGATCCAAATACCTTGATGGAGCTGACAAATGTATTTTTACAAAAAGCAGAGTTTGACAATCGGCCCTGGGCCTCAATTGGTATTGATAGCTGGCTCCAAGTAGGGCAATGGTGGCTCATGAAGGTAAAATGTGAAAATATCTGCCGAACTGTGATGATTGCTAATGAGAGGGAGTAGGCGCAGTCGCAATTGGTGGCGGCTCCACCAAGTCATGAGGACCAGACTACATACAACCAAGGATACGCGAATCTGTTGAAGGCATGCTGGATCTTGACTGACATAATCGCCATACATCCCCAGCGGACTCACATGGGCTCGTCAAATGACCGTCGGGCGCAGAGCATTCAGCGTCTTACTCAAGCAAGTAAAATGAACTGGCAATTCTAAGTGATTTGTTACTAATTGAAACTTTTTTTAACAAAAGGGAGCAATATCCAAGATGAAAACCCTTTCCGTTATAGTACTTGAGCTGAAAGATCTCTTGGCATGCAATTTGGATATTTGGAACCTCCCCCCATCTACAGCTCTCACTCCAAGTCGTCGAGACACACGCCATCAGCCTGAGCTGAAATGGCAAACATACCGTGGGGAAATAATATTTCAAAAGTAAGGTTGCCAGACACAGTTTACGATTAATTGCTGAATAAATTCGCAGATTTGCGGAGTACAAGGACGATACACTCGAACTACCAGTCGAGTGTATAGTGATCATCGAGATGCCCAACGAGCAATCTACCGATACTCTCTTGTTAAACCTAATTGTACAAAACTCAATGGGCCATGACATCTATAAACGTCAAAGTAAGCTTGGGGTTTTCCTTATGCACTAGTAGAGTTGCTTATAATTGTGCCTCTGATAGCAACGTCTAGCATAAACAACGACTTATTACAAACAAAAGACTTTCCAATAAGATTTCTTACAAAGCAAGGTTCGTCTTTTCCAATTTGCTTTAGAAGTTATAGGATACTAATACTCTAAAAACAGATGAGCGGCTCTCGGATTGCATTATAAAATCTCTTAATCTGCTTCATGACTCACTCAAACCACTTCCTGTGGACGCATCCATGATATATTCAGCTGCCCTTCTACATAAATGCTGTGGTGCTGGAAAATATCTTGCCCCTACATACCATACCTCCAAACCTGACACCGCAGTCGAAGACATCAATATCTTAACTCGATCTAGAAAAGAACTTCAGATCGCCCCGACGACGTCTCTATCTTCTTCTTTTCAACTAATTGTTGATCGCATTGTTGAGTACACCAAACAATGCTATGAGGACTTTCCAGGGAAATCTGATCGAATGTTTTGGTCACAGGCTCACCATTGCGTCTGGATGTTGATCTACTGGGTCTGTGACACATTTGAAGAGTTCTCAGAGTTTTTCCAAGCCATCGGAATTCATTCTCCAAAATTTCATCCAGTATCTGGGGCTTGCTTAATAAAGTCCTCACTGTTAAGGAAAGATACGGAGTTTCCTCAAAAGTTTATTTCATTTATGAACCTAAAGCCAGATTGGACCATCGGTAAAATTGATCTCCTGTTAATTGCCTTGTCCCGCGGTGATGCTGCCGTTTTCCAGGCCATACTAAAAAAGACCGATGAGAACACGCTCAGAATAAATTGGAGACATGCATGGCATCCCGCATTCGAAAGCTTCAAATGGGATATCATGGGTATGCTATTGTCAGCACCCGGAGTAGATCTGTATGACCTTCTCGGTTCACTTTTCGGGTTGGCACACTGGCATAAATGGCGAGAACTACAAATTTTCGCAGATTTACTTCGGTCTCATGGTAAATACCTTGTCCGCTTAAGTGGTTCCGATGCGCCTTATCGCCACACATATGAATCAATTACGGATTGCTGCACTAAGATAATACATAAAGGTGGTTTACATGACCTGAAGATATTTATCGATTGTCTTCAACAACTAGGCATCTCTTCCTATGTTTCATCTACTGGCGAACTGTGGACCCAATCAGCTATATTATCAGCCTTGGCATCTCGAAATCTCTCTATATTGAAACTGCTTTCTGAGACAGGCGTAGTCTCAATTTCCAGGAAGGCCCTAGACAACCATTATTATACGTTCAAGGCAGAACAACGAAGTGATTACGTCTTACGTGTACCTGAATGGCCATTAGATCTGGCAATTGCTTTTGTTTTGGATTTGGAAACTGTCGAATACCTTTGTCGAGCTGGGGCTCGTTTGGGGAAATGGAATGGCACCGATTTTGACGAACCAGAACTCATACGAGAGCTTCGTCTGACTACCTCTGTTTCAGATGCTCGAGCAAAAAGTTGTTATAGGAAAGCCACTTTGTACGAATCATGTTTCTGGGGTAGAGATGGAGTCCGATACTTGGAGAACCATAATGGTAAGATAAAATATCAATCTTTCTTCGATGACTGGCACACAGCGTGGAATATTATATTTGAGAACGACTGTCGGCACCTCTATGATGTGGCGGACGTGTCTCCTGGATTGACGTGGCGCGGCGTCCAAGATGTGCTCTACCGAAACGGTCCTAAGGATATTCCCATCACAGCATCATGGCCTGCCCCGCTTTCGACGCAGGAACTCTGGGATTGTTGGCGATCGGCAGTCATTGATCTCCTTGAAAGAACACACCAAGGAAAGTATGATATAGGTTCTGAATAGACTGTATTTAGTGTGGTACATATTGCCTGCTAGACAGAACATGGTAGTTGGCCAGCTACCAAATATCCCTACTATAAGATTACGTTTGGTACCATTAGATGTTATTTTTCTTTATGAGCACTTTTCAGAATATATTATGGTTGACTACGTCAATTCTTGGCACAGGTAAATGAAGCATCTATTAAAAAGTGATCACCATATCAGTAAACAGCCATATATTTTTGCCACTCGCTACGCTCAGGATGTTGTTTATGGAATGGTTCCAACTGACATCGCTATTATACATTAACAGCTTTGGTTCGTCTAAAAAACTGATACAGCATACTAAATAATAATAGTTGGAGGAGTATCGGTTTTTAAAGCCTTTGAAACCGAGAGAGTATGAGGTTTTTATGAGGCACAGTGGGAGAAAACCGTGGAATAGCAAAAACCGTAGAGAGTAAAGCGTGTAATAAGCTCCATTTGGCGGTGATGATATGTTTATGATTTGAAGAACTGGGGCAAGCAGGAGCAAGGAGAGCAAGCTAGGGTATGACCCAGTGGAAATGTTAACAATACTACAAACCAATGAAGTATGTAGAGGTTTGTCTCCCTGCACTCTTATACTAAGGTCTGGAGATAATGAAAAGCGGCGAAGGAGTTTTAGTCAATGAGGAATGCGTCCAAACTTGGATAGGGCAGCAGTAATTTCTGCTTTACTACATACGTAGACACCTGATCAACTCCGCACGTCATCTTTGTCGTATTTAAGCATATATGTAGGCCCTAAGCGCTCCTTGAATTTGGACTGATGCATCCTTCCCTCTCTATCGACAACTGAGGAATTTATGCGGAACCGGTCCGTTTTGCCCTTTCTCTTGCCACAACATCTTGGGACTGCCAACACCTTCTTTCCTGTATAGTCTGCTGGATTTACCGTAAATAACAGGCAATCATTTGCGTATTCTCCAGCATCATCATCCATTTCGATGATGTTAATTTGCAGCACTTCTGGATCTTCATCATCTTCAACGGGAACGTGGTGATCAAAAGTGACTCCATAGTAATCGATGCATCTGTCAAAATAAGTCAAGGGTCAAAAAATATAAGCAAGAAGCAAAATAGTGCTGCTAAGAAATACCTATAGCACTTACGGCAGCGGCCTTCGGTCTTTCATCACCCAGCCCAGATACTCGTCCCGAACAACCATATCACCCGTAATTTGGCTGCTAACTTCCCGTCCATAGAGCGCTCGATATGTCAACTTTGCAAGTTCGGGACCAGCCGGTTGTGGAAACACCAAAAATCGGGAATCACTGACGTGCCATTGAACATCCGGTAGTAGCTTTTGCACAGACACCAACGGACCTTCGATGCATATCCTCAGTGGTTTCTTCCATGGTGGGAGATGGAAAGGGTGGGCTGGGGTGCGGATGCATGGGGGGATATAAAGCTCGAGAGCCATATTTATAGATGGATTATAACACGCGGTGATAGGGATCTATATGTTTCGGGGAGAAGCCATGATGGATTGGGAGGCATTGTGGTCCGTTTTTAAGTTCGAATTTGAGACATCTTTTAATCAGACACACTGGAATGCGTTGTGTTTGTATTGGTAGCAACCAACATGTTCCAGTCACTGCAGCTGGGTTCCCACTCATTTAAGTCGGGCATTGACATCATGTTGACCTGGGTCAACGTTATAGGTCCAGGCAGTGGGAATGAGGATGCATTTCGTTTTTCTCTTACTAAAAGATCCTATTTCCACCAAATGGGCTAAATCCAACTGAGATTGCGTACAGAGTTTTATTTTAACAATTCTCTAGATGTTATATCTGCAGCTGCATACATGTATTTACTACCTACGGTGGTTCGTATTCATCTGGTCTCTACGATGTCAGCCACATGCAACCATATATATGATCCAATATCCGTTATCCGTTTGAGTCTAGAGAACCCCCCGAAACAATTATCGTAGCCAGCCATTCAATCTGCTTGAATATTAATTATCATTGCTTGCTTCCTCTTCTTTCACACGATGCTTCAAGCCTAATTGTTAATAATCCAAGTGCCAGATCCATCTGCAAGCTCGGCGGAGTGCTGCCCCACGCGGACCGCTCAGCGGACCGGTCCACCATGCCCAGAAATGGAGGGGCATCGAGTAATAGGTAATCGCATCACCGTCACTGCTCGTCCGCAAAGACAAATCCAACCTCGAGCGTCTTTGCCGGAAGCATCTGCCGGATAAATCTCCAGACGTCTACGCGCGATGCGGTGTCTCAGAGAAAGAGACGCGCGAGGCGACCGATTGCCGTTGGAGATGATCGGGCGATTGCCGTCCAAGCGCTGGATAGCCGCGGCGTTCCGTCTCTCCCTGGGCTTGTGATGAGCTGAATACCGCCAATCTGTTGCATCTTGATCGTGTTGGAGTCCAAATCCAACTCTCAAATCACATCTGGTGGATGGTAAGCAATAGCTGGCACTGCTATTCCAATTGGGATGGGTGTCAATCCTGGCCGCATCTTCATCTTCAAGCATGTAAGCTGATCTCTATTAGGACAGCATACAAGTTGACTCATCATGCAGTGTCGGGAAACTGCAAGACCAAGATCCGGAGAGCAAAATGTCCCCAGTGCTGGAGCAACGAACGATGCGATGTGCCAAGACTGTGACTTCCCTCGTGGCCCTCCCCTCTAGCACACATTGGCCCTCAAGCGCCGACATCACATCGTCTGCTACCCAATGAGAGCTAATGCAGAGCACCTTTACGACGTTGGGTCTGGCTGGAATGCCTGGTGCTGGCTCGGGCATCAAGTCACGCGGAATTCAGGCGGCTGCGGTTCGATCGGCAAACCGACTTCGAGAAGCAGGATCGTCTATCTGGTAGCACATCGACAAAGGATGCTTAAACCCCACAAGAGCTGGAGATTCTATTCCTTGGGCATCGCATCTCGGGGGGTTTCCTGCTCCCAATGGGGATACGAATGATACCGATATAACATGGAAAAGAGGGGAAATGGCCCGTCTCTAAATCGAGACAAGCTACCGAGGTCGGGATTCAGCCGCTCTGCGAGTCGAATCGGAATATTACGCTCTTAGACAACTCTTCTGCACATGGCCAAGCAAGCCAGGTTGTCAGCCGCGACAACCGAATCTCCAAAGGATTTCGCTGCATGTGGTCAGCTCGCGATGCGCTGCGTGATGGGCTGCAAACGCAGGCTTAGCTGAAACATGACTCAGACAGATGGGAGGCTGAAGCAGCAGAAGATGGAACCTTGGAAGCCTTCACGTGGATTGAGAGACGCCACTGGACACTACGGAGTACCTTATGCGAAGATCGTGCAACCGCCATCAAACCGCCCGAAGCCCTTGAAAGGAGAAGATCCCCAGAGAGCCAGAGAGCCAGAGAGCATCACCACTAAAGGGTGTTGCACAATATTAGTGATCAGCCACTGTGTCTGGCAATAGTGCAGGGCAATAGTGCAGGGCAATGTGCAGAGGTATCGGGTACAGGCCTCTAGCGCCAAGGGTACCTGCTGGGCGCTGCGAGGGTTGCGTCAGCCGCTGACTCGATGATTGCATCACGCTGCAATCGTCGGAAACTCGGGCCCAGCAGCCCTGCCCCTGCCGGGTTCTTCCGCAGCTCACCTCATGTACCGGCTACTTTCCGCGGAGACTTGTGCAGCCAGCGACACCAAGCTTTATGCAGGCACGCTATTATGTACAACCCCGCTCATCTTTATTCAGCGTCTGCTACTGCAGCACATCACATCTCAATCGAACATCGTGATCGATGGTTTTTTCGCATCAGTCGCACAGGCATGCGGTAGCACCATGTCCGACCCAGCAGGCGATGCTTCCAACTGGGAGCGGTCCGATGCGCGAGCCCGGCCGGCGCCGACAGTCAACACGATCCGCCGCATCCGCCAGGCCTGCACGAATTGTCGGTGCGCGATCTCGCCTCCCCGTCTCTCCGTCTCCCCGTCTCTCCGTCTCTCCTTGTCTCCCAGGCGCCGGCACAGGTCGGGAGTGCCGTTTCAGCTGCCGAACGGAGCTGTCCAGCCTAGGGAGCCTAGGAGCTGTCAATGCCGTGTCGTGAACCATGTAGCTAACCCGTGCGAACCACCTCTACAGACATCGCAAGACCAGATGTTCCGGCGAGCGCCCCCGATGCATGAACTGCCGACGAGTCGATCGCGTCTGTCACTACGAACCCTACTCGGCCACCAACCCCCCGAACGCAGCGTCCAGCAATGGTTCCGTCAAGGGCAGATCGCCGTCTGCTCCCTCTGCAACGTCGACTCTCTTCCCTCGCACCGGTGTCGTTGATGTGAGCTTCACTGTCTCGAATCTGCATTCGCGTTCTGACCATCGATGTAGCCCGAGCTGCTCAACAGGATCAACACCATCGAATCGCAACTAGCCCAGCTGCACAGCCAGGGCTTGATAGGTTTCTTGTGCGTCACCTTTGTGTCAATAGAGCTACAAGTTCACCGCTTGCTAATGCTTCTCAAGAAATGGCGAAGGTCGAAATGGATCGGTTGCTTTCCCGGATCTGGCAGCATCCTCCAGCTACCAGGAACTCTCGCCAGAGTTCACAGAGCCATCACCGCCTCAGCAGCAATTCCCACCTTCCGTCCCCGAAACAACAGAGCCCGTACCCGATATTTCGAATGCAATGTGCGTTTCCTTACCATTGTCTACACCTTGGGATTATGCATCAGAGCTAGCTAACTCCCTAGCAGGAGGTTTACCACCGCGCCGCCTCCCCCAGTCATGGCTCACCTCATCGACACTTATTTCCTCCACGTTCACAACCAGCCATACACATATTTTCACGAGCAAAGCTTTCGAGAGAGACTAAACTACGGCGTTGTACCCAAATGTTTACTCTTCGCCATTTTAGCATCAGCCCTCAAGTTCTCAGATTCAGACTACTTTGCAGGATGTAGACGCGAAGCTACCGAAGCATATGCTAGAGAGGCGTGGCTGGCTCTCCTCAATGACCACCTAACCGTCGAAAACAACCCTAGTTTACAGGTCGCACAAGCTAGTAATATCCTTGGCGTGGTGGACTTTACATGTAAGTCGTGTTTTGATAATACACGATTAAGCAGGGTTTTTTTTGGCTGACTATGGATATCCTTCAGGTGGTCGTACTAGCTCAGGGTGGCTCAAGATTGGCCTTGCTGTCCGCATTGCCCAAGACTTACAGCTAATGAAGGAACCTAAAAATACATTGAGCCCCATCGAACAAGAGGAGCACCGCCGAGCCTTTTGGTCAATATATCTGCTCGATAAGCTAGTCTCAGTTGGTCAAAGCCGGCCGCCGGCTATATCTGAAGAGGACATACACGTTCAGCTACCCGTAGACGAGGAGACATTCAGAAGGGGCATCTGGAAGAAAACACCGACGCTCCACCAGCTTATCAACTGGAAGTCAGAGGGGGACGTTGCAGTCAACAGCACTTTCACTCAAACGATACTCGCCGCCACAGCTCTTGGACGATGCGTACGATATGTCCTACACGGGCGAGAAATTGACGAGATGCCGCCTTGGGATCCCAGGTCCGACTTCACATTACTAAATACCTTCCTACTCCTCATCGATCATCACCTCCAAGTAGAGACCATCCCCATCCCTCAGATTGTGGAGCAGTATCGCAAGCCCGACGGCACGTTGGATTTCCAGTCTCTTGAACATGTTGTGTTTGCTCGCATCACTTTCCACACTGCCCACTGTCTGCTCAATCATCCATTTCTTCTCCGAATGAGACTCCAGAAAGGAAACTGCAAGGTGCCACCAAAATTCTTGACCCGCTCATTCGAAGTCAGCTGTGATCATGCTCGAGCAATATCTTCCGTGGTAGAAGACGCCATCGCCTCTGGCTGCCACGTACAATCCTCATTTTATGCATACGCCTCCATTCTTGCTGGTGGTATTCTCTCCTTGGCTATCCATATCGACCAGGAAAAGGGACAAGTCACGGACCCAGAACTACTAAGTCATTACCAAAAAGCCATTCACATCTTGGAACGGGTGGGGAGAAGGTGGGATCATGCTTCGAAAATGGTGAGTCTGCGTTACCTATTCCCCTATATATGTTTTTCAAATTATTAACATCCCACCTGCTATTTCAGCATCTTCAATTAATGCTCTTCGACGCCAACTATCACTCCCTGTCTGCCCTTCTGGACTCGACATCTCCGGAGGTTGATCCAAAGCTGGAAGCTGCTTTATGGCTGATGGTCGATTACGTGGCCATGTCCGCACTCAACGAAAATGCATTGACACCGCCCCCTCTATCGACCGATACGTTTCTGAGCCCGCTCGATTCTCAAATGAATATTGAGAATAACGATGGGTTCACGGGCATGCCGCCCGATGCGAATACTGATCCGAACGTTGCGTTTCTTGGTAATGGTAGCGTGCCACTATGAAAATGGCTTTTGATTTGTCTTGATATATGACAAATGGTGAAATGATGTAAAACTCCTTTTGGATTCAGCAGTATGACTTATGCACATATCAATTTGGGAAAATCGACAATTAGGTAGTTTCGCATGTTTGGCGCCTCTTCGGATCAGAATTTTATGATATTAATGCAGCAGTGCTTCTATTAGCGCTCGTTCATTGCGAATATCTCCTTGTAGAGCTCTCTCTTTACTAGTGTTGGACTACATGGTCAATCGTAGATGTCAAGCAAATGTTTGTTGACGAAATACGTAAACAAAGATGTCTTTATTTTCATTCTATGTTTATCATTCATCAAGGCTTGCTTGTCTATATAACCTCTAGCTCACGACGTGCTTGTTTACATACATGGACTGGACGTTGCAGAAGCTCTTGATTCCGTTGATTCCCCACTCGGCGCCGATGCCACTCTCCTTGTGGCCGCCAAAGGGCACATTGGGGTTGATCTCAAAGTGTGTGTTGATCCAGACAGTGCCGGCTTCCATCTCGCGGCCAATTTTGGCGGCCTTTTCGATGTCGTTGGACCAGATTGAGGCGCCGAGACCCATGGTTGTGTTGTTGGCACGGGCAATGACTTCTTCTTCAGTGCTCCATGAGAGGAGAGGGACGATGGGACCTAAGAAGCAGAACAAGTTAACATAACTGAACGCCTTTTTCATTATCAGGCAGGCTTCTTACCGAAAGGCTCCTCGACGACAATTCGGGAGTTCTCGGGGGGTCGGTCAATGACTGTAGGGGCGATGTAGTATCCGTTGGTGGCAGGCTCAATCTTGCCACCGACGGCGACCTTCCAGCCCTGCTTCTCGATATCATCGAAGAAGGTCTTGACACGATCATACTGCATCGAGTTTTGGAGAGGGCCGTGGGTGACGCCAGCCTCAGCACCGTTGCCGAGAGTGTATGCCTTGATGTGCTTGACCATGGCGTCTCGGAACTGCTCGTAGATGGACTCGTGGACGTAGATGCGCTTCAGGTTCAAGCAGACCTGTCCAGAGTTCATGAAAGAGTAGAGGGCAACCTATTTGCTGTCAGTATTTCGACATCTAATTTAGAGTAAATTTCAACGCTGCAGAATGAGGCAATACCTTTTCGGCGACCTTGTCAACATCTACATCTGGGAAGACGATGGCTGGGTCATTTCCGCCTCTATCACATTGTCAGATAAACTCCCATCAAGATGGACCAAAAGAAGGAAGTCTTACAGCTCAAGGGTCACTCTCTTCAGAGTCTTGGATGCACTCTGCATAACCAGCTTTCCGGTCTGTGTTGAACCTGTAAAGCTAATCTTGTCGATGCCGGGGTGGCTTGTAAGCCACGGGCCAAGGTTGTCATCTCCGCTGAGAGACTGGACAACACCAGGAGGGAAGAACTGCTGTGCCAGCTCAACGATCTTCAGGCCACAGTAAGGTGTGAAAGGTCTGCACAATAAACTGTTAGATGAAGTGTTCTTGTAGTATGATTCTTTTTGAGGTAAAGCTTACGATGGCTTGACGATGATGACGTTTCCTGTGAGCAGAGCAGGGGCCATCTTTGAGGTTGTCAGCAGGACGGGGAAGTTCCAGGGGATGATGGCCGCTACGACACCTAGAGGCACGTATCTTGTGATGACAGTGTGCCTCTCGTCGTCCTCAATGACATCTTCGGGGATATTGATGTTGGCCATTCCCCTAAGCCACGCAACAGCCGCCGTGGTTTCGCCATCTGCCTGGGGGATCTAGGAATAGATCAGCACAAAATAGCCATCATAAGTAGTTTCGGTAAGTACTCACAGGCTTTCCTTGTTCTGAAATCAGAAGATCACGGAACTCAGCATGTTGCTTTTCAAGAGCATCTGCAAACGCCAGCACGGCGGCTTTGCGCTCCTCATAAGGGACCTTGGACCACGTCTTGAAGGCCGCCTTTCCGGCAGCAACTGCATTGTCAAGGTCCTCCTTGGTGGCTAGAGGGACTTCAGCCTTTGCCTTGAGAGTTGCGGGGTTGATGCCATGGCGGGTTGTTGCCGTGGGTGCACTTTTGCCGTTGATGATCTGGACGAAGCCGCCCTGGAAGTCCAGGGCATTGGTGCTGGGTTCGGTGGCTGAGGGGGCCATTGTGAGTATAGATTAAGATATTGAAAACTTGCTGTCAAGGACTACGAAAGAGAAAGAGAAAAAGAAAATTTTGGAGAGGGGTTTTGGGCTGAACTCGAGCTTATGTTGGGTTATCAACAAGCCAATTTATGCAACACCAGTCAAGGCTCCCTTGCATATTCCCTCGTCATATCGTGCCAATCAACCAATCCAGTCTGCCTGCAATCCTACCCTCCCGCAGGGCTAGATTGCGGTCCGTAGCACAGGGCGTCGGCCACGGAGCCATTGGAGCCATTGAGCGTGGCTTGCCACGACACGGGCGTATCATCTCCTCTTCCTCCTCCTCTTTGCTTGCAAATTCAGGACTAATCGCTGACGCAAGATATTACAAACATATCTTTTTTTTCGTACGCTTCCCAAAAGAGAAACTATTGCCCCTCCCTCAGCCTCGTGTGCCCCAGATCAAACCGCCGCCTTGCAAAATGTTGAGCGGACCGCAGGCCCAGCGATTGGTGACACGGACCGAGACGTGTCTCAGCCAATGAAGTCGTTCTCAGCTCGCCGGACGACCTTGATCTCTGTGGGGTAGCGGCGCCCATCTGACGCAACAAGAGTTCCGAGCATCTTTGTCTAAAGTTTAGTGCAGCGGGAGCTAAAAAAAGACTGGAAGAGCTAACGGATGCGGCTTCACTCGATTCGTATAATAGAGAGCAAGCTGTATCGCCACATACCGTATTAGGCAATTTCCTGAGAAAATAGCGATGGGTTAGGGCTTCACTTTTCTTGTTTGAACGGACAGTTTGTACGTGGGAAATCCCCAACGCTCCACTTGTTTGCGCGAGACATGTGGTTCTAATCACGGGGTAACGCGTCGAGATCTTTTGGATTCTATGGGGATTTGAGATTGTGGGGTACAGGTGAGATTGAATCTTCGGATACGGACCCGATATCGCAATTAAGAGCTGGCAAAAGAGAAGGGAATCGAAGATGGTGGATTGTGTGTTACGTACAGCATGGTCACAGCTGAGGCAAGAAGAAGATTGCAACAAGAAAACATGAGGAATAGCTCCCATGTATTGGTATTTCCTAAACTAAAGGCCGTTGTAATATCCATATGCTATGGATCCGTGTATCCCAAAAACGCCAGTATAAGCAGTGACTCTTGAGCCAGTACTCTCATGCTTATGATTGTTTCATTTAACAAACAAAAAACTCATTGACAACGTCCAACCCCTCTCCGGGATATTGTAGAAAGCTATCCGCCCTGTAAGGCTCAGCCACCAACCAGCATGTCGCGGCCTCCAAGTCCTTGAGCCAGCCCTGGTCCACCATGAGATAGTCTTCCGCTGCCTCGGGCGTCTCTTCCGGGCTGTCCTCTTTATCCCATTCAAGGGACTCTCTCGACAAATCAGCGCCTGCGTAAATGTCATGCATGGACTGCATGAGCTTCCTACTCTGGCGATAGCTGTTCTCGGTGGCGCAGCCCTGAAGATGGCCCTTTAGCTCCAGGAGATAGACGCTGGCAGTTGAGACAGCAATGTTCGCCGCCATGCTAGGGAGCAGTCGATCGAGGCCGTGGTCGTAAATGTTCTTTGAGATTTCTTCTATTCGCTTGGCAGAGTGCTGCATGTAAATCTTGCACATCTCCTTCTCCATCGTGGACGCAGTTGGCTCGTTTAGCAACACCATGAACCGCGAGCGGTAAAGGCACAACACTGCCGTGTAGTAAATCATGTGTAAGACTGCGCGATCCAACGAAATGCTTGTATTGCCATCCTTGCCAATGTCGTTGTTCGAGATGGGTCGATACGAGACGCTCTCAGGCAAGCCGTCTCTCCATTCCAGCAGGTCCCGGATGTATGTGGTGAATTTTTGCTCGCCATCCGGCGTCATCTTGCGGGCCTCGGAGAAGTTGGAAAAGTTGTCGTGAGGGGCCACGTACATGCTGCTCGACAGGAAGCTCATGGATCTGCAAAGAGTCGCCTGCGCAACGCACATGCGAGCCAGCTCGGCGCGCTTCTTGCGGCTCTTGACGTAGACGCACATGGCCTCGAACTTTGCGTGGTCGTCGTCGCTGCGGATCTGCTCCGGCTGGAAGTCGGCCTCTTCAAGCATCGAGACGTGGAAATCGCCGTCTTTGATACGTGGCAGCCGCTTCATGCCTAGGGAGAGCAGCCGGTCGCGGATGAAGCAGCACCACCAGACCCGACGGCGCAGCCTTTGCTTTCGTTTCGACAGGTTGGGCTTGTTTACGGATGGCTCCAGGTGCAGTCCTGCTGCAAAGGCGTGAGAAACAGCGGCATCGATCCAAAACCATGTCTTGCCGTGCTCGTCAGAGGCATCTTGCCATGAAGTGATGAGCAGCAGCGATTGCGTGAGGACCATCTGATCCAGCTCGCAGTTATACTTGTATAGGAGCTATCAAACGGCATTAGCAACTGAACAAAGCACATCATGTAAGAAATTAAGGACAAACTTACCCGAACTCGCTTCATGAAAGCTGTGCGAGCCTGCTTGCGCGTCGGATATCCGCCATTTCTGAGGTGCTCCAGCTCTACATGTGCCGTGCCAGCGGCAAGGACAGCCTGCAGCAACAGCAAGCTAACCTGTCCCGCTGACCCATCATGTGTCTCTACAGAGTGCAGGAAAGCATCCAGATCCAGTGTAGGAACATATGGATGCACGTATTCGAAGAATGCACGGAGAAGGGCGTTTTGTAGAATGCTGTCTGGTAGATCCAAGGCGCCCTCGGAATGCAGATACTCCATGTCGTCTGGAGGCAGGCTGGTCAGGGGCCTGACATACTTGGGCAGATCAAAGGTATCAACATCATCCGACAATGAATCCTGTGGAGACTTGTCTGAATCGATGTCTGCTTTGAGAAGCTCCAAATCCTCCAGGGAGATGGGCGCATCCAAGGAGTCAATGGCAAACTCCTCCAGCAGGTTGCATGCGCCGTCTTTGAATTCAAGCTCCTTTGAAGCTCCTGACTCAGGTGCAGCCACAGCAGGAACGGGCTTTCTTCTCCGTCTAGAGGTCATTTGTTAATAAACACTGCCATTTCTTATCAATTAATCAATGTCTAATACATACCTTCTGGCACGTCGAGCATGTGTAACACACTGCTGTCCGTTCCATTGGCAGTTGCCGCATGGTGATCTGACTGTCACATCACATCTGACCTTTCTCGCTCTGCACGCAAGACAGGCTTTGCTAGCTCTCCGCACAGGCTGCTTAGACGAATGCGGCTCCGGACTAAGAGAGCTGCTGTCGGACATTGTGTCCAAGGCGGTGCTAAACTGCTCGAGGGTATCCATCTGTAGGGCTAGTGCAAGGAACTGACAAGCGGTATTCGGTTTAAGCACATATAGCCGAGGTCTGGTAGTTACGAGATGCGGGCTTGGGATATATTTAAGCATCTTGCCCTCGAGTGCTATCCGATGCCGGGTCTCAGTCGACTCTTCCGGAGGGCCCCGGCTTCGGTCCGGAGCCCCACCCTACGTCCACACTTGGCCACCACAAAGCGGTCCGCCACCTGATCCCCAGATTCCCCAGATCATGAGCTAGAAGGCGCGGGGCCCGAGCTTCCAAGAAGACCGTCTTCCCCTGATTGTGATTTGTTGGTACTAGTGATGAGAGCTGGGGAAATGGGGAAATGGGGTGATAAGTTATTAAGAACATGTATGTAGTCGGACTGCGGCCCGGGATCAATAACCTCGGATAACCCGAGTTGGTCTGGAAGCTATCCGTGTCCTCGACCGAGAGCTACTGTACGGTACAATAAAGTGGGAATAGGGCCCAGCTTTACGTATTAACACTTCATAATCTAGATTGATCTCAGTTGCCACCAAATGCTTCCTATACATCCACTCAACTCCTATTCCATCTCTCCTCACCATGATGTCTCAAGACGAACACAGCACGAACGAGCGGTAGATCTACGGACGGATATGATGGAGGCAGCGCTACCAGCATACACCAAGCCACAGCTTCGAGACCAGCATTCGATCTAGTCTTCTTAGTTTGAAGTCCACGGAGCGCCTCCCCCTCCGCACCTCTCAGGGCAGTTGCCCTCGGCCCGCTCTCTCTTGAAGCTCCCGACTTGTGCTTCATGACAGCGAAAACATCGGCCCGCAGCAGCCGAAGAGGCTGTTTTGACAGCTCATCTAGTGCTTCTTTTAAGGCTACGAAGCCGGGAGAGAAATATCGTGTGACTGACTCAGGACCCTGAAAATACTCTGAAAACACTCAGAGGTGAGCGGCTATGGCTTTTCTGGGACCAATCTGGATTTTCTTCTCCGGCTCAGTCCGGCATTTCTCGCAAACTGTGATACCGCCCCTCGTAATAAGGATACACTGGATACTGTCGTGAAGAATGCCGCGCCCGAGGGACTTTTGTCTAACGGGGTTTATCAGTTGAAACATAGTCCAACTGCCAGCCCTATCAGTCACACGACTCTACTGCTAGGGATAAGCATACAGATCTCATACAATGACAGCTGCTTTTTATTCGCCTAAAAAATGCACTCTATTCTATTTCGCTGACCACTACTGGGCATGTCATTAGCAGCCTCCCTTCCTTTCTTCTCTATAAAGTCTCTATTCCCTCTTTCTCTCCCACCCGTCCTCCCCTTCTTTGAGAAACTCTTTCCCTCCCTTCAGCAGATCAGTCACTCCTGGAATGGCGTTCTCCATCCAAAATTGTGTCCCATTGGGCCTAGCCAGCTCTTGACCAACCTTGCCGCCGTCTTCATGCACAAGCCACCTTTCATCGACGGTCCCCAGGAAAACATCGACGGTGCTACTATCATCTGTGGATCGCCAAACCAATGAGGTTCCGCACCGCTTGCAGAATCCTCTATAGCGGCCAGGTGATGATTCATATTCGTCGTATGTTTCATGTGTGTGTAAAGGCGGCTCCAGCTGGTCCGGGAGCACAATGATGAATTGCGCAATGAGGGACGACGTCCACTTTCGACACATTGTGCCTGTCAACTCGTTAGCATGAATATAACAGCTGATATGAATGCGTAACAAGTGAAGCCATCTTGACCACACCTGAAAACCTGGCATTTCTAAAAATAGGCCACACCTACATTGACAAGCTGATGACTAAAACAAGGTCGAAGTAAGTCATGTGTTTTCAGGTGGCATAAATTTATTCCTTGAGAGCATACCTGAGGCGGCCATGGGGTCTCACTAGACGCAGATATGGAGTAGCGGACCGAGCCGCAAAGACATCCTCCCGTAATAACATCAGGGAATCCCATCTTGATAGAGTTTTCTCTTGATACTACGCAATCAACTGAACAATTCATAGCGTTCGTGTTGTTTTGTTTTAGGCTTGTATCTTTATCATGACAATAAGATCCTGCCGCATGGTGTAATGTGGACCTGTCATACTCCGACTCTCGATTTCGGCGAGATCGGACAAATCGGCTCAAGCCAGTTCCACCCGGACGAATACCCGCACGAACAAGACCGTTGCTTTGTCCGTGATAAAACGAGGATCAAGCGCGGCCCCTCATCGACGAATCAAGGTTGCTCCGTAAGCTTCCAAGATATCTCATTGATGCCATTTATTTAAAGAAATCTTAATAGATTAACGCACAACTCAGTCTTACACACTAATTGCCCATTTCTGATAATCGCTGAATTGTTGAAATAAAAACGAGGCAAAAGGACCTTCACTTTATGTCAAAAGAATACTCCATAGCCCGCCGCAAATCCAAATAGTAAATAAAAGAGCCGGCTCAAGATTGAATTACAACAAGCAAAACCGTTCTCAGTAACCCCTCTGCTTCAACTCTGCCTCTGTCCAATCCCACAGCCTCTTTTGCATATCAGCATCGGCGGCGTACTTGTTCTTGCTCTCTAGTTGTCCCACGGGCACGTAGAATCCTCCCTGTTGAAGCTTGCTCTTGTCCACAGTAGATGCCCAAAGCTGGGTCAAGGCGCCGTATGCAACGTCGTGGTACAAGATGGGGCCAAAGAAGCGCAAGAGGTTTCTGAGGAAGAAGCTGTTTGTGGTAGTTGTCACATACAGGTCTGTCTGGATCATTCCAGGATGTAAAGACACCGATGTAAGTTCGGGGTGTCGCTTGGCTAGTTCAGCAGCGAAAAGTATGTTGGCAGCTTTGGACGCGCTATAGGATGTCCATTGGCCTTGTGCCGACAGCTTTTCGGTTGATATCATCGTCTCAAACGCTGGCGCAAACGTAAGTCCATTAGATGCGGTGGACACGACGCGTACATCAGGGTTATACTTGGTTACGGTTTGCTTGAGCACAGGGAGCAGCTTCTTTGTGAAAAGAAAGTGGCCGACATAATTGGTACCGAGTTGCAGGTCAAGTCCGTCATCGGTTTTTCCCGGAGGCTGGTTCATGATTCCGGTATTGAGAAACAGCAGATCAATCCGGTCGGTATTGCGAGTAATTTCCTCCGCTGCGGCAGCAGCCGATGCCAGGTTGCTTAGGTTGAGTTTCACAAACTCAATGTCCGCAGGTTTGGACAGTGTGGAGTTGATGGACGCAATGGCATCTTTGGCCTTGGCCTCGTTTCTCGTGGCGAGGAAGACTTTTTTCGGCGAGTGCTTGCATAGTTGCAGTACGGTCTCTTTGCCAATTCCCGCGTTTCTGTTCATCATTATGTTAGCCAAACTTGACTCTCTTAATCTGAAGATTTGAAAGGCTCAACTTGCCCTCCAGTAACCACAATCACCCTCCCTTCTTGAGAAGGGATATCCCTTTCGGGAGAAAATCGACCCCAGCCCATCTTCAGTTTTAATGCTCGATTTTGTTCAAGATCAATTAATTATAGATTGCTTTGTATATTGAAGCAATGTTTGTCTTGATAAAAACTCTCTTATGAAAGAGAGGGGGACTGCCTTATAACACATTTCAACGTTACCCCATTCGGGCATGACGATTTCATCGTCATTAGTTCGCGTACATAGAATGCGAATATAGCATACTCGTTTCGTATTGGTCTGCTGAATATTAAGTTGCGGAGATTCATAGCTGTCGGTAAAGTAACTACTTTTGTTGTGGTCATATTGATGCTAAAGTTATCGGACGACTCACATCCACCAATAGGGTCGGACATAAGCCCTGTGTCCGTTTAAAGACTGAATCCAACCGCATAACTTTGAGGGACATGGTGCAATTTCCACCCTATCAATTGCCAATACGTGTTTATCTGGATATTGATAACAGTCTTCTTCATTACATCACTTCACTTCACAAACAGGTTCCAATTCATTAACAGATTGCTCCAGACACCCAAGACCCTCCTGGTCGCCATAAAATACAAAGATTCGGCAAGCCGGGGAGTAGACCAAACCCGACACTGACGCCCGGTTGAATAGTAGCTGATTGCATTAGTCCAGTTGAATAATTACTAGACTTGCACCAGCTGACTGTCAGTTGACTCTTCATCAAGTGGCTAAACTGTAATCATGTCAGAAAACTATCTCAATATGACAGCATACGCAATGTTAAGCATGCCGGGCCCAAATGTTATCTTATGGCAGGCTGTCTTGCGCATTTTTGTATTCTTCTTGGCTTCAGTTCCATCTTGGTTTATCTAGTCCAGTTGAACAACATTGTTCGTTAACTTCATCAGCATAGTATATTCCTAGTTCTACATGCACGCTACGTATTTCTTCCTTTCATTTATTCCGCTACCTACATAACGAGAAGTATATACCATCAAGCCATGGTATTACTTGTCTCTCTTCGGGTTTATTGGTTAATTCCCTCTTGTTCCCATTTGGCAGAATGTCAAGTGTGGTAAGATGAAGCCCACCACTAGGCAGAGTACTACCCAGCTCAAGGGTCAAGCACTTGTTTAGTTCCGCTTTCAGTTGAGACAAAGTCCGACCAGTTGGTTGCTGAAAGTGGAACTAATTGGTTAATTCACACGGGTTTAGGGAAGTAAAGGGGTATAATAAAAGGGCATGACTTGATCATTTAAAAGTCGCATATGCAGGTATAAGACGTTGCTCGCAACCTGACCGTTCAATCCGCTTGGGATTCATCCTCTGAACCGATGCCAGCTCTAGCAAAGAGGTCCGCAGCATCTGGGCTTGAAAATCTAAGAATCTGATAGATTGGCCATCTTGATACAGCAACTCTTTGATGCAAAAAGATTTGAACCTACTTTCATTACGTTGGTGTCCCGCGAGAAGTCTGCATCAGCGGCTGGGGATGATGAGCACAGCAGCGCCGTGGTTCGGTAGTCTCACACTTCATCGGGCTTTTTTGAATACACAAAAATTTCGCAGAGTTTTTGCCTCTCCCCTCAGGAAATTATCATCACGATAAAAATGCCATCAACAGCCCGACCTTAGAACAAGTCCTCTGCGTGAGACACCAACAGTGTCTGTTCACATTTAGAGCTACCCTAGAGCAAACCGGTGAACTGCCACGCGCATCGTGGAACCAAAATACGTGCATGGCCATCTTCATAAACTTGGACGTTACCAATCTATTCAAGTCAAGACACTCTATACGAATCCATTTGCCAACTACATAATTGGCTATCTTTGGAAGTCCGGTGAGATGCATTCTGAACTCCATTTGGGGAACTGCTGCTAAAAATCAAATTGATGACTGCACTGCTAGTATCAACCTCGCTACGCGTACTATAGATTGTCATTGAATGTAAAGCATAGTGCTCGCTTATGAGCCGAAATTCTATAAAAAACCACTCGGCAAATTTAAAGTTTGCTCATTTGCTTTGGATGCGGTTCCTCCTCGTCGTGGAGAAAAACGATTGCCCCCCCAAGAGGGAAATGGCCGCCGTTTGGAGTAACATCGTACGAGAGAGAGATGTGGCTTTGCGGCTGTATCATTTCACAGCATGAGCTCAGACTGCTCGTACATGTGTCACCAAATCATCTGTCTTGTACAAGCATTCTTTGGTTCAGATCACATGTAAGCGAACAGCTGGATGAATTTGGCCCATTTTACTCCGTATGTTGGTACCAGCTGCTTCGTGTTTTCGCTTTTAAGATTGAAGCTACCTATGCGTAGAGAATGCCGCCATCTTGGCTGATGAACGATCGTGTCGTGATATAACTTTAAATTACTCCGTCGCACTATTCTACACCCCGTATTTACAAACCAGATTACACACAGCAGCGACAATTTTAATACGGAGTGCTTGACACTCTGAATCCCCGCCAAAGGGACGCGCCGCTTGGAGGCTTTTTTTAGAGTTTTGTTATCATCGATCATACTCCGATCATACTATTGCTAGCATATAGTGGTAGTAGCAGTTTCTCTGGGGAAGCGAGCGATGAAAAAGCCACCGCGACTGGCATTGACTTGCTCCATGTGGTAAACAATCGCCAGGACGGGATCCCGCTGTGGCTGAGCCTAAAATGTCGAGGTGCGCTATCAACACCTTATCGCGAGCCGTTACAGTGGTTTGCAGCGATCACAGGCCCGTATCACAGCAAAGGTTGGGCGGCCCCTGCAGAGTGCTGCCGTGCTAAGGCTCAATAAGGGGCACTAGAGCACTGGGCTAGGCGATTAGCGTACAAGTCAGTGTTGGTCTAATGCAGGAACCGAAACGTGGCTCATCAATTGTCCAAATCTCCTCCCCTCACCATCACCACTCGCTGGCAGGAGAGTATCAATCACACACAGTACTCAACTCGAGCTCCAAGCATACGCATAAAGTACGTCGCCCCTTTTCAGCCTTTTTTACTCGCTTCTGCCGGCAAACAAGAAAAAATAAAAAATAAAAAAAAACCGGATACCACCACGGCTGCTGCTGTCGCCTCCCGTCCGTGTCTGGCTTGGCGACTTCTCCGATTTGTTTCGTCTGCTCCGCTACGCGACCCCTTCATGATTAATGTCTCTTGATGTTCAGCTGCGCCCCCCCTTTATGACGATCCCTGTCCGCTCGCCCCATTGTTTAGCCTGACCCATTTCGCTCAATTAATGCTTCCGAAACTTTGCCCTCTGTCGTCCTCCACACATAGCGAGGCTCGCCTTTGCCTTAGCGGGTGACGGTCCTGGATTGACGCTTGCCATCCCGCCAATGGGCGCAGCAGCTGTAACATCAAGGACGAGCAGGATCTACAAGTGCATCGAGCGGTGCGAGAGATGATGGGTACGAGTGGGATTCCTGTGGAGGAGTGACCGTCGACATTTCCCTGATTTCAGGATGGTCGCCAAGGCCCTAGGAAGCATGTCTTCTCCCCTCCTCTTTCGGTACAGCAGTTTGCAGAGCAACATGCATATCTCCGCCTGCTTCTATCCACCAGAGATGACGGTGAAGCCAACGCTTTGAAAGAAAGGAATGCGAAAAAAAAAAAGGAGCTCGGATAGCTGCGCTTATCCAGGTTCTCCTCAGGCTTGCGAAGGCGATATTGCAGGAAGAAGGCATGATGGAAGCAAAATACAAGCTTCGCGGCCTAGCTCTTTAGCGTGAAGAAAGTCGAGTCTAATGCCACCGAGCGCTCCGTATCGTATTCCGCTGCAACACTCGGCCGGTTGGAACTGCACAAGCTCGAAGCTTGAGGCCTCTCTGGCACACGTCTAGTCGCCACTACGTGGAGGAGGAGGTGAGAACGTGAGAATCTGGCGCCCCTGGTCGCCTTCATTTGCTCATTTCCTCTGTGCACCCATTTACCCACTGCCGCGGCTTGGCCCAAACAGACGCAGCAAGAGCCGTCATACTGGCGCAACCTTGTGGCCGTTTGACTTATCCGAGCGACGCCATACTCGTACAAGCATGGGACCCACGCCAGCGCCATGGATGGCTTGGGTTGGTCGTCTTGTTCGCTCATCCTCCGCTATCCACACGCGCAAGGCAGGGAACGCCGATTAAATTATACATAATGCTCCCTAGGCCAGCTCCCTCTGCCTCATAGGTCTCCCTCCTTCTCGCCCACGTCGCTCCCTTTCTTTGTCCAACTGTTTTCAATCTTTGTTTCTTTTTCGTTTTCTTAATACAGCCTCTTTGCCGGTCATTCCTTACGCCGGCAATTGTTTGGCGTTGCATATATTCACTATGCGTTCCACTCTTTATGCGCTCGCGGCGTGGCCGCTTGCCGCTCAGGCCCTCGACTTCATCGACAGCTACACATCCGAGCAAAATGGAATTATGCGATATACTCTTACTACTACCAAGGGTGCCCGTTCTAAGCACCTGCACAGGCGCCAGGATAGCGCCGATTTGCAATCCCAACAGACTGGCTACTTTTACAGCATTCAACTCGAAATTGGTACGCCACCGCAGGCAGTGAGCGTCAATTTTGATACTGGTTCTTCCGAGCTCTGGGTCAACCCCGTGTGCAGCAAGGCTACAGACCCAGCCTTTTGCGAGACCTTTGGCCGATATAGCAACTCCACCACCTTTGTCGATACCCAGGCCCCGGGAGGCATCAAATATGGTACCGGCTTTGTTGATTTCACCTATGGCTACGACTATGTCCAGCTTGGCTGTAAGTGAATGCCTTTTTTTATATAGCAACCATTCCTGAGAGCCGTCACATCGGGGAAGAAATATGGTCTCAGTGAGGAAACATGCACAAGCTTGCCTGAATATTGCCACAAGCCAAACAATTTGAGATTAGGAAACCAATATAACATTTGCTAACCAAATAATATAGCATTGAGAATTAACCAGCAGGTCTTTGGTGTTGCCACTGACAGCGAGTTTGCTTCCGTTGGCATTCTCGGTGCTGGCCCTGATCTGAGTGGCTGGAAGAGCCCCTACCCCTTTGTCATCGACAACTTGGCCAAGCAAGGCTTCATCCAGAGCAGGGCTTTCAGTCTTGATATCCGAGGCATCGACAGCGACCGAGGCTCTGTCACCTACGGTGGAATCGACGTCAAGAAGTTTTCTGGTCCCCTTGCCAAGCGACCCATCATCCCCGCCGCCTCGTCTCCCGATGGCTACACTCGCTACTGGGTTTACATGGATGGTATGAGCATTACCAAGGAGGATGGATCCGACTTGGAGATCTTTGACAAGCCCAATGGCCAGCCGGTGCTCCTCGACAGCGGCTACACCGTCAGCACGCTTCCTGGCCCCCTTTTCGAGAAGATCCTCTTGGCCTTCCCTTCTGCCCGCCTGGAGTCTTCTTCTGGCGACTACATCGTTGACTGCGATATTATCGATAGCCCCGGCCGTGTCAACTTCAAGTTTGGTGACGTCGTCGTCGACGTTGAGTACAAGGATTTCATCTGGCAGCAACCTGACCTGGGCATCTGCAAGCTTGGCGTTTCCCAGGACGACCAGTTCCCTGTTCTTGGTGACACCTTCCTGAGGGCTGCCTATGTCGTCTTTGACTGGGACAACCAGAACATCCACATTGCAGCAAACGAGGACTGCGGCACCGAACTGATTCCCATCGGCTCTGGCCCCGATGCTATCCCGGCTTCTGCCATCGGTCAATGCTCTTCCTCCGTTAACAAGACCACCACCTCCGCTGTGCAGACCACCACTTCTGCTGCTGCCTCGACGTCCAAGCTGGCCACCACTTCTGCTGTCGCAACAACATCTGCTGCCGCCACTACCTCTGGCGCGGCCAGCAGCGGACATCTGCCCACGACCTCTCACCACTTTGGCAATGGCACTGTTGTCTACTCCCTCCCTACCCTTAGCTCCACTTCTGTCTCTGAGCAGAGCACCGACGCTGCTAAGGGTACTACCACCGCAGCTGGCGCCGGTACCACTGCCGCTCCCACTTACACCTCGACCTTCACCACGACCAACGTGTACACTGTCACCTCGTGCCCGCCCTCCGTCACCAACTGCCCTGTTGGCCACGTCACGACCGAGATTGTCACGTCTTACACGACCTGGTGCCCCGTTGAGAATGGCAGTCCCACGGCTCCCCCCAAGACGGCGCCTCCCGAGATCACTGCTACATTCACGCTGCCCAACACCTACACCTGCAAGGGCGGCCAGAACACCTGCTCTGAGCCCCAGACTAAGCCTCACGTCATTGTTGTCACTCCCATTGTCACACATACGGCCCCCGTTACGATCCCCTCGTGCACCACGTGTGCTGCTGTGGTCCCCACCCCCTCCGGCATTGCTTCGACTCCTGTCTTGACCAGCGCAGTTCCACCGGCTACTGCCCCTGCTACCACCAGCCCGGCTCAGTCCGCCTACTACCCGCCTCCGCCTCCGCCTCCGCAGCACGCTGTTTCTACTCCGGCCGTTGTTTCTCCTGTCATTACGCCGGCTCCTATCCCCTACCCTACCGGTGGTTTGACGACCGTCATTACCCCTGGCAGCTCGGGCGCCGTTGCTTCTCAGCCTGCCCAATCCGGCCTACCTCCTGTCCCGGCTGGAGCCGCTGGATTCCGCGCCCCTGCCATGGTGGCTCTGTTTGCTGGAGCCGTGGCTGCTCTTTTGTTGTAAAATGATGTGAATACGAGATGAGCATTGTATACTTTGGTTATGTTAATACAGAGGAAGAAGCGAAGCCCAGGCGCCCATAGACGAAGGAGACGAATAGTGTGTGTTCGTGTGTGTGTGATTGAGTGAATTGAAAGCGGATCACACGAGATGGTTCCATTTGTCTTCACAGGTTGACTCCATAATGCTATATATTTTACCAGTCCAAAGTTGTGGATAGTTTTTTCTCTCTACGAGGTTTCTACAAAAGCAAATGGGAAAGACGGTTGATTGTAGCTCATGTCCCCCATACCTCGATTTAATATTTTATTCTTTCCAAATTGTTACCAAGTGCCGCTCTTTGTTGCCCGAGGCCAAACCCAAGCCCAATTACCTTGAAGTATGTTGGGAGATATACAGACGTCGTTGAAATATGTGAATATCCTTGGCAAATCACATGTTTGAATGTGAATAATCTCGTGTTTTTATACATACTCCACAGAATAAACATTCAAGCAACATCGTCTTGAGCGGCAATGCAAGCCTTGCTGCGGCATGTCACGGCGTGTGTCTTGGCCCTCTGTCCAACGACATCATAACGAAGCATCCCGTCGAATCCTCAGCGGGATGAAACATTCACAGGCGTTGTCATTACCAAATATATATCCAGTAACGGAGCAGAGTGCCATTGCGCTTCATGGCAATCGTAAGATTTGGGAAATGGGGTGCGTTAGTTGTTCCATATTTAGGTCAAGCCGCAATTCTTTTTGGAAATGCTGGAACGGCAGCCGACCTTTAGGGAAGAGATCCCAGCTAGGTATTCATTTATAACTACATGTACGGAACACAACATCGCCATACTCACTTTCTGTTTTTCTAGTACCACATTTGCTGGGAGGAGTTGGTAAATGCAGAATCACACGCCAAGAATACAGCAGATGATCTATTCTAGGAAACGCACTTCTTCAATCATCGAAATGGACAAAAACGAGGGGCGGAACGAAGAAAGCATGCAGGATAATTATCCGCTGCCGGAATGCTACCAACATCTCGCAACTTAATCCCAAACTGAAAACTTTTTCTTCTCTCTCTTTCCACCTGCTGTTCTAGACCTCAGGCATGGTCGGCATCCACTCTGTTCTAGACGAAGCCAATCGATCCCAAGAGGGGACCCTCCCCCCTCTCCCGCTCAACTACATGTATGCGGCCGTTTTAAGGACGCTGCAGAGTGCAGGATTTCAACCATTTATGGAAATGACGACATGAGCCGACCCTGATCGAACATGATCGTATATCGCGATCCTAGCGTCGAGTTTGCGTTTACGTTTGGTGAGGACAAATTGACATTCGTATCTGCAGAGAGAGAGAGAGAGAGGAGGAGGGGAAGGAGAGAAAATGGAGAAAGATGGGAGGTAGCATCGCAATCGTGCTGGGAGACAAATGACTGATACGAGTACTCGTACACTGTAATGCTACTCAGCTCTTGACCTATTCTAATGGAAGCGCCCGTGAGTCAGCTTTAGCTCGGCATCTCTGCTCAGCCTGTTCCATTCCCTTCTTCATGTGAAAACTCCACTCCTAGCGGCATGCAGATAAAGCACGATACAGTAGAAGAAGAGAAGAAGAAGCCAACTTCGTCATAAAGGCGGTAGGCGAGTCGGAAACTCGGCAGGTTGACACAAGGTGAAAATCTCGCACCCGCCAAGAAAGAGGGAGAAATGGTGAACGCCGCAAAAGGACATTACTCTGCCCAACCGTCGAGGCGAGTCTCACGAACTGCGACCCCGCGCTTCCCCCATTTTTCCCTCGTACATGTGTGTTCGCGCGGGCTACTGCAGCCGTCCCAAACCTCTCGCTGGGAGGGGGGTGGAGCAGAGGCAAAAGTTCGCTTTCGCCTCAAGGCGCGAAGTACCTGGGTATCGCCTCCAAGCTATATATGGCATCGCGTCGTTGTCCAGCTGCGATAAGGCCATTGCCAGGACCCTTTGACAGACCGGGACCCTGTCTGCTTTGCCATCGCGTTATTGGGGGAGAGGAGGCGCGTATCGACGATCACTACCTACTATATTTACCGCGGCATAGTCAACTCCGGGCCCGGACTTCAAGGAATCGACGGGCCGTCCGGTAGGCTGCACGCAAAATAGAGGGAGGAAAAAAGACAACAAAAGAGAGGCGCGGCGCGGCGAGGCGAGGCCCTATCACCGACGGCTTTGGGACCCGCTGCCAAGCTGCTTGGCTTCAGCCGAGCTGGAACTCGCCTCTATCGTCGTCGATAGGTGTTGCTGAACTCGCTTCTCGTGAGCTTTCTTTCAACCCAGCTGCGTTGCGCTGCGTAAAAAACCTCCCTCCAGTTGCCGCTAGCAAATAAAGGTGGAGATAAGAACACAACGATCAGCAATTGAGGCCGTCAAGCGATCGCAGGGTAGGGCAAATCAGGCATCATCCCCACAACCGGTGCAACACAGAAGGTATCGTGAATGGGCTCTGCTGAGGAGCTCAGATGAAGGTCGGGAGTCGTCCGAGCCAGCGATTAAGAGGGCCGGGCTGGTCCCCGGACAAGTTTACGAGCAACGCCCTATCCCGATAGCCAATCCTGTGATAAGATCGAAGACTTGCCGTGCCGAACAGTAGGTGCGGTACGACTGGATCTTGCAAACGATGGAGCTGGAGGAGGAGCATCAGGCCCATTGCCACCACCCTCCAAAGGGCTTCGGAAACTGCGGCTATGAATCCCACCCGCACTTTTTCCTTGCCGGGTTTTATGCAAGGGCCCAATTGAGCCAAAAGGAAAAGAAGAACGGTGGTCAAGGCGTATCACGGCAGAGAAGAGCTCCAGTGCCAGGATGGCGGAAATAACTAGTCTCTCCAAGGCTGCAAAGGCTGCAAAGCATTCTCCTACATGATCGTGCTCTGTAGATTGTATACGTCAGTCAAGTGAAATGCACATCAACTGCCTCAATCCGAGAGAGACGTGGGCAGGGCATGCTACCGGTTTTGACATGGAAAGGGCTTCATACCTTCCTCAAGGGGTATTCTTCTTGGGCTGCAATACCACCTCAGCCAGTCAAGAGTTCGAATGTAGCGTTCCATGTCGCATAAAAGGAAATGTTACCTCAACAGCCAAGGTCCGGGGTACAGACGCAAGCCATCAACGGCTGCCGCCGCATATGCTAATTACCGGGGGAGGTGAATCAAAGTGCGGCCATGGGCGTGCTCTCTCTCATGATTTTGGGTTATCTCTCAAGTCGAGGCATTCTGCAAGCTATTGCCACCCCGGACTAGTTCCCCTACCACTAAAGAGGGGAGCTTAACATGATGACAGGAGGGATGAATCCTTCCTTCATCAAATGAGAAAGAGATCGTTTCGATACTCTGTGAACATGCTCAGGGTTCACGCCGCCTTGTCTTGCTTCGAGGCTGCGAGGGAAGCACTAAGGGATTCGGAAACTCGCGCTGCTGTAATCTGGACCTGAACCCCGATGCTAAGTAAGGTATTATTAGTGGAAGAGTAAAGAGAGACTGAAACAAATCAACAAACCTGACCAAAGCGAAGCGTCCATGTGGGGAAACTGGGGGGCAAGCACGCATTCGCTCCGCACCCGCTTGATGCTAACCGTTTGTTACGCAGTCATCCGTATCTTTAGCCCTCCACTCTATTTTCTGCAGTTTGGTCTTTAGCCTATCCATCCAATGCAGCCGCAACCAGAGAATGCGACGCTACATGTCCAGTTGCCCATGCATAATCGTTCATTTCGGAAAACTGTTCGCAAGGTGGATGTAGGCAAGTTTTGCCCACATTTTTGGGCTGGGTCCTATCTGTAGTGGAAATATTGGACTATTGCCGCCGACATGACGCGACTAGCAGGGCTCGGCCGACACCAGCAGCCGTGTGTACATAGTATTGCTCCACGGCCTCGCGCTGGCAATGCGCTCCGTGAACAACCATCATCGTTGTTAGAGCACTTGGGGAGCCGCAAAAGAGGATGCCGGACTGTGCAGCAAACCATCTCGATTGCGTGCTGGGCTGCAGGTGGTTACTCTCGGCACAACTTTTGTGCTCATGAATTGCTGCAGGAAGTTGAATGCTGATGGCCTGGATAGGTCCATCTTGGTAAAGTGTGGTTGACGAATCTGAGCCCTCCGACCCTGCATCTGAATATGCAGGCAGATCAAAGGGTGTACAAGTATAGAGTAGCTACAAGTGGCTTAACGAGGGATGAGCACCTGCATGATATGCCAGGGCCACCAAAAGGTTGTGGTAGAGGGGGCAATGGTCGGCCACCGATGCAGCACTTGCTAGATGCTACCCATGCGCCCGTTTTCCTGCCCAAACTGCGCGTGGCAGAGGGTATCGACGGCGATATGTAGTCGGCAGCGATCAACGGGTGGGATGTCATGCTCGCTAGGCGGCGCGTGGACATGGGTGAGACAGACTTGGAGGGTGACTTGTTCGCTTGCAGACTTTCATGCATGCCGCCAGATGTCATCACACATTTCATGGCTATGTACATAGTACTCCGTAGCTGAGAAACTTTGAAGAAAATTTTCTTGTCGTGAGCCTAATGGTGGAGTTGCAACAACAAGCCGTAGTGAAAGGCTCGTTACCGAAAACCCTTGGGCATAGATAGGTATGCAGATTCTGACATGCGCATACGAGTATTGTGATCAAATCTACTGCACCGAGACCTGATTCATCGTAGCAGCCCACTAAAATTTGGGCAGACGACTCTGTACAAAGTAGGATTACCACTACTGCGTCGTTGGCAAAGGTTTTGGCCCACGATCCGGTTTTGAGGCTGGGAACTTTTGTGGCAACGAGTCTGGGTTGCACTCGAATGACCACTCTGTCCTAGTTCTCCAGCCAGGCAGAAGGATAGACGAATTGACAGAACTCCCGTGACACATTGAAATCGAACCCCATGGGGATTCCACGTGTTGACAAGTTCACGACGTTGGTCCAGCAAGAGGCGGGATGCGAGATTGCTCGGGCCGCAAATTGCTCTCGGGATGGCTCATTTCCATTATCGGGATGTGGGACTGCTTCCATGGACAATGCGGTGTACCATAGCTTCTCAGCGTTGGTAGAGACATTGCGGATGAGAAATCGTAAACGCAACGAATAAGCTTCTTTATCTCGCTCTTTTGTAGCGCCGCTCGCCCGCAACCCCTTGAGCTCTGATTCGGCGGCTAAGGATTGGGAACGGAGAGAGCCATGCATATTCATCCCAACAACTTTTTTTTCTTCATGAATGGGATAACGCTGGATACTGCACTCCGTACTCCGTAGCGTGCCACCTGGCAAAACTTGCCATTACGTCTCGAAAACTAGCATTCTATCAGGGTTGCCACGGGGTGATGGCCAGCCAATTGACCCGTCTTTGCGGGGAAGCATGTCAGCCGACGAGTAGGAAGCGTCTTGTCGAGTCTGGGGAACATCTAGACGGTCTATTTCGCCATCGTCCGGAGAACGGCCAGAGCACTTGTTCCCCGCTATTTCACGGCTCATCATCGGGGTGATTCTTTTAGCTGTCTGTTCGACACACGCCCCGGCGGCAGCTTTGCCTGTCCGCAAGTTGAGCCCATGGGGGCGTAGACTCGAGCACCAATCAAAGGCCTGGATTCCAACCCCGGAAAACAAGGTCCAGTTTTCAAGGTCCGTCGTATACACTAGGATAAATCAGTCAGTCCTCCGTACATAGATACAGAAATTCGTCTAAACAGGCTCCAACAGGGCGGCTAGGAAAAGGTACAGGCCGAATCAATGCTAGTACGTGTCTGAACAAGACACGCAAGAAAGTAAAAAGAGAGGCTTCCGTGACGCAGGGAATAGTCGTACGACGGACGGCTGGTAAACCCCTCCCCCTTGTTGATTCGTCGGTGCTTTTAGGCATGACGAGGCCAAGTTTGGGTGAGCCATTTTGAGCCAGTACCGCAACACTGGACAACAGCCGCCCCTACAAGGCACCGAGTACTGAATGGAGCCAAGAGCAGAGCTTTGGCATGATTTCGGCGGCATCCAAGGTGAAGGAGGGTGGCTATGGGGCAGCCGGCGCAAGAGATGTCGAAGCATGGCTGCAACGTTGTACTCCCAGTCGGCTCACTTCCTCAGCCAATCGGGGAGCAACGATAATCCCACGTCCCAGCTCTAATATCAGTTGCGACAAGGTACTCCGAATATAGGTCCATCCAGAATCAAGCTTGCGCATGTGGGCAGGGCAACCTCTCTGCCTGCCAAGCGTAGATCTAGGGATTCGCGCCTCGCTGCGATACCGAGCCTTGACCCTCACACGATCCCGCAACCAGGCGGGCCATTGTCATTATCAGGACTCGTGTGTTTCATTTTGAATCGCGGCGGACTAAGTGCGGGTACGGATAAGAGAGGGCCAATGTTTACCTCATATCCTTTTGACTGTTTCTCTCGTCGGTCTCGTCTCTCTAAAGCATAGGCGGAGAGGCATGTCTGCGGACGCCGTACCTGAGTGCTTCGCTCTGCCGGGCGGCGGGCCATCGGGAGAGTGTCTAGCCGGATAATCGGTGATGTCGATTAGCCACTATCTTGCCTTCTGGCTCAAAATCGAGTTGGGAGCCCATAGTTGCCCGCAAAGATCGTGATGCTATCCCTATTCAGGGGCCGCTCCGGCATTTGGCTCGAGTTCTAAGCCGCCAAGAGTTCGATGTACGATCAAGATTCCACAATCTCCATTCAGCTTGACATTTCGCTCCGGGATGAATCCAACACCAACACACCTGTTGTTGGTGCTTGCCCGCTTGATTGGAAGAGTTGGCCTTACATAAGCCACCCAATCCCACGTGACACCGTCTCAGGAACAGCGTTAAGCCAATCGATAAGGTTAAGGCGCAAATAGGCACCGGCACGTGGGAGGATTAGCAGCGAGAGGATCACCTGAGATGGCCAAACTCGTTAATGCGGGAAGATCTCTCGGCATCAAGCGCCATTCGCCCAAAGCAGCAGCGTAGCCAACGCCACCAAGTTTCTCGCCAAAAAGAGCGGAGGGACTTTTGGATCACCGCTGAGGCTTAGACATTTGGGCTGCACTCGACTTCCACACAGCGTTCCTCGCATTTTCTAGCGCTCGGTTTGCCCCTCGCAGCCCCTGGATCCGCAATCTCTTCACAGAGGCGCCACCACGCTGTACATGCATGCGTTAACAGTGCAGAGTGGGTTCCTCAGCCAATATTGCTACTGCGTGACGTACATCCACAACTGGAGCTCCATGCACCAAAGCAGCTTGTCACTGCAGCTCTTATCGCTTGTCACTTTGCCAACTTGATACCTGAGATTAGAAGCGGGCTAGGTAACAATGAAAAGTTTTTCTCTCCGTATCAGTCAACCCTTTTTCTCTCTCTCTTTCGCATTATTGAAGTGCTCCCACCCGGCGATAACGCCATCGTTTTACGGAGCACAATGCGGACGACCCAATGGATGCTGCAACCGAAGCGTGGCTGGTCCGCTTTCCAATCCCAAAGTTCGCGCATCTCGGTCCGGGAGCTTCCTCGGACAACTTTGCCGCTGCAGCTACAGAGTATGGCTTTTGCTTCTAGCCCTGATGGGAGCGTTCGTCTTTGGCCACACATGCTTTTCGCACAGGAAGCTCGGATCTGGGGAATCACGGGGCACGTCTATTGCCACGATGACCAGAAGGGCGTAGCATCCATCAGTCTGCTTTGGCAATGAGGTCACAGCCTGCCATCCCGTGCTGTCAGCGTGCCAAGGGCAGTAGGGAATGCCCGGACTCCTCAGTGAAGCAGACAAACGATGCGATGCGACTGCAGCTTTGCTCTGGCCCACCCATGCGTTGCCCGGGAGCCTTTTGGAGTCATAACGTGGCAATGGCAGGAATACTCGTATCTCTCTGTACAGAACCGTATGTTGTCTTGCAGATGGGGCCAAAGGAGGAGCCGATGCGGTCCGCAGAGACACGGAGTAGTCCGTGCAAGTATTTGCCGTGATGCCCGATGCATGTGCAGCCTTTGCTGCTATCGAAACCTCACACCGAGGGGGACGATAAAAAAAGCACGATGGAGCTAAGTAAGCTGGCAAGCATACTCCTACATGCATTAGGATCCTGAATTGCCTGGGAGTGCGGCTTTGAAACCGCCAGCCTTTCCGCAGTTTCTCTTGTCTTCCATCCAAGCCCCTCTGTGAATCGGCGGGTGATTTCGCGAGCTCCGTTGGACCCCTACCGTTTTGGCTGGGCACATACTCTAGCTAGCCCATCGATGATGATTGGATTCGGCACCGAAGCCAATTAATGACAACATGAAGAGTTGGAGCGAGAGCTGACAGAATGGGCCAGGCTAGCAACACACCAAGACCTTCGCAGACAGACTTGTCCAGATGCTGCTATGCCTGCATGTCTTGGAAAGAGCAAGGGTCGATACGCGGTTTGTTTGGTGGAGTCGCTGGTGATCGACAGCCAGAGCCGCCGCCTGTCTGCCCAATCCGGTCACGCAGTCGCGACTTGTCATTCTCACGTTGGTACCGAGCAGCTGATGAGGCAAACGGCCAAGCCCGCGTAGAATGGCCATTTAGTAGGGTGAAGCCCAGCAAGCCTCGTAGGCTCTATACTTGTAGACCAACCAAGGTGAGCGTCCTGTTGTCTCGGGAATACTAATCCCACGGCAACGATTGCAAGGAAGTCAGTCGTTGTGCATCCTCCAATCAGGTCGTCTTAGCCATGTCCACAGATTCTCTGTAACGAAGAACTAGCACCAAAACTCCCCTGGCCCGTCACAGCCTCCGTGCGTGTGGGAAGAGGGCGCAGAGATTTCTCCGAGCTGCCGGCGATTTTGCAAAAGAGGGTTTAGACAACGGATGTCGAGCGACTAGCAAACTAGACTCTCAGAGCCAAGAAAACGAGGGAAAATAGAATAAGGAAAACAATGACGTGAAGGAAATTAGAGCCAAAAAAATAAATAAGAAAAAATAAAGATGAAATTGAAAAAAACAAACCCATACTAAGAATAACTCGCGCCAAAGCCATCGAATGCTCCCGACCATCAGTACCGTTTCCACAACCCTTTTCGACCTTCGGTGTCTCGCGTGGCCTTTGCATTGACGTACAGACAAGGGGGAAATGAACAGCCAATGCTTGGGCGTAACTGGACGGCATGTTTCCAGAAGAGCGAATTACGTTGGTGGCAGCAAGACAGGGCACATGTGCATCAGTAGGCAATCTGATGAGGTTGTTGCAAAACCCATGAACCCTGCTTTGCTCGACGCACGCCGCCTCTCGCCGAAAACAGCTGCCTGTTGCCACCTCCGCTTGGAGGCTCCGTACATGCGCAGAACCTTGGTGATGCTGGGCATCTAACGCAGTGAGACGCTGAACCAGGTCAGGCCAGGTCAGAGACAAGATGTTTCTGCGCGGTAATTTGAGGCAATAGAACGCATTCGTCTGCTGATAAGGCAGCGGCTGTTCTGATACTACTAGACACTTCCCAGCTCTAACAAGGGCCCTGGACCGGTGTAACAATTGCCTCGCTGTAGCGCCTACAGTACTGTCCCGGACCAAGGCGGAAAAGCGAATACGCACAGCGAAGCTCGTACCTCACTAAGAGTTTGGTCCCTGGAGCGTAGTGGGGGAGGGGGAGGGGGGTGCAGAGCAGTGCCCTCCGCATATACCTGTCCCGACTTACGGAGACGGCGCTCCGTTTTCTGGCCAACGGCCCCTCAAGACGGGACGGAGCAACTTGCATCACAGCAAAACTCACACATGACTCTGGTACCTGATTCAGTGGCCAGCAGGTAAGATTGCAGATTAGTATTCACCGCGGTCGGTCATGCTGCAATGTGAGAGCGCGTGTACCAGAAGCATTTGATGTTCGGGAACATGGAATTTGCAACCTATGGCTGCGACCATGTCGACCTGTTTGTCGCCATTGGTCGATGTAGCGTGAGATCAGATGATGCCATTTGGCTGGTGCGCACGGAGGAAAGTTCTCACTGTGTGCTGAGAGTTTGTAGCCTCGACCAATGACATGTTGTACCGCTCTTCTGTCTCCGTTCTGACACCGTCTCGGGGGCGTTGGAGACGGTCCTTCATCTTATCGTGTCGCTCCACTCGGCATCGAGCGATTACCGCTGCCGTGATAGCTCCTACTCTGTACAGACCGTACTCGTACAGTACAGGCTAGTCCGTCGTCGCCACCACCATAGCGAGCCTCCAGAAGAACTCACACGTGCACACTAGATGG